CTAATCGTTTACATGTGTACACATGTATGTATACATGTGTACCACGGTGTAGTTATTATATTTTGTCCGCATCAAAGGAGAACTAGTATTGAAGGCAATTTCCTGTAGTAGGGTAATTCACCGCCGGCGCTCATCACAATAGGTTCCTGTATTAGGTTCCCTTTTCCTGCCCACCATTTGTCTGCTACACTGTATTTAAAAAAAAAAATGAATGAAGGGACAAATCTCTGATTACAACAGGCATTACTGCAGTTCTTTGGTTGCTCGGCTGTCCTGATTTGTGGATCTTTAGTGCTCACAGATCATGTTCGCTTGTATGTTCATTGGGAAGGTGGGGGGGGGGAGGGTTCATGGGGGGTCATGGGGGGAGACTTGTGCAATATCTGAGGGATTATATTTTGTAGGCTTGTGAAAGCGCCAGGGAAATTTGAGAAGGGGTAAGGCACTTTGGCTAGGCAGGGTCGAATCGTAAGTGTTAGTTAGTGAAGAGAAAGTAAAAAAAATCAGTTTTTGTTTGAACTGTGTAGAGCTATGAATGAATGTATGTACATAGTGCTGCACTTTAATCTAAAGTTGTGCGTCATGTTTTCATCTGTGAACAATGAATCATTCAAAACCATTTCGAGAAACATCTTGTGTCCCATTATAGGCAAATAATTTAATTTTGAAACCTTTTTTTTATGTTTGTCTGTCAGTCTTTTGCGCTTAAATTTTTGCCTTTTACACTTAAATTTTGTGTACCGTGTGACCAGTACCTTTAACCGTAACAGGATTCTGTTTAATCGTAACCTCCCTAACTCCATCAAAATCTTTCCCCCCCATTTTGGTGGATTTAGGGGGACTTGGTCCTGCAGGCCTGGTTTGATTATTGATGGAGCACGATGGGCTTGTGCCTGGAGGCCTATACATGTATATAGCAAAGCATGCGTTGGAAGCAGTGTGATTGATGGATTTTGGCAGACTTGGTCCAGTACTAAGTAAAAAACAGTAGGGAATTAGCCTGTTTTATTGTTGAATTAACCAATAACACAGACACACACAAAATTAAGTAGGGAAGACGTATTTACTTTTCAAAATATTCTTTATTTAAATTTTTGGGAAAATGGAGGTTTTTTTTTTTCATATGTCAGCTCAATCAATCTCTGCTTGCAAAGAAACAAACAAGTCCTAACGAGGGAAATTAATCTTACGTACATCTGTACATTCATGGACATCACGCTAACTTACTGATTGTCAGCACTGTTGTATCACTGTCGACATTGGAATGCAGACTGGACTGAACTAATTAGCTCTACTCTGTGCAGATATTGTTTGGCCTTCTGAAATTTCAGTAACTGGTATTTCTTTCCTGTTAGTAAATGTCAGTAAAATTTTCAAAAATAAAGTGTATGGTAGGCGTAAGTCATACATGTGTGTACAACATTTATTTACAATGTGTCCATGTACATGTATGCTGAGAGCCTGACGGCTATGTGTACATGTATATGTTCATGTACTGCATATTATGAAGAATGTTTCCTACAATTTTACCTCCATGGTACAATGTAGAAAAAATGCAACTGCACATATTTATGCGGGGATATGTACCGGTACTGAACATAATGACAGTACATACTGTAGAACAATTGCATTTAAATTTGCACCAAGAATGAACAGGCCCCTTAGGCCAAAAAAAATTTCTGCTTCCAGGTTTCCCTACCTACCCTATTTTGACAGCCCCTACCCAATTTTTTTTATGGGAAAAATGAGGGAAAAAACACCCAAAACCATCAATTTCTACCTTTTACCTTTGACTACATGCAGACGCCTCCATATGATCATACACAAAAAAAATTGGCAAAAAAAAAAATGATTTCCCTACCTACCTACCCTATTTTCAAATCCCACGTAATCGGAAGCAGAAGTTTTTTTTGGTTGGCCTTAGCACATGTATACATGCATATTGGGCACTGTACGTTGTCCTCTAGATCATGGATGTCTAGATCGACTGCAATACCATGGGTAACCTGAATAATAGTGCAGTGCACACGTCTGGACATGTACATGTAGCTTGCAGCCCTGTGCCATTTTTGTTTACTATAACAGGTTTTGTGTAAAGAATTATGTACAAGTTTCGATTACAGGTGTAATTGGACGAATCTGAGATTTAGGTGATTACATGCTTTATGTATGAGTCATAACTATGGACCTGGAAAGGGTGAAGGAATGTCCATGGATCTAGGAAGAAGCGCTATAGATACCGGTACACGGTTTATAAATACATTGTACCAGTACATTTATTATAGAAACACACATGCACCCAGGTGAGGGGCCTACAAACATGTACCGGTATACAAAATACATTTGTCATTTGTTTGCTGTTGACACAGCATGTACATGTACCCAGATTATTTGTAAGTACTAAGTGCGCACATGTACTGGTACATATTTTGGGTTTTTTTCTCTCAAAACTACATCCATGTACATGTGTACATGTACATGTACAACATATATGTACGGTACATGTGTAATTTTGAATAACATTTAAAGGTAATGTGCAACATTTGCAAACCAACAAACAAAACTACCAAAATACAAATGTAGTATGAAATATCTTACTTGGAATAATAGTCGTAGCACCTGGTGTGCTGTCATTTTCAAGTAAAGTGGAATTGTTTTATCAATTTCCAATGATGGTCGGCTGAACATCGTTGGAAAAAAAAATGACTTTCAAATTATACCAGTTGACCAAAAGTTGACAATTTGTTTGCAATCGGTTACACATCCATAAATGAGTGCAAGCCAGCTAGTCTGGTTCCCTGACCTGACAATTCCACGGCGTCTATAAATTTCTGTTTCCTCTGTTCAAAGTACCGGTAGGGTCAGGGTACCAGACAACAAGAACAGCCTATTTTGTCTTGGTTTTTCCAGCATCTACATGTATGAACACAAAACCTTAAACAGGTCAGTGTAACAGTATTTGCTATAAAATACACGTACACGTACACTGTAGTAACCCCATCCATTTATGAAAATTACAGCAAAATCAAATGTACCTGTATATTAATTACCTTTAAAATTCTTCATTAGACAAAATTCCTCTTTAAAACCTTAACAGAACTCAACCCTTCAAACCCCAACTGCATGTTTTGTTGGAATCTGTCAGGATGGGTACAGTACCCCTAAACTGACAGTCTTTTACCCGGTACATTGGGTGGGCACACCTCCAGAATCAAAGTCAGAAATACATGTATGTGTGTGCAGTTTCCATATGGTGTTGGAATTCGCCAGGATGGGTGGTTCCTAGTAAATCATGCTAGGGAGTTAGGGTTAATTATGATGTGTACTTATAAAATTCATTGTAGGCTTATGACATCCCAGGAATTTAATTTGTTTTGATTTCCTTTGCATTTGTCAGTGTTTGTTTGCTTGTGCTGATGATAGGCTTAACTGCCCTGCCCTTTATTACAATAACATTTCACACTACTGGAATGTGTAAAATTAACTTTTATTCATGTGGCTTTGTTTGTGTAAATATTTGTATAGTACCGTACTTGTGTTTGTAAGTATGTATTAGTGTTTGTAGTCTGTTTCACTAGTGCACTTTTCCTTGTAATTTGTAATACATGGAAACCAGTTTTAAAGTGTTTGTGCATATCGGTACCCTGGAATAAATACATACATGTAGCTCTTTTCTGTTTTCGCTATACATGTGCTGAATTTGTCCACTATGGGCCTTATTCACGAGTTGGCCATATTGAATTGAAAGCGAGGTAAAATTTTTGGAACTTGCGAAGAGAAATGAAAACAAGTTAATTCCTATTTAATTCAGTGTATTTAAAAACAGTAAAAAAGGCTGCATTGTGCCTGCATAAATAGTGTGGCGCCATCCCATTGAACAGTGAGCACTTAATGACATGTGTTCAGGGAACTCGACAAAAATGGCCAACTCGTGAATAAGGCCCATGCGCGTGACCACAACATGCGACCACCACATGCAATTTTGTGAATATGTGACATGGCCTACATTAATTAATGTACCAGTACAGTTTGCACACTTGCACTATGTGCATGCATTTTTCATAGTACCAACCAGTACATGTACACATGTTCAAATGTTTGCTCATTTTTTTTTACCATTACAATAGGCATGCTTTCACATTTGGAGGCCATTAGGGCAGACGTCATTGTGCGCTGCTAACAAAGCAAGGATGCTTCCCCTGTTTGCTGACATTATTACATGGTCAATAAGGAGCCACCTTATGTAATAAGGCTGTCGCTGATGTACATGTACGTGTCTTCACACTTCCATGTTTTTAGTGTCTATGCAGTAATATTGAAGGCCTGCATTTGTGCATTGTCTTGTTTTCATTAAACATGTCTGCAAAAAAGAGGCATGTTATAAGAGGAGGTGCACGTTTTGTGAATAAAGTTGAAGCTGAAAAGAGTCTGGATGCTTTATTTCTATTCAGTTCTTGTCTTTGAGGTGTGTTTGACAACTTTTTTTCACTTGCCCCTAAGGCACTTCAAACATCTCGTTTTTCGATTTTGGGGGTTTTAAATGTCGGTCGCTGGCCACATGCCAGCTAAAACATTGACTTATTATGGGTACATGTGGACCAAACTCATTTCAACGAACTGGTTCAGCTGGCAATGTCAAAATATGTTTTGTACATGCACTACAGTGTATTGAAAACATACCGGTAAATTACAATTCCTGTTACATCTTCCAAACTTTTCACAGATTGATTCACTGTTTTGTTGCTTCAATATCATAATTTGAATTTTCGTTAAAAATGAAAGTTACCGTACAATTTTGATTCTCATATTTTGGAAAGATTCCCCTGGCACTGAGATCCAAGGCACTCTCGTAGTATGCAGTTTACTGCAGCTGTTGATTTCAAATTGTAAAATGTATACATATTGTATGTAGCCTTTTTTCTGTAATTTGGGAAATTAGGATTACGTGTGCTTGTTCCCAAAATAATTTTGGGTGTTTTTTTTTTTTTTTCCTATGACAGGATGTCAGCTTCCCTTGGGCATGGAGTCAGGTGCAATCCTTGACAGTCAAATCACAGCCACATCCACAGTAAATATCCTCGAAGGGCCCCGATACGCCAGACTACACAAGAGAGACGGTGAGTTAAAAAGACAAACATCAAACCAAAACTACTGCTTGGTTGCGATAACACTCGGGTCCAATTTTTTATTTCCCTGCCAAGTGCTGATATCGCTAATGTAGGGCTTTCTGTGTTAGCACTGTCTGCATAAGTGTATGTATGTGTTTAAGATCTTACTTGGGCCATGGACCATTTACCTGCTTGGGCACAAATTAGAATTCCTTGCTGACCTCAGAAAGACCAAAATCATCAAGAAGGATTCTTGCTGACACTGACAAAAAGCAGAACCATGAAATTGCATGCAGGCGGGGATGAGATTAAGAGTGCATATTAACCTAATGCAAGTGTGCAGGTCCCCAACTCTTCAGCACTTTTTGTAAGACGAGCATCCCAAATCGTTACAACTTGTCCAACATTGTGCAGTAAATGTTGCAATAAAGTGCCAAAATAAACTTAGTGACTGGGCTATGCTGTTTTGAACCCTTGAAGTGTCTACATGTACCACAAAAACAGCCCCCCCCAAAAAAAAAAAAAAAAAAATCTTTTCCACTATTTTGAGCATATGTTGTTTGTTTTGTGATAAACTCAGTTGGTCACTTGTTTTATGATAGTAGAGAAATTTGTGCAGAAATGCAAAGATTCTGCTTGTGATAATAAGCTTGTGTCTCAGAGTTAAACAAAAAGAAGAAAATTGACCACCTGTGTGCACAGTTTAATACTGAAAGCACAGATCAGTAGCTGAAGTAATATCTACTTCTTATTGACTGCAAGAGGCCCAACGTGTTACGCAACACAGCGACTGCAGCGCAATAAACAGGCATTCCACCATGTCCACAGGACAATAATTCAAACTCCAAGGTCGTTGTTTGTGCATGTGAAGCATTTGTCACAGGTGGTGCTGAGTTAGCCTTTCTGGAAGACTACATTATTATGTACAATGGATCTATTACAAAATGTCCACCCTTTCAACTTTAGGGTGAACAATGGAGAGCGGAGACCTCATCTTACAAAATCACTTGAAAAAAAGAGATGTCCTAGAGATGCTACGAGTAAATAATTTTAAAGGTTATTATTTCCTGGTGCTACGATAATGCAGGCTAGTTTCAAGTATTCTTACTTTTCCTACTTTTTCCTATTTTTTTTTTTATCTTGCTCCTACGGTACTTTTCCTATTTTTTTCTTGAAATTCCTACTTTGTCCTACTTGTTTGTCCCACAACTTGGAAAAATGAAATCTCATTGAATATTTTTCATGGCAGTGTTTACACTGTCATGCAGATCACACAATGAAGGGCTTGGGCGCAGGAGTGCTGCAAGTGTACTTCCGAGAGCTTACAGTTGAGGATGGAGCATAATTTATTTTAGCTATTAAATTATGTACATTTTACATGCATTTTTTGCATTTTAATTACAAGTGAATTTAGTGAAAGCAAGGTTTTGTCTAGCTCTCTTGAATTATTTGTTTGTTTATTTTGTTTATTTATTTGTTTCTCAGGCGGAGGGGGTTGGACAGCAGGCACGCAGGACCTCTCTCAATACCTGACCATTGACTTGGGGGGCGTGGCCACGGTCACTGCGGTGGCTACTCAGGGGCGGTTTGGCACCAACGACTACGTCACCGAGTACAAGCTCATGTACAGTGTGGACGGCAGCAAGTGGACGACATACAGCGACGGTGATGCCGATAAGGTGACGTCAACTACGTGTCATGAAATATTACCATCCCTCTGCACAATTTAGTTAAAAGATGTAAATGGACTCCGTGCACCAACAATAGATGGCGCTTTTACATGTACTCCACCTTCGAGAGTCCCATGGACGGAACACATTGGGTGTGCATACTGGTTGCCCGCATATGGCGCGAAGTATGTTCAACTAAGTTAATTCTGAATGTGCACACACTCAAATCCCTTTGCGTGACTGCCACGCATCATCGGCAATGTGTTCGAATGTCCCTAGTGATCTCCCCGGTTCTTCATTTCGTACCCGTTGAAGGACCTGTGCACGGGAGCCCATATTGTAGTAAAACAGATTTAAGAATGATGATTTCACTTCAATAGGAAAAAATGTTGGTACTGTAAATGCTCATAATTTTTTTTTTGGGGGGGGGGGTTATAGTGCAAAACTTTTTTTTAGCTCTCTTTCCCTAGCTACCTGCCTATATTGGGAAGGGTCATTAATAATAGATAACTTAGCTGTGGTAAGACCACGATAAGACCAAGGTGTCTACCATTCCTTAACTCCTCAGGGCAAACTGCAGACACATTACCAGCATGTCAGGCCCAGTCAAAACAAATGATAAGGTCCTGAGGAGACCCTGATTAAGGGGGTGTGCTAACTGATGCATCTAGCACCTACATAGTGGCCCTGGAACTCTGGTGACAAGTGCTAACACAGTGCATGCCCCTTGAAATTTTGGGCTCACTTTCATTGACATTAGGTTTCACTGTGTGGATTGATATGCAATAGCCTGCCTCATCACACCTGTGGTAATTTGCTTATAAAATACTTTGCTGTACCACTGTGCATATTATTAGACTTGAAACATGCTTATGACTATGAGGATAGGCGGTGCCCTCAAAATATCTGAAATTGTTTCAGAGGTTATGTGCTGTACTGATTCTACATTTCCTGTTGTTGGTTTGAACTTGCTCCTCACATACAGTGAAATCGCGATTAGTAAAACTCGATGAACTCAAAACTCCGTTTATATTGAAGTCAATTCCATCAAGAGAATAGGATATGATGTCCAAGAATACCCCCGTAACTCATAATGCCTGCAACGGTACCTCTGTTTAACTTGAAATTCTTCTGGCCAGTTCAGAAGAAACTGCATCCTAAACAGTCACAAAGAAATGTAAAAAGGTCGCGAAACTTTTTTGTTGAGTAATTATTGCCGACTGTACTGTGTCTGTTCACGTTGTGATGCAGCGTACTCCAGCCCGTAACCCCAACAAATTGCGCTTTCCAGTTAATAGCCTGATCACTACCACTGGCCCAATTGCAGCCAGCACGCCGGCGGTCCGATCACTGGCTCTTTGTGGTGGCCGTGCGACTACATTGGAAACGCTCGCCTGGCTTTCGAGTCAACCTGATTGCTACTTTTCTGGGTAATTGCAAATGATCCTATATGGATGTGGCTTTAAAACAAGTGGGCCCTTCATCAGACTCTCTATCAAATTAAGGTATTGGGCCAGTTTTCTTGCTAACATTTCTACTTTTGATTTCAGGCATTCCAAGGCAACAGTAATGGCAATCTGGCCCACAAGAACGTGCTGCCAAGTAGCATCGAGGCCCGCTATGTCCGCTTCAACCCGACGCAATTCAACGACCGCCTCTCAATGCGCGTTGAGGTCTACGGCTGCCTTAAAGGTTTGTGTGATCAATGCTGTATTTCTCATTCTTATACTCAGGCACATTTAATTTCTGTTCTCAGGCACATTTAATTTCTGTTCTCATACTGCCAAAAATATTCGACTACAATACAGGTGCAGTTCTACAGGAGGGGGGACCACCAATTTGACAGTTTTAGTGATGTTTACATGCAGTAAAGTATTCCCAATTACTGGCCGGTATTTCCAAAACACTTTTCCCTCACAAGCTTTAGCCTTTATTCCCGAAAATTTCTAAACGTTTTTATTTCATCACTTTAAAACAATTCAAAAATTTCTATTTGAGTTTTATTTTAATCCCAAAAGTTAGTTACGAAAATATTATTAAAAAACTTACTTGGGTTCAAGATCGTACTGATACTGATCACCCCATGAAAGTTTTCCATCTGGCTTGCTGTCATTTAGAGGAAATCAAGAAATGTAGGTGATTGCCAACAATCAGTCAGTTGTCTGATATTTGGAAATTTATAAAACTTGTATTGACAGATTGTGTTTCGTGATCAAAAGGTTGTGCATGGTTTTTCACAGTTTTCTCGAAAAGTGTGATAGCCCCCATGCTGAAACTTTTAACAGGTCGGGTTTGAGTTGTGGTATTATGGGAAATGAACAAAATGCACAAACTGCAAACGATAAGCCTTTAAGAGGCCCCAATTTTAAGACTTATTGCTAACCTACGTATCCTTAAACCTGCCTTTTTACGCCCCACAGAAACGGCCTATTTTGACGGCACGTCGTACATCAAGTACGACACCAGCCAGGCCCCTAACCACATCCAGTCCTTCGAGGATCTGATCCAGATGCGATTCCGTACCTCTCAGCCCGACGGTCTGCTGGTGGCTGGGATCGGAAGGCATTCCGACTACGTCTTCCTCCAGCTGCGCGGCGGGAAAGTCCTCCTTAGCGTCAATCTTGGTAAGCAATCACCGTTTTTGTTGATTTTTGCTTACAGTGATTTTCGTATTGTATAGTCCCAGGTAAAATTGTGGAGAGTTGCTGAGCAGACATTACTGCTTAGCAGATTTGTGCGCTGAGCAAAAAATGAGCTGAGTTTTTGCCAACAAAAATCACTTTGCCAACAAAATTCTCCAGCCCCCCCCCCCCAAAAAAAATCCTTATTGACATACATGTGTGATTTTGTGATATTTAGGATCTTAAGATTATCAAAGTTGTTTCATCACAAATTTCTGGTAATTTATTTTAAATTTTTTAAATACCCCTTTTTATTATATGGAACAGGTTATTTCAAGTTATGATTTACAAATAAATCAGTTATAAAAACAAAAATTGTAACATGGCTAGCTAAAGGCAGGATTTTTTCAATAATTTAGATTTAAAAGAGAGAGTTTGAGGAGTATCAAAATAAGAAAAAAGTTGTTAAATATTAAACAGAATTACCAACAAAATCCTGTTAAAAAAATTAATGTACATGCAAATGAAACAGCTGATCTTGAGCAATACAGCCAATTTATCATAGCATGTACGATAAGTTAAAATGCATTAAAAAAAACGCTAGGTTTTTTCCATAATTAGAAAACGGCCAAACATCCCACCGCATACCCCAAGGTCATTCACACCTCGACTTGGTCGGTCCCAGCGATTTAAAACAAATACAGACCCGGAGCGAGTGTCCCACCAGGCCAGATTCCTCCCAGTTTGGGGCGGCAGCTTGGCAGCCAGCGGCAGGCTGGATTCTCTCTGCGGGGCATTAGCTCGCCTGTTACTTTGTGGATTAGATGACTTGCTGATGCCAAGGCTAATTTCATCACTTAAGACAATTCTATTTTGCCGCAAGGGTCTTTTTTTTGTTAGCTTGAAGGTATTGAAAGCATTGATGTACATGTTACCTCATGCAGTTGTCACAAAAGTGGCTGTGACAAGTCTAACAACTTGTATCCATTCTGTTTTACAATTGACCTTAAGCGCTACATCCATTTTTAAGCACAGTGCTTTTGTGTTGTATTGTGCATCATGGGATGTTTGTGTGAAGGCGTTACCCGAATGGTGTGTCACTTTGCAGTAGGCTGTATGTGTGATGCTGTGCATAATTAATGAAGTACAGATGGTTTTTCTGGGATACAATTTCTGCATGAAATCAAGTGTGATATTTTAAAATATAGTCAAGAAAAAATATTCCAAAATTCCATGGCACAGTCCATAGTGATTATTCTTTTTACTTTGTGATTAGCTCTTTTACATTGATTTCCTTCGTGTATTTTGTTCCAAAGGCAATCACCCCTAATAGTTCTCCTGAAGCCGATCGTCATTTTTGGGGAATTTTTTTTTAGGTATCTACGCAAGCATACATGTACATTCCTGTTCAAAACTGGTACCCTTCATTTTTAACAAACCTTCAAGTGCTCGGGCAACAAACCCCCTGTTAACCCTAAACCCCTTGAGTGATTTACTAGGAGCCTTCCTTACTCTTGCAAAATCCAACAACATACATGTATGGTAGCTCAACACCCAAACTGTTGGACTCTGATTACGGTGGTATGCCTGACCCCAGCTGTAAAGCATAATCAGTTGACTAGTGCAGTACTCATTCCAACAGATTCCACCAAAACATGCAGTTGGATTTTTGTTGGATTTTGTGGGTGGTTAGGGTTAAAGGCATATCAGGATCATTTGCTTTTCATGCATTTTGTTTGTTTCCAATAATAATACCACGCAAAATTCGAAGAAGAACGTTCCAACACTAACCCGTTGAACTTTCAGCTCAGTGGATATTACACTTGCTGAGAAAACAGTAGAAAACAATGCACAACCATTTGATCATGAAACACAATTTCCAGACTATAATGGACTGATTTTTTCCCTTTTAAATGGCAGCAAGCCAGACGGAATAATTTCACAGGGTGTTTAGTACCAGTACAATCTTTCATTCAAGTAGGCTTTTTGATGATAATTCAGTTTTTGATAATAATTACTTTTGGGGTAAATACAACTGATTCTACCAGTATATGCCTTGAAAAGAGACATTGACAATGCAAAAAAATGTGGCTGTTGTTGGCAAATTGTGGCCTGTTTAATACTGGCTGGAAACTCATGCTGGATTGAATTTGACACAATATCTAATTCCCTTTCTGAAATACTCATTAAACAGGGGACGCATCTGGCGGGACGCCATCCGGCGCGACGCTGCTGGAAGGCGGAAGCCTATTGGACGACAACCAGTGGCATCTGGTGCAGTACAAACGTCAACGCCAGACAGTCGAGCTTGTGGTGGACGGAGTGACCGTGGCAGTCAGGACGAACGGTCACTTTACGCGGCTGGACTTAGACAAAGAGGTGTGTTTTGGACACCAAATGTTTGTGTTCAAGATGAGGAACACTGAAATTGACCAAGAAAATACAAAAATACAACAATGACGAGGATATAATAACGGAAAATTAAATGGAAAAACCACCGCTAGGCCCAGCACGCGGCACTCAGACCGCACTCAAATTAATCATAAGATGGAATTTGCGTCACAATCACTTTGGGGCAAAACTGACTATACAGTGTCTATAAAATACATCAGTGAAGGGCAAAACACAATATTGAATTTACATCACCGATGCAAATTCCATCTTATGATTACATTTGCAGAAATTTCATTTGAGTCAATCACAACTCACAAACAAGTCGACTTGGGTAGACATTTACAGACACAACATGTAAAGTACACTTTTCTTGAAAAGAAATCATTCAGAGATTCTCCAAACTTGTTTTGCTTCAAAAATATTCATTAATGTTAAAACAAGTGCACTTTGCAAACATTTTTACCAAAAAGAATGTCTCGTAGTCTTTATACATTCCACAGGAATGGATATTTGCTACAAATATGCTCCAGTGTACAATTCATTTTTTTGGATCCTTTAAATATTACAATGGTAACCTGATACATTCCAGAGGAATGGATATTTGCTGCAAATATGCTCCAGTGTACAATTCATTTTTTTGGATCCTTTAAATATAATTTTACTGACTATTTGAATCACAGATGACCATCGGCGGGACGTCCGTGTCGCAGCATCGGGGGCTAAGCTCCACACAGTTCTTCGTCGGTTGCCTACAGAACGTCCTCCTGAGCAACAGCGTGGAGCCGTCCAGCCTGGGTACAGCCCTCAACTTCATCAAGGGCCTGCGGGAGAAGGCCTACTCTACCCTGAGCTTGATCGGTAACCTGGAGTATGACTGCAGAGGGGAGACCACAGTGCCGGCCACGTTCCCCAGCAAGAGTTCACACATACAGTGGCCAGGGCCCAGCCTGTCACAGAACTTCACGTGAGTGTGGACCTGGGACCAATTTTTTTTCAAGTGCCATAAAGTTACATCCTAAATGGTTATTTCCTCCACTTTCCCTCGTCGACTCTCACCCTCTCCCAGTCTCTCCTCCACTGTATTAATCAGTTACTTACTTCACGGACATCCATGGAAATCGAACGTTGGAGGGGAGAGAAACTGTTTTATACATACCAGCCTTACCCACTCGACCACGAGCGCTTGTTGGCGTTAAGGTATCCATTAATGTATTTAGGGTAACCATTAAAGTAAGACTAATGAATATTTAATAAATTAAATATTCTAAAATAAATATTCATGATGACGTATTGCAGTGTTATTGGCTAGTGCGTTGTCATGCGCACTGCAAATGTCCAGACCTCAATATGGCTGCATACAAAGTCGGCTGTCCAAACGATGTGTGCACCCAAGATGAACTCTAAAAACACATTTTTTTTCTGAGATGTTTTCCGTTTTGCCAAGCCTAATTGATTTGTCTTCAAATGAAATCACAGGATGAGGTGAAAATTGATGTGTTTGGCAGCACATAAGTGGCGTCTGTATATGGGACTCTTCCCGAAATCTCATTAAATATCTTGGATAAGTAGCGGAAAGCCTTATCAACAATAGGCTCATTGTAAAGGGCATTAGTTTCAGAATTGTTAACATCCCTGGACATTTTCCCCAATGAAGTTAACAGCATTATTAACGAATAATGACGCCTTTCCTTTTTGGATAATGTTGAACATGCGGTTAAAACAATTCTTTTCACATCTTAAACCTTCCTCCCTCTGACAGCATATCTCTCAAGTTCCGGACGTTCAGTGCAAGCGGTCTGCTAGTCAACAACCAGCTGGTGTCCAGCACTGGGGGTTACATCACTGTAGGCCTGAACGAAGGAACGCCAGTTGTTATACTGAAGACGGGCAGCAGCGCCGCCATTGAGATACCTGGAGGTTAGCCTTGGAAGAACCACCCCGCCAAACTAAAAACAAAAACACAAATCATGTGTGTTCAGATGTAGTCCGAATTAGTTTTGAGCTTTACCCTTAAAAACATAGATTATGGTTGTAATTCTCTGTTCTCTTAGCGGTACAACAGTTATTCGCTTTTGAATGAGACATCTATCGGCCAAAACAAAATCGGCCCATCTTTAGTTATGGAATAATTAATTTTACAAATCTCAAATAAGTCTCGGGCCAGAAATAGTTAAGATCTTGCTGGATAGACTGGGTCCTGCCTCTTTTTTAGAATTGATAATGTGAGGACGGGAAAGAGTTTGCCATGGAGTGCGGTTCTGTTTATGCACACAGGCAACCCATAATAAAATCCTATTTTTCAGATGGTTGCAGTCACCAAACTAAAACAGCAATTTTTTTGTTGTTGAAATAAAATGCTCATAGGTCAAAATTTGTTGTTAAAAAAAATGAGTTTGGTGAAGAGCACTGACAGTATATCTTTAATTGTGCCAATTTTCACGGCTCTACATGTACATACATTTTTCTGTTGCTTTTCCACAGTTGGTTCAGATTTGAACGATGGCAGATGGCACAGTGTACACTTGGAGATGGCCAACAACGTCATCCGATGGACGGTGGATGGCGAGAGCGACGTCATACAACGGAGCTTCTCCATCACTACAAACGAGAAGTTCTATGTGGGAGGCTCAAGTAAGTAGACAAATATGGACATTGTACAGAAAAAGGTCGGAGTACATGTGTAGGTAAAATTGAAGAGATTTTGTGGCATAGTAAGGGCCCATCTCAATTCACATCCGGAACGAGTTCCGGACAAGTTGCGGGTAGACTAATTCACTTTGTCCAGAAGAAGCTCTGCATTTGTCCCGGGCATGTTCTGGGGAAATTTTCATCAGTAACTGCTTGACTCACCAATACTGATAACTTGATTGTGGGAAGATTGCCAGGAAGTTGTTCAGAATCCTGCAACTTATACCCGATACAATGTCCGCAGTGATTTTGTCGCCCTACATTTGAATTATGTTATTTGTATTGAGCGTAATCAAATCCTAATTTTAAATGATACAGATTAACTTACATCTCTTCTGTGAATTGCATCTCCAAAGGATTTATATGAGAAGTTACGTCGAAGTTCAATTCAGTAAAGTATTGATTCATACCCATTTTGACAGTGCCTATTCTTGGTCACAAAAAAAAAAAACCCAAAAAGTAACATCACCGTTTTCGGGTTAATATCGTTGCCCACATCGTAACTTATTTTCCCCCTCTTATTCAAGCCGAGGACAGTTCCAAGACGGGACCCCTCCTGGGTTTCCTGGGTTGCATGATGGACGTCATTCTGGGTGACACCAGGATAGACTTTCGCACCATCTTGGACGGGAACATGCCTCAGGGAGCGAGCAGTGAAGACGTGGACATCGATACCTGCAGCCTAGAAGATTGGTAAACAGTCTCAAGTGTTGTACTAAAATCAAGTCTTGTTTTAATTTGGCTCAGCAGACCGGATGTTTATCTACAGTTTCCTTGGTGGAAAATGACAGAATATTTTCTGTTTTCCCCTGGATTGGATGGTAGTCCATCATAGGTTACTTTCTGGCCTTGTTGCAATTGAGCAAATCACAAGTCCTCACAAGTCCATTCCAAGTAATCACAAGTCCTCACAAGTTTTTCACAAGTTACCCAGTCCCAAATCAAGTCGGAAGCTGTTCAAATGGACTGTGAAAAAGGCATTCCTTTTTTTGTTGTTAATTGCCCCTTTCTTACCGGATTTGTAACTTTACTTTACATCACCCCTCTCTAGCTTAAAACGGTACCCTTAATACTAGTAAAGTGGCTTGCTGATGGACACAAGATACAACCAGCAGTTTTGAACCAGAATTTGAACCGCTGACACCGCAGTTCATGCCATTGAATGGATAACAAAATATTACAAATACAGGTGTGACACAAAAAATTGTGGAGAAATTGGAGAATTTAATTTAATTTTTTTGGCGTTTTCTTTCTTCAGGTGCACCCCGAGCCCCTGCGCCAACAACGGGAAGTGTGTGTCGGACTGGGACACATTTACATGTAGTTGCACCAACACAGGCTACACTGGGACTACTTGCTCCATCTGTAAGTCAGAATCATGACAAAAATTGTTTAGGTTTCTATCCTTAAAGGAGAGAAAACTTTCCAGAATTTTTTTGACGGGGCCCAATCAGTTTTGGATTATTAACTCAAACATGCATTGGTGACTTGGCTGTCATGACTTGTTGGAGCCAATCCTCAAGACGAGGCTCTTACTCTGTGCTTACAGTGTTTGTCTTTCCTAATATGCTATCTAAACCTCTAAATATTGAGGGGTTTTGCATCCAAATGGATAGGTGTATGCATATATTTAGCTATCCGTAGCCGTAATTGACCATTTCGTTGTTTTGCATCATGTAGGCATAAGTTGAAACCATCACCAATAAAAGCAGTAAACCAAAATGGCAGCCTGTGATGAAAGCCTCGTATCTGCAGCTAATCCTGCTTTGAAACACAGACAAATGGTTCGACAATTCATGCTCTTTTAAGCCAAAAAATACATGATTAAAGGCACATGCAGGAACATTTGCAATTACACAGAAATGCACCTACCAATTTAATGAGAAAATCCTTGCTCAAAGTGAAGATAGGACTGGTACCAAATATCCATTATTCCGCGTGAAATGGTATCATCCGGAAGAAAACGATCATTGAAGGTGGTTTTAGTTTTGCATGTGCATTAGCAACAGAATCCAATTACGAGACCCCAAACATTGTGCATACGTTTTCTCTGTTTTCTCAAAATGTATAGTACTCGTATCTGAGTAACTGGTTACTCACATTTGAGTAACTGGCTGTCATTCTCATCCACTTTGAACAATTTATTTGTTTTGGGTGTTCCCCAGCGTACCACTGAGGGTGTTATTACATATTTATGCACGTTGAAAGTGAGACTTTTTCATTCATATCTTGTTCTGTCCACAGCCCAGCATAGCAGTATGTGTGAGTTTGCAGGAACCCATACTATCGACCCCGATGGTAGCGGTCCCTTACCCCCGGTTGAGGTTGAGTGTGAACGACAAGGTAAGTGCAATACTCTATCCTATTATAGGAGCACTACAAGTTAATAACTACGAAATAACTGAAATTTGTGGAATGACAAAAGTCATAGGTAACATTTTTGTGTGTGTCTTAGTCATGGTGATTGTTAATGAGTTGGGAAAAAGTAAAAGTGCCAATTTAGTTAGAAAAGCAAATTGCCTGATACTAATTGTAGTACATTAAAGTTAGAGTACATCATTTGCAGCTATCCAAAAAGTAAATGACGAGATTATTGTTGAAAAGCTTACTTGGTTAAAAGATAGTAATGGGACTAAACTCGCTGTGTAATTATTCTTTCTGGCATGCTTTCATTTTGAAGAAAACAAGAGAAGGTCGTTTTCAAAAAGCGTCTGAAGACGCATTTTTGAAAATTGTCATTAGTAGTTTGTTTTTAAATCAGTGAAGCCGTGAATGGGTGCGCGCAAGCATTGACACAATGCACACGGCGCGCAGTTGCTATTATTCGTCGGTTCAATGTGTGACATCGCGTAGCTGCAATCGGCGGAATGAGATCGTGTCCCGGATGCTGATTTCGAGCGCAATTCAAAACATGACTCGGCACCTTTTGAATTGAAATCGAGATCCTAGGATATTGTTTTCTCGGAATGTACAGCATTCACTGAGCTAAAAGTTCCTCAGGTTAGTTGTTAAGCACCCTTCTTTAGATTTTGAGCGCTTTTGTTGCTTCGAACGAAAACAATGCACAAATGACAAATGATATACTCTACCTTTAAACCGCCCCAACACTATATGGTTTTGTGGATTCAACAAGGAGTAGATACATTGTAATACAGCAGGTAATGTGCACTGTAATACAATGTAATACAAGTGCGAATCGGTTACATGTACTTTGTTGTGTTTACTTCCCAGATGATGTGGTATTCACCGTGATCCACCACGATGCAGAGACAACAGAAGACGTTCCCCCGGGCAGCCTAGAGCCCGGCTCCTACTCGCGGGATGTGGTCTATCAGGCCAGTAATGATCAGGTCAAAGCCCTCCTCGATATGTCCGAGTACTGCGAGCAGCACATCAAGTATGAGTGCAACAAGGCCAAGCTGCTCAACTCACCGAGTAAGTGAACGAGTGACGCTTTGGGACTACTGAGAACTCAAGAAATTTTGATCAACAACTTAGTTTGGAATTGGCCGCGTAGTATCATTTGCAATTTCTACCCGGAAAAGCACCTTTAAATTCAATGACAGAAATCCTTCTCAAAGTGAAGATAGGACTGGTATCAAAAACCCTGTGAAATTGTTCCACATGAAATGGTATCGTTTGGAAGTGAACAATCATCGAAGATGGTTTCAGAAAGGGTGCTGTGCATCGGAACAGGGTACCCGAGTTCCCGACCCCTTATGCCAGGAACCAGTTCTAGATTATAGAATGGAGTACCCGTAACCAGCTTTACATATTACTTAGTAACTTCTCAGACATTGAAAAAGAAAGGTTTGAAATAGCATTTGACGAGAATTTTCAAACTGAAAACCAGGCTACATGGAAAAACACAACAGACTCACGATTATTACGCATGCGAAAACACAATTTACACCGTAAAGCTACATCTTGAGCTCTCTGTACACACTTGTATCTTGGCATATTGAAGCACCGATGTGGAAGCACTATCGTGCAGACCTTTATGAACAATCTGAACAGCAAATTCCGAGATTAAAATTTTGGGTTTTGGTTTCTTTAACGGGTACCTTGGTATCAAATTCCCGTATTTACCCATAAATGCACACCCCTATACGAGACCCAAAAAATTGTGTTTTCGCTGATTATGTTTTCGCTGATTTCTCAAAAAAGTGTAGATGAACCGTCATCAGCTTTGTTTTTACGCACCCTACTTAACATTATGAGGAATTTGGTGTCTTCAAGTGAAAAAAAATGCACACGAAGCAAGTAACAGTTTTCCTTTTGAAAAAAAGCATTCTAATCTGTTTTTGTTTTGGTCCTTCAGATGGTGAACCGTACGGCTGGTGGGTCAATCGCAATGGCCAGAAAATGAATTACTGGGGCGGGGCAGCCCCTGGAACTGGCAAGGTCAGTTGAAAATTGTGATAACATCATCAGTGAATCTTTACAGCCCCCTAAAAATCTAGGATAACATTTCAAATCCAACACAGCATGTAAAACCTTGAAAGTGGGTTTTAATTTTTCCAGTCAAAAGAATTAGGACTGATTTTCTGACTTAACAATTTCCCAAAGTCTATGAATTGCTCCGTTTCATCTTAAGTGGGGTCAGGGAACCAGACTACAAGCACATGATTGGTTTTCTTGGTTTTTCCAGCATCTACAACCCAAAAACGTGAAACAAGTCATGTTAACAATATTTGCTAGAACATACTAATCATCCAAATCCATTTATTTCTGAAAATTGCAGCAAAGCAAATGTTGTACATTCCCGTTAAGAATCCTTTGGCGAAACATGAGAAAACATGGAAATCTTAATTTGGACAAATTATTTTTTCGCACTGCCTTGGCAGTGTGTGGGACCTTCAGGTCAACTGTGTATAAAGTCCAGGAAACTGGATCTCTATTTTCACTTTTGATATTTTTTTGGTATCACACCGACAGTGCGCCTGCGGCCTGTTTGAAACCTGCTACGACAACACTAAGTGGTGCAACTGCGACGCCAACGACGCCCCCAACAAAATGGACCAGGGCCTGCTGCGGCACAAGCAGTTCCTGCCCGTCAAGCAGCTGCGGTTCGGTGACGTCAAAGCCACGGGCTCGTCGGCTAAGCACACACTGGGACCCCTGAAATGTCGAGGCAGTGGTCAGTAAAATTCTCTCTTCCCCCCTTCTCTCCCTCTCCCTGCCCCGCCCCACACCCCGGCACCTCCCATCTCACACTCACACCCCCTGGCAAATGGGACCTTGTATTATTGATCCACTACTTGAATTCATTACTGGATTACTTAAAAATGTCACTTTTTGAAATTGGGAGATCAATTCTAACAAAATGAAGACTCCCGGATGGACTCCATTTAAAAAATGGTCAAGTTGCCAAAGCCTCAAGTAAAAGAACATTTTGTCATTCATAAATCCAAATTAATAATGATTGTCTGAACTCTCCATCGGCAGCATACCTCGCCAACGTGGTGACGTTCCGCTCCCGTGAGGCCCACCTCCTCTTCCCCATCCTCTCGGTCGATGCCAAGGCCTTGATTGTCTCCCTAGAGTTCAAGACCACCCAGGCTTCGGCGGTCCTGGCCGCCGCCGACGGCCCCGACGACACTTTTGTCCAACTGGAGCTGTACGAGACCCAGATGGTCCACTTCAGTTTTGACTACGGAGCTGGTAGGAAGGAGGTATGTTATAAACGGAGGGGTCAGATTGGTCGGGATTTTTCCAGAATTTCTTTTGAAATCTGGAATTCCTGACGTTGTACAGTAAAGGTGTTTTTACCTATAAATGTTTGTATAGAAAGAAAGAAATTGGTATTTTGAGGCGTGTCTTTAGTCAAAAGCAAACATTTACCATAGACCCTATGTTACGCTGTGGCCCGTGGCAACTCGCAAACCCTCTGCCGATTTTTGTGGTAGATTTTTCATTTTTCCCAAATCTCACCGCTGTAGACCAATCGCAGCACTGGGTTGTGTGACAGGGTACTTTAGCAAAAAAATTATATAGATTTAATATATTTACAATGTGGACCTTTACCTAATGTGGACATGCTGACATGCTCATAAAGCACAAGCAGACTCAACGTGCATTCCTCCATATGGTTACAAAATCACTAAAAGAGCTACATTTGTTTGTTTCCACCTACTACAGGTCAGGGTCGGCATGTCTTCACCAATCAACGACAACGAATGGCATCATGTGATGCTTACCCTTGATACGAAAGCAGCCACGCTTGCCATCGACCGGGGACAGACGGCGACCACCGAATTCAACATGGGCAAGCTCCGGCTCCGACTGACCGACAATTACTTCATCGGTGAGTAGACCCACGACTATTCTATTATTGGATTAATTGACGGCCGTGTCGCTTATTTGGTCACATTTGTTAGGTGCAGTTAATTAGAGACCGCTTTGTGAAAAATCCAATTCCACTGCAGTCAATTTGGTTGACCGAATATTTATTAAAGGAAGAAATAGAGTTCACATTGCACACCAAATTTCCTTGTGTTTTGTTATGGGTGGCCTCATCGCTGTGGCCTGGGTTCGATTCCCGTCTCGGGTAACATGTGAATAGAGTTGTTCGTCGATTCTCTCCTGTGCCACTGGCATTTTTCTCCGGGTTCTCTGGTTTTCCTCCTTCCGCAAAAATGAACACTTTCGATCTCTGGCTGTGCTCCGTGGTCCGACATGGGTCGTATGGCTGCTGTCTAAGGCGCCTTGACATGCCTCCGGCTCAACCACGTTGTAACTGCGTCTTTCGCAATTCAGCTTCTGCTGCGAGTTAGGATGATTAGCCCCCCCCCCCCCCCCCAATTTATTTATTATTTATGATTATTTTTTATTTGTGCATCTGGTTTTTAATTCTTTTTAGGTACCTCCACCTTACAGTCGGAGGGTTTCGTGGGCTGCATGCGTAATCTCCAGATCAACGGTCGTTTTGTGGACATGGTTGCCGCCAGCAAGTCGGCAAGGCAGGTGGAGACCGGCTGCTCGGGCAAGTGCGATGAGGAGCCGTGCCTGAACGAGGGCAAATGCATCGAGACGTACGACGAGATCGAATGCCAGTGTGACTTGACGGCATTTGAGGGACCATACTGCTCCAGGGGTGAGTTGCATTCTTAACCGAATTGTCAGCAAAAATGGTTACTGTGTTACATATGTTGCAGCTCATATCCTGCCAGGGTCCATTTCTTTGGTCAGCTGAATGTTGATCAAATTGATTTATTTTAACTACTGTTGCAGTATACTTAGAAGGGCCTTTCGCAATGTTAAAAATCTCTGTGTTTCAATACAGAGATTTCAGGAAACCCTGTCACGCTAACAAGAATCCAACACGGTTACTACAAGGGTCTGGTGCTCTACACAGGAAAAATCAATCCCTGGTTGGGAACGGGGTTGTGAAGCCCTGGTCAGGACTAGGGTTGAGAAGCTCTACCGGGGTAGAAGATCCTAAATCTTCAGCCAACCCGTGACTCAGGCATGCAACTTTTCCTCGGATCAGCTGATTTCCTCTTTTTGTACTTCACATGTGTGCCATTGAAAACGGATAAACACTGTACAAAGTCTTAGAAAAATTTGAATTTCCTCTTTTTTGTACGACTTCCCAGTTGCATGCCTGCCGTGTACAACCCAGTGTAATTAAGACTACCATATTAAACAAGAGTTTGTTTTACAGTAAATGTGGTCATTACCAAAGTTACATTAGACTAGGAATCTTTGCAGTTTGTTTCTCATTTTCATTTGAGGTGGACATCAGATTTAAAATTGAAAGATGTGTCCTCAAGTGGTGTGTCAAAAAAATGACAATTTTTTTGTCAACCCACATTTTGAGGGATTGAAATTTTTTTATTTTTTTTGCCAAAAACTGTAGATTTTGTACAATAACAGAAGGTGACACTGTGTGGCCACTCACAAGAACTCCACTGTGTGGAACACACGACTGTCATGCTCTGGTTCACGTACTATTGGTACATTCATCCTGATAGTGGCGCCAAAAATACCCCTTCTGAAATGAATTTGATTTTTTTTTTTATAAATCTTTTCAGAAATTGGTGGTCGCATGGAAAGCGGTAGTGAGGTGACCTACAAAGTCCCCATTGCAGACGTCCAAGATTCTGAGATGGACGTCATCACACTAGCCTTCACCACTGACAATGCAAGAGGGAGGCTGCTCAGGGTCGAGAACAGCCAGTCGGAATCCTTTGAGGAGATTGCCATTCAAAACCCAGAGGGTGAGTTGGGATACAAGGGTTTTTAAAAAGAAAATAATAAGTTACCAATCGTTTGGTGAAAGTTACCAAACATTTTGGTCTATCAAATTTTGGACTTGTTCATACTCTTTGATGTATTCGGAGATAAGCGACAGTAGTTTGCTGTGCTAGTCTTCCACCTCAAGGCCTGTGTAAACAATTGCAATAGAGCTGCTGGAGAGGAAGACTACACAAGTCAAAACAGCCCATATATTAACCAATCCCCCAAAGATCGGATGAAAATCCAGTCTCAAATACAGCCGTTACTTTTTACAAATCAAGAAGGCTCATGTGTGCTCAAATTTGGCCGAATTTGTGCTCTTATTTTTGACTATTGTATGTGCCTAATATGAAATATATTTTTCATTGATCCATTTGTCACACTTCACCAGAACAAAGTTAAATTTGTAGTGTAGGAAAAAATCAATTCATTTTTTTTTCTTTTCATTTTGTCTTTTAAAAAAAAGTCTCTCTGATTTTTTTTTCTTAAAGGCTACCTTACGTTTACGTACAAGTTGGGCTCCGGGGAGCCAATCGTCCTGACGAGCGAACATAACTTCACTGACGGAAAGCACCACTACGTGAAGATGGAACGTGACGGAAATGAGGCAAAACTCAAGGTAAGTTCTATCTCCCTCAGAACTTGTTTGTCGCCTTTCCAAACTGCAAAAGTTAGATTTAAGACTTTTATTTTAATTTCTTCTTGGATTTTAATACAAGGGCATTCCCTCGTTAAATTATTGTTCATTGTTTTTGTTTATTTTGTTGGTTTGAAAAGAATTACCGGTGTATTTCTGATGAGATGTTTTTGAATTTTGTTGTTCCTTTATCATTTTTTGCCCAGGTGGACGGCTACGAACCAGTGACGTTAATGACACCAGGAGTGGATACAACATTTGCTGGGGTGGACAGAGTTTATGTTGGAAGCACGGGTAAGAATTTGTATGAATTCTTTTTTTGGAAGGGGGGGGGGGGGGGAGAGACCAAAAAGATTCACTGAGAGATACTTTTTCCTACTTTCAAATTTCATCCCGAAAATATATTCCTTTGCTAAAGTGCTGGTTTTCTAGGTATTTAAAAGTTATTCACTTGTTAATGAGACATCAATCTACAAAATAAAACTTTGCCCATGTTTAGTTTTTGACTTATTACTTAACAATTTAGCTGCGAGACAATAATTCCCATTCTCGTGGGGTAGGCTTGTCTCCCCCCCCCCCCCCCCACCCCACCCCAACAATCAGTATCGGAGCCAGTCTGCTTGAAAATTTATTAAGAGAAAAAATATTGAATTTGTTGAAGAGTGAGGAACTTTGAAGAATCATGTTTTCACTGATTTATATTTAAACAACTTGGTGACAAAAATAAAAGCTTGTTTCTTTGGAAAACATCCAGTATTTGTATTGAGTGCACAAGAAGAACGCTACAGACCCATTCTCTGAATGGGGAATACATGTGTCAAAAATTTGGTTCTGTTTGAAGAGGAGGGGTTACACTTTTACCGTTGAGTTCATAGACAAATCATGGATTTCTAGAATTTCAGAAAAGATGTGCCCAACTTTTGTGATTCTGCCCCGGCGTTGTTATCTTACAAGGGTCTCAAAGCGGGAAAGACTTAACAATTAAATCGAAATGAGTAAACCAGGAAATTCAGACCTGTCCTGTTCTTCGTTCCTTATCTTATTGATTGCCGTTTTGTTTTTTGTTTTGCTTAAACAGAGGAGGCCAATACCTTCCAAGGCTGTATTTCCCGGGTGAAGTTCAACGACATCTACCCGCTGAAGAACTACTTCATGGAGCCTCGCCCGGACAGCGTGACCAGCGCGGGTAACCTGCAGAAGTCGCGCTGCAACGTGGAGGAAGCCGTGCCGGCCGCGGCCATTCCGAAGCCCCTCCCACAGCCCACTGAAGTCACTCCCACCGAGCCAGCCGAGCCACTCCCACCTGCGGGGCAGAATCTGTCCGGCGGAGATAAGGCTGCTATAGCTTGTAAGTGCCAATCTTTGTAAAAAAAGAAAATATTTAAGGCATTGTATGAAAAAGTACCGTACCATGAAACACCATGTTATAACCTTTAATGAGATTCAGCAGTACACAGACTGATATTTTAAGAATTTAAGATAAGGTTGAATCATGAAATTGACTGGATTTGGGATTTCAACCTACAGTTTATTAATTTTTTTGGGGGGGGTGGGGGGGGGGGCGGGCGGGACAAATTGGGCCCCATATGTCATGGTTTAGAGAAATTCTTTGAAAGAAAACTTTAAAAATGGCACAAAATTGAATGACAGAACTTAGTTTCATATTTAATCTGTTCACCATGTTAACCCTTAAAAAGTAAATGCAGGTGTTGCAGTGCATTGTGGGTAAGTTAATATTATGATCCGTGCATGTTCATCCCATGTTCACCCGTCATGTGAAAATGGAAGTGTTGACCCGGGGTCATATTAACCCGTCGTGAGGACATGGAAGTGTTGATCCAGGGTCATGTTCCCCTGTCGTGCGAACACAGAAATGTTGACCCCGGGTCATGTTCACGTGTTTTGTGAACACAGAAGTGGTGACCAAGGGTCATGTTCACACGCCTTGCGAACACGGAAATGTTGACCCAGGGTCATGTTCACCCGTTTTGCGAACACGGAACACGGAAGTGTTGACCCAGGGTAAACAGTTCAGCAAAATCTATCCAGTGAGAGCCTAAAGAACCAGATAAGCCAAAGTAGCATAGATTGACAATGACCCTTGACCTTCTTTCGTTTGATTTCTTCCCACAATGCAGTTGTGGTGATCATCCTCCTCCTAGCCCTGATAATTCTCGTACTCCTGATCCTGCGCTACAAGTTCCAACACAAGGGCATGTACCACACCAACGAAGCGAAAGGGGCGGAAGCGGCCGGCGACGCCGACACAGCAGTCATGATGACCGGCGCCAAGCAATTAAAACCGGAAAAGAAGAAGGAATGGTACATTTAACCTTTAAAGTCGACAGTCTTTGTTATTTTAACATGCAATCGAAGTTATTCATGTTTTTAATGGAGCAGTAGTTATGTTTTTCAATAGAGACTACAATTTTTGTATGTATTTGTGCTAAATGGAAAATCTGGTTTGGTCGTAAGCATATTTTTACTTGAGATTTTTTTTTAAGGAAGGGACATTTTCATAGCAGAACTTATCATAGCCTGTAAGGCATATCTTTTGTCCATGATGCGTAAACTAGTGCAGAGAATTGGAGTTTCAAGCGGAAAGTTTTCTACTTTTCCGGTGCACAATTTCTCTTTCAAAGATTGCTATGAAAGTGGCCAGCCTCATCCTTATTTTGGTTTTTGTAAACCTAATCTGTGGTCCAATGTGGCCTTATTTTTGTATATTCAGGGTCAGTTTTGTTTTAAAAAATAGTTTTGACAGTGGATTTTCTATGTACAAATCTGTGGCTTTGGTCAGCTTATAGATATTGGAATACAGTGTATGTACTGATGTTATGAACTGGTCAGAACTGGATAGGACCAGTCAGCACCAGACAAGGCCAGTTTTATCTATTGGTACAGTCAGTGGCTAATTATCTTGCGATATGTAAACTGGTGGGAACGAGTTAGGACTGGTCAGAACTGGTCAGAACCAGCCAAGGCCAAGTTGCTCTGGTTGTGAGACAATTGCTTATTATCTGTGCTTGTCTATTAAACTGGCTCAGAACTGGTTAGGACCAGTCAGAACTAACTCAGGCCGGTTGGATCCAGCAGTGTGGTCAGTGGCTTAATATTATCTGTGCTGATACATAAAGTGGTCAGAACTGGTTAGGACCGGTCAGGTCTAGCTCTTCAGATGGAACCGGTTGTAAATGTCTGGTCAATCTGGTAAAAACCACTTCTTACTTGTGTTTGAGCGAAATTATAATTGGCTAGATATTGATTTTCAAGCAGATAATTGATTTCTTTGGTTTTCATGTAAAAGCCAATATCAGGCCATGTTAATTAAAAATGAAAGAAATGTTCTTTTAGATCTGTATTGAAAAGTACTATTTAATCATGACCTTTTTATTAATATTTTCCATGCTGGAAGCATTTGGCACTTTTACCAACAAGTTTAGATTTTAATCTTTTTAAATTCCTAATTCACAGACATAGATTTAGGGCTTTATAATTTTCCCTTTTCTTCTGACTGGTAAATTACAGAAGAATCTCGAATGCAAGGTTTACGTTTTTTTAATCACTTTTTTTTTCTCATTTATTTTCTTTATTAAGTAGCTGCCAGCTTTTCAAACAAAATGCTAAAATGCATTATTGGTTGCCATGGTTAAAGCTATGGTTATGGATCATACTGTGCCAAACAATATTTCTAACCGTTTTTCCTACATAGTATCTTTTTAATTAAATCCACGACCAAGCTTTTTGAAAATTAAAAAATATGAAATCTTCCCTGAATGACTTCCAACAAATTATACAAAAAAATGTATGTAAGCAAAATTGGACCGTTGAGAAATTTTCAAGATGTTTTATAAAGACCAAAACTTTTTATGGCTGACGTGAACTTTTGGAAAACATTTTTTAAGTTTTACAATTGTATCCTCGTTCTGTTGAACGAGGCTCCTTACATTTTGCACAGCATTATTATTACCATTGTCTATTCCTCAGAGGCTATGCACATTTTAAAAACAGTGTATTTAAAATCCACCTTTCTTTTTTGGTTTTTATTGTATTTAAAGCCCGAAGTTCATCAAGGATATTTTATTTTGTCTACATTTAATTTCATTTTTAAGCGTTAGTTTACAACGGTAACAGGGAGTTTTTGTTAATACTGCGAAACTGGCTCTGATATTTGAATGAACTTAACACGTTGACTGCCAACTGTGAATATAATCGTAGTGGCTGACATACTGGAGTATAAGTAAAGACTTTCTTATTGTATACGGAATACACTAGCGGCGCTGAAAACGCAACAAATTAGCTGTTGGCAGTTCAAGAACAAAAATCTATCCACTGGTTATGTTCATATCAAATTGTTTTTTATTAAGTATCAAATACATATGCGTGCATGCGTACATCGCTTGGCAAAGGGGCACCCTGTACAAATTTCGTCGGCAGTCAATGTGTTTCAAGGTTGTGGCTAAATTTGACCAGTAGTGCTTTCAACACACTAAATAATGTATGCCGAATATATGATAGTTAAGGTTAACGGTTAAGTCGCATTGAAGTCGCAAAAGGTCAAACGATACACTATGATTAAGCTTTTGTCAATTGGGTTAAAACGCAAAATGGGCTAGCTGTTCTGGGCGAGGTCTAGCTAGTTTTAGAACTTATGGAAGTTGGCGAGCAGTGCTAATGTTTTACATTACTGTGTCTGTATTACTTATGTTTTAAAGCTGTTAGTCTGGTCATGATTTCAGTTTTTCACATGTTTCTTGTTTGAAGGCGTTTAGGCACCAGACTTGGCTTAAATTCCTTGTCTGAAAAAAAAAATGCATCAGATCCCACCAATGTACAAAGGTCAATGAACTTAAGTGTCAATATTTTGTGTGTGTCAAGTCTTGAGTAACATTTTAAAATGGTCATGTCATTTTTTTTGTGTCTGGGATAGTGCACAACTTTTAAAAAAACTGTGCGGCTGATTCCGGTATGGGTTCCAAGCTATGTGAGAAATGTCTGTGATTGGCCATTCAAAAAATAACCCTCATCCAATGGTATCGGAGCTGATACCAGCTACGGGCCATGTGACTTTGTTAGGGCTGTGCTGATTAGTCAAACATTTGTGTAGTTGATTTATCCTTCAAGTTTTTGAACATTTGCATCAAGTACATGAGTTCCAGTGAGAGGAGTTAATGTAACTTGTGTGGCCATAGCAGCCATGTCTTTCTTTGGGGCTGTCACTTGGCAAATTGGTCAGATGCATTGCTACCCATAATGTGGATTTTGGACTTCACAGAGTCGGGGGATCCTGCAGGTTGAAAGCATTCAGTTGCCTGCTTTAATTGCATGATATGGCATATTTTGTTTTGACTTCATAACTTCATTGTGTATTTATTTCATGTTTAACCAGCTTCCAAAGTGCAATGTGGATCTCCATTTTCATTCGTATGCACTGTTGTAAACATTTGTGCACAATTACATTGTAGTCTTGGTGAAAGTAATATTGTTCCAACAATGTGGATTCATTTTGCAGTGCATGTTTAATACAACCATTTGAATTTTTAACTTTTGCTTTGGTTTAGTCTTAATCACTGTGCCTCACACATATATGCATAATTGTATTCATGATCTAATTCCTAAATTTGCAACGCCTCAGAAGACTTAAATCATCTGCCTGATGCATGTTCTCTTAAATTTTTTTTATAACATCCAAGTCTGGTGTTGCAGAAAGTAACTTGTGAACAAAATTCTCGGAGGATGCCAGTGTTTTAGTCACTGATAGGCCACGTCTGCTAGCATGGCTACGACTTGGAAGTTACACATGTGCCAATGGAAGCGGCTGTACTGGCAGCCGTAGCCATGTTGTTGGACGTGGACAATATTTCCATACATTTGGGTTTACGTATCACTCCATTATCAACACCCATTTGACGTTGTGCTTGTAGCAAGAAGCATCACACTTGTGTTGTTATGGAATTTGGGAGGGATTTGAGTTAAACATTTGATTCGCGAAATGCAGTTGAAAAAGACCTCAGGGCTTTGGGTTTTAGTGTGGTGTTTAGTCTTTCATTGATAGGAGGAATTTGTTCCCATTACTTTCATCTTAATCTAGACGGGTCAAATTCTAAGGGCTCAATCAGAGTTTCTTAAAAAAATATAATGGAATAAACATTTTGTACTGGTCATTTTCTGTTAAACTTTTACAACTTTGCATGTAGTGTATTTAAAAAAATGCTAAAAAGTCCCTTGTTCGGGGATTATTATTTCGTTTTTAGATAAATGTTGGTTGATTTTATACTGTAAATCCCTTACTGCTACAAAGCTTGCACATTCCTACATTGGACACGGTAGTACTGTAAAGATGAACTTATAAACTAAAAGCAGTACCTTTTGAACTGTAAAGTACAACATTAAAAGGCCAATTTTTTTTTTAAATTGTTTGCAGAATTTGAATATTAATGTAACTTTCTTGTACAGCGTCGGGTGTAATTTTGAACTGTATGTTTTCTTAACAAGAACTACGAGATTTGATCGAAGATAAATCAAAAATGGTTTTGACGTTTTCATTTTTGTGTATTCACTGGCGTGTGTACGATTTAACCAAGTTGTTGAATTTAACCAGTACTTGGTGACAGTACTTTTTTATTAATCATAAGTAGTGTGTTTTTTTTTTTTGAAGTTTTTTTTTATTGTGGATTAATCTATTTATTGTTATTAATTCAGTATTAAGATACTACATTGGTGAAGGGGTTCTTTGTAGATATTTCTTGTCATTTGGTACTTTTTTGAGATGGCTACTGTTTCTGTATATTTCACTAATAAAAATGGTCCTTTGTTTACAAAAGGCGCTGAAATTTCCTTTCGTTTGAGTGCTTAAAGGTTGTTTTTCTTTTTCTACTGGAAAACATCAAGGGGAGTTTCTTATAGATGAACTGTCAGTCCTACTAGAACCTCTACCCCTAATAAGCTTTATTCACTAGTCAGCCACATTAAAGGGAATGTACAATGATCATTGGCTTTTGCTGTAATTTTCAGAAATGAACTATTTGAGAGGTTAGTATAATAGATCAAATATTGTTACACTGACATGTTTGAAGTTTTGTGTTCGAAAATGCTGGAAAAACCAAGAAAAACAAAAATGTTCAAGTAGTCTGGTTCCCTGACTCCACTAAAGATGAAATGGATCAATTTATAGATGCCGGAAAAATTGTAAGATAAGGGAACCTGTCTAGCTGGCCTGCACCCGTTCATGAACATGTAACCAATAGCAAACAAAAATTGGACTGAAAAAAATGGTAAATTTGGAGCAGTAGTTGAAAAATAGTTAGGTTACAACGGTGGTCGGCCGACCACCGTTGGAAATTTATACAAAAATACCACTTTTCTTGAAATTGATTTCACACCAGGTGCCATAATTTTACAGGATGCTTTAGACTGTCATTTACCAACATCCTTGTGGTAAGGTATTTCGTAAAAATTTGGTAGTTTTGTTTTTCGATGTTTGCAAATGTATATTCCCTTTAAATTAAATGCAAGGTAATATCTTCATTTTTGGACCTTCGAAGAGAAATCCAAAGTTAATTACACATTAATATCAATCTGCTCTTATAAATAATTTAAAATTTGTGATTAAACATACCCAAATGTTTTAAGCCCGACATTTAAAAAAAAATTGAAAGTGAGGCTAGAATGATTTAAATCCGCCTGTAGTTGCTTACGTATGTGTACGATTAACGTATATCCCAGTTTTAGGCAAAAATGTCAGAGTCCATGCCACATGAAAATGAGACAGCAGAAGAAAAAAAAATTACCCCACATTGAAATTGAAAAATGTTGGCAAATTTTGAATTATTTGCAGTCGGGCCTCAATAACTCAATTCTTGCAGGGTAGACTGGTTCCAGCCTGCCTCTCAGTCTAATAATGTTGGGACCCGAACCAGTCTATTCACAGGGCAGATCTGTCTGTGTGTTGAAGCAAACTAAAAAAAAACCTTTTATTCGGAGGGTTAAGGGCGCCAAAAACAGAATAAAAATGGGTTTTTTTCATTCAAATAAAACTTGAAAATCAAAAATTACCATGAGAAAGTCCAATTTTTGAAGGGCATTACACAGTACATCTACGAGTTTGATCAGTGATAGAATGCAAGCCTTGGATTAATATTGGGGTTATTGCATCTAAACCAAACAAGTGCACACACATGACACACAACATTGTTAATTTGCTTCAGATGTTTATTTTCATCTACATCAACAAAAACAATATCGGAAATCAGTATAGAGTAAATATCATTTTCATTTTAATATTCCATAATGCCCAAGTATAATTGTTTTGCAATACAAAGGCTACAGAACAATTCACAGTGTGTTGAATTTGATACACTTTCATATCAACAAGTTATGCCCAGTATCTCAACCAAACTACATGTACAAGGCGAGTCCAAAAAAAAGCTGCCGTGGATTAATAATTGTCTTCTCTTAAAAACAAATAACCTTTGACACACACCAGACGGCTTCAGTCAAAGCTGTTCTATGGAAATACATGTTTTGCTGCTGTTTGTTCACTCACAAACTTTGTTATTTTACTATTACTGATCAAAAGCATAATTTTTGTTTGCACAAATTTGTAACAGTTAGAAACTGTTTCAATTCATATCCGGGCCAAGTTCCGGACAAGCTGCAGGTAGAATCATTCACTTTACCCAGGAGAAGCTCTGCATTTATCCCGGACATGACCCGGAAAACTTTCCTTAACAACTGCTTGCCTCACCAATACTGATAACTTCAGTGCGGGAAGATTGCGGGAAAGTTGTTCAGACTCATGCAACTTGTCCGCAACTTGTCTGGAACTCGTCCCGGATATGAAGTGAGACGGGCCCTTACGGACAGTTAGAGTTTGTAAAATTTGCACTGCCTGTGCACCAGAAACAGCTGGAAACTATTATTAATAAATTAAATTAATAGAAGCTTTTTGGTCAACATAAGCTTCGTTTAGGGGATGTAGGGTTATTTGATTATTTCTTTTTCTTTTTAATTTTCATATCTCAAATACTTGAGATGACTTAGATTACAGGCTAATATTAATTTGATTTTTACCCATTAGACCAAGTTTACACTTTTACAAACTTACAATTGTACAAGTTCAACTTAAATACCACAAGCTCACAGAGCACCATTTGCACAATTTGCTAAATATACATTATGTTTACCACATACATCCCACAAAAATAAAAACGGACAAAACTTTTACATTTGGTTTTAATATGTACAACTCATGTACATGTACACAAAGTAACTTTGTTTTAATTCACATAATGATCATTATTATACACACAGGCCACAAACTAAAATCTATATTAAGATTACACAAATTATACCTAGTACCTTGACTGAATATTTTTACTCAACCCTAACCCTGCCAGACACAACACTAGTGCATCAGGTGGAAAAGTTTGGTGCACTTTGATGCGTTCAGCTACCAACACCAGTGCATAAACAGCTGCTTCTGAGACAATGAAAGCTAATCCCAATGAACAATAATACCACAGTTGTATCCTGCTGCATTTGGTGACCACGGACTCTGACCCAGTTTGGCATTAAGACTTTTGACCTGATAGATCTTGCCACACTGGGCAGGCTTGTCATTTAGACAAGTGTTGCATGTTGCTGCATTTGGCAGGGTTTCTAGCCAAAATACCCTGGAGGGTTTGGGTTAACTATAGCAACTCACTAAACACTTTTGCACTTTCTATTTTTCCCAACGTCAAAAAAACCCTAAACATATACTGTCTTACATTTGGCCAGTTTACGAACCTCTGTAAATTTTTCTGGCAAAAAAACATCACCTAAAACAAGATTTCTATAATTTTAACTTGCATTTACTGTGGTTAAAAAAAACCCACATACATTTGCACAACACTTATTCCACAAGTCCCTGTTTAACTTCAGGAATATCCACAATAAAGTCTTCTACTTCAATGATCTGAACTCAAGAGTCTCTAACCAATTAATGCAGGAAGACGTGTAAACACGATCTGGCACTGTACGAGTCTCCGGCAGTGGATATGTAGTATACACGTCATTGGTTCCCATTGGTTTTGTACACACCGTGTTAGTGTTGAAATTGAACTTGGCACTGTACACGGTCTGTCGTTCTAGCAAACATCGCTCTGTGGCGGGGGCGCGGGGCCTTGGAGTGTTGCAAAAGTGAGAAGTATCGATTCGTACAGATATTGTAGAAAAGACTCTCACGAGTCAGTATCTGTGGTGTTTGAAATGATTGTAAATTGAGGCTGATATATTTTGTCTTTTTTCAAAAATGGTGTTTTCGACCAAAAATAATCCCGCCGTCAAGTAGTTAATTTTTTTTTAGCTAGGTCCTCAAGTTTTTTTCATGAAAGCCAACAGCCTTTCCACATATACTCTTCTTCTTTTCAAAACACAAAAGTAAGAGGTTAGATTTTGCTGATTTGTGCTTACAATTTCCGAGTAATACACATAAATATAATGCAACAACATACATTCCACTTGAAATAATTGTTTGATTATAGACAACCCATACTTTTTCTTTCTTATTATATTTACCGAGTATACTAAGAATGTTCACTGTGTACAATTTTACTTTGTAACTAACATATATTAACCAACCAATACTGAAGGATTTTAATATTTAATGAAACAGACAAATCTATCCACCAATCAAAACAGGTCTAAGAGTAACATGCCCATTCAGTCAAATCTAAACCCTGTGCCTATTGGTTGAAAATACTGATCATGATTGGGGTACCTATAATGCACTAACTATGGTGCACTCCACTCACATGACCAATGCAAACTTTGTATCATTCCTGATCTTTTTGTGTGCCATATCCGACAAGAAATCATTGTGAATTTTGTACAATGTTTGCAATGTTTGTGTGAGCTGAACACACATCGCTGTTTACAACTACAAGACATTGAAGACAACTTGTTATATATTTAGTTTACCACAATTAAACTGACTTTGTATACAGTGTCCAATTTTGAAGTTATAAGCGAATTATTTCGAACCACCCTACCATACCTTGGTGTGAAAAATACAGTTTATGTTAGTTAACACCAAGGGTAACATTATTCATCCTTCTCATCCATCAGAGTGTCAAAAGCAAACGGCCGGAAAGCGTAGCCTTCTCCCTTGTAGAACTTGCTCTGGAATTCCACCCTATTAGCAAGAAAAAAATAATTATAGAAGTCGTTGATTAACCTTTGCGTTTTCAATAATGCAAATCGTTGCTCAAAATTAGAAATTCAAAAGTTCAGATCCTCTCAAAGCTGTAGTCCAATGGTTACGGTGTTCGACTCATGTGCCGTGGTATGTGGGTACGAACCCTGATGGGGAACATAGTGCTTTGTGTTCTTGGGCTAGACACTTTACTCCAATTGCCTCTCTCCACCCAGGAGTGCATATGGGTACATGTGAAGGTAGAGAACAACTTGTGCTGATCTTGTGCTGAAATGGTCTCATGGCCTGATGAACAGGGGTAATAATTGTGAAGCGCTTTGATACCTTTGGTATAAAACACTATATAAGCACCACATTATCATTATCAATATGGAGTTTTATCCATAATTTTGACAAAGAAGGGTTAAAGGTCGAACTCACCAGTGGAGACGTAAGGTATGCAGGAACGCTGACAGGCCCTCCATTAGAAGCAGGATGAAGATGGTTAGCACCGCCCAAGCGGCAAACAGCGCCCAAATGACGATGAAGCCCACTATCCCGTTCATCTTAAAGCCAATGCTGAACAACATGTTCCACAGCACCTCTGACAGCTCTGCAAGAAAAAGATAAAAAAAGTTTGTGCAATACTCCATAAGTCATGTAAGTAAGCAACCCAAAAAAGACGACTTTCTTTTATTTTACTTGTGTACATCTGGCAATGATGTATGTGCGTATGGAAGCAGCCAAATACAATTTCCATAAAAGTATGCTTTACTGCCGGTTGTAGAAAAGCAACTGACCGATCACCGTTTGCAAGTTAGCCACGCCCCTTAGACAACCCTATGGAGTTTTTGCACACTAAGTTTTGTTTGTCTCAGATTTTGCACGTTCCGCGTCCATTTGTATATCATGTAATTGGACATTATTTCACAAGCTGCGTTGACGGGATTCTAACGCGATTCTGCCGCGATAGGTCAATTCCGGATGCAGTCAGTGTTTTGACTGGCGGCCATTTTGGAATTCAAGATGGCTGCCAACAAATGATAAATACAGTACATAACCCTAGTTTTTCTTCACCTAACCTACTTTTAAAGATGGTCAGTCAAATAATTTCAACAATAAATACGAACTTAGGACTGAGACACTATTTTCAGTTTTGTTAGAAATGACTTGAGAAAACCTTTTTTTTTAATGACTCTCCACAGACACTGTAAAGCCGTGTCCGAATTACTTGGCTATGGGTGAAAATTGCATTTGCTTATGGAAGCGGCTACAACCACCTCCCATAGACCCGTGTGGTATATCCAGCCATAGTCAAGTACATTGGATTTGCCAGAGGGATACCTCCGCATTTCTGGTAGTGACTCCGTGCATGAACAGCGGACGGCCTTTGTGACCACATTCGAAAAGCCCCAGTGAGATAGACACATTACATGCACCTTCTGGTTCACATTCATATGACGCAAACTACGCACGACTTATTTTACTCTGAATGTGGCCAACTCTGTGGCGTCTTTGCGCGAGTGTCAGGCGCCGTCGTAAATGCGTTCGAATATCCCTCCCAGTGGTCTCCCTTGAATCTCCCTTTGTAACCGTTGCGGGGATATTTGTGCACGGGGTACATTTTTTTACAGAATTCTTACCAGCATGGGCCAGGGACAGGGCCCAGAGTCGGAGATAGGAGGCCGTGTGGGAGATACAGCCCAGGCAGAACTCAATGGTGTGAATGCCCTGGAAGACCATCGTCTCGCCAAAGTCAAACTAAAACAGTCAACACAAATTATGGCTTTAAGGTTACTACTGACATCTGAGGTTTTCTATATAGATTTACAGCAGAAATCTGAATGGTTTTGGTGGTAAACACAGTACATGTAGTCACTCTTTTGATGGATTTTGTGAGTGTCAGGGATATGTACATTTTTAATACTTGAGATAAGCGTATGTTAAAGCAGTTATAAATTTCAGACTTTGAAAACACATTTTAAAGGGCCTGTTTGCAGTTATTCTTGGAAAGATCTTTTTTTTTTGTTCAGAAGCTCTTAGACAGAACTGAGGATAAAAATGAATACTGTAAGAAAAAAAAGGGGACAAAATTTGTTGATGGGCAATACCCATTCAGAAGCAACTTGTTTTCCAAAAAAGCAAATGTCAGGCAACTTTTAATTCCCTTTAATCATGTTAATGTTCTGAGTAATTTTCATTAACTGTAGGAAAAGTGTAGTTTGTTTTTTGGCCATTATGTAAATATTTATAACTCCCAAATAAAATATTATAGATGAGGAGTGTAAACAAGCTGGTTACCTGTTCAGTTTGGTCAGTTTCCTCTGAGCTGCCAGACTCTGATGCGGAAGCCTCCAGCGCGTCATGGTGAACCACCTCGGCCGTCTCGTCACCCACGCCGCCGTTCTTGAGCATGCGCACCTCCCGGTAACGAACGGCCTTGGCCACAAAAAAACAAAGGTATAATGATGATATCACCATATGACACTTGAACACTTCAAAACCCTTCAAAGTTTGCTTTACTATAAGGATCATATGTTTAAGGCAGGTGTAGCATGAATTTAGGTTTTATGAAACATGGACTCATTGGTGGTATTGCGCATGCTCATGCATAGATAATTAGGAGAGGGACCGGTCACGTGAGAGGGTTTAACCAATAAAAGGGAAAAAGAGTCCGATATTCATACGAGTCAGATTTTCATATGACACCGGTTCAAAAGAAGTTAAGAAAAGGTTCAAGTTTAGAAAATCACTTCGCAATTTGCGAGGTGGTAATGTCAATTTTTTTTGTTGGTGATTATGCAGCGCGAATACACACCTTGACGCCACTAATTGGCATTCGCGTTTGCTTTTGCGCCAAGTATGAATAAACCTGCCTTTACATTGAAGGGTTTTGAAGTGTAACGTGAATACATAATATTCTGAATTCCGATTTGATTGTATTTAAAGACACACTGTCCGTGCTCTTAACAACTTAAATTTTTTTCTCCTAACTAATTTTCAAACTACTCTGGTTATGTTTTGGGTGACTACAACCCTTCGAAAAAACTCAAATGTTTGAAGGCCCTGTCACAAAAGACAACAGATATATCTTTTGTGTATTTAAAAAACTCAAATTTTGTGCATTTTTAAACCATGACCTCAATTGACCCCTAGATGACCTTTGACCTCCACTTTCTGAAGCACTGTCATGAACCCCCACCCAAGGATCACTCCATCCAAGTTACACTGAAATCCATGTAAATTTTGTAGACAAAGAAACATTTGAAGCATATTTGAACAATGACCTCTAATGACCCCTACGTGATCACTTTAACCTCAATAATGAATAGTCTTCCCAGCCAAGGGTCACTGATCCAAGTTTCATCAAAATCCATAAAAAGCATGTAGAAGTTAAGCACTTGTTTAAAAAACTAAACCTAAACTTTATCATGCCGGGATACGGTCGTACGGACATACGGCCAATTTAGGACTGGCAAGTGCCCCCAAAACTGTATGTAGGCGACACACAACAAAGAACCCAAACCAGAAATCCGACTCACTTTGTAGAGATTCTTGTTGTGCTGAACTCGGAGCAGTATGGGTTTGACCAGCAGCATCCAGGGCACACAGATAATGGCAATGACCACCAACAGCATCTGAGTTTGGTACTGAAGACGGAAAAAGACAAACATTGACCAATTTCAATGGTTTGGGGGTAAACATTTGCAATAACGACAGACTCTACTTAAAAAAGCGCTTACATTTGTTTTTAAATCATTGAAGGGAAAATACAACATTTGCAAACATCAAAAAATAAAACTACCAAATCATTTTGAAATACCTTGCTGGACTGTTAGTGAATGATAGTGTAAAGCATCCTGTAAAATCATGGCACCTGGTATACTGTCATTTTCAAGAAAAGTGGTATTTTTGTATCAATTTCCAACGCTGGTCGGCCGACCAGCGTTGGAAAAAACTGGCTTTTTTTTAAATACTGGCCCAAATTGACCATCACACTTGTTTGCAATCGATTACACACCTATGAACGGGTACAAGCCAGCTAGACTGGTTCCCTGACCTTACAATTCCCCAATGTATGTAAACTGCTGTTTCTTCTTATATGGAGTCAGGGAACCAGACTACAGGAAAATGATTGTTTTTCTTGGTTTTTATAGCATTTTCGAACACAAAACCTCAAAAAAGTCAGTGTAACTATATTTGCTATATATTTCTAACCCCCCAATTCCATCCATTTCTGAAAATTACAGCAAAAGCAAATGATGTATATTCCCTTTAAGAGAGAGGGGTTTACTTCCCTTCAAACTGACCTGTCCACTGTAAAGGGACACGCAGTTTTTGCACTCTGCCCCTGGGGGCTTGCTGAACAGGAACATGTTGATGAGGGTGATGATCAAGCTCGGGGCGTCCTTGGAATTCTGGGGGCCAAAGAGGAGCCACTTGGAGAAGATGATCACGACCAGGTAGCCGAAGATGAACTCCAGGAAGATCAGCTGGGGCACAAACTCACACCAGAGGTTGATGCGACTCTTGAAATACCTGAAAAAATCAAATCGTTATAAAACAAAGGCCATGATTATTTCTCCGTTGCACCAGTTGCATGTACTTCTCTAACCCTTGTATGTAAGGGTCACCTGTACGTGCAGCCATTTAAACAGTTACGTTGCGTTGGAGCGAGTCGCTCATGTTAACAGTCCTGAGCGCATGAACGGCACGAGTATGACCCTTGGGAACGGGAGAGTATGTACATGTACTACATACACCCTGAGGACAGACAGACAAAGGGAGAACAACAGATTCTTTGTTGTCCTTGAGCATTCATCTTTTGTTGAAAACGGTCATCGATCGTGAATGTGTGCCCTTAGTCTATGGGAGAGTGCTACATTGTAGGGACAAAGGGAAACACAAAGCATTGTCCCCTAGAGTATAGTAGATCAAGACTGTATGCTCTCGCTCAGAGTGGGAGTATATAGTCTTGCACCCGACGAAATCACATGATTTCAAGTTGGCGGAAGGGTAAACATTGTCAAAGTTAATAGGATTTCTCATGGATTCTAGTGTAATTCTAACCCCCTAAGGGCTCTCTGGGGGTCAAGCACCAAATATCACAGAATACTACATGTGTTGTGCACACTTGTATGGAAAGAAATGCATACTACAGGTCACTATTCAGTAGTATTTTGTAGCTTTAAAGGGAATATACAACATTTGCAAACATCGAAAAATAAAACTACCAAGTTTTTGCGAAATACCTTAATAGGATGTTGGTAAATGACAGTCTAAAGCATCCTGTAAAATTATGGCACCTGGTATACTGTCATTTTCAAGAAAAGTGGTATTTTTGTATCAATTTCCAACGCTGATCGGCCGATCAGCGTTGGAAACAACTGGCTTTTTTTCAAATACTGGCCCCAATTGACCATTGCACTTGTTTGCAATCGATTACAAACCTATGAACGGGTACGAGCCAGCTAGACTGGTTCCCTGACCTTACAATTCCCCAATGTATGTAAACTGCTGTGTTTCTTCTTATATGGAGTCAGGGAACCAGACTACAGGAATATGATCATTTTTCTTGGTTTTTATAGCATTTTCGAACCCAAAACCTCCAAAAAGTCAGTGTAACTATATTTGCTTTATATTTCCAACCCCCCAATTCCATCCATTTCTGAAAATTACAGCAAAAGCAAATGATGTATATTCCCTTTAAGTGAGGTTGGGGAAAATAAGGAAAATTCTGAGACTAAATTCACGTATTTTCGCATTCAAACTTTTATTTTTCACAAAGAACTGCCATCGGCTTTTGCTGCAGCTTTTTGTGTGAGCCTCATATAAACATAAATTGTTCGAGCAATGTGACCCGATTGCAATGCGTACGCAATATGTTCCACTTGAGTGTATAAAGAGTGACCCACACAAACACAGCCTAAATATTCAAATTTGACTGCAGGTCAGGGGTCATGCAGACAACAATGTGCTGGCCATTCTCTGACTCTATATCTGAGGAGCGTTCCAGACGCCTTGCTACTGCTGCGCCAAACTTATTAGAAATGAGTGCGGCAATAACTCGTCTACAGCACGGCAGCTGCTCTAAATGCCGAACTTAATAGTCGAACCTTAATGCATCTGGAGTAACTGGCCAGGTTAAAGCAGTTCAAGGAACTTGCAGCATGATCAAATTATTCGCGCCAATTTCACTCCCCGTGATGCGGACGCGAGAGAGGGTATTGTGAGCATGCACATTCCTGAAATGTTAGCCCCAACTTCGAATTGGATTGAGTTTGGCACAGCAACGGCACAGCGATAAGAACAGTGCTGTGCCACGGCCGTTCGGAAGGACGATAGCGCAGCAGCCCTGTCCAGCCAAAGGATGGTGCCGTGCTGAACTCAACTTGCCGAGTGTAATGGTTCTAAACGCCGTGCTATCGCCGTGCCGAATTAAGAAAATCAAATTAATTGAGTTCAGCACTGTAGTCTCACGGCATCTAGAACAGGCCTTAGATTGGTATCAAGGCAATCTTTAGACTACAGGGACTCAATCTGTTGGTAAAGAGAATTTTAATTAAATGAAATAATTTTTAGGGGTTTTTTTTTTGGGGGGGGGGGTTGAGTGCTGGGGTACCTGTGGTTGAAAGCGCTGAGGCAAATACCGAATGTCATCTGTGCGATGCCGAGAATGACCGACATCTTCATCTTGAAGGAGTTCAAGAAGGATAGCTTATTCTCAGCAATTTGCCAAATCTGGAGGGAAAAATGAAAATGGCGATAATAAGTCTTGTGGTTATGCACTATATATTATCCAGTCAAGAAAACAACTTTATTGTGCAAATTTCTTTTTTTGTTGTTGACGTGTGTCTGTCTTGTACCCTTACTTTGTTTACACTGGGGTACCTTCCATGGTAGTCTGTTCAATTAACCTGTTTAAGTGCTTAATTAACCAATGACACACACAATAACTTGCATCAGGAAGATTTTTCAATTGGTTTCATTCCGTAATATTCTGAAACAATAGTTTTCAAATTAAATTGCAAAATGAGGGAAATCTCTAATACTGACTTACCGGGTCTAGACCGTAGGGATAGGGCGTCCCGACATAAGCTTCCTTAGGGTCTAGTTGTAAGTTGAAGCCTTCCTCCAACAAACTCTCGCTGCGGGAGAACACAAAGAAAACTGACAAATGAAGAAATGCTGGGCTAACCTTTCTCATTTTCAAAACTCATATTTCGGTCATTCTGTAAATTCAGGGTCGAGAGCGAGACATTTTCTCCTGTCCCTGTTACCTTGGAACATCATACTTTGCTATTCATAATCACTCTTGGGGAACAAGGTTGGCGTAGCGGCACTTTTCTCGCCGTCCACCGCTGTGACCCGGGTTCGAATCCCGCCTGGGCCAACGTGTGGATTGGGTTTTCAGTCCCTGCCTAAGTTGTGGGTTGCCCCCAGAATATTCATCTGAGATTTTCCTCCCACCTCTAAAACTGTAATTTCTTCTCATTGTCTCCTCTCTACAGGTTTATTCAGGCTTGTGAGCTACAGTGCCAAGGGCGCTTTTGGTTTCATTACCAGAACTAAATAACACGAATACTAATAATTAAAGAGTGCACTCAGAATTCTAAAATCATAGATGTCACATGTAACAGGGACAGGAAAAAGCGGACCCCAAATTTATTATATAGAGTAACCCGTCTACATAATTAAAATTATTCAATTGAAGACCGTGGAGCATGCAAAACGCATGCATTCTTGGCAATTTTGAGAGATACAGATAAACAAAAGCATCCAGAGAGTAGAAATGATGTGAATTACTATTATATTTCTTTGGATAAGCAAGTTTTATTTTGTATGATGGAATACAGATTTGGAAAGGGTTTGAAAAATAAATTTGATGTTTACAAATAAAAAGATGTAACAGGCACAACTACTGATGCCTCAATTGTCTTTCTTCAAATCAACTGCGATATTATGCGGGCCATGATTGGGTCATGTGACCTCAGGCAAAACACTTCTTTTTGAACCCGTGTTTGTGAACGAAGCCACTTACGTGAAGTTGGTCATGCGGGAAACCTGCCAAGAGGACCCAAACAAATTTATGGATTTGGAGAAGATGTCGTTGTACAAGAAGCCCGCGTATACGGAGAAGAGGCCCATGAGCAAGATGATGTAACGACCGGAAAAGAACATCCCCAGGATCTGAAACAGAAATCAGGAAAAAACAAGTCAGGTGTGTTTACAAACACACATGCCCCGCAACCGTGACTGTTCCCACGACATAACACCACTCTTTTAACATCGACTTATGTACCTTGGTCACATGGAACGTTCATTGACAGCATAAGTGTCTTCTGTAGGTTTTATATGAATTAATCCCTAATCCCTTTGCTCTCAGAATAAATAGAAGATTTCTATTGTTTCAGCCACTGTGACCTTGACCCTTGACCTTTCGGCCCCAAATGCAATAGGCTTCTTAGGATTACCAAGAACAATACACAAACCAAATTTGAATTTCATATGTAAAGTATTTCTCAAGTTATCGCGCTGACAAAATTTCTTTTGTTTTAGTCACTGTGACCTTGACCCTTCGGCCCCAAATGCAAATGGGTTCTTAAGATTACCAAGAACAATACACAAACCAAATTTGAAGTTCATATGTTAAGTATTTTTCAAGTTATCGTGCTGACAAAATTTGTCCGGACACACACATACACGCACATACACGCACACGCACCCACCCAGACTTGTTTCACATACGTAGTGTGGACTTTCCTTTCTTTTCGTGTAGTTAAGGAACACCAGTGGAAAAACTCATTTTTCTCAAACTGTGAAAACTCTTACAACCCAATTTTTTTTCAATGATTCCCTTTAGTGTTTCTCTTCATTCTGCAACAGATAAACCTAACCCAAAAATGCCTCTAAACCTGTTTTCCAGAAATGGGGAAACACTGTGTGGACGTGGGCAAGTCCACACTTCGTCGGTGCTACCTACATTATGTGGACGTCTTTTGTTCGGAAGTCCACACTGCGTATGTAAGACAAGCTCACCCACCCACACACACACCCACACACCCACCCACCACAGAAGGACAAGGCGGAAACAGTATGCCCCTTCGGCTTCGCCGCGGGGCATAAAAATTTGAATAAAACCTTATCTCCCAAAGCATATTTATTAGTAATCTTCTGGAATCTGCCAAAAATACACAATAGCAGAGACTCAATTGGGATTCCTTTAACGTGCCAGATAGCACTGTGCTGAATATACCAAATGTGAGGCATTCGGGCAAAATGAGGCAGAACTTGGCAGATGTCAAAATAAGGGTTTGCAGGTATTAGGAATGAGGCTAAAATCATCGAGCACGGCTGTATAGACACACACAACGTGTATATCGTACATGAGAACGACAGGAAAAACGTATTCGTACTCCGTCATGTCCGATGTAAACAAATGTATGGGTTTTTTTCGTCTTTTCTTGGGAACGGTAAGACATTAGGTTGGTTTCCTTTCAACTAGATATTAATAATTGGATAAGTAAACAATCCAAAACATGAAATTTTCGACGATTTCAGGACCTAGTGCCCCTTTAAAGTTTGCACTTATCGAGAGCGAAAAGATAAAATACTGAAAAAAAAAGGCAATTAATGTTTCAAGTTTTGTATACGTGAACATGAAAGATGCCAATTATGTTTTTCTTACAAACACTTGTATTGCGCATATTTTATACTAATCTCTTTAACACATGTGCAATAGACATATCAAAGATCACAAATATGACTATTGTGATGTCAAGTGTCAGCTGGTCAGCTACCTCAAAGAAACATGCATACAAAAATCAGATATGCTTCATGTACCTCGTTATCTGCTACCATCGCTGTAAGCTTCTTCTCATTCCACACCATATAAAGGGCAAAGAGGAACATGATGAAACCGTGGCCGGTGTCGCCAAACATCACGGAGAACAAGAAGGGGAAAGTGATGATGGCGTAAGGGGCTGGTGAAAAAAAGGGGGGGAAAATAAGGAAAAGTTAACGGATTGACGCTTACTCTTCCCAATCTATTCATCATAACTCTGATGCTGCAAAACATAACAGCTGTGTTATTCAAAAATGCAAAGCCCTTAATGACATTACGTGAGATGAGAATAACTGTTTCCATTTCTCACCTGGGTTGACCTCGCGATAGTTGCTCACTCCGTAGGAGTCCACGATGGTTTGGAAGACCGCGGTGAACTTGTTGGTCTTGTTGTAGGTGGGCGGGTTCTCGTGGGTGTCCATGCGGTTCAGGATGGAGGGAACGGTGGAGCCACTACGCTCCTGTGGTCAAAAGGGGTAGGGGAGGGGGAGGGGGAGGGAGGATTGTGTAGGTTAAGGTGGAAAGGAAAGAAAAATGAAGTAATAACCAAGTTTTTCTAATGAATTCAAATTTATGCACAGTGTAGACGCAAGCATTGAGTTAAGCAGTGCATTGATAACGCAAAGGAGAACTAACATATATCGGTCATATTTCTCAAATTCTGTCAGACTTTTCACTGTTATAAAAAACGGGAAAAAAAATCTCAAGAATCAACAGTAGTATTAAACCATGTGGGCTCAGTACCCCCTCAATGGTTACAAGGAGAGACTTGGGGGAGACCACTGGAGTGGATATTGAACGCATTACCGTCGGCGCCTTACGCTCACGCAAAGACGCAACTAGTTTGTGCACACAATGTAATTAGTCATGTGTACTTCTTGCCAAACGCACGCGAACTGGGCTCCCAAAAATTGTCAGAAAGTGCCCTCTCTTGTTCGTGCATGGAGCCCATATCCTCAGCACGAATCACCAGAGAACCTGTCTCTTTACTTGTTCCTGGGAGTAAAAATTGTGTGCTGTGAAAAGTCCAATTTTGACGGAAACAATTTTAGGAATGAAGATGAAAACTTAGAGAGAATGACAACGAAAGCTCACCGTCCCCCTGCGCAGCCCCATCTGAATCTTGTCCAGGTCAGACACGGGGCACCAGCACTCAGCGATCAGACACTTCTGGGTGACGTCCAGGTTGAAGAGGTTCAGGGTGTGGTAGACGGCCTTCAGCTTGCGCACCTTGATGAACCAGACCCGGACGTTCTTGGCCGCTGAGGAGAGCACGCGCTGCCGATGCTCTTCGGTCTGACTCAGGACCTGTCAGTTGGGGGTGAGAAAATATGAAAACATGATTACTCCTTAAATTAGCAATTTGACTTTTTGGCTTCTACCGCACTCATCTCCAAAACATGAGGGAATGGGGTGGGGCATCAGAGGATGGGGGTTAGGTGGGGGGGGGGGGGAGGGTGGAGATGTTGAGAGCTTGGGAATTGGGGAGGGGGTGGGAGTTGGGAGAATGGGAGAGGGGGTTGGGAAATGGGGGTGGGGGAATGGGGGTTGGGGAATGGGGGGGGTGGCATGGGGGGGGGGGGGGTGGCATGGGGGGGGTGGAATGGGGGGCATGGTGGAATGGGGGGTTGGGAGAATGGGGTTGGGAGAATGGGGGTTGGGGAATGGGGGTTGGGGGTTGGTGGGGTTGGGGGTTGGTGGTTTTGGGGTTGGTGGGTTGCGGATTGGGGGGGTTGGGGATTTGGGGTTTTGGGGGTTGGGGATTGGGGGTTTGGGGGGTTGGGGATTGGGGTTTGGGGGATTGGGGAATACCACCAGAAGACTATTTCATGGAAAACCTGCATAATCGGGCAGATTCCGAAAACCCTAGTTCCGATATGAACCTGGGTCACCCAATTTTTCAGAGAGAAAAAAAAAAAGCTTTTCAGTGAACTACTCACAGCCTGGAGATCTTCAATCCGTGTCATGACGCCAATGGCCATCTCACGTCGTTCAGGCTGGGTCTCGGGGCAGGGGTACAGAGTGGCGCGAAACCTACCAATCAAAATGGGCAATTTGGTTAGGAAAGAATTAGTTGCTTTTGTCATATCAGATACTGTTGCCATTTCAGAAAGCTAACCTTTTCATAAAAGGAAAATTGCAAAACAAATAATAGTATAATAAACATACTGGTTATTTTAATGACAATCATTAGGAAATAATCCCTATATTTATATTTCTTTGAAATGTGAAAAGAATTTCCAACTCGGGCTGTCAGAATCACCTTCAAATTGAAACAAATTAAATAAAGTTACACAATTAAAACACAATTAAATTTACTGCAACTATGTATTAACAAAATGTATTGACTTTCACATTCCAATAAGAGCATGATTGCCAACTGATTTTGAAAATTAAAAAACGAAAACATCTCGTCAACTGAAAACCAAGCTTTCTCTTACCCTTCACAGATTTTCTTCACCCTAGTCTTCAGTTGGTCCCCTTGAAAGAAGATGATAAATACCGATTTGTGCACCTGGTCCCCCTGCACCCAAGAAGAGAAAAAAGAAAGGGAGAGATTGAAACTAGAGGCAAAACCTGCCAGGATGAAATAGTCTCACAGAAGGGATGAAGTGGTTTGGACACAGCATATGACCAGAAGCTGGATTCGAACCCCTGACCCTCTGATCATGGGTAACAAATCCTAATCACTAGGCCACATTCCTCAAGTAAGGTGAGCATGTCTCATTCTAACAATTTTTGTCAAGTTCGAAACTGAATGAATTTTTCTTAAAGTAGTTGAACTAATGCTGTCATGTAAGATTTGAGGCTTTGCATGGTGGGGTATCGGTATCGTTTCGGTTTGCGGTAACACCATGTGGTAATAACTACTGCTTAGAAGATATTAGTTCTGAAAAGAACTTGTCCTGCTTGTTATCAACTTTGCTAAGTAGTTGCTTTGCTAAGTAGATGCTGTCATGCTTATGTTCATGTAATTACGTTTGACTAGTCAGATATGTATTTGTGTCTGAGTGTTCATATTATAATCAATCTTTGGCGACCTTTGACCTAAGAGCAGACACAAACAAAGTAAGTTTCATTTTTCTCACCGTGGTGGGGTCCTCCAAGGGCGTGTCAATCTCCGCCTGACGAAGGAACACGTTGCCACGGCAGACGCGCCACAGCATCTGCTCAAACGCCGGGATGCGTTCACGCTGAATGACGCCAGCCACAAATCTGTACAGATTGTACATAGGAAAAATCACATTTTATCATCCAAAACAATATTTTACAAATTTAGGGTACAGAGTGTGAAATTGTTCATGTCCCAGTTACTTTTCCATTAAAGTATCATTAAGAATGACTTCAAACAAAGTTTTATTTGTTGGGTTGGTAGTTTGAAATTCACAATCACTCTCAGGGGACAATTGCATATAAGGAGTGCATCAGAATTATAAAATCACAGATGTCAGAAGTAACAGTGACAAGGAACGAAAGAGTGGACCCCAAATTTTAGAATGGCCTATTTATTTAACAGTTTAGTTCTATGGAGGATGGTCTACACAGTACACCTTCCCTTGTGATTCTTGGTCATGCGAAGTTTTGAAGATGGCATGCTAAAGAAAAGAGGGCTAATTTTTTTGAACTTGTTTTCAGGTATTGGTCTTGTCAAGTAGGTAGTGAGGGGAATGGAGGGTGTGCATGAGCTGTCGATGGTGCTTCAAGACCACCTGTGAGTGCTCAATGTGCAGGACACATTGTGGCTCCAGCAACTACATGTAAGCAGGATAACAGCTCAACAAATAATCATGTCTCTCCGTTAGTTGGTAACAAAATTAATGTTGACATTGTCTATTACTCCTACATATTTTGACCGATTTCAACCAAACTTTGTCAAAAGTATCAGTGGCCCAGCCCCAACAAGTCACATGACCAAACTGCAGTCAAAGGTCATCATGGGGTCACTGGGGTAAACAACCTATTTTTTTTTACTCAAAACATTGCTCCTTCCAGCAATTACATGGCACAATCACATGACTCAAGCACGAACACGAATTTGTTGGCCTGCAGCTTCCGAGATCCAATTGAGCTTGTTTTGGTAACTGTGAGGCACAGAATCTAAAAAGACAAGATGCTCACCCGAGTCTCATGGGCATTCCCATGCGCGGCCCCTCGTCTCCCAGCAGCGTGTGGGCTTCCTCTTCCTTGTCCGCATCGTGCATCTGCTGGTGATGCAATTCAGCCTGTTTATATGATGGCAGGGGTGTCGATGGAGCAGGGGGTGAAAGGGAGGGAAGGAAAGAGGGAAGGAGTGGGCAGAAAAGGGAAAGGATAGCAGAGGGAAGGGGGTAGAATGGATGGGATGAGGGAAAGGAAAGGAGGAAAGGAGGGGTAGGTAGCACAAGTTGAAACACAAGACGCCATCAAGGCCCACACATGCATGGCACGGATGCACAATGCCAAAATAAATAAATCAAAAAAACAAAAATAAATAAATAAATATGCAGATGAGTACTGGTACTAAACTAAAAAGGAACTATGCGAGCAGACCCTTCTCAAGTCCAAGCTGGACATAGCATAAAACAAACTATTTTTTAAGTCTGTTCGTTTTTAGTTGGTTTACAATGTATTTGTTTGCCTCAACTATTGATGACGTCTGAAATATTGGCATCAAATTCAGCCCAAGTTAATTAACAGTATTTCAGGGGTTTTTTTTATTAACTGCTCCCCCCCCCTAAAAATATACATGTACATGCCAAAAAGTGTAGCTTAATTACTAGACTTGGCCAATTCTCCACTGACAGAGAAGAGTCTACATTTTTGGGGAAGGGAATGTGGCACTACAACTAGGAGGTTAACAGTGAAACTAAACTCAAACACATCTAAGGTTAACTGCGACGTGTACATGTACAATTCGGTGTGCACATGGGGTAGCTCCTATCCTGTTATTAACATGCGAATCAAGGAATATTGTAGCTATGTACATCACGTGAAAGGCTTTGTACAGAAGATTTTAAATTGAGAAAGTACCAGAAATATTACTAAATATCAAACTCTTTAAAGTTTTACCATTAAATTATTCGCCCCATGTGGATAATCCAGAGTTACCCCACGTGTACACACTAGTTTGGATACTAATGATATGTAAATTTATGCAGATAAACTTACATATCACTAACACACTTTGGACATGTAAAAAACACTGCATACACAAGTTGGGCCTCAATATTGCATGACCTATAAAAATACACAGCAACAAACTATTATCTGACGATGTGGGCAAAATCTTTGTTGAATTTTTTTTCAACATTTCTGTACGTTTGAGCGACTGTGGTACTGCATTCTGTTCATATTATTTTTTGTAAATTTCATTTAAAACTTTGAGTTTTATTGATAATGAAGTACAAAATTCACGTCCAATAGAGACTGGCAGTTTAGTGAAAAGTAGCAAAAATTCTGCAGAAAGGGTGCAAGTGTTTGATGTTGTTTGTTTTATTGTTAATGTGCACAGTCAAGAAACGGTCAATTATAAAAACGTAATATAAAAATAGAAAAAAATAAAATAAAATAAAACACTATGTTATCCAATTATTAGTACAAGATTCCTCATGCTGATCAGTGACAGGGAGAGAGTCTGAAAATTTGTTTTCAGTACAGGAAAAAGACTGGAATAACTATATCGGTGACTGTAGCCACCGGGGGAAAAAACAGACCTTGCAAAAATGTCACTGAGGCAGAGTTTCCACAGAACTCAATAAATATGTGTATGTATACATGTGCCAACTTTGTCATCTTTGTGTGGACATGAAAACAAAACAGGTCCACACGATGCAGGTGGTGTGAACCTTCTGTGGACTAAGCCAGGTCCACATGAGGTTTCCCGCTCTCTGGAAAACAGGTTTAGAGGCATTTTTGGGTTAGGTTTATCTGTCGCAAACTGAAGAGGAACACTCATGATAACAAAATTATTGACAGAGTATGATAATTTTTCCTCCGGTTTTTCTTAACTTCACAAAGACAATGGAATGTCCACACTAGGTTTATACAAGGTAGGCCTGTGTGTCTTAACCAGTTCGCACCGGATGACGTGTATACCTGCAAAGGTTTTGTGGTATTCGGAACAGACGACGGATAAACACGCAGGGAGCGAGGCCGGAAAATATCTGTCAGCGAGCGAGGCGGGAAATATGAGTGTGCTGCCCAAGGGTGATGGCACCAACCCGCCTGGCTTGAGGCCGAATGAAAAGTAATCCAGCGCCTCGTTCTATTCTTGCTAAAATAATTCTTGCGTGAACTCGGTTAACCTAATATAGAATACAACCCACATCTACAGATCTGTTTGCCCACGACAATGTACAAAACAATGCCAATACGTGAACATGTACTGGTATGTGTCCCAGAAGCAGACAAGCAGACATGTTGTGCAAAGGGTGCCATCCATACATGAACATACACACTGGTTAATCTCCCTGGTTAATGCTTGTGCATGGGTGTATGGGAGAACACAGAATGTTTCCCATGGAAACCCCAAGAAGAAAAAAATGTCGTACTTTTCCTGTTTTTTTTCTCTAGTTCATAGAGACTTTTGGAGGTACTTAAGATTTAGAAACAGAATCAGCGTTTTTATGTAGTGCGGTGTATGAAGTAACAAGTTAATTCTATTGTTATGTGCTAATTACCCAAACATTATTTTTTGATTTCATGGTGGTTTTTCGTTATTTTTTTATTTCATGGTGGTTTTTCGTTTGACAAGAGTATGTACATGTACAGTGTGTGTGCACTGCGTCAAAAATATTGAAATTTGATTGCTATGTTCATGTTTGTGTACATGCTCCAAAGATGGATGATATAAATATGAATATATGAATCTCCTAATAAATTGGTTATTGGAAAATTTCATGTTCTTCCATGGTTTGTCTTTACCCAGCGACATACAAATTACTACAATTTCATGAAACAATATAATCTGCTAAAATCCGAGTTGAATCTGAAAAAAACATCTCACAAATCATGAAAAGTTGATTGGAAATGTAGATTCTTCTTGACTTAATCTGGAATATCCATGCTTTGTCCAGGAGTTGAGGGATTTTTTTTTTACAGGACTTCCAAAAGTTTTTTTCAAGGACTGCCGTGAATTTTATAATTTATTTGAATTGTAATAATTCTGTTTTCCGGGTGCTTCATAGATGTTTGTGGACATTGCAGAAATTTTTCATCTGATTTCCTGAACGTCATATGGTTTCCCATCTAAACTTTACGGCATTTTTCAAGCTTTTTAAATACATTTTTCGTCCCCAGATTTTCTGTCATTGGTGGTTTTTTCTTTTACCACGGGTGTTACAGCTCGAATACATACCATACCATACCATTCACTCAAATGCAACAAAATGACAACAATTTGGGGGAAAGTGGGCGGGGTGGTTTCGGGAAAGAGGGAGGGTTGGAAGAGGGGGTGGGCGTGTCACTTAATATACCCATGCAAGAGCACCCGGGGGTGTTGGGGTGTTAATTTACAATGCCTCAAATGTCACAGGTACATGTACGTCACATATGGATGGCCCGACGAGCCACAGAAACTTACAGTGTATTGAAACACAGTCACACAAAGCGCAGTGCAGGCAGCGGCAACATCAAATGTGTTTTATTCGTTTGAAACGACAGGGGGAAAAATAAAGCACAACTATGATAAAAATGTTCATGAACTGAGAGTCGACTAGTCTACCAAACATGCATCAAGAACAATTTATTTCCTCAACCCATTAAAAAAATGGTTGGATTTTTATCTTGACCTGTACTATCAAATAAACTGGAAGACATTTTTCAAATTGGTTTTATATTCACCAGGTATCATTCATCATTCGTGTAAAAAACAAAAAGTCAATAGTCTTGTGGCCTACCCTCTAGAAGCCTCATTTGTTGTGATGTTTTGACTTTTTAAGAAATTTTCGAGCTCGGAGCAAAAGTACGCAAATTTAATTGGAGGATTTCTGGAAAATCCAAAGATTGGATCTCTGAAACCTTCAGAGTTTTTTTTTCAACGATGGTCAGCCGACCATCCCTGGAAATTGATACAAAAATTTTACTTTTCTTAAAATGACAGTACACCAGGTGCCGTGATTTCACAGGATGCTTGAGACTATTATTCACTTGCAGTCAAGTAAGGTATTTCATAATAATTTGTTAGTTTTGTTTTTTGATGTTTGCAAATGTTGTATTTTTTACCTCTAACCCCTGACAAACTCCCCGACTAATAAAAAAAGAATGCAACAAACATCACAACAAATGCTGCTGTTATTTCTAATGCTCATAACCCTGGAAACAGAGAGAAGGTATAAGACTGATTTTCGACGACACGTTACCTCGTCAAAGAAGCTCTGGGTCTTGCGCAGGATGTGCTTCAGCTCCGTCAGCTCCAGGAAGTTTCTCTTCAGGGCCTCTTGGTTGGTGTTCACCTCCTTCATCTCCACTTCTAGTTTCTCAAAGCAGGCCTGAAACGGCAAAACAGAAATAAAGGGTGGGGAAATCGATGGAATAGTTAAATAATTTTGATAATTATAAATGAGATTTATAGTATCTAAAACTTCACTGTGCTCTAATTATAAGCTAAATGAAGAGGTGTGTTTTGGGATGTTATTTTAAATAATAAATGTCAGGTAGTGTCATTTCTTCTTCTTGTCTCAAGAAAAGTAGAGCTGTGCGTTAAAGACAATAGATTACATAAAAGCACCTTTGAAGTCGATTCGGAGCAAATTTTGGAAAAAGTCTAAATGGTTTTCTTAAAGCTAGAGGTACATTTTTTGTCATCATTAACCCTAATCCCCTTGAGTGATCTACTTGGAACCTTCCTCACTCCTGCAAAATCCAACACCATATGTTAACTCAACACCCAAACTGTTGGACTCTGATTATGGTGGTACGCCTAAACCCCATGTAAAGCATAATCAGTTTACTAGTGCAGTACTCACTCAAACAGATTCCAACAAAAAGTGCAGTTTGATTTTGAAGGGTTGGGGTGGTTAGGGTTAAAGTCAACAAAAATCCAACAAAAATTGTCCATATTCCAGGCAAGGCACAGATACCATTTCACGGCTCTGCTAACCACGGAATTCTGCACTCACGATGACCATTCCGTGCTTACAGAGCTAGCATAAAAATTATGCGGTAACCCTGTAACCCTGCTTATCAAATAAGCACAGAATCCTTAGTCATGCCAGTGTACACATATCCACAACCTAAAATTGCTTGTTGCATATTCCACAAAATAGTAATGTTTGTGCTAACACAAAAGTTTCTTCTATTGCTAGCAAAGTCTATGGTATTGCAGAGCCGTGAAATTTGACCCTAAACACATCATTGCCATCAAACGCTGTCATGTCAGTTGTGATTTCAAGCTGTTAATGACTTCGGTTTTTGTCCTTACCTCCAAGTCGATCATTTCTCGTGGGGCTGGTGCTTCAGGGTTCTCACCCGTGTCCAGGATGGGGATGTCTGCCTTGTGGATTTCTGTCTCCAAAAATCCTGTTGATTGGAAATAATAACCCAAAAGGAAGAAAAAAAGGAAAAGAGACAGAGAATTAAAAATCTATACGAAGAATGCAAACTTTTTTTTTTTTTCAAGAGTTTGATGGATTCTAACCATAAGATCCGCAGTCATTTCAAAGTTAGGGCTTCAGGTTCAATGCACTAAGAATGTGCTTTGATCTGACCAACCAAAAATAAACTTTTCATTTTTGGAGAGAGAAAAAAAAAACATACGTAGTTTCCGTTCCATTTCGTCACAGCGGCGAACTTCGTTGACAAACTTGCGCTGAAAGGCATTGACATCTGGATTGAGCTGAAAGTGAAAACAAAAAGCATTTATCTAATTATCTAATGAAAGTCAAAACAAATATTATAGGCAGATTCAGCTTTTCCTTTAAGCTCTAGAAGACAATTTTATAAGCTCTAGAAGACAATTATATAAACAGTGTAAACATCAGTTCACAGGTAAATTTACACCTTGCGCTGTCTGCTTGACTGTATAGGGAATTAAAATAAAAACAAAACTCATTTTTGCATTTTCAAACAGTGAACCAAAAATCCCTGTCACAAATTTAAAATCTATAGGCCTAGGTGTTTTTTTAAACTACATTTTGATCAATGGGATTGAGTGAGGACAAAAAGCATACATCTCTGAACTGGACCAATCCCAGCTCTCCTAGCTCTGCCACACAATTGTACGCTGCTTCTGATTGGAGGAAAACCTGCGCCAGGCACATCTCCTCGCTGCGAAACAGCGACCCCATGACGATCAGTTAGTCGAGGGCGCTCCACGAAGGACAGGTTGGTGTTTCTTAAATCAGATATTTCTGTTGGGACAAAAAGGGAGAAAATTAAATTGGTTAAAAATACCAGCCATACAAAGAACAAACATGAAACAGCAGTTTACAGTGCAGTTATACCCAAATGAGAACACAAGTGTTCATCTTGACTGCTGTTGTATGTAACTTCATTCAGTCTGAGAGTTCAGCTTTACGGTGCCAATTTTTTTTTTTTTTTAACACATGATCGACCATCAATTTGCAGCAAGTGAAGTCATGTAAAATTTTGCAGACATGTAACAGTTGTACATGTGAACACATGTACACGTATGCCCTTGCCAGATACAGATAAACTGATAGGCCTACAAATTCAAATTATGGTTCAGTGATTACGAATAACACGTGAATGGCAAACTATACATGTAGGTCAAAACAGCCTTTCACGGACAAAAAGGGCGAAAAAAAACCTGCGCAAACAAGCGATAGAAAACTGGCTGTGAAAAAAACCCTGCAGTAACAGGCTTCGCTAAGCGCTATCGCTAAAATGCAGCACAGTTATATCGTTGATGCCGATAGCACACATACCATACATGAGAACTGTACATAACTTTGCATAATGCATTTAAGTATCTACACTCACAACGATCAGCTACTGACTAAAGTCCACACACATCCAACATAAGATTAAATGCTTCTACACGTACAGACACAAACAACCTACCAGCATTATCAACTGGGAGTGCGACTGGGCCGAGTGTACAAATATTTAACTTGTGGCATTCAAATCCAGACGAAAACTACATCTGAGTAATTTATCACTTCCCCTTGCAGGAAATCCAAGTCATATCTACAGACCGGCATTTGTTCATAACAAAAGTACACAAATGACATGGAAGAGGTCACTTGAAAAAAAAAATCCTTACAAAAAAAAAAAAAGTGAGTGCGAGGTCATGCCATGACCCATGAAATCTTTGATGTGGGCTGGGTTGGGTGCAGAACAGAAAAAAGTGGTTTTCAGCCAAGATGTTTGTCAGTACATATCGAAAATGGAACAATTAGATTGCAATGTCAAATTGTGCTTCAAGAATCAAACTTAAAAACTTATTATTCATTCCAAACCTGTATTCCAAACCTGTATGAGTTATTGATTGTAAGAGACCAAGGCGTGCCAAGCAACACAAATTTCTAAACAGCCCATGACATTGATAATCATTTTTGACGATTTTCAGAATTTACGCAAGGCAAGCTGATTTTAGCAGTTTTATGATTGCACGTACCACAAAAATGAAAAACAAACTTGGTGCAGCGTTTAAAGCATTCCGTGAGAAAGGGGACGCAAATTTAACCCTAACAGAACTCAACCCATCAAACTCCAATGACATGTTTTGTTGGAATCTGTCAGGATGGGTACAGTACCCCTAAACTGACAGTCTTTTACATTGGGTTGGCACACCTCCAGAATCAAAGTCAGAAATATGTGTGTGCTGTTTCCCATATGGTGTTGGAATTTGCCAGGATGGGTATGGTTCCTAGTAAATCATGCTAGGGAGTTAGGGTTAATGTCATTTTCAACAGAGCATCCACTGACATGTTACACCATCTCCATGGATGCACAGCACCTATTCTGTCTCCAAATGAATAAATCTGCACTGCATGTAGACCACAAGTGTAGTACTTGATCAGCCTCCTGTGATAGGGGCCTATAACTACACTCGTGACAGCTACCCCTAGAACTATACCCATAGCTAGGCATATCAACGCGAACATGCCGTATACTCTACGAATATTATACAATCAACGACCGAAAAAAAGTAGAGTTGAGTTTTGGAGCGGCCGCTGTATATTTTACCCCAAGACTATGCCCAGCACTTCTTGACATACTCGCGTCCTGTTTGCTTAAAATATAAGGGTTGAATTGATCCTGATGGCGCAAAAAATGATGAAAACGGCCCATGTCTGTACCGAAGCTACAGTTTGAGTTTCAACATTTTAACTGGAAAGATTTCCATATATGAAGTTCACTCAACACCCTGTGTACAAACCCTATGAGAGTGGACTGAAAAATTCTAAGTGTTTTCTAAGAAAATGCTTGTATTTTCTCACTGCTCAAATTGACTTTGATGACATGAAATTGCTATCTGGGGGCTTGTTAGTCAATACAGAGGAAAATTAGTGAACTTCGCATATGGTAATCTTGCCACACTGTCTTATAGTGCATATAGCAGGCAGCGTCAGATGGGCCAACCACGAGGCCTTACTACCTTATATCATTAGTTACTTCCCATTTTCAGAACAATCCTCCATAGCTGTGAATTAGGAAAGGTGATCGACCGATGGCAAAGCGCGCAATTGTCTGATGGGGGCACAATCAACCAATAGCAATATGTGATTTACTGACCCTGCAAATGCATTGTGATCGAGCAGTAGCAAATTAGGTTAGAACCAACCTCGTCCCCAGGGTGTCGAGCAGTACGCGCCCACCACTACCTGCTCTCTCACCCTGGTATTGGATCATTTGCATGTGCAAGATTTTTGAACACGTATGCAAATTAGGAGTAGTCTGGTGCCTGCCTGTACATTACATTTGCGTTTGTTTTTGTATGCGGTGTCTGGGGTAAAAACAGAATCAATTTGTCGCAGAGCGAGCATGGCGTGAGTTACGATAACATGATTTAATATTAATTAAACTGTTACGATCTTAACGAGACAACATGCACATTTCATATTAATATTAACAAACTGGAAAGGAAATGAATATTTTCGAGAAGGCGTGGACGAATGATGGCGAAAACACGTACTACACGTTGTGAATAATTAACACCACCAAGTACACGATATAAATCCATTTCTAGCCAATTGCGGTATCGAATCAGGATGCAGGAAGGAAGTTTCCTATCCAGGGTTTAATACTATTGGAAACAACGTTGGAAATAAAGTAAGCACTGGGGACGAGGTTGGGTTACAACAGTCTGCAGATCAAACAGTAACACACAACCCATCACTCCCTCAGCTCACCGTCTCCCCCCCCCCCTAAAAAAATCCACAACTCCCCTAACCACAGCACAGACTTTGGTAACAGGCCAGCTAACCCATGCAACATGTAACACATCATCTGATTATCATTGTTTGCAATATTTAGGCTCAGCCTAAATCATATGAATTCCTTTGGGGAACTAACCCACCGGGCCGCTTTTTATGTGCAACCTCTATGAGAGAACGCGGCGAAAAATCATTAAAAACGGGCCTTTTTTTCACATCTGTCGCCACCACTTCATTATTCTACAGGGTATACCTTAGATCTCACTACAGTGTGACCCTAACAATATACTCTTTCAGAAAATGAAAGAAAAACTGAATAAAACACTGAGTTTTACTCGCGTATTGATGTTAAACATTGCATTTTTAGTCAAAAATCTCCCTGTTTTGTGGGTAAACCACGCGTTCAGCCAAGAACTGGTCCATTAACATCATCATAACGTTAAATAGCGCCACCTGGGAGCTTAGATCTCTCGAGTCATTTTTCTTCGTCTCATCAGCTTTCCAACAATATAACCCTTATTGTGATTGGTTAAGGTTTAGGCTCGCGTGTATTCACTTACTAAAGAATTGTACATCTAAACTCCAATAAAATTTGCCGTTGCTCAATGGCTCAGCGCGTAGGGTCTGTTTATTGTACACGTGCTAGGCAGCGCTACTGTATATACACAGAGCCCGGGAGCTCTTATCTCTGTGTGTCCAAGGTCATCTGGCTGTGCGCTTTGGCCAGTTTACATGGGGTCCTTTTGACCACAAAGGATTTGATATGGCGATCTTTCCAAAATTTGGAAGGGGGGGGGGGTAACTAAACCCCGCCCCGCCCCGGATCGATTCACACAAATGAATGCGTGAAAATAGTTCTTCCATATTTCAGCCTAAAACTATCTTTAAATGTCATCTTTTTATATTGATTAACAAATACAGCATTCCTCATTCATAATAGAAATACGGTTTATTCAAAATCATTATTTTTTAATCAACTATGAATAGAAAAAGTGAAATTATGAGCAAAATGTATACCCACCGTTGCGCCGCCAGCATTCGCTGGGACAATTTTTTTTTCAGAATAAATTAATTACGTCATTCTGCTGGAAATCATATGACAGTCAGGTCTTCGGAAAGGTAAATCATTGCTATCACGTAGAAATGACACAGGAGACTAGTTCACCATCACGTGAGTCACGTGAAAGCGAGCCTGTGCGAAATGATTTTTGAGCGTGCAGTTGGTGACAGCAATGCAGAAACCTAGCTAGGTCTTAGCAGAATCTTAATGGCCGAAAAAATGCGATTTAATTTAATAGCTTTCCCCACATAAAGCTTGCATTTATCGGATAACATCTTTAATTATTGCCTTCACATTAAGACTAGTGACGGAACTGATTTTTTTTATGAATGTAGCGGGATACTTGGTGTGTGGAGGGGCGGGGCGCACCCTCAGTTTCTTAGAGACTGGTGTAAGAGGCATAAGAACTGATGTGCGTCACATGCAGAGTGGATTAAGTTTCCTGTTAAAAGTCACCCAAAGATTATTTTTGAGTTTCGCGTGCGACTGTGGGATGGGTCATGAGGAGCCTACGGGAAAGTAATGAGATGGTGGCAACAAGGGCGGATCCAGAACACAGTTTTTTTTTAATTTTAAATGCTCTGTGGCAGGGTCTGAGGCAATTTCTGACAACTTTGACCAATTTTTTTGGAGGAAAAGATGATGGTGTACGCAGTACCTGCCGTTAAAGCGACGTCACTAAAAAAAAAGTTTTTTTTTTTTTTGGGGGGGGGGGGGGGAGGGCCATGGCGCCCGTTTGCCCCACCCCTCTGATCCGCCCATGGGTGGCAACCGTGGCAAGTTGCCTTTTGTATCTTTTTTTTTCATGACTGCCGAACAGCAAACTGATAATTCCACTCTTGATCCATGGATCTTGGACTCGGACGGAAATCCATCCCGAAGTGCCCGGTCTAACCCGCCGTCATGCATATTGGCCAAAGATCGAGGGGAAATGCTTGTGTCCAAAACTAACATCCCCATGTCCATGCGTGCCTACCTTCTCCGAAGTATGGCAAGGCAAGTAGTTTTGGAGCCTATCATCGAGATGGACCATCCACACCTAAGCATGGCCGAAAGAAACTCAAACCAAATCTCCACGAACCACTATCTTATTTACTTGTCACACTACCAACTTTTTCGGCCATCATTTCGCATGATCTCTGCTGCTGTGGTGACGAAAAGCACAAGTTATAAGCAACTTTATTTTCTTTCGCGGCTTTCGGACATTCGAGGTTTAAAGTAGTCCCCACTAAAACAAATTAACCAAGAAGAAAAATCCCCTATCTTTTTGAAAGCCAGTGAGTGTTATAATTAGGCCTAGCTCAAATTAAACTTGAGCATCGAAAAGAGACGGAGTCACAGCTGAAGTTGGGACCATGTTGCCCTCTTAATAACTTGAGGGGCCCGTCTTTAGGCCGGGATAAGCATAAGCTTCAACGATTGAAGGACATTTTTTCCGTTCATATGCGGACCCCGTTAACTTAATTAAGATCCGTTTTACGGCTGTGGAGAATAGAGGGCTGGGCCAACAATCGAGGGGGCCGCCCTTACCCACCACCACCCCTATCCGGGCCCCGCCTCTCCAAGTCCACCCTCCCATAAAAATCTCGTGTTTTGTAACAGTGCTAGAGGGCGCTGTGCGATTCATTCTCAACTACATGTTGGAAAATACTGATTGAAAGTTGTGACATGCACGAATCCCACGAAGTGACGGAGGTTAAATTAATAGGGGTGTTTCTTGACGTTGTTTCGATCTAAGGAGACTTCAAAAAATTGAGGAAAAAATCTTGTTTGTTTAAGTTTAAACGCTCGAAACTGCTCTGACAGGAGGTGAGTAGTTTCTAAACCATTTTTGGTGTTAATGACTAGCCCTGAAACTAAAGTGAGCTTCAAGTTCAACCACGAATTTCCGCATTGAAAATTTCCGGAACTCAAATCTCATGGCCGTAGGCCTATAGTATGTGGGCATGATTGAATTGTCAGTTGGTCGATTTCCGGACTTTTGAAAGTTTGCATTAACTGTAAAATTCGTTTTATAATTTATTGAATTAAGTTCAGGCTCGAGCGCAAGCTGAGCCTTTTAATATATGAATAAAGAAACACATAATGGTTTTATTTTTTTGGCGCAGGATTAAATTTAGCATGTTTAGTCCCAGACTGGGACCGTGAGTGCATAAAAACGTGCAAAATTACAACTGACGTTTTTTTACTCACCATTTGGCTAATTAATGCCCACACAACACATACATTAAAATAGTATAGTTGCAAGCATGTCACCTGCGAAATTTGAGACCTTAAATCCAATTTTAAGGCAAGTTTTTGGCAGTTCAAAAACCATCCACGTCATTCTCCATGCTGTAAAAATGTATGTCTGATTCCCAAGGTATTCTGGGTAGGTGCAGGAAGAGCCTTGCAGCTTACTTGTTTTTTAATCGATGGCCAAATGAACATAGCGCCCTCTGTTAAAAAATGAAACATTTTGCATTCACTCAGATCAACAAGAGGGCGCTGTTTTATCTACACGATGAAAATGTTATAGCTGAGGAGTCTTTTTGCACAATGCATTGCAGTACACATCAACGTGATGTCTCACGTTTGGATTTCGATATCTCTCTGCAAAATTAGAATTAAAAGCTGAATTTTTGGTGATGCAATGCTCACAACAGCAACTTTGCGAGGCAAAAGTTTCGGGGATTATTGAAGAATCTGTACACAGTGGTTTAAGACCCAGACATTTCAAAAAAAAAATTCCCCTAATATTATGCCTTAATTTAGTTTAGTTGTATCTAATGAGTTAATTTATAGCAGAAAAAATATTGTTTCCAACATCTTTACCGTTTATATCACTCAAGTACAAAACTTCACAAAACTAAGAGGGTTAGACTTATTACAGTAGGCACATTAGTGCAACACTAAAAAAACCCTGTTTTTCTATACCGAAATTATATCTTCAGACAGAAAACTGTGCATCATCCTGTAGCTTGTTTAGTACCCTTTAAGCTAATATAACACTTGTTATGAAAAGTGTTTCAGAAAGTGCAGAAATTTGCGGGGACAACTTACGGTAAATTATTGAGAAGTAACCAAAAAAAGCAAAACAATCTCAAGTTATGTTTGCTGATACATTTTTACAATCGGCCATAAACGGCCTGGGTAAAATTGTCTATTTTCTTCATAAATTGGTACTCTGATTATTTGGCTACAAATATAATCAACCGGAAAAGTCGCGCAATGCATCGTTGTGCCGAAGAAAATCAACTTTGTAAGCAGTCCTCAGCTGAGATTTAACGTAAAACGCTGTCGCTGGCGACAAAGTGAACAGCGCCCTCTATTGTTGAGACTTGTCTAGCGTGATCGCTGTGTTGGGCTCGGTGTCGTCGATGGCACTTCGGAAATTTGTGTAAGGAGGTTCAAATCTCGGGGCTCGTGTGGGATTTACAGTTAACCATTATTGAAGAAATTGAGCTGTTAATGGTTTTCTTTTCATGGAAAATGTAGATAGAATTAGAGATGAAAAGATCTTATTTTTTGCACAATGTTTTGGTGTAGGCCCACACTGGGCGCGGTCAGCCAAACGACAACATCATGTTCCTGGTGTTAGTGATTTCAGCCATCCAAACGTGTTTTCCCCACGGAAGCCAGATACTTGCAAGCACTAATTTGTTGATAATAATGTCCAGCCACAATTCCTGACCAGAGCTGTCATTGTGATGTAAAGTATCGACAATGACTTAAATGTAAACACTGAGATCATAATATTTTCTGATAATTTTATTCTTATTTTTCTGTATGACTTTTCTGAAACCAAGCCCTTACGTCCCCCGTTTTCTTCTTATGATAAGGACTCCTTCACTCCATTGTGCATGGTCACAAATTTTTTTCAGTTCCATTAATTAGGCAATGGACAAGAAGATAGGACAAACAAATACGCCACCCTCTAAATGAGACGTGGAATAAATTTCTAAAGAGAAAGGTTGGCCGGAACAAGAGGCCGGATTATATAAGAACTTATAATAGACTTCAACCGACACAGGAGAAGGTTACAAACTAAACATTTCTAAGCGATTAAGAAAACTTAGTGAGAATTAGATATGAGCCGAATTTAATAGATCACCACCGCAGCTACTCTCTCAAAAACCAACCACATTTTCTTTTATGAACATTTTATAAGTTTTTAAAAAGAGCCGTCTTAAAAACAAATGCTCGACACTTTATCAATTACTGTTGCGGAGGCGATGGATTTCACAATTACATATATGTCAGAAGGGGATGAAGCTGATGTTACCAAAGCTGGCTTGATCGCCCAAGAATTAATCCTCTAGATGAAGTGGGACCGCGCCAGCAGCAGAAGAACGGGCGCCGGATATTAGATGAATTGAGGAAAGCCATTTTTTTGTGAGAGCAGTGGCCCAATATATGATTTTATCTGTTTTCACAAATAAGTCTCAATAATTACAGGTTTTCTCTTAGCTAGAAGGAACAAATAAAGGCTGCACCACTTAAGAGCACCATTTTCGGATTTCCATGGTAAAACACAACAGAAAATAATAGTAATTAGATTAATGATAACATTTTGCAAATAAATAGCCTTATCACAGGGAATATATATTTAAAAATAATAACAAAGTAATCACCTTGAAAACTTGCATTTGCAAGCTGGTTTAATCTTTATTTAACATAGTAAATCTATCGCACGGTGATGAGAATCGATCGACGTGTAATAAACGTTAATGCAAAAATCGTCACAAGAGGGCGCCATTGATAATTAGCGCCCTCTTTTGAAATTAAGCTCCAATTTTTGACAATTTCGGTGGGTTATGTTTTTAGATAATAGCCAACCTAGTTTTCTGTACCCAGAGATGGTATTTAAACATGCTTGATGTATTTTATAGGACATTTGACTGTTTAAAGTCCTGGAATATACCGATGTCTGGGTCACATATGGTTTTAAACCACTGTGCTGTAGTGAGTAAGAAGCTTGCAAATTTGATTCACACTGGTTTTGTTATGCAGCACAAACTTTTGCACGATATGGATACCTTAAGTTTTGGGACTCTCATACACAGTATTGAGAGTCCCAAATTTTCGGACTAGTTTAGTCCGAGTGTAGGACTCTACGGATGGCTTTTTAAAATTTGGACATGGTCGGGCGACAGTCACCACTCACCAGACCATGTCCAAATGTTAAAAAAGCGATCCATAGAGTCCTAGTTACTCGGACATGTCGGACTAGATTAAATTCACATGTGTGGAGAAGATAAATCATTCATCATGTTCATTGTTTATTTAGATTTTCATGAAATGAAATACATTCTTAATTAATAATTTATCTTTAGTATTGGAATGGAAAAAAAAGAAGACAGTGTAACTATTGTTAGAAAACAATTTAGTATAGTAGCCTAATGCTAGTCCGAAAATTTGGGACTCTCAATACTGTGTATGAGAGTCCCAAAACTTAAGGTATCCATATCGTGCAAAAGTTTGTGCTGCATAATAAAACCAGTGTGAATCAAATGTGCAAGCTTCTTACTCACTACAGTTTCTTCAATAATCCCCGAAACTTCTGCCCTGCAAAGTTGCTGTTGTGAGCATTGCATCACCAAAAATTCAGCGTTTAATTCTAATTTTGCAGGGAGTTATCGAAATCCAAACGCGAAACATCACGTTGATGTGTACTGCAATGCATTGTGCAAAAAGACTCCTCAGCTAAAACATTTTCATCGTGTAGATAAAGCAGCGCCCTCTGTTGATCTGAGTGAATGCAGAATGTTTCATTTTTTAACAGAGGGCGCTATGTTCATTTGGCCATCGATTAAAAAACAAGTAAGCTGCAAGGCTCTTCCTACACCTACCCAGAATACCTTGGGAATCACACCACCATTTCTAAAGCATGGAGAATGACGTGGATGGCTTTTGAACTGTCAAAAACTTGCTTTAAAATTGGATTTAAGGTCTCAAATTTTGCAGGTGACATGCTTGCAACTTAAGCATTTTGATGTATGTGTTGTGTGGGCATTAATTAGCTGAATGGTGAGTAAAAAAAACGTCAGTAGTAATTTTGCACGTTTTTATGCACTCACGGTCCCAGTCTGGCCTAATGCCTAATGTTTATGTGTATGAGAAGTTCTAATTGGTAATCGTGTTTACCCCGTTCCAACATTTAGAGATTGAAAATACTTTTCTATGTTTTGGGACTTAGGCCACAAATACCTAAACATTTGGCTGTGATAGAAACAGGAAAAGTGAAACAGGAAAAGAGAAAAAACCCCAAAGCCATAATTTTTACCTTTTTACCCTTGACTACATGCAGATGCCTCCATATGATCATTCACAAAAAGTGAGTGCAGTTGGCCAAAAATGTTTATTCTCGTTCTGGGGCCACTAATGCCACTTTTATTAATACGTATGGCTGATGTTTTCACTGCATGACATATAATTTAACCCAAATTAAATGAAAATAATGAATAAGTGCCATCTGCAAACTCATTTTTATATTTCATATAATATTTCATACAAATCATACAATATAACTTGAGATTGTTCATCAGATTACAATTTTTTTGGTGTTCTTCAGAGCGTCAGGATGGGGCAACTTTTCCGCAGCGAGAGAATGGTCCTTAGCCAGGTGTTCCTTCAGTCCGAGGCTGCCTACAACTGTGTGGCTGAGCTGGGGGAACTTGGGCTGGTCCAGTTCATTGATGTGAGTCAAATAGGAAGATAAACAAATCATTGAAGATAAAAACAAATTACGGAAAGATTTCCACATAAGAAGTTCACTAATTTTCCTCTGTATTGACTAACAAGCCCCCAGATAGCAATTTCATGTCATCAAAGTCAATTTGGGCAGTGAGAAAATACATGCATTTTCTTAGAAAACACTTAGAATTTTTCAGTTCAATCTCATAGGGTTTGTACACAGGGTGTTGAGTGAACTTCGTATATGGAAATCTTTCCAAAATTACTTCTTAGTTGGAAACCTCAAAGCTTTCTGGAAATTTGAGCGTCGCTTAACTCAATACCTTGTTCTGTTACAGTTGAGTCCACATCTGAATGCTTTTCAACGAAAGTACGTCAATGAGGTACGACGCTGTGATGAAATGGAGAGAAAATTGCGTAAGTATTTGAGGAAGATGCAGTTTAAAAGAATTTCCTGTAACGTACATGTACTCCGTTATCTTTTAATCAAAGTACAAAAAATCCCCTCCCAAAAGCATGAGATGTGACTTGTTTTGCGGAGGAGAGGGAATCTTTTGTTTATGAAATGATAAAGGTTTTGACAGAATCAGCATCAAGGAACTTGGAACTTAGGAAGATAATACAAATCTTTAAAATCAAATCTCAGCAATCATCTTTCTATGTCCCAGGTTATGTGGAGAAAGAGGTGAAAGGGGCAAAGCTCACCGTCAACGACTCTGACACGGAGGTCCCAGCCCCGCACCCAAGGGAGATGATTGATCTGGAGGTAAGATAATGGTCTTGTAGGCCCTCGGGAGCTAGGTCTGAATCTCTTGGATAGTGTTATCGAGGAGGTCTTTGATAAATTCAACTACATGTATGTGGAGACAATAGGCATAGCCATACTTAAAGGAGATATACAACATTTGTTTTTTCTGTAATTTTCAGAAATGGATGGATTTAGTATTTTATAGCTAATATTGGTACACTGACCTGGTTAAAGTTTTGTGTTCATGGATGCTGGAAACCCCCCCCCCCCAACAAATTCTGTTCTTGTAGTCATATTTTGAACGTTGCCAATTTTATGATAGCAAGACTCAATCATAGCTCTGCTACTTTCTTGATCTCGTCGATTATTTTTATTCCATCGTCTCTTCCATCCAGGCCAACTTTGAGAAGATAGAGGTGGACATGAAGGAAGTCAACAGCAATCACGAGACGTTGCAGCGCAACTACCTGGAGCTGACGGAACATCGGCACGTCCTGAGGAACACCACTGAGTTCTTTGCCGAGGTAAAGCGGCTGATTCAAGAGTTGTAATCAAGTCAGTCACATGTCACCACAAGTCAATCACAAGCCTCCCAGTCTCTAGTGGAGTGACGAGCTATTCCAGTGACCTGTGATGGGGGTTTCTCTTTGTTGTCGTCCGTCCCATGTCTTTGTTGTCGTCCATCCATCCATCCCCTGTTACTTGTGACTGGACTTGTGATTTGACTTGTGACAGAACCCCAGTGTCTGCTTTTTAGTTTTAAATTGATTGACCTTCCTGTGATTCTATATAAATTAAGGGGAATGTCTGCTCCTTCCCCCTTTCGTAGGCAGAGTTGTTCCATCAGGATCGGGAGGTGGAAGAAGCCCGCGCGTCCGGATACAGCCGCTTTGACGTGGAGGAGGGCGTTCGTCAGGTGCGCTCCCAGATCAAATTCGGGTGAGTTCTCTTCCATGGATTCAGTTTACCCTAAAATTATTGTTGCATTATATGTCCCTCAGCAACATATTTTACTGCATTGTTTCCCCCCACAATCCAAGTCCATGCCTTATTTATTGCAGTAGATTTTTGAGTTGTATGAAGGAAGTCTGTTATGGCTTCTAATAGAAGTTACTGGATTAGTCTATTTAATTGGTTTGATAAAGTGAACGACCCAAAGTCATAAATTTGAAAGTAATTTCATTTTATTTATTTATTAATTTTTTACCTTGTTTCGTAGCTTTGTTGCTGGAGTGATCGGTCGGGAGCGCGTGCCGTCGTTTGAGCAGACTCTGTGGCGCGTCTGCCGCGGGAACGTCTTCCTGCGACACATGAGCATCGATGAACAGCTTGAGGACCCCAGCACGGTACGTAAACAAGGTTCAGTTTACAAAATGGTGGCAGACAACCAACTCTCCATCGTGGACATCAGTATTTGATATAACGAAGCTTAGGGCCCGTCTCCATTGATATACAGGACGAATTCCGGACAAGTTGCGGGTAGAATCATTCACTTTGTCTGGAAGAAGCTCTGCATTTGTCCCCGGCATCTTCCGAGAACATTTTCGTTAGCAACTGCTTGACTCACCAATACTGATAACTTCATTGCGGGAAGATTGCAGGGAAGTTATTGAGAACCCTGCACTCATACCAGATATTATTCTTGGATATGAATTGAGACACTTCATTATGACTAGGAAGCATATTAACCCTAACCCCCTAGAATGATCTACTAGGAACCTTCCCCATTCTTGCAAATTCCAGCACCATATGGTAAACTGTACACAAAAATTGCTGGACTTTGTTTATTGGTGGTATGCCTAACCCCATGTAAAGCATAATCGGTTTACTAGTGCAAGTACTTACTCTAACAGATTCTAACAGGTTGGATTTTGACTGGATGGAGAATGTTGGGGTTAAAAGAAAGAGTCATAACAATGTGTGGACTCAGTGACAGAACAAAAATGGCACTCTTGGTGTTTTTCCGATCTCTCTGTTTTTGTCTTGTTGAGAAATGAAAAGAAAAGAGAATTTTTTTGGTTTGTTGGCGCCAAGCATTTGAAATTAAAAAAAGAAAGCTATTTTTTTGTATTGTGTATCCATAAATATGAAAGTAGATAAGAAGTGACTCCTTGAAGGAAATTCAAATTCAGCAAGAAGATAAAAAAGGTTTTTGTTTCCCCTACAGGGAGATGAAGTCTTCAAACATGTCTTCATTGCTTTCTTCCAAGGAGACCAGCTGGGAGGCCGCGTTAAGAAAGTCTGTGAAGGGTAGGCAAAAGTTTCCACTTCATTTTGTGAGTCATTGTTGACGATCAACAGTTAACAAAGCAATCGCTTATAAGCGGACCACCATTTGTTTTTTCTGTTACACTCGAGGCGCATTTGTGAGGAATTTTACAGATTGTCCCAAGTTGTGATATCCACTGTGCTGCTAAACAAAAGAACATTCTTTTTACTTTAAAGGCATATAGGATCATTTTGCTTTTCGTGATTTTGTTTATTTCCAATAATAGCACTACTCAAAATCCAGAAGAGAAAGTTCGAAACCTAACCTGTGGAAGTTTCAGCTCGGTGGATATTACACTTTTTCGAGAAAACAGTGAAAAAGCATGCACAACCTTCATTTCGAATGATCATTCAATCGATTGACCGTGGGAAATCACCTTCATTTCTCAATGACAGCAAGCCAGATGGAACAACTTCACGGGGTGTTTAGTAACGGCATTTAAAGTAAAACCTATTTGGGCTGTATACCTTTCTTAAACCTGTGAAACAATTCTTCCAAACTTCTTGGATAATTTTGAAGGATGTAGAGTGTTGAAGTAAAAAATTGTCATGTTTTCTTCTGTCTCTCGATAGATTTCACGCAACTCTGTATCCGTGCCCGGAGAACGCCATGGAGAGAAGCGAGATGTGCACAGGGGTTGCCAAGAGACTGGAAGACCTGAAACGAGTAAGATTGTTTTTATAATAAAAATGAGACATTTTTTTGTAGTAGATTATACAGAGAAAAGACAGAAAGCAGATATAGTCCAAAAGGTCTCCTGAGAAATGAGGTAAACTAGGGGAGTGATGTGAGATCCAGCTTGATGATGAAGCTCTTGAAAGACTGGAGGCTGTAGGATGGTTGGAAGCATGATTGTGGCAGAGAGTTCCACAGTGTGAGGCCTAGGATCTGACACTGCAATGACAAAAAGTGTGTCTTTCATTTTGTTGAAAAATTGTATGTGTATGGGGCAAAATGTGATGTCAGTGTGGTTGATTGACTCGGAAGTGACTTTGGCACAATTGTTAAAGTATCATCTCAAGTAGTCTACTCTCAACTCAGTGGACAAGACTGTGACAAAGGCGTTCCCTTGTCAGAGTTCATCTCTCTGTTACTTCTCGCCCGACTTTTTATTTGGTTTGTGAGTTTGCAGTGATAACTACAAATGTACTACATTGTATTACACTGTGGTTATTCACCGAAGAATCAGTAAAACCATAAAGTGAGGCAGGGCAGTTTTGGGTGGTATAGTGACCTAGTTAAAAAGTGTTAATCATACTGTAGAATGCCATCTTAAAGAATATTATTGGATCTACAAATGTTACTTGTTGAGGTCTTAATCCTAAATGGTTGTATGGCGGCAGTGGTGTTCAATTGTCATTCGAACTCTCTTTTGCACCATGGGGGTGGGGGGGGGGGAATGGGTGGGAGGTTACATTCGCACTAATTCCATACCATTCTGGACACATTAAACCCAACCACTAAATTATTTTCTTCCCTTTTCTTTTCCTCTAGGTCCTGGTCCAGACTGAGGACCACCGGCAGCGCGTCCTGGCCTCGGCGGCCAGCAACCTCTGGGTCTGGTTTGTCAAGGTGCGCAAGCTGAAGGCCATCTACCACACCCTGAACCTCTGCAACGTGGACGTCACCCACAAGTGTCTGATCGCTGAGTGCTGGTGCCCCGAGAACGAGCTGGGGCGCATACGCCTGGCCCTGCAGCATGGAAACGTGAGTCTGTGCACTCCGTGCATGAACAGTAGATGATGGTGCATTGTGACCCTTTTGACTTTTGAGAGCTTCTTGTTGGAGCTCTGCCAAGTATTCTGAATATATATGAATATTCGATCACCCACAAAATATCCGAAGAGCATTTTTCTGAATTGAATATTTGAAAATAGTAAGTGGTTATGAGAAGTTGAGAAAAAGTCTGTGATGTTAGTTTAATTACGTGTGCCTGTTTTAAGTATCAGCAAGTCAACTACGGTATAACTTAAAAGTTGAACAAAGAAATAGACTAGAGCGGGGTTTGAACCTGCAACCTCCGGATTACCATTCAAGCGCTGTGACAACTAACTATCAAGCCCTATGTTAGCAGTTCCCCATGTTCAGTGTCCTTGTTCAAGGGGTGCTAGTTGAAGGCCATAAACCCGCATATGCCATGGGGCCAGGGATCACGTCCAAAGTCATAATGTTAGCAACTTTATAGCAACATAATTTTTCTTCTTTATAGGAGAGAAGCGGGTCAACTGTGCCATCCATTCTGAATATTGTGACGACAAACGAAGACCCGCCAACGTACAACAACACCAACAAGTTCACCAGTGCCTTCCAGGCCATCGTGGATGCCTACGGGGTGGCTAACTACCGGGAGATCAATCCAGGTTAGTGAACTAACTCGGATTTATTACCTTAGTAAGTGTTGGTTAGAGAGTGCTGGTTAGAGAGTGCTGGTTAGCTCGGGAGGTCAGATTATAGAAAGTTAATCCAAGTTTGTTATTGGAGGCAACACTGTGGGTTTGTGTAGTTTAAAGGGAATATACATCATTTGCTTTTGCTGTAATTTTCAGAAATGGATGGAATTGGGGGGTTGGAAATATATAGCAAATATAGTTACACTGACTTTTTTTGAGGTTTTGTGTTCGAAAATGCTATAAAAACCAAGAAAAACAATCATTTTCCTGTAGTCTGGTTCCCTGACTCCATTTAAGAAGAAACAGAGCAGTTTACATACATTGGGGAATTGTAAGGTCAGGGAACCAGTCTAGCTGGCTTGTACCCGTTCATAGGTGTGTAATCGATTGCAAACAAGTGCGATGGTTAATTGGGGCCAGTATTTGAAAAAAGCCAGTTTTTTTCCAACGCTGGTCGGCCGACCAGCGTTGGAAATTGATACAAAAATAGCACTTTTCTTGAAAATGACAGTATACCAGGTGCCATGATTTTACAGGATGCTTTTACACTAACTGTCATTCACTAACAGTCCAGCAAGGTATTTCAAAATGATTTAGTAGTTTTATTTTTTGATGTTTGCAAATGTTGTATTTTCCCTTTAACCCATGTGGATCCAAACTACATTGTATAAAATTGTATGTATTTCTTGATGAATCCTTAAAACCAAATAGAGAGCTGGGGCAGTTTCGAGCATTACAGGGAGTAACATAAAGGGTGGTTAGGGACGGAACAGCAACTAATGTATTAAACCTTTAGTAAATTTCAAATGTTTTTTTTGTTCCCCCTTGTAACAGCGCCGTATACTATCATCACTTTCCCGTTCTTGTTCGCGGTGATGTTTGGCGATGCCGGCCACGGCACCCTCATGGCCTTATTTGGCCTCTGGATGATCCTCAAGGAGGCTAAGCTGATTGCTGCCAAGTCCACCAACGAGGTAAAAAAAACCAACAAGGCATTGGCAAAGTTCTGTTATTATTGGAGTGCCCCGGCCTCAAGGCCTGGAGTGTAGCACTCTAAGGATGTATAGGGTAATTCTGCAGGTTGTGTGTTCAAGTCCAACCTATGGAGTAGCAGTGAGTGTGTCCTTAGGCAAGATACTTTGTCTTATTTCATAGGTTAAGAATGAGCACTAGTTATGGGTAGGAAATGTTACTGTTTTTGAATCACCTGTTGGTGGCAGAAAATGCATCATGGAGCTGTATACCTTCCAGAGAGCCAAAATGGTCTGTGAATGTTTTATTTGCCCTATGAGCAGGTAATAATGCTGTAGAGCCTTGCCTGTCAATATTGTCATCAGTCATTGGTATCATTTTTCACAGATGAAATCATACTCTTGCATACTTTGAGCCGCAAGAAGGCCCTAGGATTTCACGAAGGTAGTCAGTTAGATTTTTTTTTAAGAAGAGCTAAGGAACTCTGAACAGCTGATCATGCCATCAAGAATACCATAGTATTTCTCTTTCTACTCTGTCAGATGTGGACCGTGATCTTCGGCGGGCGCTACATCATCTTCTTCATGGGTCTGTTCTCCATCTACACCGGATTCCTGTACAACGACTTCTTCTCCAAGTCGGTTAACGTCTTTGGGTCCAGCTGGAACGTATCCGGAATGGTCAACTTCACGTACGTATTGAAGCAACAGTTTGGTGTTCAGAAGTGGATTGAGCCCAGTGCCCCATCTAATATGGAATATGTGCATGAAGAGAAGATTGTACTTTGTGTCCCTCCCAACTTTCTCTTTGTAACTATTGAGGTAACCTATGTTACGGAGTCCATAGAAAAAACCCACACCGATGGACTAAGGGCACGACAGAAGATGGAATATTTTTACCACATATGCGAGTCCATTAGACACACTGCTTGCGCGTACTGGTTCATACAACTAATGTGTTCTGAATGTGTTCAAAGCCATAGCGTCTTTTCGTGAGTGTCGGACGTCATCGTCAATGTGTTCAAATGTCTCTCCCAGCGGTCTCTTCCAACTCTCCGTTTGTAACCGTTGAGGGGGTACTTGTGCACGGAGTCCATTCCCTCCATGGTGCATAATGTGAAACAATTCTGTCACCTGAGCAGTCTTCCATGTGAATTCATTTGACAGGTGACCACAATTCATATCCAAGAAGTTAACATCTATACTCGGCACTTTTTTCAAATCCCGGGCCGTCTCCAGATTCAGCATCATCCCTGGCTCCAAAGTCATCTATAATCCTTTTCATTTTCAATTGGAATTAGCCTACCCAAGGCCACTGGCCAATACGTTTTACAGAACTTGATGCTCCTTAACTAGCTTGCGTCCCCAAAGTGGGGCTTAAAAACATGTATAGCCTAAGCTATCGGCAAAAGCCAGATTTGGGAAAACCTTGGTACATTTTTTGACAAAGCTTGACTATCCTGCCTGCCATATATTAACTGGATTTTGATGTTGCGTATCTTTTAGTGAGGATCTGTTGGATCAGAACATCAAACTGCAGCTAGACCCAGTTCAAACGTACTCTGGAGATCCTTATCCCTACGGTTTTGATCCTGTGAGTATTGAGTGTTGACTAAGTGCCCTCTGCTTTTTAGATTTGGCAGGCAAAAGGGTAATTTAATTCGCTTCAAGGCCAATTATTTTCTTTAGATTTCCTGTAGTGTTCTTATGCAATTGTGTATGCTAGATTTGAAAAACAAATGTAATGAAACGATATACTCTTAGCTCAAGATTTTTTTTCCAATTTGGACATCAGACATTTTTTATTTACCACATTTAATGATGGTGTATTAAAAGACCCACTTGCATGTAAATTGACAAAAACATTACAAGCCTCAATAACAAATTGAAGACTGAATAAAAAAATGTACTTTGACGTAAGTAATGTTTGAATAAAACATTACATTTGATAACCTGGATTATAATTGCAATTACATTTGCAATTACAATGTGCCTGGAAAGTACCTAATTATTTAACGACGGAATTCTTGCTCAAAGTAACGACGGAATTCTTGCTCAAAGTGAAGATAGGACTGGTATCAAATACCCTGTGAAATTACTCGGCCTGAAGTGGTATCGTTTGGAAGAAAATGTTACTGGTGCTTTCAAAATTGGTTGCCAGGAGGCTCATTTTTTTTTGTACATGCGTTAGCAACGGAATCCAGTTATGAGACCCCAAAATTGTGCAAAAGTTTTCTCTGTTTTCTCAAAATGTATGATAACCACTGAACTAAAAATTTAACAGGTTGTTATGATTTTGAGCAATTGTATTGCTTGAAACAAAACCAAAAAAAATGTACAAAAATCAAATGATCCTATGTGCCTTGGTACATGTATTATGATTTTTTTTTAAATGCATTTATAAAATAATGAAAAATTTCACCTTTCCACAACAGATATGGCAGTTGTCGGAGAACAAGCTGAATTTCCTGAACCCCTTCAAGATGAGGATCTCCATCATCTTTGGCGTGACCCACATGATGTTTGGCATCTTCCTCAGCTTCTTCAATTACATGTACGTTTTGGGTGATTTACTGGTCCTGGGATGGGCGGCATTTGTTTTGGATGCATGGCAAGGAAAGTGGACGAGATTTTGGACTGTCCATGATTGATCAAACAATAATACAGTTTTTGTCAGTCATTTGTTGAGGGGGAAATTGTATTGAATGCAACGTGTTAGCCAGCATAACATGATTAATCAGCTTCGTACCCAGCAGTACGCTGTTATTAATACTTCAAGCACCATCAGATTACACCCCCGTCCCAAATTATTTAGTAGCATCTTGTAAAAAATCTGAAGATCAAAGACATCCTCATCAGGGTAAAAAAAATTATGTCAATGAGAGACTCAAATCTGGATTTGTATTAAATTTGTTTTATCTTCTCTTAACAGGAGCCGTCGTGAGTATAGCCGCATCTTCCTGGAATTCATTCCGCAGGTCCTGTTCCTGGGGCTGATCTTCGGCTACCTGGTCTCTCTGATCTTCTTCAAGTGGTTGGCCTACGACGCCAGCACATCCAAGTCTGCGCCAAGCATCATCAACATATTCATCTTCATGTTCATGGTCTCCAACAAACCCGAGCTGTACATGTATTCCGGCCAGGTGAGCAGTTGAACTCCCCCTTTCTTTTTTGTATCCCTTCCCCTTCCGACTTGATAGTGCGGAAAGGCCTACAGGGATTACCCTTGTCAGAGGGAACTTGAATAGCTGTTTACTTGACTTGTGACTGGATGAATTGTGAGGACTTGCCTCGGATATTTGCAAAGTTTTGCATTGTCAAAATAAGAGACGGACTACCTGTGACGTTGTGGGGACCTACTCTGTGGGCCGAGAGATACCCGTTTTTGTGAAGGTGTCAAATGAATGTGTAACCCTGACCTCTGTTTGTCTCCATACACAGTTCTACGTTCAGGTGGTTTTGCTTGTCGTTGCGGTGCTGTGCGTTCCCATCATGCTCTTTGGCAACCCCATCTACCTGCTCATCAAACACAGCCTGAAGAAGAACACCTTCCAGGTAGGCCAAAAAAACCCCCAAACCAACAACTTACCAAACTCATTTAGGAGCACAGTAACCTTCCATTGGTTTGATTAACCGTCATCAAACATAGTCTAGTCAGTGATGCAGACATATTTTTTTCAGAATTTAGTCTGAAATCAGAGGTTTTGTAATCTGAGAGAAAGACATCAGTGCAGAAAGAAATGCATCTTTAGGACCTTTCATCAAATTTGACGACTTTTTAAAAAATTGGCAATATCATCCCTGATGTCGGTTGGACTAGTCAAGTCAGCTAGTTGGGACTAGCTTGCTGACATTGGTCACTTAGCTGGTTACCAATAGCCGCCTGTATAGCAATGTACAGCAGGGAGCCAGGACTACAAGGTTTAGCGATGACTAGAGATGTTTGTGTTTTAGAGGTAGAGTGGACCACTTGCAGCTATCCAAAAAGTAACCAACCAAATTATTGTTAAAAACTTACCTGGTTTAAAGATAGAAATGACACTAAACTCCCTGTGAAATTATTCCTTCTGGTATGCTGTCATTTTTTTAAGATAACAGTAAAAAAAAAAAGTTTTCCAAAGATGTGTCAAGTGACACATTTTTGGAAAATTTCCGTTTGTAGTTGGACTGTAATTGGGCAAATCCATGAATGGGTGCAATCGGCTGAACGAGAACCACGTCCCAATCTCTGATTTTGGGATTGTGTCACAAGAGGGCGCAGTTCAAAATGTGACTTGGCAACTTTTGAACTGATATCAAGATCCAGAATAATGTGTTTTCTCAAAATATACAGCATTCACAGAGCTTAAAGTTTGTCAGGTTAGTTGTTAAGCGTCCCTCTTAAGATTTTGAGCACTTTCTTTGCTTCAAACGAAAAAAATTAACAAATGGTAAATGGTCCATTCCACCGGTACCTTTAATCTTGGCACACAAAAAAGGTAAGTCACAGAATCATCCCACAGTCGTTGATGGAATTTGATTTGCTCTGTATTGTTGTAAAAGAAACATATTATAAAATGTCATAAGGTATCAAAGGCAAAACAGTCGGGCTAAAAGTGTGAGATCCCCAAAATACTTCTTGTGTAAGAAATTGAGAAGACGTCTTTATAGATAAGGAGCAGGGAACCACAAAAAAGGAGAATACGTTGGAAATTCTAGATACTCATTTTTTGGTAATAATAGAAAAAAAAGTTGGCTGAATTGATAGGGCTGTGCCGAATATAACACATATTCGAATATTCGAATATCAACTGAATATCCAAATAGAATGGTTTTATTGTTTGTCAGATGCCACACTTTTGATGAAAGCCATTATCACGCATGATTTGAGAGCTTCCATGGGTAATATTAGCTCAAGTTTCTTCTTTACAAGCTGTCAAATATCAGCCATTCTGCTACCTGTTCTGTTTATTAAAGCGCTCTTATCAATTTTCAACAAGTGCAGGCGCATGCAAAACCCAATCAGCGGCCGGTTTAGGTCGGCGCATGTTTAACTTGATCAGTGTGTTTTAAAAATGAAACACTGAAATATTTGATCAAGTCCAAGTCGGAACAATCGAACACTAAATTATTTGAAAAATGACACAGCCCTACGGTATGAAGAAAGTTATTGTGCCTGTCATTGACGAGATAAAACAGATGTAGGGATTGTTTCATTTCACAAGGTAGGAACAATTGTAGGGATTTTCATTTTGCTGCTGGTTGGAGGAACTAACAAGCGAATTTACTGTACATCCCTTGGGTTCATGGGTTTTTGACAATAAGGTTCATGCAGAGTAGAGCTTGATCATCTAACGCCATCATGGTTTCATTAGAAGGACTGTCTTCTGAGTTTTTTCTCTCAACAGAACCAAGACACCACAGGTTGTCCATTCAGCATTGAACATTTTCATGATATTTTTGCTAGTTTTTTTCCTTTTTTTGTACTTCTGGCACCAAAACTGCAGGAATTACCTCACATACAATCACAAGTAACAAATTTGAATTGGTGCGGGTGATTTTTAGCAACTCATTTTTTGATGCCAACTTAAAATTGACGAAATCCACATTAAGTTTAAATAATGAAAGGTTTGCGGAAACACCATGTGCGAATATGTTTTTAATAACATTTAGTTTGTACATGTATATTCAACCAAATTTCTTGTTTGTTTTATTATTGAAACTGAAGTCAACATTTTTGTGTTGTTGTTGAGAATTTGAAGTTGACTGAGTGAAGTCGTCTTGGCAATGAAATGTTGGATTTATGAGGGAAATCGTCGGGGGTCGTGTCACCCCCATCCCCACCCCCACCCTCACCCCCACCCTCACCTGGACCCGGTGAAAACTGTGCCTGATACACATTGTGTTGTCCCTCTTCAACTCTTTCAAGATTTCGGTGTGTCTTGTGGCATTGACCTGTCCCCACAAAACCAGGGAAAAAATGTTAACGTTTCTTCAGTCAGTGATGATATCATATTCATTTTATTTAACTATCAATCATCCACCATAAAATTAGTAAAAAAAAAATAATTTAAAAAATGCAAATTAAAAAAAAAAGTATAAAAATATGTGGAATTCTCATGCATGTAAATTGTACATGTCATGTGTGAGTTGAGTCTGCCAAAAGAAAAATGATTTTGGAGTACTTTTTTTTAAAGGTCTTGATTGGCACCGAATTTGAAAATCTCCACCCCCCAAAAAAATATAAAAATATCAGTTAGGGTTTTGAATGAGCACTTCTCATATGGTAAATGGTTCCGAAAACGTCCAACTGTCATGTTTTATGGGAACAGGTCACATTTGCCATGAACTGATACATTTGTCTTCAAAAAGCTTTCACAGGTCGTGAGGGTGCATGTGCTATGTGCAAAGTAGTAGGAGTGCATGTTGGTGATTACGTAGTTTTTCGTTTGACCAAGAGTTCATTTGTCACGAGCCGACTCTATCTGTCCTTTGTTTTGTTTTGTTTTCTCCATGATTAATTTTGTCATCGGTTACGTTAACTTGACATATTATTGTTGCATTTCTTTTAACTGTACATAAGGCATATTTTGTTTGCTGGATTTTTTTTTATTCACAAGCGTATTTGTTTTGCGTTCTCGTTTTTATCCAAGGTCTTAAAAAAAAGAAAAAAGAAAAGTAGTTTGCTTTTAGTTAGCTGCTGCTGCCCGTAGAGGTTCAGAGTAATACTCAATTGCATTTTTGTTTTTACTAAACAAGCTGATTGTCCACTGTATTTAAGTCATTTTTTTTGGGCAAGTTGTAACTGCAGTGCTGGTGAGTTAAACTTTTAATGTTACGTATTAAAACTGTAGCTCCTTTTCTTTGCTCAGAGTGTCTTTTAAAATGGTTGTCATAGCAGCGTGCACAAGAAGCTCCAAATCCAAACATATTGTCCATTTTGTCCATAACTCCCGAGGACAAGCCGTTGTCTTTTACCTTAATATCCCTGTAATATAACGCTCTCCCAAAGACTAAGCACTTATAAACGCGTGATCGAGGACCTTTTTCAATGAAAGATGAATGATCGAGGTCAACCAAGAATCTGTTGTTCTCTGTTTGTCTGTCGGTCCTCGGGGTGTATTTGGTGTACGCCCATATTATATGTTCCTTTATACACTAGAAAGTCATACTGACATCTATTTGCCAGGATCTTTCCCGAATTCTTCAAAATCCCTCGCTGTGGAGGTACTTTCCTTGTTTCTGACAAAACAAGACTAGGCAAGTCTAGTAAAGCTGGTCCCAGAGCACACAACATTCTATTCAATTCAGGCGATTCACAATGCAGTGCGCCACCAAGAGTTTGCCATGGAGAGTCAACTTTTGAAGTTTACGGTCGACAAAATATGGCCCATTTGAATGAGTGTCAGTAGACAACTTGAGCTATTATGTTATAGATAGGGGCATAGCGTTCTGCCACCTTACAAAAATCACCATATTGATACAAAGAATATAAAAGGGCAAACATATACTCTAATCATACGCTTACAAAACTACTGACTGGAAAAAACGAACAATTTCAAATGTCCCGTGCTGCGAATTTGTCCCACAATGCACTGGGAAAAATGAACTCTCCTATACGATAGTACTGCCCGGCTTTCTTCACAAGTCTACATCATAAGTGACAATCACTCATGGACCAGCAATTAGAATCCCAACCTTTCCGTCAGATTTTGAAGGATTTAGGAATTTTGGGGTTTACATGTAAATGCGTTTCACCTGAACGGATGTTCCTGCCAAAAACTTCTCATATTAGTCTTGTTCACATGTACATTCAGCGTTTGTTTTCATACATCAGACGAAATCAGATACATTCACATACATGTATTTTCACACCAACATGCTCATATATCGAAACACGATTGCGATATACTTTATTCATATTGCGAGTAAACTATTTTATTTAGTACAAAGAACTTAAAAAAGGTGGGGAGTGTGGCTTAGTGGTTAGGGTTCGTGACTCCTGATCAGAGTGTCAGGGGTTCGAATCCAGCTGCTGACCATATGTTGTGTCCTTGGGCAAGCCATTTCACCCACACTTGCCTCTCTCCACTTTAAGTTTAAATGGGTACTGGCACTAGCTGGGGAGTAACCTGCGATGGACGAGCATCCCATCCAGGGGGAGTCGAAATATTCTCAGTCGTTTCATGCTACTGAAATCGGAGATAAACACTGGCCTGATGGGCCACATTGGCTCGTGACAGACTTTACTTTTTTGACTGATTGAAAAAGAAGACATATTCGTTGTGAAACTTCTGGGCATGTTCAACGTGAAAACTGTTCAATCTGGGTGAGAAGGCAAATAACCCTTTCACATAAAATTAATCATCCCCTGGAGTCTGTTTGATAATAACACAATGACAGTTTGCGTCATCTTGACACATTTTAACAAAACGAATCTCATAATACAGAAACCAAATCAAACTGATCATTGACAAGAACATTGGAAAGAATTTACCGTATGCAAACTCACTGGTTTGCATTATACAGCCCCTTTGTAATTCGCACTGCAGCTTGCAGACTTTGAACAGCTCAAGTCTGTCAGTTCTTGCCATTTCCCGCCCAGGCAGACCATTCCATGATGCTTCTTGGTGCAGGTTGCTATGACAACAAGCTGTCAATCTTTCAGTGCGTTCGATTACTTCCCTTGCGCTTACTTGTACTTTCGTCTCGGGTATAAATGCTCTTGCGCAATCTGTAGCAATAATCGAACGATCTTGGGTTACTTGAGGTCGAGCCATGGCAACTGGACCAGGTCAGAGGTCATGTGGGGATTAGATCCCCTTTACAAAGTGGATTTGAGCCGTCAAAAGCGAGCCATGATGATGGGTATGTTTGGTTTTGAGCTGTAAGTGCTGAAACAAATTACCAAATTTCAGCGCCCTGCGGTTTACTGGCAGTTTAATCCTCCGCTGCCGCAGCATTAGACTTAGCTGCCATGTTTTTGCATTTTATTGTGGGATACTAACCCAAGTAACCGGCTCAGCAGGTTGGTTAGTTGGGCTAGGCTCGAGTACGCGCAGGAAGTCACTAGTTACATGCAAATTGAATGCAGTCGCGCTTGAATGAGTAAGCACGGGGGAAGCAATTGGACGCGGTATTTCTGAAGTTCTGCATGTCTTAATTGTATCGCTAAAAACAGAAACCTAGCATTGCAAGTTGGCATTTTGTTTTTCCTGTTCTGTTCTCTTCATCCTGCTGTGTTTTTGCAACCGGCACCTGGTTCCCCTGCCTGGGCCCGCGCACTTCATCATCCCCCCTCCTGCCCTCAAAACCCACCAACCACCCATCACCACACAACCCCACCCGAACTCCTACTCATCAGCCCAAAATGCGGTTCTCGACGCTTCTAATGCAGCGCCTGAACAGACAGGAGGACTCGATGGGCATCGCGATCAACGACTCGCTTGACGAGCAGTTTCAGACAGAGAGCTCCAGCCAGGGTAACAGTCTGGAGGGCAGCTTGGAGGAAGATGGAGTGGGCACTAGGACTAAGGAGGAGGTGAGTACCAGAACTGGATATTCACAGGTACTAGACCTGGTTGGTTGCAGGTACGCGACCTGGTTGGTATGTGGGTATCAGACCTTGTGGTTTGCTGGTACCAGACTTTGTGGATTGAGGGTACTAGACTTAAAGGGATGCTGGTATAAGATTTGGTGGGTCTCCGGGTACTAGACCTGATGGGCTGTGGGTGCTAACCCTGATAGGCTGTGAACCCTGATAGGCTGTGAACCCTGATAGGCTGTGAACACTAGACCTGGTGGGCTTCGGGTACTAGACCCAGGTGGGTTGCGGGTACTAGACCTGCTGGGCTCTGCGTACTGTGATCTGCGTGGGGCACTAGATGTGGGCTGTGGGTACAAGACGTAGTGGGCTGTGGGTATTAGACTTGTTGGGATGTAGGTACTAGACCCGGTGGGCTGTGGGTTCTAGACCTGGTGGGCTGCGGGTGTTAGACCTGGTGGGGTGCAGGTGTTAATGCTGGCAAAAATGACAAACATTTAATAAAACACCAAGGAATTTTGCTTAATTGTTGGGGTGAAGAACGTTTTGACCGGTTGATCTGTGTAAATGAGCATAGCACTATAGGTGACATCAACATTGACGTTTGTGCTGCTCATTGTTCTTGTCTCCAGTTTGATTTCGGTGAACTGATGATTCGCCAGGCCATCCACACCATTGAGTTTTGCCTCGGCTGCGTCTCCAACACTGCCTCCTATCTACGTCTGTGGGCGCTCAGCCTGGCACACGCAGGTATGTACCAGAATAAAACCATTACAAACGATTGTGCTAAAGCGAAAATCAGCCAAGAATCAGTCCCAAGTAGTATGTTTTGTATGGCTGGTATCCTGTTTTTGCCATTGAGTGAATGTATTATGTGGTTGTAAGGTTAACCTGATAGGCAGGAGTGGATCTAAGGGGGTGGGGGGTTGTTGCAACCCCCACCTCCCTCCCTCCCCCCGTTCACCTGCTGACTAATGTTTAGCCGCTAGTAAAATCCGTACGCCTTCACTCAACATCCCCAGCCCTTCACAACACTCCCCCCTTTCCTTAAGCTAGATTCGCCCTGAACAGATTTGACAGATTTCAGAGATTGGAAGGCCCAAATGCAAAATCCAGTGATGAGGAAAACAGTCGTTTTGATACTCGTATTGAAGAACTAGCTTTGGTTGAACTTGAGTATAAAGATCAGCATGTGTGTTGTGGTTCTTTATGTTGCCTTACATACTTCTGCTTGTACGCACGAACTGTACTTGACTTAGAGTTGAGAGTATTCCTTTTTTACATCAATGCATGGCATAGTTTGATAAAGTCATACATACTGCTGGTTGGATTTGTTGCTTGTTTAGGTTCGTTAGACTAACACAGGAGCAAAGGGAAGTTATAAAATGACTGATTATATTCTTTCACACTTCTCTGATATTGTAACATGTTTTTTTGGTTTTTTAAAATCTTTTCCCCAAAATCGTAGAGCTATCAGAGGTTCTATGGACCATGGTTATGCACAACGGCCTGGCTTTGACTTTACTACCGGTATCCTTCGGCTGGGTCGCCCTCGTCCCTGTCTTTGTGGCCTTCGCCGATATGACGGCTGCAATCCTGCTGCTCATGGAGGGCCTGTCGGCGTTCCTCCACGCTCTCCGACTCCACTGGTGAGCGGCCTGTATTACAGCATTTGTGGACGAATATTCCATCACAATCTTGCTGCGTCACGGTGGTTCCCACCATGCCCTGCGCAGTTTTCACTGCGGTATTTTTTATAATTTAAAGTTATTAGGCAAATTAAAAAAAAAACATGTTTCTTGTCCCCGCCCACTTCTTTTTTGGAGGCCGCCTGGATTTTTTTATTATTTTTTTATTTTTGAAAAATGCAGTAAAATAACACCGAAAAAGTCCACAAATTCATCGGAAAATAAATTGTAGACAATACAAGTCTAAATGACACTGTAAATATGTTCAGTTCTCTTGTCCAACTTATCTTTCATTTTAAAAGTGTCTTTGAACAGTGGAAACATCAACAATTGCAGGAAATTTTTAAATGGCGGCCATCTTGAAACAAATAAAAAATAAAAAATAAAAAGCCCCGCTGCCTCCTTTTTTTCGAAAACCTGGACGAGAAACATGTTTTTTTTTTTAATTCGGCCTTATTTTGATGTGACGCGAGACACGGTGCTTTCAATTTTGAAGAATCAAAATTTTAGAATTACATGTAGTTGTTTAAAAGATGAGATTTCAGGGTCGAGCTACTAGAATATATGTGCGTACCTCTGGCATACCTTTTACAACACAAGATTCAGTTTTTTTTTTTTTTTGGCGAAAAAACAAGGCTTCCAGACTTTCTGTACCCTAGAGGCATCGCACAGTCTTGAAAAAAGTGTTTGAACGTGGCATTACGTCACCTGCCGTGGATAACACGAGCGCGTATAGGGCGTGCAACCTTCGAGATATGTGCACATCACGTTCTGAATTGTCAATCAGCGTAGTTTACGCACAGCTAGGGGTTAGTGAAGGAACGCGCACGCAGACCAGGGAGTCGAGGCTGTAGCGTACTTTGCACCATATGTGCAAACCAGTATATGCACCTAGTGTATCTCTCTCACTGGGGCTCACAAAAATGTGCGCAGGGAGTCCACATACAATTCAGGAGGATTTCATGGGTTGGAAGTCCCAGCCGAGCAAGGTGGTGATTTTATTTCTTGAGCATAAAAATTTACATTGATGAAGGGAAGAGTCCAATATGAAACATTCACTGTTGGGTTCTGGTATATTTTGTCCATCCTCAAATCTATTTTTGTTGTTGTCTCTAACAGGGTGGAGTTCCAGAACAAGTTCTACAAAGGAGAGGGCTACCTCTTTGTCCCGTTCTCCTTCGCCAAGATTCTCGAAGCTGAAGAGGAATAGTTTGTCCTCATCCGTGGTTGCACACAGCTTCACCTGAAGTCTAAGCCCAAATGCAGACAGAGGACCAATTATAAAACCAAATTTTCCTTATAAATATTGATGATGGATAACGATAACGATGGATATACCTTACTTTCAATTAATTTAATTTGTAAATTTGCTAAGGAGTTCATTTGGGAAACCTTAATGACAAACTTCTTGATTTTTAAAATTTTTCCTAGGAACGAAAATTTCCAACTAAAATACCTATAACTCTGTCTGATTTTGTCTGATTCCCATATTCTATACATCATTGGAAAGCTTATTCAATGTCCTTTCCAATGAGGCCAGAATCCCAGATTTTTGAAAATTGGTCCAAGTGACTGGTTTTGTGCTGAAGGGTCACATTGCAATTTCATGGTTCTACTTACTGTAAATGAAGAACTTTCACTAGCTAGGTAAAGCAGATGTTTGCTGGTGTGTATGTTTACACCTCTAAGGATTCAGCGTTCATAGTTAGGCCAAAAAAAAATTTGGTCTCTGGTCAGACCAAAGTTCCGGAATTGACGCGGCGACACAGCTTTTTTTTTTTTTTTCAAGCTTGGATTGTACAGACAAGGTGGGGTACTATTTTGCTTTTTGGGTGTCCTCATGTACATTGGTGTCCTTCATAATTTGCTTTGGTGCTCTCGATCATTTGCCGTGGTGCAATTTCCCATTCCTTGGTGCTCTTTGGTAAAAAAAATTGAGGAGGTGCGGCAATAGAGGCCGCTGTTGGAGCTACCGCGGAACATTTAGGGGGAAAAAAAAGATTGATGCGCATGATTAAAATCGACGCGCGCGCTGACCAGAGACCGACTTATTTTTTTTTTTTGGCCTTAAAGCCGACTTTTTTGTCGGCACAGAATGGCGATTGGCGGCAGGGAATTGTGGGGTTAGCCGAGCCATGAAATTGCACCAAGAACTGTTTTATCTTAATTTATGGGTGGTTTTGTGCACACCTTGTCTGCTTTTGCATATTGAACATTGCGTAGAATACTTCTAGGAAAAAAGTCTAATATTGATAGATGTATAAGATTATCCATTCGGGATTTATAACTTTTTTCAAATAAGGGGCCAAATTAAAACCAAAAAAAAACAAAACATAACAGTACTTCAAAATTGTTAGTTTAAAAACTTTGTAGCACCAAAATTAAAATAGTTATAAAATGCGTGCCGAGAGAGCAGATAATTTTTTTCGCAGATAATGAATTAAAATTCTGATTAAGTCAAAACAGGACTTGTTTGCTCTGCTTCATGCTACATATATGTATCACGGCTATCAAAATATATATATTCGTTTTGATGTGAAAAGCTTTAAACTTTGAATAATTATGTTTATTTTGAAAATCTTATCAGAATAAGAATACAGTATGTAACATTCCAATTTGTATTGAAGACTGTGCTAACAAACAAAAAAGAGAGGTCAGTTTAAAGTAATTTTAATATTTGAATCAATGCAAGGAATTTATTGGAAATTGTGTGGTTTGCAGATGTGACTTGTTAAAATTTGCCAATCTTTTTATATAAACATCCCTTTTGCATAGTATTGGAAAGTACAAAATGGGCGAGTTTAGTGAAAGACAACAAAAAGACTGTGATATGATCATAAGAACAGTGTCCCCTCCAGTCTCCTGACAACAGGCTGAGCATACTGTTCAAAAAAATGTTGGGTTTCTACTTGAACCACACAAACTAAAAAACAATCCTTTCAAAGGGCTGCCACAGTCATGGAAAAATCCTGGAATTTCAAGAATTCATGGAAAGTAATAAAAAAGTCAGGGAATTTCCTTTTTTTTACAAAAAAAAAATGGGAAATTTATATCCCTAGATAAAGTCATGGAAAAATCACGGAATCCTGCACAACCAATATGTGATGATGCATAATATTTGGCTGTGGCAGTCTTCCAGTTTGCATTCTAGTTTACTCACGATACTTCCTCTTATTATACTGTATACTTGTGGCATGTTGAATGCATGATTGTGCTGCCTTTGTGGTGCTCAGTGGTCTCGTGTCAAACTGGAAGGCTGAAAGGGAGTGGTGTCCCTTGCCTCAGTGTGACGACTCGCTATTTGTATATTGAAATACGCTCCTAAGATGTCAAAATAGCATAGGATTTGGTCGTGGAAAGCCCAAATTTTGTCCTGGAAAAGTTACGGAATTTCATTTTAAGCTTTCTGTGGGAACCTGCTTTCACATGGCGCACTTGCAAACTTGATACCATCGCTTATGTGTGGTAGGAATATTTTGAGAGTAAAAGGCGATTAGTTCGGGAGTCAGGATTTGAACTTATTCTCATTTCTACAGACGAATTTATTTCAGCTCTAGATGTTTGTCTTTAAAATCCGCAATACACACTGGCATTAAGTGTGTAGTCTTAAAATAATTAAATACATGTAGTTAAATATGTTTATGTTCAAATTTGTTTCCTGATTTTTCTTCCAAGTGCCTTATTTTAATATATTGAATCGCTTCAATTTATTTTCATTTCTTTGATCTGATTTTGAAATTTGTCAGAGTTTACCTTAATCACTTTAGTATTTGAATTTTATTGTTGAAATCATTTGAAATCTTCAACCCGGTTTAATACCAAATCCTGTCTTTCGGTAGTTTTGGAGAGACTGACAATGTTTTATTTCCCTTTATTTTCCCAGTATTTTTGTAATTTTTCCTTTGATGAAGGCATCAAGCAATTAAAATTGGTTTAAGAATAACGAAACTCGTGGCCATTGTATGCATTTTTTTTTATCAATTCCCTTCAATTTAATGTGCCATTGAATTTTCTTGTGCTCAGAACAATGACAAGAATACATGTACTGATAATAGTGTACTGCAGTCATTGTATCACAAGTATAAATAGAAATCCTCAAACCCTAAACCTTCAGAAACACCAAAACAATGTTGTAGAACCAAAACTCCCTCCCTTTGTATTATTGAAACGAAAGAAACCATTGACACAATACAAATATGCAATAATGAAACTGATGACATTGACATTTTTTTTTTGAACGTATTCTTTTAATGTTAAGTACACTCACGACAATGTTTAGCAAGTTGCATCGAATACATAAAAATCAAATGCCAATTTTTATGCTGGGAAGGTAATAAAAAGTACATGTACATGTATAATAATGTTGATTAAACCCACTTACAATTAGCTCAGGTGACAAACACTGTGAGCAGACGAATTTGAAATGTTTTCATTCAACTTGAAGCATATTCGGACACCAAATGTGGGCTCCAAACTTGCTGAACAGTTGCAGTTTTTATGGACATCGGCAAAAAGCTGCAGAGCTTAAACCTGTCGGCACTAAAACATATATGAATTTCAAACAAAGTTGTCAAGAATCCCCCCCATAGAAATGATTCTTGTTTAGCTTTATCATACTGTGTAGTGTTAAAACTGTAGGGCAGTTGGGAACAGTTTAAGGCGTAAACAGCGGGGCACGCAAGATAATTGATAAAAAAAAAAACACTGGTGAGCTCGCAACATTAAACACGCATAATCGTAATGTAAGAAGTAGATAACCAAGTGCCATCACGTCCCGGCATACGAAACTGGTGTCTCTTCTGGTACCTGAAATAAAAGAGGACACACCAAACTTATATGAATGATTTAGGATTCTCAATTCCATGCTAAGAAAGTAACCGCTCAACAATTGACTAAATATGTATTTTAATTTCCAAACCACAACTCCACAGAAACCAGTAGATGTTTGTCTAGATACTATGCCAATTTACAAGAAATGCAGAATCAAGGGCGAGTAAAAGATCTCCAACAAATAAGCTTTCTTTCCCAACTTCAAATTATGCTGAGAGGGTTTGGAGAATAACGATGTGGGAAGGTATTAAGCCCAGACATTATTAATTTAACTGTGGCTTGATGCCCTTGGACAGTTTGAGTGCAAAGAAGGTGCCAATAATTTCCTGCAAAGTGGGGGATTTTGAAGGTTTCAGCAAAGGTCTTAGTTAGGAGTTGGAGGTTTTGGTTACAAGATTAGGGTTTAGATAAGGTTTTGTCAAGAAATAAGTACATACCTGTTGAGTCTGTGCAGTGCTGGTCTGTGGCGGTGCGCAAGTCTCTTGTGCATCTTGTGCAACTGATTCAGTCCCCAGTAAGTGCATCTGGTCACCTGATAAGCCCAGTACATCGATGTCGTCCTCGGTGACCTCAGTGGCCTCTGTGGGCTTCTGTAGGTAGTCGTGGTCTGCCATGGCTGCTGTCGCGTTTTTCTCCTTTGGAAATGGAAAACAATATCAGATAATTTAGGGGTTGGGATGGGGAGTGGGGGATAAAAGGGGGGTAGGGGGATCTCCCACATCAGTCAAAATTCACCAGGAGGCTCTGAGGATTTAAGGTATGATGCCTCATAAAAATGAGAGCGTAAATGTGCCTCAGGGTTCCAACACTGCACGTGTGGGATTGTGGAGGGTTCAGGAATGTTCAAAGACAAAAATGGCCAAGTAGTCAATATTACACGAATGCACTACTCTTTGGCCTGTTACAGACCCCAAATTCCAATATCAGATTCGTTATCTGCTTTAGGGACTGTTTAGATACTTGACAGCTGCCAATTTTTCTTCAAAATCAGGGAGTAAATCTGTGCTCATCTCTACCGCATTGCATTTCTGACTTAACAGTCTGTCTACAGTACTATGTCAAATTTTTACGTAGTACGGGATCAAAATAACCCTTTCATAAAAAATATATATATCTGTAAATTCAGAGGCAATTTCAAACAAAATCCAGTCACTTAATTTCCAATACAGAAAACCTATTAACGCGTTTCTCTCCCATCCTCTGTCTGGTCAGTACCACATACATGTACTATGAATCACAATTTACAGACACATGAGCAACCAACCTGCTCGTATTCCTCTTCTAGTTGCTGATTGGCCAATCGGTAGCACTCGGGAGCAACGGGCGTGTGCAGTGGGCAGGTGCTCTCCAGGGACAAGGGATCTGCTGCGTAGGCGCAGGCCTCGCGACCCCTGGTGCAGGGTATGTACAGTACCTGGTGTGTGTCCTCCAGCACATCTGATGGGTTCGTTAAGGTTGAACCCTTTTGTAACTGCTTCATCCCTCATAAGCGCTTATGTGATCCCACTTCTCTGACCATAAAATTAGCAGTGATAGGCTACGTCTTAATGGGCCAATTTCACAGAGCTGCTTAAGCACAAAATTTACTTAAGCACAAAAACGTCTTGCTTAATAAAATCAGGTTACCGGCCAAAACTCCCTGCGATTGTTATGCTAAGTAAACAACAGCTAAATACCAGACACAAGCAATGAACATTACATGGAGTTTTGGCCGGTAACCTAATTTTACTAAGCAATGTTTTTTCGTGCTGAAGCAAATTTTCTGCTTAAGCAGCTCTATGAAATTGGGCCCAGGCTACTGGCAACAGTAACACACCTGCCATAGCCAAGTAAGTTGGACGCGGCCTAAGTAGGGAATGGGAATTGAAAGAGAACTAGACCAAAAAGTAGTTTTATTACTAGAAAGCCTTCGACCACTTTTGGAGCCCAGAGGTCCAGTGGATATTTCAAGCACAACTTGGAGCCTCAGTTCTTTGGAGCCTGGGCTCACGAGTTTGAAAAAAGATACGTTCCATGCAGAAGCCAGTGATGGGCAGGGCGGGGTTTCCGCACTGTTTTTCCCCACTGCTGTGCTTGCACTGGGCGGGGAGGCTGACCCTCTGAGGCCCCATGTAGTTTGGCGTGGCCTTGATGCGGCGGTGCTTGGAGCGCTTGTGGAGCAGGGCCTCCCGGCCGTGCCGGTGATGGTAGGACCGCATGGCCTGCAGCCTCAGGATCTTGCGCTTCTCCTTGGGGGTGGTGAAGCTGCCTAGACCCGAACCTAGACAGAGTGAAAGAAACCAAGTAGGACTACTGAGCGAAGTTTACTTTGAGCCTGTCTCCTATTTAACAGCTCCGAGCAGCTTGTTGATTGCTAACCTGCTTGTTCCTTTCTTTCATGGAATATGTGCTTTTTGCCCAGTTGTACAACAGGCAGGAACCACAAAGAAGAATTTTGAGTGAAATAAACAGGCTTTGATCGTACTTTTGTCCAGGCATAAGATGTGAGATTGAAAAAAATTCCTTCACCCTAATTTCTCTCCAAACTTCAGTAATAAGTTTGAACACTGAAAGCTGTGATACTATCATTATTATTATTTTTTAAACAATAACATCGCATGGTGCTATTATCCAGTAACCAATTCTCCAACCAACTGATATGATGGCACCTCAACAGGATACGCTGCAAAAAGGTAAATAATTCTTGAGTTTGGAGATTGGCATATGCCTTTTTGACCTGATATTATCAACTCATCATATGCAAAGGGTAACTGCTGAGTTTTGTACATGCTTGTCTGTTCACCTGTGCTTGCTCACAATCCCTTGCGTTTTCCTACTAAAGATTCTGGTCAGAAACCAGTACCAGTGGGGACACAACCCACAAGCTACCCACCAATGGTTTCCTTCTCCTGCTTAGAGGCCACCAGGAACTGCCGGCGCTTCTCCTTCATCAGATGCTGGAGACGCTTGAACTGGTTGATGTAGAGAGACTGCAGACGAATCAGCTTCTCCCTGGTAATGAGGGCAACCTCCTCTGGGGTGTAGACTCCTGCGTGCCTGTTCCGAAAAACAAAAAAGGAAAAAAAAGGGCAGAGATGCCAACCTTTGTCATCTTGGAACCTTGGCGGATCTGTTGATAAATTGAGTTGAGGGTGTGACGGGTAAGCTTACCCCGACCCTCCTGGGTACTTTCTCGAGGAACCTTAATAAACGCAACAACGTGCAAAACTTGTCAAAATGAGATGCCTATCCGGTGTAACAAGATCCAACAGGTCAAAATCTTGAGGCCAACTGCCTCAGAGTCTGTGGTTGCCAACTGTAGCGGGATACCACTGTGGCATGGGACCAACTCCCACTGTCACAAAATTGGCAGTTTATACACTGGTGTTGATGGCTCAATACAGCAAGGTCCACAAACTTTTACACCTGTTGCACTGTGTTGGATCTAACAGGGTTAGGGTCAATACCATGTAAATAACACCACATTTCTGCAAACATAATGGAAAGCCAGTCAACAGGATTGAGCGATATTTTCCTTGCCTTCAACTTCTGCAACCTGGGTTGATATGTGGTTTTCAGTCCCGGCCTTATTTTGCCAATTTCATTTGGACATCATTTTGGGGTCCACATCCTACCTATTTTTTATAACAGAATATTACTTCATCATCTTCAGGTTCTGTCCATAACCATTTAAATGATCAGATAATCTTTTGGTGGTCACAAGCAATGGGTCATATGGGAAGGTGAAATAGTTGCTGGGAGCGTTTTTAGATTTGGAAGTGGGAGCAAGTTATACTTGAGAAGATCTTCCTGTTCGCTGTCCACACTCTCGGCATCACTGTCTGTGGTTCCCCGCCACGCCTGGTCAACTTGCATGGGATCCTCATCACTCTCGCTTTCACTGGCGCAATCTGGGCATAATAAACGCAAAGGGAAAAACGTATCATACAAACAAATTCCTTGTGATTCTAACATCAATGCAGTTTTGCTCGGACCCTTTCTGAACCCTTCAAAATCTTCAGGAAAGAAATACACTGAGACTTTCAGGGGACATCAAACCCCATGTAAATTGACATTAGCTGGGTTTTACCTTTGCCATTTAAAAAATAAATATCCCCCTCCCCAGAACTTCTGAGACTGTACCTAGGATTTTGGCAGCTATGGACGGCTGGGCCTCCACTTGGGCCTCAGGCGCCATTTTATCCGTGTCCTGCTGGTAGCGATCCAAACTCTCCAAGATCTCACGGGGCGAGTTGCGTGGGAAGGGCTTCAGGCTGGCTTTGTGTCGCAGCACGGCCACCTTCTGGGCATGCTCACGGCAGTACCTGTAATAGATATCATTCAATTGTTTAATGCACACTTGTTGCGTTTGTCAAATAGAAATAGTACCACACATGTTTGAGGTAAATGAAACTGCAAGAAGGCAAATCTTGTAGCCATTACTTACTTGGTAACATGCTTGTAAATGCAACCTCATTTGCCCATTAATTGCACCCCCCCCCCCCCCCCCCCCCCCCCCCCCCGCTGGCAAATTCACCAATGCCATCCCAGCTGTCAGAATCCACTGAGTGACTGTTTTAATTGTTGAGTGCTCCCTACCTTGTAAAGCAGGATCCACTACCTGTGACTGTTTATGTACATAACTTGATACAGCTAAGCTTTGACCGTTGCAGATTGATAAGCCATTATTCATATTATTAGTTATGACAACAAATATTATGTGACTGTTGGTGACTAGCCTGTGTGTAAGTTATTGGAGGGAAAGTGGATTGAATTTCTGACTGCCTGCGACTGATCAAACAGCATGAGGGTTAATTAGGAATGCCAAAAATGTGCACTGCTTAAGTTTTAAATGTATGCAACATGCACATCAGCATATCACCTATGTAATTGCTCGTAAGCCAGGATACAGATTGTGAAGTAAGGATCGGACACTTACCAGCCATTTACCATATTGTTGAAACAATTTTTTGTTTAAGTATTCATCCAGCAAGTGTACTGTCCTTACCCATCTCGCTTGTCAGCTTTGTGGGCGGGCTGCATGCATCTTCGCCCTCCCTTGTTGGAGACAAAGGTGCAGTGTTTGTACGGTGCATTCTTGTCCTCTAGGATGTGGTTGAGGCAGTACTCATAGCCGTCCAGACGATCCTGCATGCAGATACGGTGGGCATAGTTGCAGAACAATCCGTCAGAGCGATGACGCCGGCTGTGGCCTGTTTTTGACTTATGCATATCCTTGCCAAAGAAAAAAATTACACAACGTTCCACATGTTAAAGGGAATATACATCATTTGCTTTTGCTGTAATTTTCGGAAATGGATGGAATTGGGGGGTTGGAAATATATAGCAAATATAGTTTCACTGACTTTTTTGAGGTTTTGGGTTCGAAAATGCTATAAAACCAAGAAAAACAATCATTTTCCTTTAGTCTGGTTCCCTGACGCCACATAAGAAGAAACAGAGCAGTTTACACATACATTGGGGAATTGTAAGGTCAGGGACCAGTCTAGCTGGCTTGTACCCGTTCATAGGTGTGTAATCGATTGCAAACAAGTGCGATGGTCAATTGGGGCCAGTATTTGAAAAAAAGCCAGTTTTTTTCCAACGCTGATCGGCCGATCAGCGTTGGAGATTGATACAAAAATAGCACTTTTCTTGAAAACGACAGTATACCAGGTGCCATGATTTTACAGGATGCTTTACACTGTCATTCACTAACAGTCCAGCAAGGTATTTCAAAATGATTTGGTAGTTTTATTTTTTGATGTTTGCAAATGTTGTATTTTCCCTTTAAGATGCCATCTTGCACGACATTATTGTAAAGTGTTATCGTACTTTAAAACCTTATGGGTTACTTTGAATAATAATGACCCCTTTATTTTTAGTGGAAATTTTCCTGACTTAGCCCAAATCCAACATTGCGACTGCGTTAAATCTTGTTAAACGATGGAATTTGCGCAGACTAATAAAATTCCCCAGGTCTCTTTGATATATTCAGTCAAGTAGGTATAAATCTTGAGTATTAATTTAACTGATTCCACAAATATGTGTATGAAAGCCACTGAAAAAGGAAAAAATATTAAAGCTTTCATAGTAAATTGAGCCATTCTCTTGAAGTTCTTTAAATTTAATAAAAATGAAAGTCACTGCAAAAAAATGCTATCATTTTTGAAATATTATTCAATGCAACACTCATATGTTTTTTGGTTAGGCGTATAATGAAAATAAAATACTTGAACAAGTTAAATCAAATACCATTGATATAAACACATTTTTCTGTAATTTAGGGAAAAAATGTTGCATCCTGACATCACTTTTTCATCATATATTTTCTCAATAATGAAGGTCAGTCATTGCAAAAAATGTTGAAAAGACATCTAGGTCTAGGACTGAGAAACATTTCCAATTTTGTTAGAAAATACCTGAAAATGCACTCAACTCTCCATAACTTTGTACACAACCAAAGATGAAAGAAGTGGCGTCAGGACATTCTTTACTATTTTAGAATTTGGAATAACTACAAAATAAAAAAAATAGTAAGTAATAGTATGAGTAGGAAACATCAATTTTTTAATAAATGCACAATGTTGAGCCCTTCACGTGCGCACGTCACAGCTGTAAATCATGAATATTCATGATTCTTGAAAAAACCGACGCCATCTTGATCCCACCTTTTTCATTTGCGGTTAACAGCGATAAAATACGTTGACTAAATTTTCCCTTCCAATGACTCTAAAATGCAATTTTTCAACGACTCAAGATATCTACTAGTTACGTATGACAATAATATTATAAAAATACCTACCGAAATTCGGCCAAACCACCAAAGTAGAGAGAAGTTTCATTGAAATTCGTCTGACGACATCCGTGGAAAATCCAGCTTTTCAATCCCATGATGCACCAGAGTGTGGGATTTTACGCGAGATCCAGCGTGAATTCGCGAGAAAATCGCTTCTGCGCAGGCGCAGATCCTCTGTCTGGTCGTCGGTACGGGTTCCATGGCGGCTATTCCCGATCGCGAGCGGCGGTGGTATTTTACTCGCGATGTTCTGATGAACAGTCCTTCTCGAAAATGTCAGATAGAGCCAGAGAAGGAACTGTCCTACCGACAACAGGCCGCAAACCTTATCCAGGACATGGGACAGCGTCTTCAAGTGTATCCTTTTTTTCAAAGTTTGTCGGCCATCGGCATCGCAAGTCCGGCACCGGCAGCATGGCTTATCACGTTGTCGGTTTGCCGCCGGAACCGGCATTGATTTGGCTTTTAAATGTTTAAAACCCCCACTTATTTAATTTAGAGAATACATTGAAAGATTGTTTTTCCTCATAGATGTGTGTTATTTGTGAAATATCGATATGTCTTAAAGTCTTGACTGTTTTAATGGATTTCGATGATAGCCATGTAAAGTGATTAAGAATCCATTCAGCCTTTGTATTGTCTCACCATGCACCAAAAGTCCAAAGAACTGACATTGTAATGTCATGAACAATGAAACAATGACATGAATGAATGATGTCTGTGTCATGACATTGTGGAAATGATGCATAATGATTGTGATGTTGCACGTTTTAATAACATTTGCTAGTCATGCTAGTGCTTGCTTATATTGTTATGAATGTCAGACAAGTCGACCGTTGAGACAACTCGACTCGGGACAAGTCGACCGTTGAGACAACTCGACCGTTGAGACAAGTCGACCGTTGAGACAACTCGACTCGGGACAACTCGACCGTTGAGACAGCTCGACTTAATGGAAATGTATACACGTGGAGCGGAAAAAGTTGCAAAAATCTGTGGCAGGACCGGTCCCGGGCGCGGCGCGGGCATACTCGATGCACAGAGGGCGATCCGATCCGGTGGCCGTCGCGTTGGGCCGGCGCGCCCTGCCCGCGAGGATCGGACCCGGCCCGGCACGCGGGCATGTCAACCGGCGCGGCAAGTGGGCGCACAGGCCCCGTAAAAAAAATCACGCTGCGCTATATCGGCTCTGTTATATGCAACAAAAAAACCTCATGTGTCATCACTCCCAAACGGCGATCAGCCGCCGTCAAAAATCCCCGGTACTATCCCCAAAACTAGGCCCAAAAACATGCGAGGCGACTTGTCTCAACGGTCGACTTGTCTTTCCATTTATCGCACATACGGTCGAGTTGTCTCAACGGTCGACTTGTCTCAACGGTCGACTTGTCCCGAGTCGAGTTGTCTCAACGGTCGACTTGTCTGACCCCCATTGTTATAATTAGCTTTAAACTCCAGCTGACATGCTCATCAGGAATTCTACATGTAATGCTGGAGACAAAACTTTGTTGTACGGTAGATGTGAGATTGTAAGAGTCCCTATAGAAACGGACTCCACAAACATGACAAAAATGGTCCTTTTTCCCTTAATTATCCCTTAAACATACGTCATACCATGCACTCAGTGATTCACGAAGCTATAGTAATAATCGACTTGAAACAGAACCAAAGTTACTAAAATATGAAAAATATTGATGATTTCGGTTGCTTCTTTAGAAAAACCATCCAGTGCCGCTGTACTGTCATGGCTGTGTTGTGTTTATTGTGTGCTTGTGCAGATCAGACAATCAGATTCCCCTCAATTATTTATGCTGACTAGGACATCCATTATCCGTCGCGTCAGTAGTACATTGTACATTCTGCATACACAGTACAGTCCATTGGCGGAGTTTCAGGGTTTCCCTGTTCTACATTTATGCCTGACTCCTAGACTCCTAGGTCTTTAATCCTTCGTACTCTTGTTATTTGTTCTGAGTATATCACTGTTTTGTCAAGCGTTTTATCTTGTGTTAATGTATTTGTGTTTTAAATTCATATTTTTATCTCTTTAAATAGTCATATTGTATCACTGATGTGATTATCAAAGGTATTTCTAATCAAATGTTTTCTCTTGACTATTCTAATTCTTTCCTCTATAGTACGAAGTAGTAGAATGCCTGCATGTTCATGCTTTGTAGTTTTCAATGCTAGTCTTTGAAGGCAAATTAAACTTCAGATGATTGACATTGATGTGATTGTACCTTAACTTGACCCTTCACCCAGAAATCAATTGTGCATTAACACCGCCATTGTATATATGCACAGATTCTATGTGTTTCACTCCTTCTCGCGGTTTCCTCGAAATGTGAGTTTTTGACCTCCTACATGGAATTACATAACCATTTAAATACAACGCTTTCGCGTTGTCACTGAGAGCCAAATTGAATTCACCAGAATCCATCACAATGCTACTTTGTACCTGAAGACAGTTGCGATATATCGATCCACAAAGGAAGTAACAGTGGTTTGGCTGCGCACCACAGTCTGTTAAAATAAACCCAGAATATTCATGTAAAACCAGGTGTAATACTGTGTGTTAGATATTGGTGGATCGGGGGAGGGTTAAAGGAAAAGAACTGTTTCTGATCGATGAAAAGATATCCACTGTACATTACAATTGGTGTTCATCATTGTCTAAATCCGGTTACATGTACAGCAGATTCTAAACAGTTGGTTAAATGGACTCATGGACTCCATGTTTTGCCTTTGGCTATTGGGCGGGAAAATTATTGCCAAGATCCAAAATCAAAATAAAAATATGTAACACTTTCCATCGTATCGACAATCTCAAAGTGCTTTACAATTATTCCCCCGTTCATCAGGCTACGAGACCACGCGGCAGCCGATATCAGCGCACATTTGGTTCTCTACCCTCACAGGTACCCACTCATACTCCTGGGTGGAGAGAAGCAATTGTAGTTAAGTGTCTTGCCCAAGGTTACAAACACATAATTTCTGGCAGAGTTCGAACCAACGCACCGTTGTACGGTACATGAGTCAAACACCGTACTCACTGGACCATGGCATTCTACATTCTAGATTAAACTTTTTTATATTTTGAAAAATGTTGACAGAGTATAGCAGCAGCGGCACTGTTCCTTGCGGCCAAAGTAGAAGAGCAACCCCACAAGCTAGAGTATGTCATCAAAGTCCATCATGCCTGCCTGCATCGCGGAAGTCCTGTCCTGGACACGAAGAGTGATGTGAGTGACATGACGTGTGCTACAAGTTTCATGTGTGTTTCTATGTCTGTAATCAAGTGAACGCATGACTATGGACTCTGTGCATGAACATTAGATACATGTAGGGCTTTTGAATCTACACATGAAAGCAAGTGTGTGAAGGACCTACCAATTGCTGTGATCCCATTGGATTTTTTTGGTAAAGGTACTCATGACTTCCTGTGGAATTACAAGTTAAGTCCAGTGGGGACAGCCAGGGGACAACTGTCCTTGTCAACTTACTGCGACCTTGATGTGAAACTTTCTGGCCGAAAGTGGTCGTGGACGATTTCTGCTTAGGTTAACAGTAAACCCCTAGATTGATTTACTAGGAACCTTTCTCACGCAGGCAAATTCCAACACCATTTGGTAAACTGTACACACAAAAACTGTTGGACTCTGATTATTGGTGATAATGTATGCCTAACCCCATGTAAAGCATAGACTGTTTACTAGTGCAGTACTCACTGTAACAGATTCCAACAAACCCTGGTGATGGACTTTGACTGGATGGGGATTGTTGAGGGGGTTAACAGGGACGCTGATTAGTCCATGCTGTAAAACTACTGCGACCACGCTGTAAAACGCCTTGCAGACAATGTCACTTCCACTATTACCTCACTATACAGCAAACATCGGCAGGGTGTGCATGAAAACGTAAACAATGTTTGGGAATCGTTTCCTCTCCTTTTGTGCATCGTACAGTATTCAGTGTTGTAACGGAAACTTTAATTTCTAAAGCGTGAAAGCGTGATTGAAAAAAAAAATTACAGTGTTTTGCCGAAGCTGCACATTTTTGTCAAGTTATACACAGATAAGTATCGAAAACAACTCAACCCAGGTTCGAATCCCCCTGGGCCAACATGTGGATTGGGTTTTCGGTCCCTACCTGATTCCGTGGGTTTTTCCCCAGAATACTCTTTTGGGGTTTTGCTCCCACCTCTACAACTATAATTTCTTCTCAATTGACTCCTTTCTACAGGTTTCTTCAGGCTTGCAAGCTACAGTGCCTGGTGCGCTTTTGAGGAATCATTGGTTTCGTTCCCAGAAAAAGATAATGAAAAAAATAATAACAATAGTAATCTGAATCAGATTCTGTTTTTTTTCTTGTGACAGGCTTATCTACAACAAGCACAAGAGTTAGTCATAAATGAGAGCATTCTTTTACAAACATTAGGTGAGTCCTTATGATTGTGATTTTCAGTGGCATAAAAAAAAGAATGTACGTTTTAAGAGCGATGCTTTTGTTAAAAATTGGTTGTGAATTCAGACGAAGGTTACATGTAACGGCTGAATTAGCATAAGCCACTGAATGGAGCTACATGTATGCACTCTAACCTTACTTGTTTTAACACTCCAAAGCCCTTCGAGTTTTGCCCCGACACATTTGCCCTGACATATTTGCCCATGGAGTTGGCACACACACAGCAAAATCCTTCAAAGCAGTCCACTGTTTAGTGTGCTGGTCCTTTCATATCTTTTCACAGGCTTTTGCGTGGCCAAGCTCCACTGCACTCCGCATGTGCAAGACTCATTGCCTCTTGCTCGAGGGCCAAATTGACATATTAAAAATATGTAATTGAGATTGATATCATGATGCGGCAATCATTCACTTGTTTGTAAATTCACAGAATTGCATAGCTGCCAACTATTACGAATTGTTCGTAATTATTACGAATTGTTTGTTAAATTACGAAAATACGATTTGCCACTAAAACATTACGAATTTTCCATTTTCTACCTAACGAAAAAAAAAATACTTGTAAAGTATCGTTTTTGACCGAAAACTTCTGGCGAAATGTTGCGATAATGGATGGACTGGTGACAAGTCTAATAAGCAATGCGGTCAAGCACCTGATAGACATCAATGCAGTGTGCGCAGTGGAGTACTTGAGGACCAGACTAAAACTATTTTTCAATGGTGTGTCATTTGTGTGCATCTCGTGGATGTGTGGTTGTGTGTACTGTATGTGAGTACTTTTCAATGACGATCGTGAGCACATTTGGTCGCTTATTGCTGGGATGAGACCCATCAGTGCGAGTTTTTAATCATGAAATTTAATAAGAGTATGGTTGGAAGAATTGGTAGTTTGAGTTTATCACAACGTCCAGAAAAGATAAATCTGCATGCGTTTGCAAGGTATGTTGGCGGGATATTTCTATTGCATACGGTGGCCCTATTCATTGTGTGTAAAAACATGATACGAACTCGAAACTCAACATCGATAGCATGCATCTCCAAAAAAAAAATTGTGCGCACGTTATTATTGTTATTATTCATTTGAATTCAACAAACAAATACAGACAGTAAAACAAAATGAACTTTAAAAAAAATTATTAAATTTTTTTAATTAATTTTTTTTTAAATTTTTTTTATTATCTTTTTGCCCACAGTACATTATTATCCACAACAAGCAGGGTATGCACATGTATGTGTACATGTAAACCATGTACCTCTACTCGGTGTTGGTAAAGCTGGTACATACACTTTTGATAATACGACCAGTTGATAATGACCGCGCGGGTTGATTACTAATTGGGATTTTGAAAGGTTGGCAGCTATGGAATTGTACTTTTGATTGTTTCAAAGAAATTATAGATGTACCCACTGTATTTTTTTATGAGATTCATTGCCTTTCATTTCTGTGTTATTTTCATTGTATTTTCAATGGAATTCATTGCCTTTCATTTCTGTGTCATTTTCAAGGATTTGAAGTTGCAGTAGACCACCCACACACCCACGTAGTCAAATGTACACAGATGATTAGAGGTGAGTGCTCTTCAATTTACAAATACTTAATTATTTTCAAATTAACTACCCCCTCTGCTTCTTGTTTGCAGATCCAGTACAGGAGTCCCTTTAATTATGCGTAAATGTTGTGAATAATTCATGGCTCATGAACCAATCAGAACCACTTTTTTCGCCTGTTGGGAGGAGCCACTTGTGATCATGAATACTTTCCATGAATCATGGGCATGTATTCTTTAAAACTAATTCAAAATATTCCTGACACAGTAAAACATTTGGATGACAGGAAAATGTGTTTCTGATTGCGTTCAGGCGTGAAAACCCTACAATGTAATTTCTGTCTTATTTAGTACATTTTGTCAAAACCTCAACGACATCCTAGAAGTTGAAACTGATCAAAAGTATTAAAGTTGTTAGAAAGCTTTTCAGTTGTCCTAGAGAATTCCTCATAATTGTGACAAATCCTGAGGCAAGCTTACATGTACTTCCTATAGATCAGTTTTCAATTAATGTATGTGTTGAGGTATTGACAGAAAATATAGGATTCCCATTTAGTTGGCACGTGTTAAAAAAATTTGGACCAATTTTTGACAAAACTGCCCATTTTATGCTCTGTCCAGGGGATATAAACGTAACAAAGCTTTGAGTGTTTTTGAGTGATTGAATGATTGCCACTAAAAATTAGTTGAAGATGACCTGAGTGTTTCCATTTGCTTTTTGTGATCAAGCTGGGATGTTCAAACTGGGATTTTTTTTAAAATTAAAAACCACTTCCAAGTTTCTCTTGTTTTTTTTCGCTCTGGATAAGGGTATTTCCTATTTTCTCAATTTGTTCGGCATAAACTTGTATATTTTCTTGGTCCAGACAAAAGTCACACTAAAGTAAACTTAAAGAATTGTGTGTGCTTGTTTGTTGTTATAGATTAGACATTTGAGTTTGATTCTAGATTGGAGGACACAAAAAAATCATGTGTATGCTAGACCGTCTGTTGTATATCATCCCATGCATTTGTGCATGTACACTGTGTTAATGTACCATGTTTACACCAAAATTACTAGATTGAATGCACATCACATGTACTTAGTTTGTCAAATTAAATAGCTTTTTTTTGCTTGTCTCTTTTTCTAATTCTGAGTTGATTTTCTGGTTGCACTGCAATTATCTGGGTTTTTGGGCTATTATTAAGGGGACAGCAAAACATTTCCAACAAATTTTGACCAACGATCCCTTCTCCCCGCATCTACATGTTCCTAGGTTTTGCAGCATTCAAAACAACTCATCCTCCCCAAAATCTATTGCGCTCTTATTCTGAACAAAGCTTTAAAAAAAATCATGAGTATTTAGCCATAGCTATGATTTGAAAAAGCTGAATTTATTTCTGTTAATGCATTTCAGGTCGATTCAAGAATGCCTTTGGCTCACGTGAGTTGAAATACATGTTTGTTTTTACCCTGGACAGGGCACCTTGTGCAGTTTTGTGAATTTGGGTCCTTTTCTTGCCACAGTGCTTTTCCTATCACTGAAATGTACAAGTTTCTATAGAACTCACCTATTTTGTAGTTTATTTCACTCATACTTTTTTTTTTTAAAGGAGATTTTGTTTTTGTGTGTGTGTGTGCGTGTGTCAATCACGTTTCTTATGATACTATGTTAACTTAAAAGCCTTCAAATTTGGATAATTCCAATGAAAGATACTAAAAGGGTTAGGTTGAAACTGTTTGAGATATTATTTCTCACGGGAATCGCTTGATCCATTTTTCTAACGCCAAACGTTGCAGGAAGATTTCTGTTTCAGTGATTGGCTTTCAAATGACGTGGCAAGTGCTAACCCTAATGAAGAAACCTGACATCTTTTGAAATAATTTAATTTGTACAAGTTATGAGATATGTTTAAGTGATCTTAGTTGTATTATGTAGCCATTTTTCACTAAAAACCAATCTCGGGCTGATGCATTAATTGTGGCCTACACTGTGTTTGTATACCACTGGAAAACATTTGACATGAGAAATTTTAAGGGGAAGAAAGATGACGTCGAAGGTGGCAAAGATGAAGTTGGCTTGCAATGAATGCATCAGCCTCGGATTCAGTTGGTTTACAGACTTTTTGCACTTCCAGGCAAACCATGCTAATGAGTTTCCCCACTTTTGCCCCCCATTCCTCACACCCCTCATCATCGCCTGCCGTATGTTTTGGCCCCCCATGTCCTGCCATCCGTGTCGGGATTGTGCTGCGGCCTGCCTGTGTCACCTATTCGGATTTGGGTTTCCCCGACCCCTGGGGGAGCAGCCAGCAAGGACCTGGCACAGACCTCCTATTTCATGGCGACCAACAGGTTGGCTGCCCCCATTGCCTATCTCTTTTTAAACAAAGTGTTGTTTTTAAATGTCTGTCCCGTGTCGTGGGCCAGATCTCCTTAGCGGGCATCTTACTGACATTCCGATCAGTGAATTGTGCAATGTTTACCGGGCTGATCGTAAGCCATGTGATTGTTAGTCTTGTCCAAAATTGGCTGTTAGGCATCCACGGCCTTTGTTTTTGGCATTGAAATGCAACAGTTCATATCTGTAGCCACAGACAAAAAAATAAGCTGATTTCAGAGCCAGCCTTATCATGCACTGACGGAATACTTGTAAAGCGCCCCCTGGGGAGATTGTCCACTGATGCGAGTGTCACACTCACTGAAGTTGATATGCATTACGTACACACTCCCACATTTATACGGGGAGCAACATGTACAAATGTAATACAGTTAGATGGACAAAGGGCTTCAGGTTCATTTGTAAACGAGAACAAGGACTCAACCTGGCCTATAAACAGGTAAATATCGCTTCAGATTAGTTCATATGTATTGAATTTGACGAGTTTGCATGGTCAGATGTAGACGGTACTTCAGTGGAATTATTCTTATGCCTTCGGCATTAAATTTCACGTAAATCCCATTTTACGCCCTGCTTTTCTTTAACCTTTGTACCCCTTGAAGATCGGTTGCTCGAGTGACAAAATAATAAAAGCGATTTAGCTGCAAAACCAAAAACCATTGTTTCTCATTGTACCAGTTAATTTCTAATCAGAAAAAGAGATTCCTTTTTTCACCAGATAATGATCGAGTGCTAAACGTAAAATCAACATTGGAAGCTTCGAGAAAAATCATCAGCAACTAACCAATTTTTTTTGTTCAAAGCCAACAGGCATGCCCTTTTGTAAATGTACGCCATACATTGAAGCATGTGATTATCTTTGAATAGAAAGTCCTATCAGCTTTTGTACCTTGGTGGAAAAAGGAATGAATTTTATTACAACTAATAGCACTGAGCAAAATTTTACTATTTAAACAAAATCTTTTAACAAAAACCTATCAAGGGGTTAGCATTTAAGTTTCAGCGGAAGAATGATTCTAGAATCCAAAACAAAGGAAGTTGTATACTTAATGTTTTACATTTAAGAAAAAAGTTTTTGCAGGATAGTTTTAAGTCAAGAAACAGGAAGAAATTCAGGTGTTCCTGTTTTCGCTTTGACTTGTCTTTAAGTTTTGACAATTAAAATAACTTAATATGACTTTAACACTTAATCAAGGTAAGTTTGTGGGTAACAATATTTGTAAAATGTTAATCTTATGTTCAGAAGTGTACAGATAGGTTAAGAAATTAAAAAATCTTTCAAAGAAAGGTTGTGGGTAACAATATTTTTAAAATTTTAATATTTATGAACAAATGTGTAAAAGTGTACAGATAGGTAAGAAATTGAAAATATTTTGAATAGAAATCACACCTTTATTTGCACGAAGTTATTCACAAACTGGTACAAATTTGTCAGTGCTAACTGGATTATGTAAAAAGCATTGAGTGTTCTCAAATTGTCTTAGAGGCCTGAGCTGTGAATTACATTAAAAAAATCACAGAATGTCCAGTTGAAATGTGTCAAAAGAACTGTGGAGACCACCAGAACAAAACGTCTGTCTCCAATTTGTTTTTAGCTTCAGACTGATCTTACTCCACTCTCTATTTCACCACTGATGAATTTGAGCCAGTTTTTTTTTTTTTTGCAAATCAGTCCTGTATACCAGTTGATCCAAGTTTTGTGTCGTGAGTAAACAGACAGCTACTTGAACAGTTTTTCCCATCTGCTGTGTTTGTATTGCAGTTTACACCTGACCACGTTCTGTCTGCAGTACCGACCGACCGTCGTGGCATGCGTCTGCATCTACCTGGTGGCCAAATGGTCACAGTGGGAGGTAGGTGTTCCTTAGACAGACTTCCTGAAGAGATCCACAGAATACCTGACGTCCTCTAACTGAAAATATGAAGGGATATGCATTTGCAACAAAACTGTTAATCTGACAATGATTATTGAAGGTTTCAATAACCTGAATTGTCCTAAATCTTGACAATATTTTTTGCCGTAGTTCCTTTATTGATAGTGACGTACTGATAGTGATAGTGATACTGAAGAACTGATTTTTGAAGGTTTCAATAAGCTGAATTGTCCTAAATCTTGACAATATTTTTTGCTGTAGTTCCTTTATTGATAGTGAAGTACTGGGCCCTTATTTTGACTTTTAAGACAGTGGTTTTGAAGACCATCAAAAAGGGGTGATTGTTGACATTGTTGGTTCAGTGAAAACATATGATATCGATGAATGACATTGCTAACATGCAGGTATGCATGCATTCCATAAATTAAAAAAGTCCACAGGAATCACGCAAATGGGAAGAAGCAATCATCTTAGAAGTGATTGCTTACTTAAAAAAATTGAAATTTGCCAAATTTTCATAAGGACATTGGTTGATAATTAGCTGATAATACGAACCAGCTTTATCTGCTGAACAGTTCGGAACTGAATGTACGTGGATAAGGTATTTTCAGTGCCAACCGTTATTCCACTTCAGGGGTCTGATTCTTGCCATTCTTTGACTTTTCAGATCATGAAGTCCAGCGATGGCAAAGATTGGTGGGAATATGTCGACCCGACTGTCACCAAGGAATTGCTGGATGGTGAGTCTTCTGGATTCACGTTTAGGTCACTTCGGAGGGATTCACAACATACACAAAAAGCTGTTATTGGAGGTGCTATCACGCTAACTCCACAATCCATATTTGAAATAAGTCAACATACATGTATATCCATATACATGTATGAGGCTTTGGATTGAGAATTAAATGGATTAAAGCTATAGTCCATCATTTGCAGCTATCCGAAAAGTAACTGGCGTATTATTGTTGAAAAGCATACTTGGTTGAAAGATAGTAAGGGGACTAAACTCCCTGTGTAATTATTCTTTCTGGCAAGCTGTCATTTTGGAAGTAATCAACGAAAGAAGGCCTTTCCAATGATGCTTCTTAAGACGCACCATAGGAAAATTTAAATTAGTAGTTCGTTTTGTTATTCGGCGAAGCGTGCACAAGCAGTGGCACGACGCACATGCACTCCCGGTTGCTATAATTCGTCGGATCAGTGCGCGACATCGCGTAGCTGCAATCGGCTCAGCGAGAACGTGTCTCAGACGCTGAATTCAGGCGCAATTCAAAACATGATTCAGCAGCTTTTGATTTGAAATTGAGATCCTAGAATGCTGTTTTTCTCAGAATATACAGCTGAAGCTGAGCTGAAACTTCATCAGGTTAGTTGTTCAGTACCCTTCTTTAGATTTTGAGCACTTTTGTTGCTTCAAACGAACAAAATGCACAAATTACAAATGATGGACTGTATCTTGAAATGAACTAATTTGGATTGAGCACAACATATGCAGGAAGTTGAACCTGATGTTTTGAAAGTGGCCTTTTTGAGGCAGATTCTTGGTGGTGCACTGCCGGTGTGTTATGTATGAATCCCTCCATCTTGTCACTATAGTGTATGCTTTCAAGTATATCTACTTTTCCTACTCTTTCCTAGTTTTTGTACCTTTCTCCTACTTTTCCCACTTTTTTCCTTGAAATTCCTACTTTTTTCTACTCTTTTTTTTGTGATATGCCTACTTTTTATGACCTTTTGTCCCACAACTCTAAAAAATGAAATCTCATTGAATATTTTTCATAACAGTGTTACACACTGTCATATATGTAAATCACACAATGAAGGGCTTGGGTGCAGGAGTACTGCAACTGTACTTCCAAGAGCTTAGTTGAGGATGGAGCACAAGTGTTGTGAATACAGAACATGCCAAATGAGGCTTATGATGCTGTGGACGTAAGTGAGTATCAACGAAAACTACTCTGAAAGCCCACAAAAGTCCTACTTTTATCCTGATTTTGTCCTCGCAAGTCCTACTTTCGTCCGTTTTTGTTGTTGAACATTTTGATCATATTGTTCTACTTTTTTTCACCTAGGTCTGCTTGAAAGCTGGTATAGTACTTATCTAGTTAGCTTCATACTGTTGGTCTTGCAAGGAATCCTAAATTGTTGGATTGCAAGTTTTTTTTAATTAACTTTCACTCTTTTCAATTTTTCTTGATGCTCACAGAGCTTACAAAGGAGTTTCTGAGAATCTTTGATGCCTGCCCCAGTCGACTCAAGAGGAGAATCTCAAACGAAAAGATAACGGTAAGTTCTCACTCTCTCAAGATTTCTCTTGTTTTGGTAAGCACAAAATCAATGCGGATATTAATTATTGCAAGCAGCAAGGGTTGAAAAAGTTGGTAAAGTTTTGCTCTTTGTTTTGGTTCAGTAGATTATATTTGTATCCTTTAACATCTTCAGAAATGTTTCGGATTATGGATTTAGGACGGTAAAGTCCAGCTGCTCTATCATTTTTACTACTCTTGATGAACCTTCGACATTGAAGTACAAAATTCTATGAGTGATTTTATGCACTATGGACAGAGGTGCCTTTTTGGGGACAGAAAGATTCCTAGAAAAGACACCGAAGAAGTTAAGCTCAATGAAGTTCACCATGCTTTTGTTTGTGATGTAGACCCACCCTTTATAACACTGAATTCAAATATACATTCTTCAAGTTTGGCAATATTGTCTTTCTTCCACTCACCATGCAGTCTCAGTCTAGGAAACGCCCCAAGGAAAGCTTCTCCGAATCTCACTCAGCCAGCACTGCCAAGTCTGTCCCATCCTCCTCTGCCTCTGTCTCCTCCGTCGACAGCGGGCTGCCTGGAAGTGGAAACTCGGAAAGCTCGGTCAACACCCAGGAGCTAATCGCCACAACCTCAAGTCAGGGTGACAGCCTCTCATTGTCTCAGGACAACTCCCACACAGAGGGAGATAAGCTAGGTTTGCATGAGATCAACATGGGCTTGCCCATGATGGAAGCCTCAATGTTTCCCCTAGAGTCTGAATACATGAGTGGTGTGAGTTTCAACCCTGGCGCAGAAATCAAGCACGGTCCACCTAGCACACAGTCTGATGCAGATCAAGGGAAGCCGATGGACCAGCAGGGCCATCCAGTCAAGAAGTCTCTGAAGGAATATCGGGAGCAGAAGGAACGCGAAAGGATGAAAAATGCTCAGAGCAGGGAGAAAGCACCTCCCAGACCTAGTCACACTGCCTCAAGGCCAGGTGCTGTGTCAAATCAGAATCTCCACACTCCTAAAGTGAATGTGGATGCATCCCATACTGACCAGCGGCACAGGGAAGGGTACCACAGTCAAGGAGGCCAGAAACACAGGCCAGAAGACAGACATTTGCCTGTAGAACACAGAAGAGCAGAAAAGGCTTCTGGGGTTCGCCAAGAGCAGTCAGGTAGCCACCCTCAGTCCAAGAGTTCTGGAAGACCAACAGACCTCAGACCAACCAGAGACCAAAGACCACTTTCTCAGCATAGACCTCATGATTCTGGGAGTCAGCCAAGCCAAGCTAGTGTCACAGACTCCAGGTACTCCAAAAGCCTGGATCAGTATCATAAACACAGCCGTGACTCCGTTCCACACAGCTCAGACAGGAAGCAACATTTGGGTCCAGGTGAGCAAGGAAAGGAGCACAAGAGAAATGGCTTTGAGAACAGAGAGCATAGTGCTAACCTCAGACTGCCAGAAGCTCATCAAAGGTTACTTAGTTCAGCTCCACCAACCAAACCACATGCAACTGCATCCCAAAGGCCTCATACAGAAACTCTAAACGCACACAGTTCTGAAAAAATGCCGACATCAGAATTACATGGAAAGCCACATCCAGAGACACTAAGACCATCAAAATCTGAAATGTACAGATCTCATCGGCCGGAGCATCAGGGAAACTTAAAGTCTGAGAAGCACAGAACACCCTCATCAGAGACAGTAAAACTTCAAAAGTCCCAGTCACTTAAGCCACACAGATCCGAGATTCCTAAAGGGACCTCAACTGAGAAAGAGAGGACACAGCCAGCTATTCCACCACTTGTTCCTGCAGTTGATACCAAAAGAGAACAACGATCAGCACCAACTGTTGAGACTCAGAGGGTAGAGCCGCCACAACCAATTTACCAGGAGCTTCCCAGACCTCAAAGACCTGAACGGGTGTTACTACAACAGCCACAGACTCTAAAGGTTGACAGAAGAGTCACACAAACACCAAATAAACATGATTCATTAAAGGTGCGAAAAACAGAGGACCAGGTTTTGCATAGATCTGACACTGTGATATTGAGCAAAACAGAAGTGCCAAGTACGAAGAGCGCTGGGGTATCCAAAGAAAAAGACCCAGAAGCTACAAAATCGCTTAAATCTGATGTGCTATCAAAACCTCATAAAACTGAGGAGTCAAGATTACCGCGAGCAGAAACTCATAACACACAACGAGTGGAGATTCCTAAACCACAAACCACTGACATGGCAAGAAGGAAGGAGCCAGAAGTACCTCAGACACAGAAGCCTCAGCAGCTAAAGGTAGTGAAGGCTGAGCCACAGCAACCAGGGAATCCAACAGTACAAACAAGGACAGAAAAGTTGGACGTTTCAAAAACACAGAAGGTGGTGCAGTCTCAACCCCATAGACCAGAAACACCAAAAAAGCAGAGAGTAAAACAAGAGCAGGGACAACCACAAAAAGCGCCACCACCAAAGTCACAACCTCCTCAGGCTATTCCTGGCAAGTTGTTGGAAAAGGACAGTGGTATAACTACAACAAAGTTGTTGACCAACAAATCCCAGAAGTTGCAAACTCCAGTTGTACAAAAAACCAGTATTAAGTCAGAAGTACCAGACGTATCTGTGCCATCAAAACTGGCAACACGTAAGAAACCCCTGACTCCCCCTACTTCAAAACAAGAAGCCCCCACGCCAGAAAAACCCGTCACAGTTTCATCTCAGAAACTTGTTGCGAATAAATCGAAGCAACCAGAGATGTCTACCTCTGGCAATCCTGACAAAGCCCCGTCTCAGAGGTCAGAAACAGTAATTCTTCAAAAGACAGACACACAATCAAAGCCACCAACTCCAAAACCACAGAGATCTACTACACCTAGGTCTCGGGTGTCACCTGGTGCAGCGGCAGAGCAAGTGCCCAAACCGTCAAGGAAAGTCGAAACACCCAAATTACCAAAGGCTGACACAGGTGGAGCCTCAGTGTCAAAAGTTGTTTGGGAACCTGCAAAGCCTCTTGAAGTACTAAAACCTGCGGTATCTGATGAGGTGGCTGATAGTGAGTCAGTAGATGCGGACATTGATAAACTGATTAATGCACATATGGCAGAGCAATCTATAAAGCAGGGTCTTGAAGTTCCTCCAATCTTGGATCTGAAACCGACTTTGCCTCTGCCCAATACCACTGAATCCAGGGAGCAGAAGCGTGAAAGAGATGAAAGTAATCTCCCAAAGAGTTACAGGGAAAAAGAAAGCCACCACAGAAAGAAGCGAAGTGAGGGTCACAAGTCTAGGGGATCACCTCACAAGCATCGCCATTCGTCTGACCACAGGAAGGGGTCTCGAGTAGATGCGGAAGGCCAACCCAGCTCTGCCGAAAAGCAAGCCAATGCCTCTGAGGGGATTGATGACAGCCAGCCCCATTCATCCATCCTGACCACATCAAGTGGCATCAGGTTAAAGATAAAAGGTCTGTCCAACTCGATGAACAGCGGGAGTGGCAAACATGAGCCATCACCTGAGCCCAGCCGGCAGACTAGCTCGCCAGGGTTGGTGATGAAGCTCAACCTGTCCAAGATGCAGGCATCCCATACTAATTCTGACCACCAACCCGAATCATCAGCAGGGTCAGAGAAGTCCAGTGGCCATCACCGACGCCACCGCCACCACCACCGCCATAAGCATGGCCACCACAAGCACCACAGATCGGAAAGTCACCATCACGGTGATGACGGCCGAGAGTCTCACAAAAGGAAAAGGTCTCACAGCCGATCTGACTCTGTGTCCTCAGGAGGGAGGGATGCTTCCCCGGCTATGTCCTCACCAGCAAAGAAGAGGACACACAGTAGGGCAAGTCACTCACATCCCAAATCTATTCTCCCGAGTGAACAGTCCTTACTGAATCTGCCGATGCCACCAGCGGATCCTTCATCTGCATACACAGGCTATGACACTCACAGTTCTGCTTCCACAGGCCAGTTTTCCTATGGCATGCGTGACTTCTCTCATCACGCACCCCTGACAACTGTGACAGCATTGCCATCGTCTGATGGGTTTGAGTATTACCCTTACAACCAATCATCTGATGGCCATGCTCCCCCTCCTCCACCCCCTCCGAGGGAGGACCTACCACCGCCGCCACCTCCTCCCATGTGAGAATGTTCTTGGCTTATTTTAATATTTTCACACTCTTTGTGTAAAAAAAACAAAACAAAGAAACAAAGAAGTGATCCTGAATATATGAACATTTCCATGTAATCTGACATATTTTGTGCAGTCTTTTGTTCGACGCTTTTTTTTTACATTTCATGAGAGTGGCCTTCTTTCATTATGTGTACTTTGCAGAAACAGCATTTTGGCTTTTTCTTTTTCCATTGTCTCTTTTACAAAGCACTTTTTTACTTATTATTTACATATATTGGGACATTAAAACAGTGTCCACCACAAATTGTAAAGGACTTTTAATATACAGGGGAAAGTGGTTGAAGTACAAAAAAAAGTAAGTTTCTTTCGTTTTTTTTTTCAGCATGATAGATTTCCATGTTAATTTGCCTTTTTTTTCAATGTCATAATTTTCATAATTCTTTTTGAAAAACACCCATTGTATCTCCACAAAATAAAATTGCAGCTTCTTTTCTCAGCTGCTAAACGCTCCATGCCATGTTGGGTAGATTTGAAACTTTGATACAACAGAGGTGAATTTTTAATTATTTTTTTTTTATTAAGTTTTTACTTGAAAACTAGTGTGCTGAGAAAGAGTGTAACATGTTTGCCTGATAACTCAAATGAGATGTGTTTGGTCTTAGTGAAATTTACACAAATTATCCTACCTTCAAACATTCCAATTCCAGCTGTCTAATTTGATTACAATTTACAAAGTACATCAGGCTTAAGTCCCGTATAAAAAAATTGCACTTTACTGCAACCAGTGCCATGAAGAATTATTTTAATTGGGTTTAAAGTAAACCCCGCAAGCTAGTTAAATGGGTTAAACTGCACTTCTCCAGTGGCTAACCATAACTCAAGAAGTTAACCATAACTGAAGTTATTCTGCAGTGAATACTCCCTGTTATTTGTATTTCCTGTAATGATTTCTAAAAAGCGTTTCATGCATTTGGCTCCTGGGAAGGATTTTTTTAAACAAGGAAATTGGTTCATGTGGTAAGCTGTGTGACCAGTATTGATGGTGATTTCAAATGCAAAAGAAATTGTATACTGGTCAGTTTCAGTAGTTGTTGAAAGGCCTTCAGCAGTTAAAACTGATATGGGATAATAACTCTTTAAGTTTTGCCAAAGCCATTGCGCATTTGCTTTGATGTGTTTGAAGGATCAAATGTTTTTCTTGGTCAGACTTCTGTTGGCCATTTAACTTTTTGTACTGTCAATCTACAATTGAGCTTCAAGGAGTTCTTGGAATATACGCGTTTAGTGATCGAGGCAGAATATACATGTGTGGATTTTAATAGTTGATGACGCTTGCTGGAGTGTAGCAAATAAGTAGCTGTCAATTTAAAGTCCTATTGATAAGCATTTATGTATTTGCCTTTTTTTTGGTATGTGCTTGAAGTTGAGAAATGACAGTTGATGAAAATTTATTGTAATGTTACCATCAGTTACCAAGTTACTAAAATTTAAATACATACCTGTGTAGTTTGAACATGTGTACAGTTCCTTAGTTTTGTATCCAATGATCATTATCTATGTTCTTGAATCTTGATATAAAGGAAGAAAAAAAAGTATTATTGATAGATATACATGTAGTAAAACTCTTTCGTTGGTGAATTTGGTAGATTCAGTGTAAAACCAAATAGAAGTGGTAACATTTTTTGTACATTTCTCAGTAATTATGTTGACTGTAAATAAGTATAGACATAAAAACAAAACAAAAAAATTGAATGGAATTAAACGTGTACGGTCTCCTACTGGCTGAGTGTGTGATAGCATGGACTTATAAATGGAAGGACGTTGAGATTAAGGTAATTAAATGGATGTTTTGAGAAATAATTTATTCCGAGTAATGTTGACAAACTTTGTATAAAATAACAGTTGTACTCAAGTTTTTCTAATTGGTTCAACTTGCACAAGTCTTTTTTTTTTTTTTAATAATGAATGTTACCTGTTGTTGCACTCTCAAATCTTACTGTAAAGCAGACATTACATTATGCAGACGCTTCCCTTGAAGGTTGTTTACATATTTATGTTGCTGCTATTGGTATCAAGTTAATTGAGACTAAAGCCCAGTTCATACTCCATGCGAATGCGAAGCGAATTTGACATCATGAAAGATTCGCTGCGAAATTCGCCCAGTTGAAATATGTTCAACTTTTACAAATTCGCAGCACGAATACTTGCCATCACGTCACAAATTCGTGTTCGCTTCCGCTTTCGCGCCGAGTATGAACCGGGCTTTAAAGGGTTTGCGTGGTGGAAATGAACAGTGAATGGGAGGTTTGCGGTAACACCATGTGAATAATGTGAAGTTTCTTCTCAGAACCACACAACTCAACAGAGATATTTGCATAGTGTCACAGCAAACCTACCATTCATTACTTCTAAGTTTTGTTGTAACAGTTACCTTTTTGTTTTACCATTCATATGCGAACTTGTGTTTGCTTAATGAGCGGATTAGTGTAAATCCAATGCTTTTTTTTTATGAGATACCTACCCTCAAGACTTCAACCAGTTTGAAAAGTTAAAACCATTTTCTTAACATTTCTTTTAAGAACTGTCAAAATGTAGTACTTGAATTTAATTTCCCCCAAAATATTTCGTATTTTTGCTAGATATACAGTGCAAGAATGCCAAAAACAAAAGTTTTACAAGTGTTGTCTTAAAAGCAATTTATCCATTACATTTTTTTTTTCTTTTTAAGTTTATTTTTCAATTCTTAAAAAACGAGAAAAAAAATGTTCAAGTAATGTAAAATGTAGGAACAAAATTTTCACCATGTCAGGATGAAGCACGATAAAGCAGTACCGCTCTGGTTTGATGTTGTATACAATCCCACCACAAGAAATCACCAGAGAGTTTCAGTTCAGAGGTCATGGAATTTTCCGTGCTAAAAATACATTGACTCCCACCTCTCAGTCGTTGCGAGTCAGAAACGGCTTTGAGTCGGGTTCAGTGAAAAACTCTGTGACATTTTCCTTGTTGACAAATATCAAGAAATAATGGATGTATATTAACAAGTCCATTGCATGGCTTACCGACTATCCATTTATCCAAGCTTACCAGATGGCCTGATTCCATATGTGTATTAAAATGATATAGCATAAAATGTTCATGTACTATTGAAGGAAAATTTTGTATACTTAAAAATGTTTGAGCAGTTGTTTATGTGTACAGATGTCTGCAGTCAAATGAAGTATGTACAGAAAATATCAAGTTTTATTTCTTTCAGTTGGACTTTGGCTCCGCTCATGAGATTTAGTTATATAAATGAATAAAGATATTGACTGAAACTGGGTTTGAACGTGCGACCTACGAGAGCTGTACCAACTGACCTATATCTCGCCCAAGGTTGGCGTTTTGCCAATGTGTCAATGTCTTTGTTCAATGTTATGATTATTTATGCACAAAGTCAGTTTCTATGTCTGGTTTATTTGCTGGGAAAAAAAAAGAAAGATTCAAATATGCAGATTACCAATTTGCAGGTCCTTAAACGGCAATAATTGTAATGCGGAGTTTAACAAATAACCTCTGAATAGTATCTACATGTAGTATTTTATCCAATATCCTGCTGTGTCATGTAATTTCCACATGTTGATTTACATTGGGTGTTCTTAGTTTTACATTGATTGCTCAAGGGCTGCTAAGCACACAAATTTGTCAAGCGTGGGAAAATGTTTCTCAACATTTGAGAATCAATATTTTCTTCCACGCATACGGGTTTGTTGAGCGAAAGCAGCCTGACCAATTCAGCCAGGGTGCTTTAACTAACTTATGATTTTTTTTTTTCGTTCGAAATTTGAACTTGCACAGGTGGAGTACAAACCAACAGAGTTTGGCGGTATTTGTCTAGGTTTTAACCCTTCACTAGTCCCCATGACGTATTGAAGTAATTTTTTTTTTTATAAAACTGAACATTTGCATGTGAACTGACACTTGCTCAATTACACGGAGCTGTCAAAAATGTTAACACAGCAACGTTTTGCTATGCTGAAACAGTTTACTACATCCGAAATTTTGGGTGTTAAGCATACAATTGGTTACTGGTACTCATCAAAGGTTTTTGCTTGGTTACAAGTAGTATTATGCTCAGCACAGTTTACTGTTAAGTGGCTCCAAACACTTGGGCTGTGTCAGTAACCATGCCTGGTGTGTACATGTATTTCCAATGACAAGTCATCACACCACACTTAAAAATTGTCTTCTGTGTTTGTCCTATTTGTTTTTCACTCGTCACTTGTCACTATAGTAAATGCTGGACAGACACGTTTTGTGTGAGAATAAATGTTAATTTGGGTTCCCTAATCATGGATGGAGAAAAAAAAGGAAAAATAAGTGCATGTAACTTTTATTTACTTTTTACTGATTTTTTTTTTCTGTTGGAAAGAAAATTCAATAAAATTTAATAAGAAAAACTGAATGTAGAAGTTGTCAGATTGTGTTACGTTTAGAAGTTTGCATTTGCACTTGTGATCTGTTCTGAAAACAACAGATGCTTTTTGGTTGGGCTTGACATGAAGATAGGACCAAAAAGTTTGTCATTAGTCTTTTTTTCAAATTTGTGATCCTCAAAGTTGCATTCCAGGCTGAAATCCCTAAAAATCATGTTTTGGATTGTTTACTTATCCTATTTCAAAGGTCTGGTTTTCATCCCTAATGTCCTATGAAAAAAAAAAAAACCAGTTGTTTACATCAGACGCGGCGGACATTTTCATAGCTGCCAACTAGTACGATTTTTTCGTAATTATTACGAATTGTTTGTTAAATTACGAAAATACGATTTGCCACTAAAACATTACGAATTTCCCATTTTCTACCTAACGAAAAAAAAAAGTATCGTTTTTGACCGAAAACTTCTGGCGAAATGTCGCGATAATGGATGGACTGGTGACAAGTCTAATAAGAATGCAGTCAAGCACCTGATAGACATCAATGCAGTGTGCGCAGTGGAGTACTTGAGGACCAGACTAAAAATATTTTCAATGGTGTGTCATTTGTGTGCATCTCGTGGATGTGTGGTTGTGTGTACTGTATGTGAGTACTTTTCAGTGACGATCGTGAGCACATTTAGTCGCTTATTGCCGGGATGAGACCCATCAGTGCGAGAATTTAATAAGAGTATGGTTGGAATAATTGGTAATAGAGTTTGAGTTTGTCACAACGGACAGAAAAGATAAATCAGCATGCGTTTGCAAGGTATGTTGGCGGGATATTTCTATTGCATACGGTGGCCATAGATCATTGTGTGTAAAAACATGATACGAACTCGAAACTCAACATCGATAGCATGCATCTCCAAAAAATATGCGCACATGTTATTGATGTTATTATTTATTTGACTTCAACAAACAAATACACACATTAAAAATTAAAACAAAATTAATTAAAAAAAAAAAAAAAGTTTTTTTTTTTTTTTTTTTTTTTTTTTTTTTAAATTATCTTTTGGCCTACAGTACATTATTATTCACAACAAGAAGGGTATGCACATGTATGTGTACATGTAAACCATGTACCTGTACTCGATGTTGGTAAAGGTTTTGATAAAACGAGAAGATGAAAATGACCGCGCGGGTTGATTACTAATTGGGATTTTGAAATGTTGGCAGCTATGCATTTTGTGACATACGCATTTCCAGCCGTGTCAATTCAATGTACCGCACACGTGTGTGACATGTTGTTTCGCGCATGTCCGCAGAATGCGAAGCACAGTGCGCGTGTGGCAGGATTCACAAGTAGCACTCACCTCAATTTTTGAGAGTAAAAATGGTTACCCTCGAAATTTGTTTTCGCATGGTTCTCGCAAGGATAACACAAAAACATCCATTTTTTTGGGTAAAGAATAGTTATGTGGATGTTTATATCCAATGTTTACTTATTGTTCTTTCCAATTAACATCATTTCGTTTAAAACGCACTTTGTAGCCCATGACATAATGTTTCTTTTGATGTCTCAAAAATACTTTTTAAGATTCAGAGCATACTTTTTTTGTCAATTTGTAGAGGTTTATCAGTTCAAGAAACAGGACGAAATCACTTGGACAGACTGTTTTCACCTATGTGATACACAAACTTTTAATGGGTGTAATTGTGCCAAGGGGAGTTCATTTCCAAAATTTCAATCAGCATTGTAAAGGTAATATCTATATTTTTTTACAATAAAGAAAAAAAGTTCATTTGAAGTCTTTTTTTCTTACGCAAAACGAAAAAAACAATAACAGAAATCATAGTGGAATACTATGGGATTTTTTGTTAAGTGCTTTAACCCCGACTTCCCCAAATTGGACAAAACAACAAATTTGGTGCATGTTGATCCATTCAGTACTACAGTCGACTCTCTTTAGTACAAACTCTGTTAATACAAAATTCTGGTTATAACAAACATAAAGCCTTGGTCCTGACTGTGCATTTATCTGCACAATGAATGGGACTGATGTTCCTCTTAATACAAAATTCTGATATAACAAACAATTTGGCTAGGTCCGAACGAGTTTGTTATAACGAGAGTCGACTGTACATTGTATAATGGAAAGACTGCTTGCATTTTGCATACCTTATATAGGGCTGAATATCTTTATTTTTTGGTAAGACTGTTTCCTGATTCCATTTTGGTGGGTTAAATTTGTTATGATGACAGTGAAACAAAATTAGCATAACAAATAAACACATTCATCACGACTGCTTACATGAGTAGCGTGCATATTTCCAGCATTAGTAATCACAGCACGACAGCTGCGCCTTTATTATGCTATAAATACACACAAAGTCCAACCAGCAACATTTACAAAGGTTAATAATATGCTGCGCATGAAGTTCAATATCACAATAGCCATGAACGCCTATTGTACACAGCCTGTGTCGGATATTATTCTGCGTAACATACAAGTGCTAGCAAAAAAAAGAGAAGACTTTCTTAAATATCATCATTCATTATTCAAATGCATGTCCATTTTACAATAATTAATATACAGTTCGAATATCTCGCTGCGGCATTGGAGACCGAATACCTTGTTTTTTAACCCATTACAAGCATGATTTCTTTTCCCTACATGATGCATGTTGCCCTACTGTTGTCCTAGCTAGCTCAGCTAGCGTGATATGAACTCTCAACCTCTACATCACCCACACACAACATTACTCAGGCTGGGCTAGGAATACCCCTAGCAACCCACAATTATATGTTGTATTGCTTTTGTTGTCCTTTCAACGTTTTCTTTTTCTTTCTCACAAAAATAACAATTGTTCTGCAAGTCCCAATCAACTGACAGACATTTTATAACACTATGTACATTGCTCCAAAATGTACATTTTTCTTAGCTTACAGCTTACTTGAAAGACATATAAAAGATTTCAGTTGTACAGGGTGAGTCAAAAAAAGCGGAACCCAACGCCCAAAATTATTTTTCATATTTAAAAAACATATGTAGCACCAACAATAATAATGACTAGAAAGCCAATTTCATAAGCTACTTTTAGATGAAAAAATGACTGTAAATGCTCAATCTGTTCAAAGAATATCACCATTTAAACACAATGACCCTAAAACCTGTCTTGTCCAAAAAAGTGCGATTTCAAGAATCGTCGTCACAGTTGTCTTCAAGCATCACCAGTGATAAACTCTCAGTTTAAACATTGACAATATGCAACAAAGTCCTTTTTAAAGCCCATCTTTAAAAAAAAAAAAGTAGATTGTTTGCCTAACCAGGGTTGTTAATCAAGATATTGTGTACTACAGTTGGTGACAGTTGTTGAAACAATTATTCTGTGTCATTTTCTTTGTTGTTCCTAACATTCAAAACACACAAAACATTTTTTTTTGGACGAGACAGGTTTTAGGGTCGTTGCGTTTAAATGGTGATATTCTTTGAACGGATTGACAAATTTCAGTAATTTTTTTCATCTAAAAGTAGGTTATGAAATTGGCTTCCCAGTCATTATTATGTTTGGTGCTACATATTCTTTTACATATGAAATCTATTTTTGGGTTTTGGGTTCTGCTTTTTTTTACTCACCCTTTATAATATATAGAGATATAAAGCATGATGCATATATACAATGTACATTTAAGATATAAGATACTGAATATTTAAAAGGCGAAAAACATTTGTCCTTGAAAAAATACTACACATACATGTAGCTACATGAACATGGCAATAAGTCAAAGGTAAAATAGCCCAGTCAAGCTTATGAACAGTATAAATTTGCTCCCCTTGTGAATTGACAATTGAAGTCTCACAAAAATATTTCTTTAAATGTTATGCTTCTTCTGTGTAACTGTGTCTTACAATATGCATATTTTAAAGGTACCGTAATACACGCCCAGCAATCTCAATGCAATTTTACTACAAGCAAATTTACAACAATAATCCTTATGAATTGGGCTTAATCTGGTTTTGAATTATTTCTTCTTCTTTTTTACTCCATAGTTTAAAATGGATGTCTTTTGATTAAATAATTGTCTGAATACATAATTGATTACTTAATCCTTTTCAACTGCTTGGAGCTAACGATAAAAGAAGAATGTAATCCAACTCTACAATTTAGAAAGCGTTTTTAAAAAGTCATCCTCCGTTATGATAAATGTTGTTTAACACTTTATATTTGAAATAAAAATACTCTTTCCTTTCAAAATGCATCAAGCTACCTCATCTTGAATATTGGAAAGTCTTTAAAAAATAACACTTGAAATCAGAGCAAGAGAAAATACATTGTATATATGTAACAAAAAGCTGCAGACAAAATTAAACTCACTTACAACTTTTGTACACACGATTTCATTCTGTAACTTGTCCAAGGATGCTTACTCCAGATTTCTAAGAAAATCAATACAATTTCACCTAAAATAATTTTGTGTGTCTTACATACCCATTATTGTTCCCCCATATTCTCAGCCAAAATAAGGCTAGCCTTATTTACACCAAAACCCAAAACCAAAATCTTGTTGAAATTTTGCAAATTTACCAACGTTTTCTAAAGTTTCTTGAAGCCATTATTTACAACATTTTGTGCCCCCCAATTTTTGTGGCCTTATATCGCTGCACCCGTCTAGCTTACCCCTATAATCTTAGTCCAGATCTGTCAGCCTATTCTGGAGATACTGACAAACTTGTCAGTAAAATCTTTTTTTAAAATTTTTGTCTGCAATCCCTGGAAACCCCACTCCCCTTATTCCCAGCTCCTATTTCTGCCCAAGTTTGGACACTGTACCATTTGATACAGCTCCGTATATTTAAGAGTCAGCCTCTGAATGTAACTGGGAAACCCACTTGTATCCTTTTTCTTCTATTTCTTTTCTAGATCTGTAGGGGTCTTTCGGCCAGAGTCAGTTTTTTGCCTGTCTTTGTTCGATATTTTCTTTGAGGGTTCAGTATACATGTTGTCCTCTTTGACAGTGCTCCCCCTGTTGTCTTTCTTACTTGGTTCTCGAGGGTGTGGCTTGACTCTGGCATTATTGGCAATGCTTTGAGGTCTGACTTTTGCCTCTTTCTCTGGTCCACTGCCATTATTGGCAATGCTTCGTGGTCTGACTCCAGCCTCATTCTTGGGACCTACCTTCCCTGCCCCGCTGGGCCTCTCAAACCCACTCCTCTCGTCCTCTGTGGTGCTTGTACACTTTGGACCAGCTGCTGCTTCCTTCTTTGGGGCATCATTCTGATTTTGCCCGGCCGGGCCCTTGTTGCTCGAGGCTTTCTTTGAAAGCTCCTCTTCTGGGATCTCCTTGGACTTTTTGAATTTTGTCTGAAAGTCGAAGCTGTACCCATGCCTTACAAAAAAAAGAAACTTTTTTTTTTAAATAATTGTAAAATGGACTCCACATCAACCTCACTGCAAATTCAAGCAGCACTGAAATCTAATCTTTTTTATACACATTCCAAAATCTGAAAACAGATTAATGAGTTTATAATTACATGTAATTGTATCAAAACCTTATGTTCATACAACCGGTGCCTGAAATTTGAACCTTATCAGCACTTACATTTTAAAATGTATTTATTTGTTACTTCCCTCTAAGACAAGAAGAATTAAATTGATGATACATTCATTCATATACAGCAATTAAAAGCCGTTACCCGGATGCGATATCAATAATTGAACATGCGGATCCCTTTTTCCACCACCCAATAAACCATGCAATTATATGGTATCAGTATCAATAGGGGACATCATCAACCTTAAACTTATGGACAGATTCACACCTGGAAGAAGAAACTGTTGGGGGATAGTGTGCCTTGTCCAAGTCAATATCAGCATTTTTAGGGGCTCCTCTCTTGCGACTCCTATAATAACTGAAAATAAAACATTGATTCAATGTCATTTGCTGGGGGGTTCCAATGGAACCTTCCTGTCCATCCATCAAACAGTGCACACTGACCAATGAGGACATGACTTTTGAGTGGATGAACAAGGTAGCTCGGTCGTTCAACTAATCAACCATAAGCCATGTGGCCAAATATTCATTTTTATTTCTAATATCCGGGCGGGGGTGGGGATGTGTGACCTCTCTGACTCATCTGGATAATCTGCTAAAGCAATTTAATGTTGTTTACTGGTAGTACATAAAATTTGTAAACGAAAAACGTACGTGTAAACGTCACATCCAAACCATGCAATAACACTGTTAAATGTTTACTTACAGTTTGTAAATCACGCAAACCACAAGGGGACCCAACAGCCCGAGAAGAAATAACAGCGAGTAGTCAGGATATATATCTGGAAATATTTAAAATCACATTCATAAATACCTCAGACAGTTTAGCTATTCCTATTGGTCGAGAGCCCGTCACGTGGCCGGTATTAAACGGATGATAAAGACATGGCTAGCTGGTCTTAAACACTTTTCCAGTGTCACAATAAAATGTGGACTCCTAAAAATCCAGTGCCTCTTACCGTTTCATTGGTTGAACGTTCACAATCCTCACGTAGGCATGCGCAACACTACAAGCGAGTCAGAATTTTATAGTTCTAAATTCAAAACGCAACGCCCCAGGTGCGTTCTGCGTGACATCGCGCAGAACATGTTACGCGCGCGTCAATCTCCATAAAAGGGTTGTTTACATCTTACTCGCAGGCCGAACACTCCATTATTTTGCTAGAGGGGTGTTTCAAAAAGCATGAAGTGAACTTGTTGAACAAAATCGGGATTTTTTGAACGAATTATTTGAAATTTTTTTACGGATAAGGTATTTATGAATGGGAATAAATATGTGCTCGGTCGGTATTTATCACTCGTTTAATACCGCTTAGAGTCTGGGTGCTGATAATTACCCTCGCCTCCGGCTCGGGTAATTATCAGCACCCAGACTCTAAGCGGTATTAAACGAGTGATAAAAACCTCCGGAGCACACATTTATTCCCTTATTGATACATTGGATATCAACAATAAAGACTGGTGTTTTAAGCAGTGTTTGTGCTTGCTGTCAATTACAGTTTCTGTTAATTAATGACTGTCCATGATTTCACCAGATGCTTGTGACCTATTATTCACTTCCAGTCAAGGAAGGTATTTCATAAAAATGTGTTCGTTTTGTTTTTTGATGTTTGCAAAAGTTGTATATTACCTTACAAACGAACCAACAATCACAGTATACCAAAGCATAAACTAATTTGCACTTACATGGGGAACATTCTGGTGGTGGCCCTGGCAGTTCAGGTGGTGGACAGGCAATGTCCTTGCATACCACCCTTGCCGACTCTCCTTGGTTCATGAGGCAGTAGTCTCTCATCGGTAAAATGCTGCAGTCATCCGACATCCCGGATATTGGAATTTGGCACTATGCTGCCAACAAACGGTGTCCAAATATTAAAGTAGGCTCAGCAATTTCACCTGCAGCCAACTTTATACCTGCCGATCGTCACAGTTAAAGTTATAATGACTGACAATCACAGCGAGAATCACTTATTAAATTGGAGAAAGAAGTGTAGTCCCAGAGAGTCTTGAATTGCGGATGTGGAGGTGGAATGATTTGACAACAGTGAGCGCAAATTCGAGAATGAACTGCACTATACATGGTGCGCACATTAATTGCAGTGTTATTTCCGTGTACACTCAAGTACATGTTTGTGACCTGTTCCATGGTTAGCTATACACAGGGCTTTATTACCGCCTGCATACTATGCTCTTTTATTATTCAAAATGTAAGTTCCTGGTCACTGCTATGAAAAGAGTATTGTGTATCCTTACATACAAACATGTCTGGGTTTTCATGTGCGTAAATAACAAATTGAAGAGGTTTTGGATTCACATCTATAGTTTGAAGGTGGGCTGGGGTTGAATTTGATTCAAATCTGAAGCTGCATTGATTATAATAGCTTTTACTTCCTTTTCCAAATCTTTCTAAAAGGTACACATTTCGGGTGTATTTGTGTGAGTTTTATCAGATGAAATACATTTGTTTAGTATTAAAAATTACCTGCATACAAAATTGTGACAAAAATAGAGGACATCAATGCAGCACTTTGCGGTGGCATAGAGTGTAAAGTTGAAAACGGGGGTTTTATGGAAATTCATTTTGTGGAAAAGCTGTTGAAACTGTCTTGACTCTGCTTTTTATCAAGAACAAAGCTCTGTTCTTTAATAGGCCAAGTAAAAAAATTAACCAGTTTCTCATCCCCGCCCGCTTCCCTTTTTTTTTTACCGCTTCCTCCTTTTTAAATTAATACTATTTGCAATACATTTGCACTTTTGTCTTTATATTTGTTTCTAACATGTTAGCAATGGATGACAGTTCTGGTTCCTCTGGACACAATTTTGTATCACCAAAAGAGTCGAGAAAATGGTAGAAACCATCCACTATCTTGGAAAATCTGCCACCTTGTGGAAAAAAGGAGAAGAGAAGATGGCCTGCCTCCTTATATTATAAGACAAAACCGATGAGAAACTGTTTCTCTTTTTTACTCTGCCTAAATCATTGCTCCACATTACAAGATTAAAACTAAGCAAAATCTGAAAACTAAATGAAACTCAGCGATGCCAAAGATTGTCCCTACTAAAAGCATCTGACGTACGGTGACAACTGTCATAGTCCAATAAATTCACACAGACTTACATGCAGCTTATTTAGGCCTATAAGGCCAAAAAAACAAAAAACCACCTGTTTAGCGTCTCCCCCTGCTTCCTTTTTCGAGGCCGCCTTTTTTTTTATTGCAAACCTCCCCCCCCCAAAAAAAAAAAACCAAAATGATAAATTTTAAATATTGACATTATTTTGGCCTCTTTGTCTGTTGCATCTAGCCCATATAAAGCTTGTAAGTATGTCATTTCCTGAGTTCAAGTGGCGGCCATTTAAAAAAAAACTGGCTGCCATCTCAAAAAACAGCCGGGTCGGGCTGTCATTTTGGGGAAAAAAAGGCCTCCTCCTTCCTTTTTAAAAAAAGGCAGGACGCTTAACATGGTGTATTTTTTTATTTGGCCTAACAATATATATTTTTTTCATGGCGTGTACGGGTTTAACGCTTTACGCCCTCAGTGTAATTAGATACCGTCACTCAGCAACGTTTTCTTTAGCCATTGTTACAGTTTTCCCAGCTTAATGTCGATTCTGTAAAGTTAAGCCTCAAGGTTATACAATACGCCAAAATGGCTTAATACCATAATATTAAGTTTTACTAATCTAAATTTAATCTTAAATTTAATTTAATGCTACTTCCGACGAGCAGCCTTCTTACAATGCTGCCCCCAAAAAGTTAGAGTGTAACAAAAAATTATGACTTACAGGAAAGCCTCCAAGACGATTGTACAGAAAGATCGAGAGCATACTGGTATTAATTTGTAACTTCATTGCTTTCCTTTCTCTACACAAGTTCCACAAATGAAGATAAAGTTTTACTTCACTCTCAATCATGGCCGACTATCTCGTGCATTCTTCGGAGGCTCCGACCAATCTCATTGTAATTGTTCGTACTACTGTACTACGGTTTTTCGCGTTGCATATGCGCGGCAGGTGATCTGGGTCGAACTTGGTTGAGGTCACAGATAAACCAATCAGATTGACCAATGCTGCACGGCCAATCGGGTACGTGCTTGTTTACTTTGGACCAATCACAGATGAGAACTCTTTGTGAAATTTGATTGGTTATTATTGTTAAGCTCTGGTAGGAGCTTCTACAAAAGTCAAGTCACTTTAGCATCGGTTGGTCGGTTGCCAAAAAATTGACCAAAAATATTTTACAAAACTTGAGCAAATGCCATGCCGTAAATGCACTCTAAAAATGTTTGCAGCAATTCGTAAAGTTGTTCATTTGTAAACGAAGGCAAGATATATGCAGCGTTGTTATAGTCACATGGTATTTTCTGTAGTGGTTGGGCCGTATAATCACAAAGATTTCCCTTTTTTTAATAAAATTTTATTTTTGTGTTTCATTAGAAATAACCCAGAAATTAAAAACTCAAAAATACAGTCCTTCGCAATAGGCACGATTTTCGTTGAATTCTAAGGGGTATGTCTCTTGCAAAAGAACGAATTCATGCTGCTGTCATCGGCGTCGCATTCTGGCAGGGATCATTTTGATTGATTTCATGCAAGACTGTCATGAAAGACTTCTTGCAACACGCCTTGACCTTATTGTAAACTCACACTTTTTCTATCCTCCTAGGGAGTATCAATTGCCACTACCTATTTCTACCATCTTAGGGGTTCCTGATAACTATTTCTGATCTATCTTCCTAAAGGGTCTCGTGATGCCTATTTTTCATTCGCCTGGGGGGGGGGTGTTTCTCAACTGGAGATTTCAGGGGTTTTTCTAACAACTTCCTATGTTTAAGCTCTGGCAGGAGCCTCAACATGTCACTTGGTCGGTCGGTCGGACTTTCCAGCCAGACGGAATTGTGGGGTGATAGCATTGTGTTCCCATTATCCCTTTTTCTAAAGATTCCCTTCTGGGGTGATGTTTTTCTATTGTGAAAAAAAGTGGGGTGATGTGTCCTGAAAGGAACATCACCCCACAAGGGTGGTATGGTCAGAACGGTCGGTCTGTCTTTCGATCCCGAAAATTGACCATAAGTATGGTGTTCCTTCATTTGCCATCAGCGTCGCAATTTTTGGCGTCGCATTTTTAAGCTCTGGCAGGGATTGTTTTGATTGATTTCATGCAAGACCTCTTGCAATACGGCCAGAATTAGTTGTGCACTCGCACTTGTTTCCCTCGCAGCGCATCGCAGATTTCACTTTGTTTTCATTACGTAGAAACAAATCTGAACATCACGAGGCGTCTATTGCAGGGTCACAAAATAAGTTTGAAAAGTTGTGAGGGAAATTACCGACCGTGATGTTTGCCGTCAAACGTAGCCTAGCTATACCAGTTTTGGAATAAATTATGTTATAACTTAAATAATATAAGCAGGTGGTAATTAATAAGTTTAAAAAAAAACCCAAAAAACAACGCGACTACGCCAAGATATTATCAGTCAAAATGACTGAAAAGATGAGCTAACAGGCTCGAGTTAGTTAAGCGCAAGAGATTTCAATCAGAACACTAAAATTAAACGTTTTCTCCATTTTAAACACAAAGATTGATCTGATACAGAAATGGAACGAGAAGTCCGAAATTTTAATTTTAATTCAGCCCATGCATGCAAGTTGATCTTTACACAGTTGGGTCATTCCATGTCAGACCAACGCACTTTTTTACCTCATGTCTTCCGATTTTGATAAAAATTGCTGTGCTTGTAGGTCCTAATGAGCAATGAATACACACCAATTTTTAGCCCGATCCGACCTATTATGTGGTCAGGGCAGAATCCACAAAAAAATGGCATTTTTAGAGTAAAATACCACCCTTTTGGTATAAATATGTCAAAACTATGGCAATTTTCATCGAATATATGTGAATTTGTTGTTAAAATAATGAGGATTGCATGCTTAAAGCACTTCTTTTGTCAAAATTAAATTTTGTGAAAAGTAGGTCACGTGACCTTTAATATGCTATCGTGACCTTTGACCCATTTTTTGTAATAATGTATCATTTCGAAAATCAACGAAATAAAAATAACTTGCTAGAGCATGTCTTCCTCTATCAGAATCTACTAAAAATCAGTTGGGGTCTTCAAAATTTACAACTTTATGACTATTTTTGTACAGTTGGTAGGTTACAAATGAGTCAATTTATAGACTTTACATAAGAAATACACCAACACAACTTACTATTCTGTTTCTAAAGTTACTAAAATATATCTTGGTTTGTGAATTTTTCATTCTGAGGGCTGATGAGGTCTAACCAGACTCATAGTGTAAATTATCAGCAGTGGCGCACCCAGGATTTGGCTTTTGGTGGGGGGGGGGGGGGGGGGTCATAAATCGTTTTTTGTTCAAATTTCTGTAAAAGATTGGACCAACAAAAACTAGCCTAAAATCAAACAAACAAATTGACAATGTTGGGGGTGGGTTCAAGCCCCCCTCCCCCCCCCCTCCTTGGTGCCACTGATAATTAGTTATCCCACGAGCGCGCTTGGAATATGAAATAATTCAATGCTGCTGTGACCCATATGCCACTCAATGCACTACATAATTCCGTGTTCCACGAGCGCAAGTGGGATTTATAACCAATTTATCTTCAAGCAAACTTGATATCAAATGCGTACACGCGGTGAAGATGTACGTGCATACATGTAGTGTATTGGTCCGTTCTGCAGGAAATAACACAACATATGTACACGTACATTTTTAATATCTGGGGTGCAATATAGCTGTGCAATATTATATAAAATCACACAGTTGTTGCTATAGATGGACTAATCAGGGTCTAGGATTCAAGTTTGCTTGAAGATAATACTCAATATCGCAATCAAAGTTACCTTACTCATTCATCACTGTGCTTCTTGAACTTTAATGACTCTCACAGACTTGGCATTTTGTTCCTTTGAGATGAATTTCACCTGGGCGTGAGTCCGCTGTACTGGGTGAAGGCCTGGTTACTGTTAGTGGTTAGCACACTTCTGAGTCCAGATATTCTGATTAGACAGTTTCTTTGGAATCAGAAGGTAGAATTTTGTTTTTCCTGGCTTTGTACTTTATACATAAAAATCTAGATTAATTTTAGTAACTTAAGAAACAGAATAGTAAGTTGTGTTAGTGTATTTCTTATGTAAAGTCTATAAATTGACTCATTTGTAACCTACCAACTGTACAAAAGTAGTCATAAAGTTGTAAATTTTGAAGACCCCAACTGATTTTTAGTAGATTCTGATAGAGGAAGACATGCTCTAGCAAGTTATTTTTATTTCGTTGATTTTCGAAATGATACATTATTACAAAAAATGGGTCAAAGGTCACGATAGCATATTAAAGGTCACGTGACCTACTTTTCACAAAATTTAATTTTGACAAAAGAAGTGCTTTAAGCATGCAATCCTCATTATTTTAATACCAAATTCACATATATTCGATGAAAATTGCCATAGTTTTGACATATTTATACCAAAAGGGTGGTATTTTACGCTAAAAATGCCATTTTTTTGTGGCTTCTGCCCTGACCACATGGTAGGTCGGATCGGGCTAAAAATTGGTGTGTATTCATTGCTCATCAGGACCTACAAGTACAGTAATTTTTATTAAAATCGGAAGACATGAGGTAAAAAAGTGCGTTGGTCTGACATGGAATGACCCAGTTCTATTACTACTGGTATCGCGGTGACACGATCAAAGGAAAAATGCTAACAAAATCTGGGTTACTGAATGACAAAATATTTTCTCTCATGTAACTCAAATCAACAAAGAAACTTTATCTACAATCCATTTAATATCCCCTAAATATCTACAATCCATTTAACATCCCCTAAAACGATATTTCATAACATTTATCCACTATTAACCGTCCTTTACTATGTTTTGTGGAATGTACGAATGTTTGAAATATTTTGTTTTTGTTAATGTTATAGCATAAAATATATATACAGATCTGAGTTCTCGCTTTTTTATGAAAATATAGATTACGCAGTCTTTTCACTGCTAAAAATTAGTGTGATCAAGATATAAAACGTCTCATATCACTTATTTCTAACTTTATATTAACAATACAAATCAAGAAAGGTATCTATTGTCGTTTAGCTCCTAATAATTTTTTTTTAATCTATACTTAGCTATGGGTCGTTTTCCTTTTGAAATCTATATATAGCTCCTTTTAGTCTTGGCCCAAGCAATAAAAGGCATTATTGACAAATGGAAGGTAGAAAAAAAATGTCGATGATCTGCTTAGCAGAAAAATAGTGCTCCTAGTAAATGTACGTGCTTAGCAAATATCAGCAGCGAATCAGTTACAGGCACCACCCTTTTGCATTTGGCTGGTATCCTAATTTTGCTTATCACATTTCTCTTTGCTTAATAAGTTGTATATATTTGCTTAAAAAAATTCTTTTCTAAACGAAATTTAAAGGAATATAATGTCCTGTAACAAATAAATTTGCTTGTTTGTTTTTAAAGGCCCTTATACAAATATAAAAAGTGGTTTTGAAATGGGGCGCTCCAGTTCAGAAAGCTTTGAACGAACTGCTTTAAATATTATATCTATATAGTGACGTTCAGTCATAAATTATGTATGTTAATTTTGAATCACGTGTTTTTGTACTCGCCTGGTCCACCGATCATATAGCTACGCGATGATCGCCTGGCAAGTTCGCGACACTGCTCGGCTATTTACGTGCCAGGCCGGCCTGGCTTAAACCCTATGTTTTATCAGAATCTCTGCTATTTTTGCGTCTTTTCCTCTCACTGGATCGCAAACCCGTGGTTTTAAGTCTTGTTTTACGGTACTTTTACCGTGTAGGCACATGTACTGCACGTACATGCAAATTATGTACAGTTAGTCTGCACAGCTCCAGCTTATAAAGTTATTATTCATGAACTACACTGTCGCAAAAGCGCATGCGCAAACTAGGTCCTATTAGGAGCGTCTCGCTCTTAATTCAATAGTTGTAATTAATTGATAACTTGTAGTGGGCCGATTGTTGTGTTCGATGTCGATTGGTAAGCTCATGACTAATTCCAGAAAATTATCACTTCAAAATGAAAATCTATTTTCAAGATGCCACACCCTAAAAGCCAAATTTTTTGGATTCTAGATGCTCTGTGGTGCGATCTGAGGCAATTTGTGACCACTTTAACCAATGTTTTTTTGAGGAAAAGATGGTGGTGTACTCATTGCCTGCCTTTATTGCGATGTCACATGAAAAAAAAAAAATTGGTTTCTTTTTTTTGGGGGGGGGGGGCATGGCCCCCTTTGGCCCCCCTGGATCTGCCTTTTCTAAAAGCACATATATACCAACTTGCCAACTGTCATGTCTTTTTTTGACCTCACGAACACCCTTTGCTAATATATTCTCTCGCACGCTCACATTTGGCTTAGCTTTTTTGCGTTCAGACTAAACTTATTTTCGAGAATCCTTTTCTCGCGCATCATCACCCTTTCCAACCGATTGCCCTTTGATGACGTGGGTCGCTTCCTGATCCTTGGGGCTGGCCTCTCCTGTCGCGCTCCCTGACTCCCTGGTTTCATCCCCGCTAATGATAAGGATGCCGCCCAGACATACTGGGGGTGACTCCCCCACGGGATCAGCCGGATCACCCCCGTACTCATTCTCAAAGGCTGGGTTGATATGGGCGGGCAGTCTGTCGTCTGCGGGAGCCCTGTACGGTGGTCCTGTTTTCTTGTTGAAACGAAGCTTGTAACGGCTGTAGACAATAAATATATGAATATAGAAAAAAACCCACTAATTACAGACGAAATTTTAGGATTAGATAGTTTAAGTAAACACAAATATTGAATCCAATGCGGTCAATGACGATAAATTTTGATACAAGTTGGTTTAAAAAAGAAGAAAAAAGGTTGTCATTAATAACTGTATTGTCAGAAGAACTATTTCCTATAGGTAATATACTGTAAATAAATTATGCCGTTATATTACTGCAGTTTCTTACTTTTTAGTTGAATGACGTGGCGGATAAAGAAGAAACTCGACGTCGCCCTTCTTTGTCTGGGGGTTGGGCTTTCGACGCCTTTTCAGGAAAGGGAAAATGACAGAAAAATGGTTGAATGTTCAGGCGGACACTGGCCCAAATAGCGTATTGGCAGTCATTAGTATTGTGTGAATGACGCTGCAGGCATGCACAGTAATATTTACATTGCATTAAAGTTACACATTTTTGTTGTGGTGGTGGGGGGAGGGGAGAAATTCGAATTCTCCTGAACTCTACGATAACTTCTGAATACATCATGATGCTGAAACCTTGCAAAGTCATTTGCGTTTTTTAAATAATATATAAGGGCGATTTGAAATGTGACAAATGGTTTCTGAATTAAAATGTCTGACTGTCTTTGGTGTGCCGCTAGAGGGCGTTCTTTTGAGTGATGACGTCATTATGCTGTTTTTTGTGGTTGGCATTCCTAACTAAGCATTTCAATAATTTATTTGTCTGTAGTAAATTGCTTCCGTTTTCAAGTTATATTCTCACCGGGAGTGAAGGTCAAGCAGTTTTGTGCCCAGAAATACGAAATGTTGCCTAAACCACCATATACCACCTCACGAAAAATGAACAGGATATTCCTTTTAATCAGCGCCGTCGCCAGCCCTGAACATCAGGAGGGGCTATTGTATCAACTAGGGGGGTCCACTACCATAAATAAAATTACAAAAATACATATATACGGCTTTTGCCGTGGGGGGGGGGGGGGGGCAATGGCTCGCCAAGGGGAGCCCGGCCCCACCAGTCCCCCCCTCCCCCCCCCCCCCTTGGCGACGCGCCCGATTTTAATTCAAAAGATATAGTTCGAAATATTTAGTCAAATTTTGCCCTTAAACCGCTTGTAATTTCATACCTGATGACGTCATAACGACGTCACAAAATGTATAGCATCTTCGGACCGAGGGACATGTTCGTACCAGGTTTTATGATCACCACGTCAACCGTTTGGAAAACATCTTGGTTTGTGTTGATTTTGGGCTCCTTTTTATATTTTGAATTAGCCTAACTTTGACCTTACGGTCCGGTCCCGGAAAGGAAGTTCAGACGGCTTGGACCTGAAGCCTGCTCTAATCAGAAATATTTATTAAGCAATTTTCTATCAGACCACAAAGTATGAACAAAATGAACTTTTGGTCATGAGTTTAAAATGACAGCTGATGGATTTTGTACAAAAAAAATCGCTTGCATTTCGAAACCTGATGACGTCATCATGACGTCAAAGTAATATGCAGAACTCAAGACCAGGGTCGAAATGTTCAAATATGTATAGCATCTTCGGACCGAGGGACATGTTCGTACCAGGTTTTATGATCACCACGTCAACCGTTTGGAAGACATCTTGGTTTGTGTTGATTTGGAGCTCATTTCTATATTTTGAATTAGCCTAACTTTGACCTAATTGCGGTCCGGTCCTGGAAAGGAAGTTCAGACGGCTTTGACCAGAAGCCTGCTCTAATCAGAAATATTTATTAAGCAATTTTCTATCAGACCAGAAAGTATGAACAAAATGAACTTTTGTTCATGAGTTAAAATGACAGCTGATGGATTTTGTACAAAAAGTCGCTTGCATTTCGAAACCTGATGACGTCATCATGACGTCAGAGTAATATGCAGAACTCAAGACCAGAGTCGAAATGTTTAAAGTTACTCAGGGTCGATATATGTTTATAGTTACAAGTTTATAGCATTAGCCGTTTAGGATAAAACCCGCGGATTCTTACTGTCCAGGTTATAAAACAGGAGACAAATTTAAAGACTTCAAAATGGTGACCGGGCCGTAACCGATCACCCAATTATACTATTTAGTGCATGCAGAGCTGGAATAACGAATTAAACATATCAGAAGTCCCCAACGCGTGCGCAATACACTTGTACACGCTGTCCTTTCAAGTGACCTCCATTTTTCGTTCAATCAATAAAACCTCTCGATATCGGTGATGCTTGTCACTATATCTATGGATGGGGGACTCCCCTGTTTTTCCCTACGCGACCTCTGTCTGTTGTTCTCCAAACAAACAAAAACAAACAAAACAAATAGCTAGCCTGCGGGTTGTGATGGAAGCAATTTCAAGTCCAATGGTTCATGGTTCACCTTTTTTTTAAAGCAGCATTGACAAATAGTCTTTGAGTCCGAGCCTCAGGTCGAATATCTAATTGTGAAAAGATGACAGGAAGGGGGGGGGGAATGGTCTTTCTCGGTTCTACACATAGATAATTACAATTATGTCCAATTGTCGAACCAGTTTTGAAGATGTACTAACTATGGGTGTTTCAATTTGCAACAAAAATGTATCATTTTTTATACAGTCCACTTGGCAACACAAGCGTAATTTCCCGGCTATTAATGATTTAAGGTTGCAGTACTTACGTTCTGCAGATATTTATGATGCATACGAGTATCAGGAAGACGACCAACGTGATGCAAGGAATGATAACAGGAAATAAAGGACAAATTGTGGTAGTAACAGCGTCGGTTGTGGTATATAGCGCTGTTGTGTCTGTGGTAGTTCCAGCGACGGTTGCGGTACCGACCCCTGTAAAAGCCGTTGTAGGTAGTGGGTTGGTTGTGGGGAGAGGTGTAGTATCGACATTTGTGGATGGGTTAAAAGAAGAGTATTCGGATGTAAAAACGTTTGTCGGGGTATCGGTAGCTGTTTCGGAAGTGGTTGTTGGAAGACTACCTGCACACAGAATCATGAGAAAATCATGTGTATCAATTTTGAAGTTTGTAGTGGAAATGTCCAAAGTTCCAAGCTTAAACAAAATATGCCAAATACATTCCGTTATTTATCTTTTACACACAAAAAACCAACACAAGAAGCAAAAACACGCTGTGTAACATCAATTGAATCTTTTTTTGGGGGTTTTTTTTTGGGGGGGGGGGTTAAAATTAGTACCGGTAATAATTTAAATTAAATTAGTAATGGAATCCATATACCCATGTAGCAGATAATATAATGGGCTAACGGTTTCCCAGACTAACCTACAAATTTCCCACCGATTTTCACCGACAATTAAGGAGTCCATGACATTGGGTCATTTGGCTCATTTCTTGAAGCTTATTAAAGCACACCGTTTACTTTACTAATCCCCAGACACGGCAAGCAAACATTGAGCACAAGTATAGATGAACACAATTCTGTGGTACGTTCTGCTTGCTTAACTGGCGGGTGCAACATGGGGCTTCATAACCACCAACTCGATATTAACAAAAATCTACAAAATTAATTGAACACTCGAAATTCACCACATTTCATTCCGTGTATTTATGTCCGAATTCTGGCAGTATTAATGAAAATGAGAAGTTTCGTTCATGCAATCAACACGGACCAAAACGAGGATATTCATCGACGACCTGCCAACATATTTTATTATGAGTTGGCATTAACTTCTAAAATTAATAGCATTTCGAAGTCGTAAATAAATACGTACATGGACATGCGCAAAACCATGGTCGAGGAGAGGTGAATAGAGGCGGAGGAATGTTGCAAAAACCTCCGGAAATATTCCTGCACGCATTCAACTCAGGAAATCCCACCTCAGGACAACAAAATACGGGAAGCATTGCGGATCTGGAATGTGGATATGGAACATTTGTAATTTGAATTCATATTAGAGCGTATACATGCAAGTACGAAATGTAACACTGAAAGACATGCCGTCGACACAGCAGGTTTAAAGAGAGGCTATTGCAAGCATCGGGCACTTTACTCCAGAGCTATATCAATTAACTAACAACACGGAAGTCCATGAGTTGCTGTTTCAGCCTCATTTTGATTTGTCATGCTGTGCAAGAGGGAAGTACAGTATGACAAGCTGCACAGAAATTACGAGACTGACAAATCTATCCTTTAATCCGAAAACCCCCCAAACAACCGGCATAAAAGGAACAACACTTTTTCATAGAGGGCTTAAAGCACATCCAAGTAACATGCCGAATCGATTTCTTCTTTAAAATTAAGAAAATTTTGTCATATTTACCCTTTTCCTTCTCCTACCACAGCCTACAACAACCAGCAGCGATTGATTTGACGAACGGAATAGTTTTTTATTTCCGTGTTGATGCCCCGTAAAGCTTTGAAAAAGGCTTCAACAATATACCCAACAAAACTGCGCGATCGTCTGCTGGCAAATACTAGGCGACTGTCGTCATCATGCTAGAGTTAAGCTGTGGGATGTATGTACGTGTAAAATGCAGCCATGTGGAACGGTACATAAAAAAAACCAGCAGGTTAAAGGGTATTCTTTTGATAAAACCACTCGCATTGATAATGCACCTATTTTGTTCATAACAAAAGTGCACGATTTTATTTTACGCATAGAAATAAGAAAATAACTGACCCAACAAAAAATACCATACATACGTATTTCAAGTCGTGTCTACTCGATGCAGCGTACACGTTGTCTGTGTGGTACATAATACAAACATTAAAGATACACACATATTGTTTCTTACACTTCCGCAGAACGCGATACCACTCCTATCCTGGATAAAATTGCAGTAAGTAGCGAGATGTGAAACTATGACGCAGTGCGCAAATACATTATGTAAAGCTTAAATTTGTGCAGTAGGCTTGTGGCATAATGGTTTGTAGGGGGGGCTTTTCTTTAGGTTAACTGGCAATAACGCGTCACACAAGGCCAATTACAGCCAATTAGAAAGCAAGTTACTCAGAAACTCTGGTCCAAACACGGCAAAGGAATGAATTTTATGAAAGCCAGCTTTCCTTATTGTATACAGGTGGTTCTAAATCTCAGTTTTTGCCGACTTGTGGTGTGCAAACTTACGCTCGTTATGAGTTGAAGCAACAATATTGCTCAAAAGCGTATAAGAAGATTGAATAACAAGTAACCTGTTTAAGTTTCAGCTAAGTAGATTGGCCGAGAAAAAAAAAAACGTGCACAATACTTTTAATCTCTTAAAGATAATATAATCAACATTTATTCATTTAGCAATGATCTGGTCGAAAAGGGGCAATTTTAGCCTCTTTCCGGATTGAAGGAGATCAGAGCTAAAACACAAGTAAGGGTGTAGGCCTATGTTTATTATAAAAGAATAATAAACGAATTACATGATTGTAAAAACCAATACGGATGCAAAATGGAAAAACATATAGTCAAGCACAGTGTATGAAAAGAAATAGCAAAGTATACATGAAGAGCTGAAATACTAATTGGATTGGTTTAAAATATTACCTTTAAATGGGTTAAGTGTCTACGTAAGGATAAAGTAAAATCCAAGTTTCGGATTGTTTGAACACGCGGCATAAAGCACATGAGAGGTTTGGCGAATTGAATGAGAATTAAAGTGAAAAATACTTGAAAAAAATGAAATTAATGGGCGTCCCCATGCATGCTATATACAATGACGCATAATAAATTGATATGAATCTCGTCAGTTTTAAGGATCTTATATACCAAGAAAGGTGCAGCTTATTGAGCCGGAAACAGAATGGCTATGACCTCGTCTAACTTTCTACAAAATGAACAAGTATTCATTAATGGTTTCGCCCTTCTTAGGTGTAAATATCAATGGCTTCACCGTTGGGCAAAGTCCTCCAAAACGTTGGTACAATTTTACTCAAGGTAAGCGACATTATTGTTAAATTAAAATAAAAATGTGTCTTGTAGGATAGCACTACTGCACATTTATTTTCACCTCCTTTTCGACAATGTGAAATTGTATCGCTCAAACCACATAAAACGGCCTCCAGTTTTTCATAATTTCAACATTTGTGTTATCAAAACCTACATGTACCAACACTAAAGTGCAAAAATGTAGTCTGCAGAAGTTTTCTGTAAACCTATGGAAAGTAAATAATTGAAGGATTAGTAAATGATGACGTATATATAATGGATGGATCAGTAAATGAGAACACAATCGATTATTAACTCATATTGTTATCTTTTTAAAGGCAACTTTTTTTGTGGTGAAAGAAGAAATTAAAATAAACCGATTTTGACGTTGTCTTTCCAACGGTCCAAATGCATTAATTTTTTGTTTAGAAAAAACGGAAAACAAACAGTATACAAACATTAATTGAACGAATAGTAAATGAGAACCTAGTCGATTAACTCACATTGTATCTTTTTAAAGGTCACTTTTTAAAAATATGGTTCCGCCTATTTTGCAGCATCCCCCTTCGTGCTAGTGACCTTTTTACGGCGTCTTTTACTACTCTTATCTTTAGTCTTTTCCTCAGGTGGCTCATCGTTTTGGTCAACCTCGAACTCGAGTTTGAAGGCCTCTTTGGTCGCGCTCCAAGTCCATATAGATTCATCTTTGGTGGTTGCGCCGACTCCCTCACGACTAGTCGGGAGCACTTCCTCCATAGGATCAGCCAGCTCAGCCTCGTTCACATTTTCGTATACTGGGTTATTATGGGCGAGTGCAGGTAATTCGGCTGGATCTTTGTGTGGTTCACTGGCCTTTTCATCGAAACGGATTTTGTAATTACATCTAGCAAAAAGTAAATAAACCAAAGATGTAGTCCAAGAATTTCATCAAGACACAATCTTAGTTACAAGACGTCACAAAAATAGTTCTCTAAACTTGAGGGGGTTATACACTGCCAAAAAATGTTCGATTAATGCTTGCCATTGATGTATCGAAGTAGCGCTTAATGGTTGCAATCGTTATGATTGTAATTAAGCAACGCATTTTTAGCACCGTAAATCAGACACAGTTGAATTCATAAAAGATCAAATAAAATTCAATACTCACATTGGTGAAGTTGGCGGGTCGTTGGAAGATTCGGCAATGCTGTTTTCCTTGTGGTGGTAAAGTTGCCAACTGACATTGACAGATATGAGACACAAAATATGACCCGGTTAAATGCGTGGTGTCGTAAATAGTAGGACTGACAACATGAAGAATTATTTGTTCAGTGGAGTGGCACTGTTTGTTAGGTTTTATATTAAACAGAAAATATTCACCAAATATGTAATAACAAGCGTCACACATACACAAGGTAAAACACCAAAATTAAAGACATGCTTTTATAGAAATAACACTTTTCGCGGAAAACCATCAAACATTTATTAAAAGGTCTATTCAATTATTTGATTATAGATATTATTATCTGTCATTTGTTCCTTTTGTTATTGATTATTTGATCAATTAATTAATTGATGTTAGATCAATTGATTGATCAACGAATAAGTTGACTACTTGATTTATTTCAGGGATGGCGAATGGGTTGGAGCTGGGCTGAATTGACTGGATATATTATCAGGACATTGTCCTCCATCTCTAAGTTCGGTTTATCAGAAAAACCACGAGTCAACTAATGTTAATCTTGAGTGTACCCCAACTTTCCCTAAAGAAATAGCATTTTATAGCGGCAAAATCATTGGCAATTGGCTGCCTTCCGAGGTTCCCTTTTCTCCCAGCCAAGGCCTTTTAAGACTCCGACAACTTTCTCCATACTTACATTCGGTACACGATGGCTGCGATCAGGAAGATCAGCAACAGAGGCAGAAGCAATAACCAAGGACAGCCCGCTGTGGTGCAGCGTGGCTGGATGGTCACATTTACGGTGACAGGTGTCTGTGTCGATCCAGTAGCAATCTGTGGCGTTCCAGTAGCAATATGTGGAGTTCTAGTAGCGGTCTGTGGTGTTCCAGTAGCAATCTGTGGTGTTCCAGTAGCAATATGTGGAGTTCTAGTTGCGGTCTGTGGTGTTCCAGTAGCAATATGTGGCGTTCTAGTAGCGGTCTGTTGCGTTCCAATAGTAGTCAGTGGCGCTCCGGTAGTGGTTTCATTCGGAGGGCATGGTGCGCAATGCGGAATCACCGGGTCTGATATGAAGATACATCGTACACAGAAGTACTTATAATCATTAGTTATATAGGATGGTTCTAGTCGTCGTCCAAGACTGGATTTGGCTTTTATTCCACTTATACAGCCGGTCCGTGACAAGCGGTCGCTACCAACACGATGAATCAAGTCCAGTCTTAGCAATATTGGCAGCGCTACCCAGGAGATTCCTAGCAGACCTTACGCGCGCTGTATTCAAGCTAATGCAGGCACGTGGGGGTATGCTCGGAATTTCCCGGGTTGCGCTGTCAATATTGCCACGAATGAATTGGATTCATTTAGCTGATAGAGACCCCCCACCGCAACGGCAACTTAACCGCGTTTGTCACGGTAATGGCTTCAAAATGGGGGGGGGGGGGGGGGGGGGGGGGGGGGCTGGGGGGGGGGGGGGGAATCAAATCTTGGACCAAGACTAGTTCCCGCCAAACAACCAGTATTGATAATGTATGGATCGGGGGCCAGTCTGCTCGCGGAGACGGATGTGTTTGTAAAACTAAAACCGTGTTTGAAATGGTTGCAGACCCAAAAATATAAAAATATAAAAGTTTGGTTGGAATAAAACATAAAAACTGAACTTTCATTAACAGAAAAGAAATTGAATTTGTTAAGAGCACGAGGAACGCAACTATAATCGCTTTTACTACAAATACAGACTTTTTACTACAAGTTACAGACTCTATATACATCAAAAAGTTACTCAAGTGCAGGTATCGCAAAGTTTATTAAGTGAGCACAGATAACCACAAGGAATTTAGGACCATTTTGGTCTATCCATTAGGCCTATGTATCCACATATCACTCTTTCTTCACACATGCACAGACATGCAACACCAACCCACCAGACACCCAGACAGAGGGTGTCAAAAAGGGTTCAACCTTAGACAGTCAGAGCAGAGAGGGGACTGCATAGATTAGTTTCTCTGTTTTACATACATACCACAGGTCCACCCCGGCATGCATTTCGTGAAGTCGAACTTGGTAATATCTGGTAGCTTGGGTGGCAAATCGACTAATGGTTCAGTAGTTGTGAGGTTGTAGTTTCGGCATGCACAAGAATCCTCACGCACCTCTGGCACCTTAACGCACGAAGTATTTCCAGCCATAACTCTCCTGGTCTTTTCGTCTTCTCCGGGCGTTCCTAGAAGAATGTTGATGGATTCTGAAAAGAGGAGCGTGCGTTGTTTATTAGACGACACAGATACCGTGGCGCATGCATTCCGTTTAACTCACACCTGTCTCTGTTTTTGTCCCACCCGTGTCTCCTCCAAGGGACCATAATAATTATATGCGGGATACATAATGCGGCTTGGACAAAGTTGCTTGCTTAATCACAGTTTTGCCTGGTTATTTCATCGGGCACTATGTGCAATCTGCATTTCACATCAAAATACACAGAAAACACAAAGTGAGTAATTCGACTCATTATTGTAAAAAATGAGTCATTTTGTCCGTATAGTGACACACATTGGCTCAAAGTGTCTCACTACACGGACAAAATGACTCAATTTTTACGATATTGAGTCAAATTACTCACTTTGTGTTTTCTGTGTATTGAGATGTAATTTTTGTGGGTTTGGTGAAGTTCCCACACAAAATGGTGTTAAAAACAGCCAGTTTTTTTTCTGAGCCGCATGCATATCCCGTAAGTACCCGCACCATTTTCAGTGGCAGTCCCTAGTTTCACGTGTGCACTCACATGAAAACCGCCGTCAGTCAGGACTTGACACGCAAGCTCGATGCGGAGAATGTACTGTAGCTATAAACACATCTGGAAACACGCAAAACAAATGTTGAAATTGTCATAGGCCTATGGTATTATATACACACTAATAATATACTGCTGTATAGGCGCGGCCCATGTTTAGATTGCCGTATGGGCAACAGTTCAAACTAAATGTATTAATTGGCACTTTGTACTGACATATCGCCCGTGCTTGATACCATTACGACCCGTTGCAGCCTACCGTCTGATTTCACGACTGATTTGCTTGCTTGTATGTGCTTTGGTCAACTGTCAGCCTGGTTTTATCATTACATTTCGTAAACATGTTTGCACAATACACAATGCAAACCACAGTTCAGGGTGCACATACTTAAAATACACTCTACTTATCTGATTATAATGTGCCCTCTGGCCTGGAAGAAAGCCAGTACCAACCGCCCTGCAAACAGGGTGCTGGGAAGGGCTGATGAGCTTCACATAATCTTGTGAAGGAAGTACGCATGGCATTCTGGGTAACTTATCATGACCTATATAAAGGCATATAGCTGCAGCCGTTTAAGACCGCGGTTAACCTCGTCCCCAGTGCTTACTTTCTTTCTAACCTTGCTTGCAAGAGTAAATCCTGGGATGGGAACGCCTTACATATCTTCCTCTGATTGGACAGTGATACTCCAATACACATGTACATGTATATGTTTCATAGTATTGATATTTATTAACAATGCAAACCATCCATATTCAACAAATGGGTCCCTGTCTCTTTAATATTATTAATAGGATACTAACTCATGAGTATGCAGATACGATCTCAATAGTTTAATAACGTCGTCACGTATAATTGGGTCCCTGTAACACTAGTAAAAAAACCTATAAAAAAATCGACTCACGTACATGTCTGTATGACATAAACTTGCAATGCATGGATTTTCCAATCACATTTTGAAATCTAGTACCAAAGGGACTATGCTGTAAATATGACGAATTATGGATTTTAGTATTACCACCAAACTATTATGTGCGCCCAGAACACATCGCCCACAGGGAGCTTAATTTGCATACGTATCCAAATTATTTTGGATATGCAGACGATCCAAGGAAGTGGTGAAAGCATACTGCTCGACTCACTGGGAACGAGGTTGCAGTAAAGTGCTTGTACATACGGTACACTCTGACATTTGATCTGGGCGGGTTGTCCAACTGGAGCCACGATAGTCTATATTGTACTGGAAGATGATACATTTGTTAAACGGCAACAGTGTCAAAACACCCATCAGGCCTATCTCTGCAGACCTCAGCACTGCTTTTTTCCTAACACACATTTTTTTCACTGTCAAAACTACCTACAAAGAATAGAACATAATTACCCCTACATGTATATCATTCACTACATGCTTTAATGTTTCGTTTTACTCGGCCTCCGAGATGATGTTTGCTCCTGAAAGGATCCGAGACCGCGGTCTCCCGCGGCGCCAAAATCGCTCCACGTCCGCCTTCACGTTTTACTGCATTATGATTTTATTGTAATTGTCAAAACTGTATAATCAGCCTTCGACTGTGCCATTTAACAGACAGATGGGAGCATTTACAGACAGTTGCCATGGTGCACAATTATCATGTGCGTAAGTCGACGGTGGACAGGGGGACCCCCCCCCATTTTAAAGCAGGGGACATTGTTTGGTCCCCCCACACTTTTTCTTCCCCGAATAAAAATTGTAGCCTACTTTAATGATTTTATTGCTCAGAATACATGTAGCTGATTACTCCAAACTCAAAACTTTAAAAGATGATTTTTTGCTGAAATTGGTTTTAGTGGTCAGAAATTGCCCCAGATCACACCACAGAAATTGCTTTCTATAACTGCATGTCTCCTCAACTATATCCCCCATTTACATTTAACTCCCCACATTTTCATCCCCAACACTACGCCCTACCCAATCTATGATCGGGCAAATCAGCTTGTAAATCAATATAGATGAATATGCCAATCTTTTTTTCCCCAACTTACATACAGTCCTAACAGTTTGACAAGACGACAACTTTAGGTCTGAACATTTAATGACTTAGGCCTACTACGCATCTTTTATATTACTTACACTGAGAGAAAGCGCCCATGCAGTTACCACCTTTCAAACGCACCGGTCCTCAGCTGCTCACAAGTCACGTACAATCATGATTTTCCGCTCATTTTTCGTACCATATTTTGAAACCAGAATAGTTATCACTGGAACTAGAAAAGCACATGGCGAGTGTGGAAATGTAAAGCGAGCTAAAACACTATAGCCACGGGAATATGTGCACGTATTGATTCCAAATTCCAATTGCGTCAGCACTGAAATGAGAGGCGTTTTCTCTCGACCTCTAACCTACATGGGTGGAGTTGTATAACCCCTGACCAAAGATTAACTTCAACTCCATACTACAGACGGTTTGCAGATAATGCATCGCTGACGGCGGGGAATAAGTATTTACCGATACAAACTAAGTGTATGCAGGATTCACAGAATGAACACTAGGGGGCTCATCCGCAATAGTGTTTGACATAATATTCCTTCAGTTTAACTTTATCGCAGTTCATCCGCTTACTCGAGAAATTTTGAGATTGCCAATCGTGAACTCTCAATGCGCATCAGAGGTAGGGTGTTCCATGCTAATATGTCCCGCTGATACGCGATGAAAAATGTCTTGCAGGGGTTGTGTGGGTGTCTCTAAGATTTATACATCACTGACTTGACACTCTTAAAATACATAAATATTCATTCCTGCCTACACTTACACAAAGTGAGTCAAAAAAAGCGGAACCCAAACCCCCCAAAATATATTTCATATTTAAAAAAAATATGTAGCATCAAAAATAATAATGAATAAGCTACTTTTAGATGGAAAAAAATACCGAAATTGCTCAATATGTTCAAAGAATATCACCATTTAAACGCAACGACCGTAAAACCTTTCTCGTCCAAAAAAGCAATTTATTGTGTGTTTTGACTGTTTGGAACAACAAAGAAAATGACACAGAATTTCCTTTTTCAACAACTGTCACCACCTGTAGTGCACAATATCTTTATTAACAACCCCGGTTAGGCAATAAGACTTTGTTGAATATTTAAACGTTCAAACTGAGATTTTATCGCTGGTGATATTTAAAGACAATTGTGACGACGATTCTTGAAATCGCATTTTTTTTGGACGAGACAGGTTTTAGGGCCATTGTGCTTAAATTACCCTGTACAAAGTCGAATCCAGTATACGCCACATGTACATTACATTTATTGACACAAGGCTGTTTATCAATGGGACGGGGAATTCCCCTGAAAAGACCCGAGGCTTAGACTTTAGTAGACTGGACACCTGACCTCATGTAAGTGAGCAGGTCCCTGTCGGGATGCGGCGGTAGAGGGCGCTATCAACAAGATGAGTAGACGGGAATTACTTTGTCACTATTTGATGTAGGCCGACACCGACTGGATTGCGCTTATGACACTACAAACGTGGTGAAATTAGCTTGGGAAATAAGAAAAACGGGATGTGGGGGGGGGGGGGGGGGGGGGCTGGACATGCGTTCTGCCTCTAGGGGCGCTGTTATACATGGAGGCATATGTTTAGATATACATGTACACATGTAAACATCATCATGTACACAGGTGCCGTACACTGTGGTATTTTTGATTTTTTGTTCATTGTGACATGAACAGGCTGACTAACAACCAATATCTTACAGTAACAATTGCCCAGATGCCACTAAACAGTCAGGCTGCTTGTGGACCCACAATTATAACGTGGTACGAATTATTAAACCAGTTGAGTGAAAGGCGTTTACATGGGAATTAAATTGGATTGTAATTGAAATAAATCATATGTGACCAATACTAAAACGATCAAATCAAAACTGGTACTTTGCACTGGCTAATTTTGTCTATAGACCATGTGCAAAGTGACGTCATGGCGACAGCCACCCGCCGGACAACCCAAACATTTAGCCTATAAGTATTGTTGGCAGGAACACTTTTAAACCTTCAAGAGACACGCAGTTCAGAAGAAGAACCGTTTGCTGAAAGTTGGCATCACGTGACCACAACATCCAATATTGTAAACATATGTCACATAGTGTGCGCCTCTCTCCGTAATTCTATTGCTATTTTTGAATGTGAAGGTTTGGAACCCGTCAAACAGTGAGTAAAATCGTAGCCACAAATTGAAACGTACAACAAAATGTTCGTGTTCCCAAACACCACCAATGCCCAACCGCTAATTTCAGACTCGCATGTAATGCCCAGGCCCCCGTAATTACTCTCTTTTCCATATCCACGAACTGCTCAACTACCCAAAGCTCACAGTTTTCATCAATCCCTTTCAATTGCTAGTTTCAATAAAAACATTGGCGCATAGTTGCTGGAATTAAGATTTGGATAGCTTCATTACATTTTGACCTCATTTTTCTTAAAGGCGTTTCCTTTTTCTTTTCTTTTTTAATAAAGTGCCAATGTAGAGATCCGGCACATGATGTACTGAGCTATTTTGCATTTTACAAGTAGTGCTCAGTTAATAAGTCGCTCTTTTCAATGTAGGCCAAGGCCTCTATAAGAGGAATTGAAACAGGGATATTCTTATGAAGCACGCGCGGTATGCGCGCTTTCTTATCGTCAACACTTTAGGCTTAAAGTGTATGATACAGTACCGCTGGCAGTCGTCGGAACTACAGAGGGACATGATGAACGGTCACCACGTTTTTATACTTAAAGACCTTCTCCGAGTTCCCATCCTTCGTGTTTTGGGCAACCAGAAAAGCAGTGGGCTTGAGAGGCGTAAATATCGGCAGATTTTGGATCAAAATGTTATATTTCGACCGTGTGAAAAAAACTCGAAAAACCATTTACAACCAAACTTAGTTTACAGATTTTCAGAAATTCCAACGACGGCCATTTGTTTCCTTGAACTGAAGTTGCAGCAAAACGAGTCCTTTTTGGTGGTTGTTTCTGCAATGAAGTAAAGATGTGAAACTGAAAATGTGTAATCCTCAGTAGCTTTACTTGTAGTGTTTTCACAGACATTTACCGATTGCTGGGTCATTGAGCATACATATCCGTCTGGAGATCACTGAAAGGCAGTAGGTCCGTTTGATTATCGTCATGTCTTACGTTGAAAAAGAACAGTTTTAAGCTCTGGCACGAGCTTCTACATGTCCCTTTGTGGTTAGTTGGTCGGTCGGTCGGTAATTCACCAAACACGAGCCCTCTAAGTTTCCCATAAAAATAAAAAAATTCATTTTTCACAAACCCCAAAATAAATGAAATACTTCACCGACATTCTTTGTAACAATTCGTGAAGTTGTTAATGAAAATTGTGTCAATGGAGGCATGATGTGTGCAGTAATGCTATAGTCACGTGGTACACATCGTAGTATACAGCGTTCGCTCGTTCGCCGGCAAACAGGACGCTGGGCCTACTCTGATGAATTCACCTCTGATTGGATAGATTTTGCATGACCTGTGACCTGCAAGTCAACCCGGCCATGACCCTGCAAGGTTTAAAAACGGCCGTTAAGACTGATTCAATGCTCTTTTATTCCCATTTATAGATGTTTTTTTTTGTTGAAAAACGTAAAAATGTAGGAAAATCTGTAAAACGTATCTGTGTTGTAAATTTGCAATTCCCTTCACTTGCTCAGGCTCCGTTTCGAATTCACGAACGGTCAATGATTGCATTATGCAACGCTCAAAATTTGCCAACATTGTCTGCAATGAAAAAGAAATCACATCCGGTATGGATTGTGTACATTTCTATGAGAACGTTTTCGGATAGCATTTATGCGCATTGGCTTACTGCGGTCTATGTGTAGGCCTATGTTTATTATAGAAGTATAAAAAACGAATGACATGATTGTAAAAACCAATACGGATGCAAGATGGAAAAACGAACAGTCAAGCACAGTATATGAAAAGAAAAAGCAAAGTAAACATAAAGAGCTGAAATACTAATTAGATTGGTTTAAAATATTGCCTTTAAAAGGGTTAAGTGTCTTCGTAAGGATCAAGTAAAATCAAAGTTTCGGATTGTTTTGAACACGTGGCAAAAAGCAAATGAGAGGTTTGGCGAATTGAATGAGAATTAAAGTTGAAAATACTTTAAAACACTGAAATGAATGGGCGTCCCCATGCATGCTATATACAATGACGCATAATAAATTGATATGAATCTCGTCAGTTTTAAGGATCTTATATACAAAGAAAGGTGCAGCTTAGTGAGCTGGAAACAGAATGGCTATGACCCCGTCTAACTTTTTACAAAATGAACAATTATTCATAAATGGTTTCGCCCTTCTTAGGTGTAAATATCAATGGCTTCACCGTTGGGCAAAGTCCTTCAAAACGTTGGTACAATTTTACTCAAGGTAATTGACATTAATGTTAAATAAAAATAAAAATTTGTCTTGTAGGATAGCACTACTGCACATTTATTTTCACCTCCTTTTCGACAATGTTAAATTGTATCGCTCAAACCACATAAAAACGGCCTCCGGTTTTTCATAATTTCCACATTTGTGTTATCAAAACCTACATGTACCAACACTAAAGTGCAAAAATGTAGTCTGCAGAAGTTTTCTGTAAACCTATGGAAAGTAAATAATTGAAGGATTAGTAAATGATGACGTATATATAATGGAAGGACCAGTAAACGAGAACACAGTCGATTATTAACTCATATTGTTATCTTTTTAAAGGCAACCTTTTTTTGTGGTGAAAGAAGAAATTAAAATAAAACCAATTTTGACGTTGTCTTTCCAACGGTCCAAATGCATTATTTTTTTTTTGAAAAAAAAAAACCCCGGAGAACAAACAGTACAAACACTTATTGAACGAGTAGTAAACGAGAACCTAGTCGATTAACTCACAATGTTATCTTTTTAAAGGTCACTTTTTAAAAATATGGTTCCGCCTATTTTGCAGCATCCCCCTTCGTACTAGTGACCTTTTTACGGCGTCTTTTACTACTCTTATCTTCAGTCTTTTCCTCAGGTGGCTCATTGTTTTGGTCAACCTCGACCTCGGGTTTGATGGCTTCTTCGGCTGCGCTCCCCGACCCTCTAGTTTCATCTTTGGTGGTTGCGCCGACTCCCTCACTACTAGTCGGGAGCACTTCCTCCATAGGATCAGCCAACTCAGCCTCGTTCACATTTTCGTATACTGGGTTTTTATGGGCGAGTGCAGGTAATTCGGCTGGATCTTTGTGTGGTTCATCGGCCTTTTCATCGAAACGGATTTTGTATTTACATCTAGCAAAAAGTAAATAAACCAAAGATGTAGTCGAAGAATTTCATCAAGACACAATCTTAGTTACAAGACGTCACAAAAATGGTTTTCTAAACTTGAGGGGGTTTTACACAGTGGCGTAGCCACGGGGGGCGTGGGGTCACCCCCCCCCATGAAACCTTGTCGCCCCCCCCCCAGTCGCCCCACTGAGATTTTGAGTTTCTAAAAATTGATCTACATGACGCCCCCCATGAAATGTTCCAGCCCCCCAGCGCCCCCCACTGACAAATTCCTGGCTACGCCACTGGTTATACACTGCCAAAAAATATTCAATTAATGTTTGCCATTAATTTATCGAAGTGGCGCTTTATGATTGCGATCAAAATCGCTGTAAGTTAACAACGCATTTTAGCACTGTAAATCAGACACAGTTGAATTCATAAAAGATCAAGTAAAATTCAATACTCACATTGGTGAAGTTGGCGGGTCGTTGGAAGATTCGGCAATGCTGTTTTCCTTGCGGTGGTAAAGTTGCCAACTGACATTGACAGATATGAGACACAAAATATGACCCGGTTAAATGCGTGGTGTCATAAAAAGTAGGACTGACAACATGAAGAATTATTTGTTCAGTGGAGTGGCACTGTTTGTTAGGTTTTATATTAAACAGAAAATACAAGCGTCACACAAACACAAGGTAAAACACCAAAATTAAAGACATGCTTTTATAGAAATAACACTTTTCTCGGAAAACCATCAAACATTTATTAAAAGGTCTATTCAAATATTTGATTATAGATATTATTATCTGTCATTTGTTCCTTTTGTTATTGATTATTTGATCAATTAATTAATTGATGTTTGATCAATTGATTGATCAACGAATAAGTTGACTAATTGATTTATTTCAGGGATGGCGAATGGGTTGGAGCTGGGCTGAATTGACTGGATATATTATCAGGACATTGTCCTCCATCTCTAAAAAAAACCACGAGTCAACTAATGTTAATCTTGAGTGTACCCCAACTTTCCCTAAAGAAATAGCATTATATAGCGGCAAAATCATTGGCAATTGGCTGCCTTCCGAGGTTCCTTTTTCTCCCAGCCAAGGCCTATTAAGACTCTGACAACTTTCTCCATACTTACATTCGGTACACGATGGCTGCAATCAGGAAGATCAGCAACAGAGGCAGAAACAATAACAAAGGACAGCCCGCTGTGGTGCAGCGTGGCTGGATGGTCACATTTACGGTGACAGGTGTCTGTGTCGATCCAGTAGCAATCTGTGGCGTTCCAGTAGCAATATGTGGAGTTCTAGTAGCGGTCTGTGGTGTTCCAGTAGCAATCTGTGGTGTTCCAGTAGCAATATGTGGAGTTCTAGTTGCGGTCTGTGGTGTTCCAGTAGCAATATGTGGCGTTCTAGTAGCGGTCTGTTGCGTTCCAATAGTAGTCAGTGGCGCTCCGGTAGTGGTTTCATTCGGAGGGCAAGGTGCGCAATGCGGAATCACCGGGTCTGATATGAAGATACATCGTACACAGAAGTATTTATAATCATTAGTTATATAGGATGGTTCTAGTCGTCGTCCAAGACTGGATTTGGCCTTTATTCCCCTTTATACAGCCGGTCCGTGACAAGCGGTCGCTATCAACACGATGAATCAAGTCCAGTCTTAGCAATATTGGCAGCGCTACCCAGGAGATTCCGAGCAGACCTTACGCGCGCTGTATTCAAGCTAATGCAGGCACGTGGGGGTATGCTCGGAATTTCCCGGGTTGCACTGTCAATATTGCCACGACTGAATTGGATTCATTTAGTTGATAGAGACCCCCATCGCAACGGCAACTTAACCGCGTTTGTCACGGTACTGGCTACAAAATGGGGGGGGGGGGGGGGGGGGGGGGGGGGGGGGGAGGCTGGGGGGGGGGGGGGGAATCCAATCTTAGACCAAGACTAGTTCCCGCCAAACAACTAGTATTGATAATGTATGGACCGGGGGCCAGTCTGCTCGCGGAGACGGATGTGTTTGTAAAACTAAAACCGTGTTTGAAATGGTTGCAGACCCAAAAATATAAAAATATAAAAGTTTGGTTGGAATAAAACGTAAAAACTGAACTTTCCTTAACAGAAAAGAAATTGAATTTGTTAAGAGCACGAGGAACGCAACTATAATCGCTTTGACTACAAATACAGACTTTTTTACTACAAGTTACAGACTCTAGGCCTATATACATAAAAAAGTTACTCAAGTGCAGGCATCGCAAAGATTATTAAGCGAGCACAGATAACCACAAGGAATTTAGGACCATTTTGGTCTGTCCATTAGGCCTATATATCCACATATCACTCTATATTCACACATGCACAGACATGCAACACCAACCCACCAGACACCCAGACAGAGGGTGTCAAAAAGGGTTAAACCTTAGACAGTCAGACTCAGAGCAGAGAGGGGACTGCATAGATTAGTTTCTCTGTTTTACATACATACCACAGGTCCACCCCGGCATGCATTTCGTGAAGTTGAACTTGGTAATATCTGGTAGCTTGGGTGGCAAATCGAGTAATGGTTCAGCAGTAGTAGTTGTGAGGTTGTAGTTTCGGCATGCACAAGAATCCTCACGCACCTCTGGCACCTTAACGCACGAAGTACTTCCAGCCATAACTCTCCTGGTCTTTTCGTCTTCTCCGGGCGTTCCTAGAAGAATGTTGATGGATTCTGAAAAGAGGAGCGTGCGTTGTTTTTTAGACGACACAGATACCGTGGTGTACAGTGGCGTACGCAGGATTTTTTCAAGGGGGGTGTTTCAAAATTGGATGTCGTCATTTATGACGCTAGAAATGAAGATGGTAAATTGTGTTGGCGCCAGAAATAAAAAATAGTATCAGTGGGCTAAACTTTACGCTAAAATAAAAGTCAGGAGTTTGTGTTGGCGCCAGAAATAAAAGAGGGTATATTTGGACGGGTTAAACTCGAAGGGCCGGGAACCCACGACCATCAGTTATCTTTTTGAGCTAAAGCATAGTAAATCGGGAAAAAAATGTTCTGTGTCTTTAGAGTATGATGAACATATGAGTAAAGGGGTCAATGTGGGCAGTCCCCTCCCTCAACAGCATTTAAACCAAAACAAAGAAGAAATTCAAGAAAAAAAGGGACACGGGCTGCGGAAGTGCTAGGATCTGTTCTTGTTATTGGCTAAAATCACTCAGCTTCGTCCCCTGGATCTCATGATTCTCATCCGTTGGGAATCTTCGTGTAAACCGCCCCCACCCCCAAGGCCAAACTTTAGATACATATGCGCTCTGGTCACAGGGGCGGATTCAGACTGCCATTTGCCGGGGGGCCTAGAACTATTGTAATGAAGGGTCCAGGACCTGCGAAGCCCTTACGGCGTGGGGTCCGGGGCCCGCTTAAGGGCCCCGGAAAAAATTTGGATTTTAGATTCTCTGTGGTGCAATCTGAGGCGATTCCTGGCCACTTCCACCTTTTAGAAAACATTTTAAACATCGAAAATTCCATTTAAATTTGTTAATTTTTGTTGTTGTTTATAAAGTTTGTTACGTACTCAAAGTTGAGAACCATGTTCCATCTCCGTATTTTTTCACAATTTTCTATTTTGGAAAGGGACTTATGCCACTTATAGAGCCATTCGCTGCTGAAGGTACAAAATGGTGGGGGCACCGCTAGGGTGAAATTATAGCATAGAGGGAATTTGAATCCCGGGACATACCGTTATTTCGTTTTACCGTTTTGGATTTCCTCAAAAACAAAAACAGTAAACGAATCATCGACCGTTTTGTCGTTTTACAGTGTTATAAAACGACAAGCGGTATTAAGATTAATACGGTTTCTCCGTTTTATAAGTTTAGTAAAATTCATTATAGCATAACGATCAATGATTTTTGTTTTACAGATTACACAAATACAGACTGTTTTTTTATTCCAGTGTCATGGTTAACAGTCCGTGGTGCATTTTGTGGCGGTGGGCAAGGGGGTGGAGGGGGACCATGTTTTACACGAAGAAGTGTTACCTCGGCATAATTAATGCGTGATGTGATTCCTGGCGCGGACCCCGACCCCTTTCTCATGCGATTCAGTCAAGTTGGTGGGGCTTAAAGAATTCCAAGCAAAATGGCGCTGGAAAACTTCAAGGGAGGACATTACTTTTCACAATGGAAACAGGATGGTAATAAGACGTTTGATGAAGTTGCAGACATTTTGAAGGAAACTGGGGTTCAAGTCGACGCGGCTCTTCAATAGCCAATTTGCAAATTTTGTCGTGAGAACGAAATGTAAGGAGCGGGGCCCAGGCAATGACTCGATCCCAAGGACGCATTAATTAACATTCCGGTGCATTGCTTAATTGCCGAACCTAAAATCAAAAAATGGTCGGCAAGACTATTGACCGTTTTGTCATTGTCATGATTTTGTAAAACAACACTCTAAAAATAAAGCAACTAACCGTTTAACGCTTTCTACAATTAAAAACAACAACAAAAAGTATTTTTTGTGTGTGACTTAATACCGTTTGACCGTTTTACAAAACTGTAAAACGAGAAAACGACCAATGGTTCGTTTACTGTTTTTGTTTTGAGGAAATCCAAAACAGTAAAACGAAATAACGGTATGTCCCGGGATTAATTTGGCCGGAGGACCAATGCGAGCGCGGAGCGCGAAGCACTTACGGCGTGGGGTCCGGGGCCCGCTTAAGGGCCCCGGGAAATTTTGGATCGTAGATGCTCTGTGGTGCAATCTGAGGCGTTTCCTGGCCACTTTCCCCTGTTTTTTTTAGCAGAAGTTGTTTAAATTATGAGGGGATATTTTGTTTCATTTGTTTCAAATACATATAGGCCTATATACTCTTGCTCTTATAAAGTGTCTTCTGTATTCAAAGCTTAAAGTTGAGAACATGCACATAATTTGTAATTGTTCCGCGCTCGGTCACATAACTCTCTTTTCCCTCCATATTTTTACATGGCAAAGGGGGGTGTTTAACAGCCAAAACACCCCCCCTGCGTACGCGCCTGGTGGTGTATGCATTACGTTCAACTCACACCTACCTCTGTTTTCGTCCCACCCGCGTTTCCTCCAAGGGACCATAATAATTATATGCGGGATACATAATGCGGCTTGGACAAAGTTGCTTGCTTAATCACAGTTTTGCCTGGTTATTTCATCTGGCACTATGTGCAATCTGCATTTCACATCAAAATGTTGAGATGTAATTTTTGTGGGTTTGGTGAAGTTACCACACAAAATGGTGTTAGAAACAGCCAGTTTTTTTCTGAGCCGCATGCGTATCCCGTAAGTACCCGCACCATTCAGTGGCAGTCCCTAGTTTCACGAGTGCACTCACATGAAAACCGCCGTCAGTCAGGACTTGACATGCAAGCTCGATGCGGAGAATGTACTGTAGCTATAAACACATCTGGAAACACGCAAAACAAAAGTTGAAATTGTCATAGGCATATGGTATTATATACACACTAATAATATACTGCTGTATAGGCGCGGCCCATATTTAGATTGCCGTATGGGCAACAGTTCAAACTAAATGTATTAATTGGCACTTTGTACTGATCATTATCGCCCGTGCTTGATACCATTACGACCCGTTGCAGCCTACCGTCTGATTTCACGACTGATTTGCTTGCTTGTATGTGCTTTGGTCAACTGTCAGCCTGGTTTTATCATTACATTTCGTAAACATGTTTGCACAATACACAATGCAAACCACAGTTCAGGGTGCACATACATAAAATACACTCTACTTATCTGATTATAATGTGCCCTCTGGCCTGGAAGAAAGCCAGTACCAACCGCCCTGCAAACAGGGTGCTGGGAAGGGCTGATGAGCTTCACATAATCTTGTGAAGGAAGTATGCATGGCATTCTGGGTAACTTATCATGACCTATATAAAGGCATATAGCTGCAGCCGTTTAAGACCGCGGTTAACCTCGTCCCCAGTGCTTACTTTCTTTCCAACCTTGCTTGCAAGAGTAAATCCTGGGATGGGAACGCCTTACATATCTTCCTCTGATTGGACAGTGATACTCCAATACACATGTACATGTATATGTTTCATAGTATTGATATTTATTAACAATGCAAACCATCCTTATTTAACAAATGGGTCCCTGTCTCTTTAATATTATTAATAGGATACTAACTCATGAGTATGCACATACGATCTCAATAGTTTAATAACGTCGTCACGTATAATTGGGTCCCTGTAACACTAGTAAAAGAACCTATTAAAAAAATCGACTCACGTACATGTCTGTATGACATAAACTTGCAATGCATGGATTTTCCAATCACATTTTGAAATCTAGTACCAAAGGGACTATGCTGTAAATATGACGAATTATGGATCTTAGTATTACCACCAAACTATTATGTGCGCCCAGAACACATCGCCCACAGGGAGCTTAATTTGCATACGTATCCAAATAATTTTGGATATGCAGACGATCCAAGGAAGTGGTGAAAGCATACTGCTCGACTCACTGGGAACGAGGTTGCAGTAAAGTGCTTGTACATACGGTACACTCTGACATTTGATCTGGGCGGATTGTCCAACTGGAGCCACGATAGTCTATATTGTACTGGAAGATGATAAATTTGTTAAACGGCAACAGTGTCAAAACACCCATCAGGCCTATCTCTGCAGACCTCAGCACTGCTTTTTCCTAACACACATTTTTTCCCTGTCAAAACTACCTACAAAGAATAGAACATAATTATCCCTACATGAATATCATTCACTACATGCTTTAATGTTTCGTTTTACTCGGCCTCCGAGATGATGTTTGCTCCTGAAAGGATCCGAGACCGCGGTCTCCCGCGGCGCCAAAATCGCTCCACGTCCGTCTTCACGTTTTATTGCATTATGATTTTATTGTAATTGTCAAAACTGTACAATCAGCCTTCGACTGTGCCAATTTAACAGACAGATGGGAGCATTTACAGACAGTTGCCATGGTGCACAATTATCATGTGCGTAAGTCGACGGTGGACAGGGGGAACCCCCCCCCCCCCATTTTAAAGCAGGGGACATTGTTTGGTCCCCCCACACTTTTTCTTCCCCGAATAAAAATTGTAGCCTACTTTAATGATTTTATTGCTCAAAATACATGTAGCTGATTACTACAAACTCAAAACTTTAAAAGATGATCTTTTGCCGAAATAGGTTTTAGTGGTCAGAAATTGCCTCAGATTACACCACAGAAATTGCTTTCTATAACTGCATGTCTCCTCAACTATATCCCCCATTTACATTTAACTCCCCACATTTTCATCCCCAACACTACGCCCTACCAAATCTATGATCGGGCAAATCAGCTTGTAAATCAATATAGATGAATATGCCAATCTTTTTTTTCCAACTTACATACAGTCCTAACAGTTTGACAAGACGACAACTTGAAGGTCTGAACATTTAATGACTTAGGCCCACTACGCATCTTTTATATTACTTACACGGAGAGAAAGCGCCCATGCAGTTACCACCTTTCAAACGCACCGGTCCTCAGCTGCTCACAAGTCACGTACAATCATGATTTTCCGCTCATTTTTCGTACCATATTTTGAAACCAGAATAGTTATCACTGGAACTAGAAAAGCACATGGCGACTGTGGAAATGTAACGCGAGCTATTTATAGCCACGGGATTATGTGCACGTATTGATTCCAATTCCATTTGCGTCAGCACTGAAATGAGATGCGTTTTCTCTCGACCTGTAACCTACATGGGTGGAGTTGTATAACCCTTGACCAAAGATTAACTTCAACTCCATACTACAGACGGTTTGTAGATAATGTATCGCTGACGGGGAATAAGTATTTACCGATACAAATTAAGTGTATGCAGGATTCACAGAATGAACACTAGGGGGCTCATCCGCAGTAGTGTTTGATATAATATTCCTTCAGTTTAACTTTATCGCAGTTCATCCGCTTACTCGAGAAATTTTGAGATTGCCAATCGTGAACTCTCAATGCGCATCAGAGGTAGGGTGTTCCATGCTAATTATGTATCCCGCTGATACGCGATGAAAAATGTCTTGCAGGGGTTGTGTGGGTGTCACTAAGATTTATACATCACTGACTTGACACTCTTAAAATACATAAATATTCATTCCTGCCTACACTTATACAAAGTGAGTCAAAAAAAGCGGAGCCCAACCCCCCCAAAAATATATTTCATATTAAAAACAAATATGTAGCACCAAAAATAATAATGAATGGAAAGCCAATCTCATAAGCTACTTTTAGATGGAAAAAATACCGAAATTGCTCAATATGTTCAAAGAATATCACCATTTAACCGCAACGACCGTAAAACCTTTCTCGTCCAAAAAAGTAATTTATTGTGTGTTTTGACTGTTTGGAACAACAAAGAAAATGACACAGAATACTTGTTTCAACAACTGTCACCACCTGAAGTGCACAATATCTTTATTAACAACCCCAGTTAGGCAATAAGACTTTGTTGAATATTTAAACGTTCAAACTGAGATTTTATCGCTGGTGATATTTAAAGACAATTGTGACGACGATTCTTGAAATCGCATTTTTTTTGGACGAGACAGGTTTTAGGGCCATTGTGCTTAAATTACCCTGTACAAAGTCGAATCCAGTATACACCACATGTACATTACATTTATTGACGCAAGGCCGTTTATCAATGGGACGGGGAATTCCCCTGAAAAGACCCGAGGCTTAGACTTTAGTAGACTGGACACCTGACCTCATGTAAGTGAGCAGGTCCCTGTCGGGATGCGGCGGTAGAGGGCGCTATCAACAAGATGAGTACACGGGAATTACTTTGTCACTATTTTATGTAGGCCGACACCGACTGGATTGCGCTTATGACACTACAAACGTGGTGAAATTAGCTTGGGAAATTAGAAAAACAGGTTGTGGGGGGGGGGGGGGGTCTGGACATGCGTTCTGCCTCTAGGGGCGCTGTTATACATGGAGGCATATGTTTAGATATACATGTACACATGTAAACATGATCATGTACACAGGTGCCGTACACTGTGGTATTTTTGATTTTTTGTTCATTGTGACATGAACAGGCTGACTAACAACCAATATCTTACAGTAACAATTGCCCAGATGCCACTAAACAGTCAGGCTGCTTGTGGACCCACAATTATAACGTGGGACGAATTATTAAACCAGTTGAGTGAAAGGCGTTTACATGGGAATTAAATTGGATTGTAATTGAACTAAATCATATGTGACCAATACTAAAACGATCAAATCAAAACTGGTACTTGGCACTGGCTAATTTTGTCTATAGACCATCATGTAAAGTGACGTCATGGCGACAGCCACCCACCGGACAACCCAAACATTTAGCCTATAAGTATCGTTGGCAGGAACACTTTTAAACCTTCAAGAGACACGCAGTTCAGAAGAAGAACCGTTTGCTGAAAGTTGGCATCACGTGACCACAACATCCAATATTGTAAACATATGTCACATAGTGTGCGCCTCTCTCCGTAATTCTACTGCTATTTTTGAATGTGAAGGTTTGGAACCCGTCAAACAGTGAGTAAAATCGTAGCCACAAATTGAAACATACAACAAAATGTTCGTGTTCCCATACATCACCAATGCCCAACCGCTAATTTCAGACTCGCATGTAATGCCCAGGCCCCCGTAATTATTCTCTTTTCCATATCAACTGCTCAACTACCCAAATCTCACAGTTTTCATCAATCCCTTTCAATTGCTAGTTTCAATAAAACCATTCGCGCATAGTTGCTGGAATTAAGATTTAGATAGCTTCATTACATTTTGACAGCATTTTTCTTAAAGGCGTTTCCTTTTTTTTTTAATAAAGTGCCAATGTAGTGATCCGGTGTGGCAGGTAATTCTGTCCCCCCTGGTAAATGTGTCCCCCCGGACAGATCTACCGGGTCGTGACCCGGTAAATCTGTCCGGGGGGGACATTTTTACCTAGGTAAACCTGTCCCCCTCTAGGTAAATCTGTCCCCCTGCACGACGTTAAATGTGTCCCCCCTGGTAAATGTGTCCCCGTGCAACGTCACAAGTCTAGCACCCAGACTGTATATTAGTGAAGTTATTAACTGTTTTTGCGCGGCGCCTTGCTAAATTCGGGAATGGTGCTTACGTCAAAGCACAACTCCCGTTTTGATGACGACTTTGTATGGTGGGCGTGCGCGCGAGTGTACTGCACCGTACCTACGGGCTGCGCCAGGGCGCCGGGCCGCGGTCGGGGACGGGGACAACAGTGCACCAGCAGCAGGCCTGCGGCGCGGTGACCCGTGTCGCGTATAATTTTGCCAATTCTCCTCATTGAAGTCCGCCATGACAGTCACACGCGTATCGGCGGCTAATGCGCGTGCGCGTGCAGCAGAGTCTTTTTTTGGTGGTTGTTTCTGCAATGAAGTAAAGATGTGAAACTGCAAATGTGCAATCCTAAGTAGCTTCACTTTTAGTGTTTTCACAGACATTTACCGCTTGCTGGGTCATTGAGCATACATATCCGTCTGGAGATCACTGAAAGGTAGTGTTTGATTATCGTCATGTCTTACGTTGAAAAAGAACATTTTTAAGCCCTGGCAAGAGCTTCTACATGTCCCTTCGTGATTGGTTGGTCAGTCGGTCGGTCCCCGGAAAATTCACCAAAGACGAGCCCCCTAAATTTCCCATAAAAAAAAAAATCATTTTTCACAAAAAAAACCCAAACCCCAAAATAAATGAAATACTTCACCGACATTCTTTGTAACAATTTGTGAAGTTGTTAATGAAAATTGTGTCAATAGAGGCATGATGTGTGCAGTAATGCTATAGTCACGTGGTATACATCGTAGTATACAGCGTTCGCTCGTTCGCCAGCAAACAGGACGCTGGGCCTACTCTGATGAATTCACCTCTGATTGGATAGATTTTGCATGACCTGTGACCTGCAATTCAACAATGCCATGACCCTGCAAGGTTTAAAAACGGCCGTTAAGACTGATTCAATACTCTTTTATTCCAATTTATGGATTTTTTTTTGTTGAAAAGCGTAAAAATGTAGGAAAATCTGTAAAACGTATCTGTGTTGTAAATTTGCAATTCCCTTCACTTGCTCAGGCTCCGTTCCGAATTCACGAACGGTCATTGATTGCATTATCCAACGCTCAAAATTTGCCAACATTGTCTGCAATGAAAAAGAAATCACATTCGGTATGGATTGTATACATTTCTATGAGAACATTTTTGGATAGAATTTATGCGCATTGGCTTACTGCGGTCTATGTGTAGGCCTATGTTTATTATAAAAGTATAATTAACGAATGACATGATTGTAAAAACCAATACGGATGCAAGATGGAAAAAACGTTTAGTCAAGCACAGTATATAAAAAGAAAAAGCAAAGTATACAAATAATTAATAATATTAAAATATTACCTTTAAAGGGGTTATGTGTCTTCGTAAGGATAAAGTAAAATCAAAGTTTCGGATTGTTTTGAACACGTGACAAAAAGCAAATGAGAGGTTTGGCGAATTGAATGAGAATTAAAGTGAAAAATACTTTAAAACACTGAAATGAATGGACGTCCCCATGCATGCTATATACAATGACGCAAAATAAATTGACATGAATCTCGTCAGTTTTAAGGATCTTATATACAAAGAAAGGTGCAGCTTAGTGAGCCGGAAACAGAATGGCTATGACCTCGTCTAACTTTCTACAAAATGAACAATTATTCATCAATGGTTTCGTCCTTCTTATGTGTAAATATCAATGGCGTCACCGTTGGGCAAAGTCCTTCAAAACGTTGGTACGATTTTACTCGAGCTAAGCGACATTAATGTTAAATTAAAATAAAACTTTGTCTTGTAGGATAGCACTACTGCACATTTATTTTCACCTCCTTTTCGACAATGTTAAATTGTATCGCTCAAACCACATAAAAACGGCCTCCGGTTTTTTCATAATTTCCACATTTGTGTTATCAAAACCTACATGTACCAACACTAAAGTGCAAAAATGTAGTCTGCAGAAGTTTTCTGTAAACCTATGGAAAGTAAATAATTGAAGGATTAGTAAATGATGATGTATATATAATGGAAGGACCAGTAAACGAGAACACAGTCGATTATTAACTCATATTTTTATCTTTTTAAGGCAACTTTTTTTGTGGTGGAAGAAGAAATTAAAATAAAACCAATTTTGATGTTGTCTTTCCAACGGTCCAAATGCCTTATTTTTTATTTGAAAAAAAAAACCCCGGAGAACAAACAGTACAAACACTTATTGAACGAGTAGTAAATGAGAACCTTGTCGATTAACACACAATGTTATCTTTTAAAGGTAACTTTTTAAAAATATGGTTCCGCCTATTTTGCAGCATCCCCCTTCGTACTTGTGACTTTTTTACGGCGTCTTTTACTCCCTTTATCTTCAGTCTTTTCCTCAGGTGGCTCATCGGTTGCGCCGACTCCCTTACTACTAGTCGGGAGCACTTTCTCCATAGGATCAGCCAGCTCAGCCTCGTTCACACTTTCGTATACTGGGTTTTTATGGGCGAGTGCAGGTAATTCGGCTGGATCTTTGTGTGGTTCACCGGCCTTTTCATCGAAACGGATTTTGCATTTACATCTAGCAAAAAGTAAATAAACCAAAGATGTAGTCGAAGAATTTCATCAAGACACAATCTTAGTTACAAGACGTCACAAAAATGGTTTTCTAAACTTGAGGGGGGTTATACACAGTGGCGTAGCCACGGGGGGCGTGGGGTCGCCCCCCATGAAACCTTGTCGCCCCCCCCCCCAGTCGCCCCCACTGAGATTTTGAGTTTCTAAAAATTGATCTACATGATGCCCCCCCCCATGAAATGTTCCAGCCCCCCCCCCCCCCCCCAGCGCCCCCCACTGAAAAATTCCTGGCTACGCCACTAGTTAAACACTGCCAAAAAATGTTCAATTAATGTTTGCCATTAATGTATCGAAGTGGCGCTTTATGATTGCGATCAAAATCACTGTAATTTAACAACGCATTTTAGCACTGTTAATCAGACACAGTTGAATTCATAAGAGATCAAATAAAATTCAATTCTCACATTTCTGGTGAAGTTGGCGGGTAGTTGGAAGATTCGGCAATGCTGTTTTCCTTGTGGTGGTAAAGTTGCCAACTGACATTGACAGATATGAGACACAAAATATGACCCGGTTAAATGCGTGGTGTCATAAACTAACAATTATAGTAGGACTGACAACATGAAGAATAGTTTGTTCAGTGGAGTGACACTGTATATTAGGTGTTATATTAAACAGAAAATATTCACCATATATGAAATAACAAGCGTCACACGAACACAAGGTAAACACCAAAATTAAAGACATGCTTTTATAGAAATAACACTTTTCTCGGAAAACCATCAAACATTTATTCAAAGGTCTATTCAATTATTTGATTACAGATATTATTATCTGTCATTTGTTCCTTTTGTTATTGATTGTTTGATCAATTAATTTACTGATGTTAGATCTATTGATTGATTGATTGATCAACGAAAATAAGTTGACTAATTGATTTATTTCAGGGAATGGGTTGGAGCTGGGCTGAATTGACTGGATACATTTTTAGGACATTGCCCTCCATCTTTAAGTTCGGTTCATCTGAAAAACCACGAGTCAACTAATGTTAATCTTGAGTGAACCCCAACTTGCCCTCAAGAAATAGCATTATAGTGGCAAAATCATTGGCAGTTGGCTGCCTTCCGAGGCTCATTTTTTTTCTCCCAGCCAAGGCCTTTTAAGACTCCGACAACTTTCTCCATACTTACATTCGGTACACGATGGCTGCGATCAGGAAGATCAGCAACAGAGGCAGAAGCAATAACCAAGGACAGCCCGCTGTGGTGGAGCATGGCTGGATGGTCACAGGTGTCTGTTGCGTTCCAGTAGCGGTCTGTTGCGTTCCAACAGTAATCTGTGGCGCTCCGGTAGTGGTTTCATTCGGAGGGCACGGTGCGCAATGTGGAATCACCGGGTCTGATATGAAGATACATCGTATACAGAAGTATTTATGAAGCCCAGCCAAAAAAAATGAAATAGCGCCCTCTAGTGTTCACACTGGATGCAGTCTGAAAAAGCATGATCACAACTGTCATGGAGGCATCCATGTTTTCTTCACGTTCTGCTGCAATCGGCATGTAAAACGGGCCCAAAACGCTATTTTGAAGGCTCAATTCGACAGATGAAATAGTCCTGTTGAAACTGTTGGCTCTCAGGTAAAGCTAAACCTTTTGTAATTTTCATAATACATGATAGTAAAGATTTAGTTGAGAACCACATGTGCTCATTGTGCATGTAAATGATTCATATGCAATGCTAGTGTGTTATATGCAAAATAAGCAGATAAGGGTGGTTCAGAGTAATAAGATTTAATTATGTAGGGGATATTAAGCAGACTATTTAGGTTAATTTTGATCTTTTAGTACACTGTTTTGGACTTGTTCTGGATACAAATGAAGCTTGGGGGATGCAAATGAAGCTTGGGGGGTATGCAACTGAAGCTTGGGGGGGATGCAACTGAAGCTTGGGGGATCTCTAGGAAAGTGTGTGTAGATAATGTCCTGTTTTAGGGGATATGCATGTGCTTACATAATTAGCTTATAGATGGGGTATTCTTACATCATCCTTTGGGTTAGATATGTACTATTATGTTTTATAAATTGTTTGCGGTTAGGTGAAAGCTAAGATGCTTATGGGCTAAAAACCAAGACGATTGTGTTCATATTCTTTTATAAAATGTTTATTTTTGTCATAAATTGCTTTATATTGTAAGATAAGTTTTAGAGCTGACCGAAGATTTATTGCCTTGGTCGGTATCAAATTTACAGTTGTGGATGCCAACTTTTGTCACTTCTTGTTAATTTTTGAACTTGACAACCTGTTTACTGGAGCCCAAGTCAATTATATTGATTACTCCATGGAGCCTTGGGTAATGTAAAATTAGCTATGCCTAAGCTATATTGATAATTGAAATTGTTATCAAAGTATAGCAACATTTGAAGTTGTTTACAAAGTAGCATGTATACTATATGTCTGCATGGTTTTCTTTGAATCTCAGGTTTGGATCATAAGATTCAGCTCTCAGTTTTTGCTAAGTCCCAGCTCTCAGGTTCTGCTCAGCTGAGATTCAGTCGGCTCTCCATTCCCGACTCACATCCCAGCCGTCAGGTGATGAGCTGCATGAAGTGCAGGCCCTGGTCAGAGTGCCCCTGATCCGGACCATCTTCAGAGAGATTAACCTGTTGAGGGAGAGTTCTTCCCCAGTCGATGGTACGGAGACAGTCTACAGTGGATTCCGTTCTCCAAGGAGCAGTACACCTGGACTGGAACTCGAGCACGCGTGCAAATATCCTTTGGAACTGTCTGTTCCTTGTTAGTGGAACACAGAGCGAGGACAAAGACAGAAAATCCAGGATCCTGGTTCGCATTATGTACATGTACATGTTTTATTAAAGTTGAGCGCTCATTTTTTTCTTGTTGTTCTTAAATATCTTAAATCTGTATTCATACGGTCTAAGTAGTTTAATCCGATTAATCAAAAGTAATTTGTTGTTCAGAAATCCGTGTTGAATTAAAGTGTTAAATCAAAACGAAACAGATAGAAGTCTTTGTGACACTGGTAGTTTGTTTAAGTGGGTTACATTTATAATCATTAGTTATATAGGATGGTTCTAGTCGTCGTCCAAGACTGGATTTGGCCTTTATTCCCCTTATGCGGCCGGTCCGTGACAAGCGAGATGTTACTGAGGCAGTACTCCCACCTGGAGGAGAAGTACGAGTAACAGTGCAGGACACTGAGATTCTTTTTACTGTACACCGCCTGAACGTGATGGCTCGCCCTGAAAGAGTCACCGTGGCTGATCTGGGTGCGCGGGGTCTGTTGCCTAGTTCGAGTGATGCCCCTCGACCTAATTCAGCTGACGGAACCATGACAGTTGGCACCTCACGTGATGTCCAACAACCCACGTCAGTAGAAGGAACAACAGCAGCACTAAAAGAAGCTCTCACCAAATGTAAGATTACCAGTTCACGTAGATTGAATGCATTTTCTGGTGACACTTCAGGAGAGAGTTTTGAGGCCTGGATAGAAGTTGTACAAGGTCAGCTCGATGAGGAAGAAGAGGAAACTGAGAAGAAGAAACGCATCCGAGAGGCACTGAAAACCCCAGCTGCGAGTATAATCACTGACTTGAGACGGGAGAATCCCCAGGCTTCAGCAAAAGATTATATTGAAGCACTCGAGTTAGCATATGGAGACACTCGCACTGCTGATGAGTTAAGCATTCAGTTCCATTCTCTCCACCAGAAGCGGGGTGAGAAGATTTCTGTATTCTTGACTCGCCTGCAAGGAGTTCTCAGGAAGTTGGCCAGAAAGGGAGGAGCTCCGACAGACACCAAGAGCATGTTGCTGAAGCAATTCCTAAAGGGTACGCTGTACAATGAGATGATTCTCATTAACCTCAGGTTAAAAGAGAAGATTGAGACCCCACCATCCTACCTTGCTCTCCTCAAACAAGTAAGACGGGAAGAAGCCGAACAAGAGGAGAAGGTCAGTCAAAGGGGATCTCATGGGGATCCAGTGCCCCGGCCACCAAAAGAGGCAAAGCACAACAAGGTCATGGCCCAAGGAGAGTCGGAAGAGAGACCAAGACGTCCAAACTTCTGCTTCAAATGTGGCCAAGATGGCCATTACCGCAACAAATGTGCAAACCCAACTGATGTAGTAAAAGTGAATGAGGGCTTCATGAAGTTGCACTTTCCGGGAAACGGGAGAGGGCATCCCATGGAGGCCAGTGTGATGCCCGTCCAATAAGGCCAAGTACTGATATTCCGTAGGGTTTGGTAGGAGACTTAACCATCCGATCCTGCTATGTAAAGGGAGTCAAGACCAATGCACTGTTAGACAGTGGTTCGCAAGTAACCCTAATATACAAAAGCTTTCATGAGAGTCTGAATCTGCCGCTCTATCCACTGGCAGATTTGGTACTATTGCATGGTGGAGATGGAATGATGCCCTATTTAGGATGGACAGAAATAGATTTGAGATTTGATCATAGCTTCTGTGGAACTGAAAAATTATTCCGGACTTTGGCCTTGGTTGTGCCAGACACAAAGAGTTCTGCAAACTACCAACTAGTCATCGGTACCAATACTGGTGTTTTCCGGGAATGCTATTCTGCAGTGCAGGGCAGTCGCCCAAGAGCATCAGTGGATGTAATTTGTCAGAGTATCTATGAGGACATCAGGAGCCAAAAGAGGACAGGATCAGATGGGTTGATAGGGCATGTTAGACTTAAGTCTAAAGGTAGAGCCGTTCTCCCAGCTGGTACTACCTGTCAAGTCACTGGAGAAATCAGAAATAGATATGGAAAGTCAGTGACAGGATTGCTGGATTCTGCCATTCCAAGGCAACTACCAGGAGGAGTAGTCGTCTCGTGCTCTCTTGTCAACATTGGCCATGGTTTTGGAAAAATTAAAGTATGTCTCACAAATCAGTCCCAGTGTGATATCACACTGCCAAAGAAGTGCATTCTGGCTGGTGCTTACCTGACAACATGGACGAGTGACACTACTGAGTATGAGAATCAGAGCTTTCATGATGCTTCTGCAAGGTTCTCAAGGTTTGAAGTCCAGGGTTCTGCTGGAGAGAACGCACCATCCCAAACCGAATCTCCCATGCCGGAAGACAAATTTTCCAACCTGCCATTCGTATGGGGCCCAGTGAGTAGTGAGGAAAAACAGCGAATCCTCAAGATGGCTTATCAAAGGGCCGAAGTCTTTGCTAAGCATGAGTGGGACATTGGAGCTACCACAGAGGTCTATCATGAGATCCACCTGACAAATGATGAGCCATTTCGTGAAAGATCACGCCGTGTTGCCCCAGGAGACCTGAAGGACCTTCGAGAGCACCTTCAGAAATTAAAAGACATCGGTGTGGTGACTGAATCAAAGAGTCGGTTTTCGTCACCCATTGTCATTGTCAGAAAGAAAAATGGCCAAATTAGACTGTGCGTGGACTACCGCACTTTGAACTCAAGAACCACTCCAGACCAGTACACTGTGCCATTAATCCAGGAGGCCCTTGACTCCTTGCATGGCTGCAGTTGGTTCTCAGTGATTGACTTGAAGAGTGGTTATTACCAAATACCCATGCAACCGGGGGATAGGGAGAAGACTGCTTTTACTTGTCCAGTGGGATTCTATCAATTTGAGAGGATGCCACAGGGGATAAAGGGCGCCCCCGCGACGTTCCAGCGACTAATGGAGAGATGTTTGGCCGGTTTGAATATGGTGGAAGCATTGGCCTACATGGATGATATAATTATATTTTCCTCTAGTTTGGAACAGATGGAGGAGCGCCTTGGCCGAGTTTTTGATCGACTTCCTCAGTATGGTCTCAAGGTGTCCCCTGAAAAATGTCAACTTTGCTGTACGTCTGTAAAGTATTTAGGCCACATCGTTTCAAAAGAAGGCATCCAGACAGACCCAGCGAAGTTGGAGGCATTGAAGACCTGGTCTCGTCCAGACAGCGTCCGTCAGCTCCGATCCTTCCTAGGATTTGCGGGCTATTACCGCAGATTCATCGAAGGGTTTTCTACCATTGCCAAGCCCTTGTTCCAACTGACTGGAGGTGTTCGGCAGAAGACCGCCCAGACCAAAACAAGTAAGGGGTCAGTTGATGACAGAGTTCCTTTTCGAGAGAAATGGACCCCCGACTGTGAAAAGGCATTTCAGACCTTAAAAGTGAAGCTCTGCTCAGCACCAGTGTTAGCATTCGCTGACATGACTCGTCCTTTCATCTTGCATATCGATGCATGTCGGAAGGGTTTGGGAGCTGTGCTGTGCCAGGAGACGGATGGCAAACTTCGTCCTGTTGCCTACGCAGGTCGTAGTCTGAATCGAACTGAGAAAAACTACCCAGCTCATAAGTTGGAGCACCTGGCCTTAAAATGGTCAGTGACTGACAAATTCAGAGATTATCTGTATTCAGCAAGGGGAACAAAAGTATTTACTGACAACAACCCATTGACTTACATTCTGACATCTGCAAAGCTAGATGCCACTGGTCATAGGTGGCTGGCAGCTCTCTCCACATTCGACTTCACGATTCACTACAAACCAGGATGCTCAAACCAAGATGCTGATGCCCTCTCTCGACGACCAGTCATGGGCTCTGATGATGACTATTTGCATAATCAGCACGAGAAGATGCGTGTCCTTGAAGCACGCATGCGAGGGGAGAGCCACACCCCTGACCAGACCTGTGATAGGGAGATGATCAGTGCTATCTCTGCTCAGCATTTTACAGACTCAACAGTCAAAGGGTCGTCGACACCTGTTGATTGGTCAAGGAGTGAACCCTTGGTGTACTCATTGGCAGTAAGTGCTGATGCAATCCCTGGTTCTGGGCCGATTAAGACACTTCACAGGAACATGATTCTTCCCATTGGCCTACTCACAGGGGAAACGACCCATGTCCAGTTCCTGAGAAGCCACAGCGACCCAAGACAAGACAGTCCAAGAAGTGTGAGCCGTCCTCATCCTCTCATAGGGAGGGCCAGAATGGTGACTCTGATTCGGATGAACCCGAGGTATTCACCATTTGGCCAGCCATTGAAAATGGTTCACCCACAGAAGGACAAGTACCCCAACCAGCACTTCAAGTGGGACAGTCTGTATTGGATGTAGTACCTATTGACCTCAGTGACTGTGGCTCTCGTGAGGCCACAGATGTTTCAGATGATATTTCAGTATTGGATGCCAATGCTGAAGAATTCATCCCCCAGTCTCAGCCTTTGGAAGCTGAAGGTGTTGGAAAGCAAGAGGAGCTTCCACATGCATCAGACAGTTGCCAGCTGAATAATGACCCGGTGGTGGATTCTCCGGAGACTGAGACAGAGGACCAGTTTGTTGAGACTGCTGTGAAACCTTCAGAACCATCTAGTTTTCCTTTTGACCAGGAGAGTGAAAATCAAGCGTATGTCTATGAAACTCAACCCGATACTTACCAAGAGGTATCTCCTTTGTTGGAAACTGTGATTGAGTCCAGCTTTGATGATAACAAAGTTGATCAGCACAGTGACTTGTTTTCTGAGGTATCACTGCAGACAGGCCCTGTAGTGGACGGGAGTTTACCTATCATTGATGATTGTGTGGAAGTGGATAGTATACAGCCTGGCAGCTCTGTGCAACCCGAGCATGGACTAAGTCCTCATGAATCTGTAGTTGATTCTAATGAAGCAGTGGAGAGTTACTTCCCTGACACTATAAGCGGACCAACTGAAGATGACGTTAGCCAGCTGTCTGTTTCACGAGAGCCAGACCCTGATCATGACTCACTTTCTTTGACTGATGAGGGTTTGGACACGACACGACCTTCTAGGAGCAGAAGACCACCGCAAAGGTTCACTTATGACACACTGGGCCAACCCACCCAGGATGTTGTGGTTACTTCTTCCTCTGTTGGGACACTTATTCCAACTCTTCTTCACACTCTCTTTGGGACTAGAAGAAGGGAAAGCATCGGGACGATGCAGCATGTCTAGAAGGGGAGAGTGTAGCCCAGCCAAAAAAATGAAATAGCGCCCTCTAGTGTTCACACTGGATGCAGTCTGAAAAAGCATGATCACAAATGTCATGGAGGCATCCATGTTTTCTTCACGTTCTGCTGCAATCGGCATGTAAAACGGGCCCAAAACGCTATTTTGAAGGCTCAATTCGACAGATGAAATAGTCCTGTTGAAACTGTTGGCTCTCAGGTAAAGCTAAACCTTTTGTAATTTTCATAATACATGATAGTAAAGATTTAGTTGAGAACCACATGTGCTCATTGTGCATGTAAATGATTCATATGCAATGCTAGTGTGTTATATGCAAAATAAGCAGATAAGGGTGGTTCAGAGTAATAAGATTTAATTATGTAGGGGATATTAAGCAGACTATTTAGGTTAATTTTGATCTTTTAGTACACTGTTTTGGACTTGTTCTGGATACAAATGAAGCTTGGGGGATGCAAATGAAGCTTGGGGGATGCAAATGAAGCTTGGGGGATGCAACTGAAGCTTGGGGGGGATCTCTAGGAAAGTGTGTGTAGATAATGTCCTGTTTTAGGGGATATGCATGTGCTTACATAATTAGCTTATAGATGGGGTATTCTTACATCATCCTTTGGGTTAGATATGTACTATTATGTTTTATAAATTGTTTGCGGTTAGGTGAAAGCTAAGATGCTTATGGGCTAAAAACCAAGACGATTGTGTTCATATTCTTTTATAAAATGTTTATTTTTGTCATAAATTGCTTTATATTGTAAGATAAGTTTTAGAGCTGACCGAAGATTTATTGCCTTGGTCGGTATCAAAATTTACAGTTGTGGATGCCAACTTTTGTCACTTCTTGTAAATTTTTGAACTTGACAACCTGTTTACTGGAGCCCAAGTCAATTATATTGATTACTCCATGGAGCCTTGGGTAATGTAAAATTAGCTATGCCTAAGCTATATTGATAATTGAAATTGTTATCAAAGTATAGCAACATTTGAAGTTGTTTACAAAGTAGCATGTATACTATATGTCTGCATGGTTTTCTTTGAATCTCAGGTTTGGATCATAAGACTCAGCTCTCAGTTTTTGCTAAGTCCCAGCTCTCAGGTTCTGCTCAGCTGAGATTCAGTCGGCTCTCCATTCCCGACTCACATCCCAGCCGTCAGGTGATGAGCTGCATGAAGTGCAGGCCCTGGTCAGAGTGCCCCTGATCCGGACCATCTTCAGAGAGATTAACCTGTTGAGGGAGAGTTCTTCCCCAGTCGATGGTACGGAGACAGTCTACAGTGGATTCCGTTCTCCAAGGAGCAGTACACCTGGACTGGAACTCGAGCACGCGTGCAAATATCCTTTGGAACTGTCTGTTCCTTGTTAGTGGAACACAGAGCGAGGACAAAGACAGAAAATCCAGGATCCTGGTTCGCATTATGTACATGTACATGTTTTATTAAAGTTGAGCGCTCATTTTTTTCTTGTTGTTCTTAAATATCTTAAATCTGTATTCATACGGTCTAAGTAGTTTAATCCGATTAATCAAAAGTAATTTGTTGTTCAGAAATCCGTGTTGAATTAAAGTGTTAAATCAAAACGAAACAGATAGAAGTCTTTGTGACACTGGTAGTTTGTTTAAGTGGGTTACATTTATAATCATTAGTTATATAGGATGGTTCTAGTCGTCGTCCAAGACTGGATTTGGCCTTTATTCCCCTTATGCAGCCGGTCCGTGACAAGCGGTCGTTATCAACACGATGAATCAAGTCCAGTCTTGGCAATATTGGCAGCGCTACCCAAGAGATTCCGAGTAGACCTTACCTGCGCTGTATTCAAGCTAATGCAGGCATCACGTGAAGTATGCTCGGAAATTTCCCGGGTAGCGCTGTCAATATTGCCACGACTGAATTTGATTCATCTAGTTTATAGAGACCTGGGGGGGGGGGGGGGGGGCGGGACGGGAATCCAATCTTACATCAAGACTAGTTCCTGCCAAACAACCAGTATCAATAATGAATGGACCGGGGGCCAGTCTGCTCGCGGAGACGGATGTGTTTGTTGCTTAAGCTAAAACCGTGTTTGAAATGGTTGCAGACCCCCCCCCCCAACAAAAAAGACCCAAAAAAATATAAAAATATAAAAGTTTGGTTGGAATAAAACATAAAAAGTGAACTTTCATGAACAGAAAAGAAATCGAATTTGTTAAGAGCACGAGGAACGGAACTATAATCGCTTTGAATACAAATACAGACTTGTTACTACAAGTTACAGACGCTTTATAGGACTACATGTACATCAAAAAGTTACCCAAGTGCAAGCATCGCAAAGTTTATTATAAAGCGAACACAAATAATAACAAGGAATTTGGGACCATTTTGGTCTGTCCATTAGGTCTATGTATCCACATATCACTCTTTATTCACACATTCACAGACATGCAACACCAACCCGCTAGACACCCGGAAAGAGTATGAAAGGGTTAAACCTTACACAGTCAGAGCAGACTGAGGGGACTGCATAGATTAGCTGCATCAAAAAGTTACCCAAGTGCAAGCATCGCAAAGTTTATTAAGCGAGCACAAATAATAACAAGGAATTTGGGACCATTTTGGTCTGTCCATTAGGCCTATGTATCCACAAAGCACTCTTTATTCACACATGCACAGACATGCAACACCAACCCACCACACAGCCAGACAGAGTTTGAAAGGGTTAAACCTTACACAGTCAGAGCAGACTGAGGGGACTGCATAGATTAGTTTCTCTGTGTTACATACGTACATACCACAGGTCCACCCCGGCATGCATTTCGTGAAGTTGAACTTGGTAATATCTGGTAGCTTGGGTGGCAAATCGAGTAATGGTTCAGTAGTTGTGAGGTTGTAGTTTCGGCATTCACAAGAATCCTCACGCACCTCTGGCAACTTAACGCACGAAGTACTTCCAGCCATAACTCTCCTGGTCTTTTCGTCTTCTCCGGGCGTTCCTAGAAGAATGTTGATGGATTCTGAAAAGAGGAGCGTGCGTTGTTTATTAGACGACACAGATACCGTGGCGCATGCATTCCGTTTAACTCACCCCTGTCTCTGTTTTCGTCCCACCCGCGTCCCCTCCTAGGGACCATAATAATTATATGCGGCAAACATAATGCGGCTTGGACAAAGTTGCTTGCTTAATCACAATTTTGCCTGGTTATTTCATCTGGCACTATGTGCAATCTGCATTTAACATCAAACTATTGAGATGTAATTTTTGTGGGTTTGCTGAAGTTACGACACAAAATGGTGTTAGAAACAGCCAGTTTTTTTTCTGAGCCGCATACGTATCCCATAAGTACCCGCACCATTTTCAGTGGCAGTCCCTAGTTTCACGAGTGCACTCACATGAAAACCGCCGTCAGTCAGGACTTGACATGCAAGCGCGATGCGGAGAATGTACTGTAGCTATAAACACATCTGGAAACACGCAAAACAAATGTTGAAATTGTCATAGGCCTATAGTATTATATACACACTAATAACACTGCTGTATAGGCGCGGCCCATATGTAGCTTGCAGTACGGGCAACTGCTCAAACTAAATGTATTAATTGTACTGACTACGGAGGCGAGTGTACGGGAATCAACATGTCGTTTATTATGATACGCAGGTCAAGAGTCAAATGTAACTACGGTGTTCCATATGTGACATCTCCTTTTCTTTCAATTTTTGTAACACACAAAAAACAACTATATGAAGTGTCTGGGAAATTGTTTAGAGTCCAAGTGTGATTTAGACACATTTCCAACTGTTCATGAAGAACTCAACATTGATAGTTGTTACAGCTTCAAACTGACACGTTTTTTGAGTAAGTTCAAAGTTCAATCAACGGAATTATTTTCCTCCTTTTCTGAGAAAAACATAAAGGGGAAAAAAAACAATCTGTTCGGTTTTGCCATTCGCTTTTTGGCGGAACAAAAAAACATGAAATGTGAAAACTCATCACTTTTTTTTTTTTTTTTTTTACACACAATTTTTTTTTGTTTTTTGATGTGACTAAATGTTTTTATTTAATCACTGAACCGAACTGTGCATTAATAAGTAATCTGAAGAAGAATCTGTCTGAAGAAGAATCTGTCTGAAGGAGAATCTGTCTGAAGGAGAACTTTTGAAGTAGATCCTTTATAAGTCCAGGCGTTTTGGTGGTTTGCTGAGGCGTCCGCTTCTCGTAGGTCGGTGGGGCTGCAATGCTGGTTTCCGTTGTGGACTCAGGGGGTTTGGGCATTGGCTTTGGAGTTGGAGTGGGGCATCCTTCTGGGGGTTTGGCTGCCGGTGTGTTTGCTGGAGTGGCAACTGGTGTAGTGACTGGCAAGGTTACGTGGTCTGGATCTGCAGGAGTGCGATGAAGAGGCTTGTTAGCTCCATGGGTGGCAAGACGAAGATCCCGTCTGTTTCTCCTGTATTTTCCCATTGTGCTCGACCACATAAGAGCGAGGTGTTGAGTGATGATCAACAACTGTAGCTGGGAGCCATGCAGCGGTTTGTACCAGGAAGTGGGGCCATTCGGACTGGATCTCCAGAGATGAGTGCAGGAAGGTTTTGACCAGCTTTCTTGTCGTAGTAGAACTGCTGTTTGGTTTTGTCGTTGTCGAAGCACAGCAAGTGCCCAGCTAAAAACCAACGATGCAGCAACTGTCACAAGTTGCACCACTTTGCAGCAGTGTGCCGCCAACGCCAGGCGACACATCAGGTGGAAGAGAACGAGATTCTCACATCAGATAACGACTCTGCATCAGACAACGACTACGCACACCTGATCAGCTCAGTTGGAGATCAGAACGCTGATGAATGGTATGAGAATGTGAAAATAGCAGGCAAAACACTCCGCATGCAAATAGATACGGTTGCTGCCCAAAGCATATGCCATACAAAATCTACGTTAAAAGCTTGGCTCAAATCAGAAGTTAGAGCCAACAAAGCAGAATTTTGAGACCTACTCCAGTCACCCACTGGAAGTAAAAGGATGTGTGATGATGGCAACTCAATACAAGAACAAATCAGTCGATGTTCTGTATTACGTTGTCAGTTCCAACAAGAAACCGCCACTCTTGTCCGGAACAGCCAGCCAGCAGCTACGACTCATCCACAGAATCTTCAGCATAGACCGATTTCCAGAGCTGAAAAAAAAAACAACTGGCACACTCCCAGGAACGTACTCACTGAAAATCGACCCGACAGTCACACCGGTAGTACACGGCCCAAGGAGACAACCACAGGCGCTGAGACAGAAGATTATCAGCAAATTAGCAGAGATGGAGCAAGATGGCCACAGACTGGGTCAGCTCGATGGTGACGGTGGTCAAGAACGGCAAAGTCAGAATTTGCTCAGACCTGTTTAACGTGTGGACTGACACAAGCATGTCACAGTAACGAACAGTGCTGCTTTATTGTATGCTCTAGAACGCATGGAACACAGGGATGACTGGGCTAAAACTACGGTGCACTATAATTGCCATGTGATCTGTCTAATGCCATAACATCTCCCTTTCTTTGGAGTTAAATGTCTTGCACATATATTTTTCCACAACTCCTTTTTTTTCTTTTTCTTTTTTTCTTTTTTGAACGGCAACAACAACATTTTGCAAACAGCTGGATAAACACTACAGCTAAGAGTCAACACTTAACATGCTAATAAGTACAGACAATGCTGAAAAAAGCATAGGTAACAACAAATGTCCGAGTTCATTTGTGGGAGTTTTTTAACAGTTCTCCTTATGACCGTGGTCGTTTTAAGGTCACGTAGTCCTTTAGATATTGAGGACGCTTGGATATTCTGCCGGACCTAGTAACCACCTGTGGCTCACTGTGAGAGTCTGATGATTTTGCCACTGGGTCAAGTGTTGTGGGAGCTATGTCCATGATCAGGGCTTCACTGTCAGATGGCTTTCTGGGCGTCGTGTGTAACCAGTGTGTCCCTGAGGTGAACTCTGTTTCTGCGGTACCGTCGCCCATCTACCTCAACAATGTAGCTTCGAGGGGCAACCTTGTCTTTGATGACCCCAGGTTTCCAAGGAGCATGGTCGACCTGAGGGCGGGTTTTGACCCTTACAGGTTGGCCAACTACCAGCTGTGGGAGTGGTTTGGCAGTGCGGTCGTAGAATTTCTTGGCCTGTTGTCTCTTTCGCGCTATCCGGTCTGGCACAGCTTCCTGGATTTCTGGTTTGTACAGTGTGTTGTTGCACGGCATAAGGGTTCTGCTTCTGCGTGACATGAGGCATTGGACCGGAGAGCTGTTCATCCCAGGTGTTGGAGTGTTACGCCACTCGAGAAAGGACTACCACATGTCTCCACCATCGCGTTTGGATCTTTTGATGAGACCTTTTGCGATCTTGACGGCGGATTCAGCTTTGCCATTGGCTCTGCTAAGGTGAGGGCTTATAGTGATGTGGCGAAAGTCCCATTCGCGAGCAAATTGGCTGAATTCACGAGAGGCAAGGTTTGGCCCATTGTCACTGATCAACGTAGCTAGTATGCCGTGTGTGGCAAAGACTGGTTTGGTTTTCTTCACCAGAGTCTCCGTGGTCATGTTCTCCAGTTCCACAACTTCTATGAAGTCGGAGTACAAGTCGACAAAGACACAGTACGACTGACCGTCTAGCTCGAAACAGTCAGTGGCAACAACTTGCCACGGCACTGTGGGTAGGGGATGCGTCATCAGAGGCTCTTTGCAGTTTGCTGGTTGGGCCTCCTGACAAGAAGGGCACTTCTGAATGGCTTCAGTCAGTTCCTGGCTCATATGTGGCCAGAACATTATCTCACGGGCTTTGTTGATGGTGCTCTGGGTCCCTAGGTGTGATGCATGGGCTCTGACGATAAGATCACGTCTCATATTGGTGGGTATCACAACTCTGGTGCCTCTGAAGATGATACCATTCTGTGTGGCTAGCTCATCCCGGTAGGGCCAATACTCGCGGATACATAGGGGTACCTCCTGCTTGTTGCTTGGCCATCTCGTAATGACCATGTTTGCCAACGTATAGAGGTTGTGTCTCTGAGAGTCTCCTCTCGGATACGCTGGAGTCTCTCGTCTGAGACAAACACGTCAGCCTCCATGTTGATTTCTGCCAACTCCTCCTGGAAATGTCATTCTTCTGCAACCTGGAAGATGACGTATGGTGGCGTGTCACTTGTGACTTCTCGTTGAGGCTGCGATGCTCGTGAGAGGGACTTTCGAAGGGAGTATTACCCCATCCCGACAGTTGAAGAAATAGTAGCGGCGGTTCCAAACACCAAAGTATTCTCCGTCATTGATGCCAAATCAGGATTTCTTCAAATCAAACTCGACTACGAGTCCAGGCTGTTGACAGCATTCAACACGCCAGTTGGACGCTACAGATGGCTGAGACTCCCATTCGGCATCAAAAGCGCACCACCCTTACAGAAATGTCCCATGAGCATCCCATGGGATTCCCATGGGGTCCCATGGGATTCCCATGGGACCCCATGGGACCCCATGGGAAACCCATGGGGTCATCGAGAACACCATGTAAGTTAAAATGATCACCATGGGAGATTTTATGCTCATCATGGGAAACCCATGGGAACACCATGGAGATTGCATGGACAACATGGGAACACCATGGGGATTTTACGAGCTCCATTGGAACACCATGGGAACACCATGGGGATTTTATGAGCTCCATGGTAACACCATGGGGATTTTACGGACACCATGGGAACACCATGGGGATTTTATGGACATCATGGGAACACCATGTGGAATTAAAGAACACCATGGGAACCACATGGGAATTTATGGACACCATGGGAACACCATGGGAACCCCATGGCGATTTTATGGACACCATGGGAACACCATGGGGATTTTATGGACACCATGGGAACACCATGCATTGGGATTGTATGTCACCATGGGAACACCATGGGGATTTACTGGACACCATGGGAACATCATGGGGATTTTAGACACATGGGTACACCATGAGGATTCGGACGCCATGGGAACACCATAATGTGGGTGATATAAATTATGGACACAATGGGAACACCATGGAGATTTAAAAGGCAGCACGGGGACACTGCCGGGTTATACTGGAGAACATGCATGTGCCATGGAAAACCATCATAGACCCAATTGCACTCCCAAGTTATAAGAAAACCTTTCTTTGATTAATTACTTATTCGCCGGCCTTGCTGTAAATTTGAATTCAATTAAAAATATTTCCCTTGTGGCCATAGAGGTTATCAAGAATTCTATGTGTTACGCTGACCATGGGAAACTCCTGTGGATGTTCACCAATTGAACACAATGGGATAAACACCATGGGACACCATAGGAACACCATGGGACCACCATGGGACATTTTTGTGAGAATCGCTTACAATAACGAGTGTTGTAATTGCACATTTTTGAATTTTTTCTGTTGATAAGTGAAGTAAAATGATGCATACAGTATTTTTTATGTGGAAAATGTGTCATTCAAACTTTGGATAATATTGATTCACATGTTATTATGATTGGAAACATTTGTGAGAAAATAAATTGGTAACACTGTGATAATATGGTACGACTTGACAAGTGGTATGGGAGCAATAATGTGGTGTTCGGTCATAGAGTGCATAAGCCACTCCATTTTAATTGAGTGGAACAATCCCTATCGGAGTTCCGTGATGTGCTTTACCTATTCGGTGAATAGCACTCAACACACAGGGTTAAAATGTATTAAGAAAGTTGTTATTGAAAAATACCATGGAGCAATAAATCTTTTGAGAAATGAAAGGAAACCATACTTGGGAAAAACCCATACAAAATTTCCCATGGGAAAACTCCCATGGGAAAAATCCCATGCTACATGGTGTCCAATTCACCATGCAATTCCCATGGGGTCCCATGGGAAAATTTCCCATGGGAATTACATGGGAGATTTCTGTAAGGGCAGAGATGTTCCAACGCATCATGGATACTATGCTCGAAGGCATAGAAGGTGCTCGTGCAGTGATGGATGACATACTAGTTGCTGGCAGATACGAAGCACACCATGACAAGATCATGAAGAAGTCGTCAAACGAGCAACAGAGTGGAACCTCAAGCTAAACTTTGACACTAAGTAAAACAACGGAGAGTGAAGTACGTTGGACACGTGCTAACAGAGAATGGTCTCCAGCCCGACCCTGATAAAGTGAGAGCAGTCCGAGAACTACCATTGCCCAAATCCAAAGAAGACATCCGACGGTTCCTTGGAATGGTACAGTACCTGGTTAAGTTCATCCCGAACCTTAGCGCTATCGATGCTCCACTGCGAGAGGTCACAAGCAAGGACACAGAATCCCACTTCTGACACCATGATAAGTACTGACTACGGAGACGAGTGTACGGGAATCAACATGTCGTTTTTTATGACACGCAGGTCACGAGTCAAATGTAACTACGGTGTTCCATATGTGACACTTTGTACTGGATCAGTATCGCCCGTGCTTGATACCATTACGACCCGTTGCAGCCTACCGTCTGATTTCACGACTGATTTGCTTGCTTGTACTTGCTTTGGTCAATTGTCACCCTGGTTTTTATCACAACATTTCGTAAACATGTTTGCAAACTACACAATGCGAACCACAGTTCAGGGTGCACATCCTTCAAATACATTATACTTATCTGATTATAATGTGCTATCTGTAACAAAAACTTGCAATGCATGGATTTTCAAATCAGGCATTTTGAAATCTAGTACCAAAGGGACTTTGCTGTAAATATGACGAATAGTGGATTTTAGTATTACCACCAAACTATTATGTGCGCCCAGAACACATCGCCCACAGGGAGCTTAGTTTGCATACGTATCCAAATATTTTTGGATATGCAGACGGATCCAAGGTAGTGGTGAAAGCGTACTGTCCGACTCACTGGGAACGAGGTTGCAGTAAAGTGCTTGTACATACGGTGCACTCTGACATTTGATCTGGGCGGGTTGTCGAACTGGAGCCACAATAGTAATAGTAGTAGACTGGACACCTGACCTCATGTAAGTGAGCAGGTCCCTGTTGGGGTGCGGCGGTAGAGGGCGCTATCAACAAGATGAATAGACGGGAATTACTTGTTCACTATCTTTATGTAGGCCGACACCGACTGGATTGCGCTTATGACACTACAAACGTGGTGAAATTAGGCGGTCGCTGGGGCATATTTTTTTCCTAGGAGGGTTAGGGGCAATGTCATGAATAATTCAGTTTTTCCTTTGAATCATTGCAAGACTTATGTTCTCGTTCTATTTTCCCCTTAATTTAAAATTATCTCAGTGATGAATTTGGAGAAGAAAAATAGCTGATGAAAATGAGCAGCGACGACGTGGATTCGAACCAGGGATCTTTGTATCCATAAGCTCATCTCGCTATCCACTAGGCTACTGTGTGGAAGCTCGACGACAACCGTTCTTTAAAATGCTTTAATGTATTGTAACTAGTTGAGTAACTAACAACAATGCTGTTGATGTCATTGTCCGTTCTCATGGATAAACATAATTTTCCCATCGAAACTACTGAATTATTCATGACGTTGCCCCTAACCCTCCTAGGAATAAAAATTACGCGGTTGGGGGATGGGGGTGTCGGGGGGGGGGGGTCTGGACATGCGTTATGCCTCTAGGGGCGCTGTTCATACATGAAGGCCAATGTTTAGATATACACATGTAAACATGATTGTGTACACAGGGGCAGTACACTGTGGCTTTTACATTAACAGGCTAACAACCAATATCTTACAGTAACAATTGCGTAGGTCTACCCAGATGCCACTAAACAGTGGTTGCTTGTGGACCCACAATTAACGAGGGACGAATTATTAAACCAGTTGAGTGAAAGGCGTTTACATGGGAATTAAATTGGATAATTAAATAATTAAATCATATGTGACCAAAAACGATCAAATCAAAACTGGTACTTGGCACAGTGGCTACTTTTGTCTATAGACCATGTGCAAAGTGACGTCATGGCGACAGCCACCCGCCGGACAACCCAAACATTTAGCCTATAAGTATCGTTGGCATGAACACTTTTAAACCTTCAAGAGGCACGCAGTTCAGAAAAAGAACCGTTTGCTGAAAGTTGGCATCACGTGACCACAACATCCAATATTGTAAACATATGTCACATAGTGTGCGCCTCTCTCCGTTTTGCACTTCTACTGCTATTTTTGAATGTGAAGGTTTGGAACCCGTCAAACAGTGAAATCGTAACCACAAATTGAAACGTACAACAAAATGTTCGTGTTCCCATCACCAATGTCCAACCGCTAATTTCAGACTCGCATGTAATGCACAGGCCCCTGTAATTATTCTCTTTTTTCCATATCCACGAACCACTCAACAACCCAAAGCTCACAGTATTTATCAATCCCTTTCAATTGCTCGTTTCAATAAAAACATTCGAGCATAGTTGCTGGAATTAAGATTTAGATAGCTTCATTACATTTTGACCTCTTTTTGTTTAGAGGCGTTTCCTTTTTTTTTTTTTTTTTTAAATAAAGTGCCAATGTAGTGATCCGGCACATGATGTACTATTTTGCATTTTATAAGTAGTGCTCAGTTAGTAGGTCGCTCTTTTCAATGTAGGCCAAGGCCTCTATAAGAGGAATTAAGACAGGGATATTCTTATGAAGCACGAGCGGTATGCGCGCTTTCTTATCGTCAACACTTTAGGCTTAAAGTGTATGGTACAGTACCGTTGGCAGTCGTCGGAACTACAGAGAGACAAGATGAAGTCACCACGTTTTTATACTTAAAGACCTTCTCCGAGTTCCCTTCCTTCGTGTTTTGGGCAACCAGAAAAGCAGTGGGCTTCAGAAGGGTAAATATCGGCAGATTTTGGATCAAAATATTATATTTCGACCGTGTGAAAAGAAACGAAAAAACCATTTACAACCAAACTTAGTTTACAGATTTTCAGAAATTCCAACGACGGCCATTTGTTTCCTTGAACGGAAGTTGCAGCAGAGTCTTTTTTTGGTGGTTGTTTCTGCAATGAAGTAAAGATGTGAAACTGAAAATGTGTAATCCTCAGTAGCTTTACTTTTAGTGTTTTCACAGACATTTACCGCTTGCTAGGTCATTGAGCATAAATATCCGTCTGGAGATCACTGAAAGGTAGTGTTTGATTATCGTCATGTCTAACGTTGAAAAAGAACATTTTTAAGCTCTGGCAGGAGCTTTTACATGTCCCTTCGTGGTTGGTTGGTCGGTCGGTGGGTTTCCGGAAAATTCACCAAAAACGAGCCCCCTAAATTTCCCATTAAAAAAAAAAAAAAAAAAATCATTTTTCACAAAAAACCCCAAACCCCAAAATAAATGAAATACAACACCGACATTCTTTGTAACAATTCGTGAAGTTGTTAATGAAAATTGTGTCAATGGAGGCATGATGTGTGCAGTAATGCTATAGTCACGTGGTATACATCGTAGTATACAGCGTTCGCTCGTTCGCCCAGCAAACAGGACGGTGGGCCTACTCTGATGAATTCACGCTCTGATTGGATAGATTTTGCATGACCTGTGACCTGCAAGTCAACACGGCCATGACCCTGCAAGGTTTTAAAACGGCCATTAAGACTGATTCAATACTCTTTTATTCCAATTTATGGATTTCTTTTGTTGAAAAGCGTAAAAATGTAGGAAAATCTGTAAAACGTATCTGTGTTGTAAATTTGCAATTCCCTTCACTTGCTCAGGCTCCGTTCCGAATTCACGGACCGTGTGAAAAAAACCCGAAAAACCATTTACAACCAAACTTAGTTTACAGATTTTCAGAAATTCCAACGACGGCCATTTGTTTCATTGAACGGAAGTTGCAGCAGAGTCTTTTTTGGTGGTTGTTTCTGCAATGAAGTAAAGATGTGAAACTGCAAATGTGCAATCCTAAGTAGCTTCACTTTTAGTGTTTTCACAGACATTTTCCGCTTGCTGGGTCATTGAGCATACATATCTGTCTGGAGATCACTGAAAGGTAGTGATTGATTATCGTCATGTCTTACGTTGAAAAAGAACATTTTTAAGCTCTGGCAGGAGCTTCTACATGTCCCTTCGTGGTTGGTTGGTCGGTCGGTCGGTCCCCGGAAAATTCACCAAAAAAAACGAGCCCCCTAAGTTTCCCATAACAAAATTCATTTTTCACAAAAAACCCCAAACCCTAAAATAAATGAAATTCTTCACCGACATTCTTTGTAACAATTCGTGAAGTTGTTAATGAAAATTGTCACGTGGTATACGTCGTAGTATACAGCGCTCGCTCGTTCGCCCAACAAACAGGACGCTGGGCCTACTCTGATGAATTCACGCTCTGAGCGAGTGGATAGATTTTACATGACCTGTGACCTGCAAGTCAACACGGCAATGACCCTGCAAGGTTTAAAAACGGCCGTTTAAGACTGATTCAATACTCTTTTATTCCCATTTATAGATGTTTTTTGTTGAAAAGCGTAAAAATGTAGGAAAATCTGTAAAACGTATCTGTGTTGTAAATTTGCAATTCCCGTCACTTGCTCAGGCTCCGTTTCGAATTCACGAGCGGTCAATGATTGCATTATGCAACGCTCAAAATCTGCCAACATTGTCTGCAATGAAAAAGAAATCACATTCGGTATGGATTGTGTACATTTCTATGAGAACATTTTCGGATAGAATTTATGCGCATTGGCTAACTGCGGTCTATGTGTAGGCCAATGTTTATTATAAAAGTATAATAAACGAATGACATGATTGTAAAAACCAATACGGATGCAAGATGGAAAAACGTATAGTCAAGCACAGTATATAAAAAGAAAAAAGAAAAGTATACAAATAATTAATAATATTAAAATATTACCTTTAAAGGGGTTATGTGTCTTCGTAAGGATAAAGTAAAATGAAAGTTTCGGATTGTTTTGAACACGTGGCAAAAAGCAAATGAGAGGTTTGGCGAATTGAATGAGAATTAAAGTGAAAAATACTCTCAATGGGCGTCCCCATGTATGCTATATACAATGACGCATAATAAATTGACATGAATCTCGTCAGTTTTAAGGATCTTATATACAAAGAAAGGTGCAGCTTAGTGAGCCGGAAACAGAATGGCTATGACCTCGTCTAACTTTCTACAAAATGAACAATTATTCATCTATGGTTTCGCCCTTCTTAGGTGTAAATATCAATGGCTTCACCGTTGGGCAAAGTCCTTCAAAACGTTGGTACAATTTTACTCGAGGTAAGCGACATTAATGTTAAATTAAAATAAAAATTTGTTTTGTAGGATAGCACTACTGCACATTTATTTTCACCTCCTTTTCCACAATGTTAAATTGTATCGCTCAAACCACATAAAAACGGCCTCCGGTTTTTCATAATTTCCACATTTGTGTTATCAAAACCTACATGTACCAACACTAAAGTGCAAAAATGTAGTCTGCAGAAGTTTTCTGTAAACCTATGGAAAGTAAATAATTGAAGGATTAGTAAATGATGACGTATATATAATGGAAGGACCAGTAAACGAGAACACAGTCGATTATTAACACATATTGTTATCTTTTTAAAGGCAACCTTTTGTTTGTGGTGAAAGAAGAAATTAAAATAAAACCGATTTTGACGTTGTCTTTCCAACAGTCCAAATGCATTATTTTTTTTTTGAAAAAAAAAAACCCGGAGAACATACAGTACAAACACTTATTGAACGAGTATTAAATGAGAACCTAGTCGATTAACTCACAATGTAATATCTTTTTAAAGGTCACTTTTTACAAATTTGGTTCGGCCTATTTTGCAGCATTCCCCTTTGTACTAGTGACCTTTTTACGGCGTCTTTTACTACTCTTATCTTCAGTCTTTTCCTCAGGTGGCTCATTGTTTTGGTCAACCTCGAGCTCGAGTTTGATGGCCTCTTCGGCTGCGCTCCCCGACCCTCTAGTTTCATCTTTGGTGGTTACGCCGACTCCCTTAATACTAGTCGGGAGCACTTCCTCCATAGGATCAGCCAGCTCAGCCTCGTTCTCATTTTCGTATACTAGGTTTTTATGGGCGAGTGCAGGTAATTCAGTTGGAACTTTGTGTGGTTTACTGGCCTTTTCATCGAAACGGATTTTGTAATTACATCTAGCAAAAAGTAAATAAACCAAAGATGTAGTCAAAGAATTTCATCAAGACACAATCTTAGTTACAAGACGTCACAAAAATGGTTTTCTAAACTTGAGGGGGTTATACACAGTGGCGTAGCCACGGGGGGCGTGGGGTCGCCCCCCATGAAACCTTGTCGCCCCCCCCCCCCAGTCGCCCCCACTGAGATTTTGAGTTTCTAAAAATTGATCTACATGACGCCCCCCATGAAATGTTCCAGCCCCCCCCCTCCCAGCGCCCCCACTGAAAAATTCCTGGCTACGCCACTAGTTAAACACTGCCAAAAAATGTTCAATTAATGTTTGCCATTAATGTATCGAAGTGGCGCTTTATGATTGCGATCAAAATCACTGTAATTTAACAACGCATTTTAGCACTGTAAATCAGACACAGTTGAATTCATAAGAGATCAAATAAAATTCAATTCTCACATTTCTGGTGAAGTTGGCGGGTCGTTGGAAGATTCGGCAATGCTGTTTTCCTTGTGGTGGTAAAGTTGCCATCTGAGACAGATATGAGACACAAAATATGACCCGGTTAAATGTGTGGTGTCATAAACTAACAATTATAGTAGGACTGACAACATGAAGAATAGTTTGTTCAGTGGAGTGACACTGTATGTTAGGTGTTATATTAAACAGAAAATATTCACCATATATGAAATAACAAGCGTCACACGAACACAAGGTTAACACCAAAATTAAAGACATGCTTTTATAGAAATAACACTTTTCTCGAAAACCATCAAACATTTATTCAAAGGTCTATTCAATTATTTGATTACAGATATTATTTTCTGTCGTTTGTTCCTTTTGTTATTGATTGTTTGATCAATTAATTTACTGATGTTAGATCTATTGATTGATTGATCAACGAAAATAAGTTGACTAATTGTTTTATTTCAGGGAATGGGTTGGAGCTGGGCTGAATTGACTGGATATATTTTTAGGACATTGGCCTCCATCTTTAAGTTCGGTTCATCTGAAATACCACGAGTCAACTAATGTTAATCTTGAGTGAACCCCAACTTGCCCTCAAGAAATAGCATTATAGTGGCAAAATCATTGGCAGTTGGCTGCCTTCCGAGGCTCATTTTTTTCTCCCGGCCAAGGCCTTTTAAGACTCCGACAACTTTCTCCGTACTTACATTCGGTACACAATGGCTGCGATCAGGAAGATCAGCAACAGAGGCAGAAGCAATAACCAAGGACAGCCCGCTGTGGTGCAGCGTGGCTGGATGGTCACATTTACGGTGACAGGTGTCTGTGTCGTTCCAGTAGCAATCTGTGGCGTTCCAGTAGCAATCTGTGGCGTTCCAGTAGCAATCTGTGGCGTTCCAGTAGCAATCTGTGGCGTTCCAGTAGCAATCTGTGGCGTTCCAGTAGCGGTCTGTTGCGTTTCAACAGTAATCGGTGGCACTCTGGTAGTGGTTTCATTCGGAGGGCACGGTGCGCAATGTGGAATCACCGGGTCTGATATGAAGATACATCGTATACAGAAGTATTTATAATCATTAGTTATATAGAATGGTTCTAGTCGTCGTCCAAGATTGGATTTGGCCTTTATTCCCCTTATACAGCCGGTCCGTGACAAGTGGTCGCTATCAACACGATTAATCAAGTCCAGTCTTGGCAATATTGGCAGCGCTACCCAGGAGATTCCGAGCAGACCTTACGCGCGCTGTATTCAAGCTAATGCAGGCACGTGGGGGTATGCTCGGAATTTCCCGGGTAGCGCTGTCAATATTGCCACGACTGAATTTGATTCATCTAGTTTATAGAGACCTGGGAGGGGGGAGGGGAATCCAATCTTAGATCAAGACTAGTTCCCGCCAAACAACCAGTATCGATAATGAATGGACCGGGGGCCAGTCTGCTCGCGGAGATGGATGTGTTTGTTGCTTAAGCTAAAACCGTGTTTGAAATGGTTGCAGACCCCCCCCCCCCCCCCAACAAAAAAGACCCAAAAATATAAAAATATAAAAGTTTGGTTGGAATAAAACATAAAAACTGAACTTTCATTAACAGAAAAGAAATTGAATTAGTTAAGAGCACGAGGAACGCAACTATAATCGCTTTGAATACAAATACAGACTTGTTACTACAAGTTACAGACTCTTTATAGGACTACATCAAAAAGTTACCCAAGTGCAAGCATCGCAAAGTTTATCAAGCGAGCACAAATAATAACAAGGAATTTGGGACCATTTTGGTCTGTCCATTAGACCTATGTATCCACATATCACTCTTTATTCACACATTCACAGACATGCAACACCAACCCGCTAGACACCCGAAAAGAGTTTGAAAGGGTTAAACCTTACACAGTCAGAGCAGAGAGGGGACTGCATAGATTAGTTTCTCTGTTTTACATACGTACCACAGGTCCACCCCGGCATGCATTTCGTGAAGTCGAACTTGGTAATATCTGGTAGCTTGGGTGGCAAATCGAGTAATGGTTCAGTAGTTGTGAGGTTGTAGTTTCGGCATGCACAAGAATCCTCACGCACCTCTGGCACCTTAACGCACGAAGTACTTCCAGCCATAACTCTCCTGGTCTTTTCGTCTTCTCCGGGCGTTCCTAGAAGAATGCTGATGGATTCTGAAAAGAGGAGCGTGCGTTGTTTATTAGACGACACAGCTACCGTGGTGCATGCATTCCGTTTAACTCACACCTGTCTCTGTTTTCGTCCCACCCGCGTCTCCTCCTACTCCTTGGGACCATAATAATTATATGCGACAAACATAATGCGGCTTGGACAAAGTTGCTTGCTTAATCACAATTTTGCCTGGTTATTTCATCTGGCACTATGTGCAATCTGCATTTGACATCAAAATATTGAGATGTAATTTTTGTGGGTTTGCTGAAGTTACGACACAAAATGGTGTTAGAAACAGCCAGTTTTTTTTCTGAGCCGCATACGTATCCCGTAAGTACCCGCACCATTTTCAGTGGCAGTCCCTAGTTTCACGTGTGCACTCACATGAAAACCGCCGTCAGTCAGGACTTGACATGCAAGCTCGATGCGGAGAATGACTGTAGCTATAAACATATCTGGAAACACGCAAAACAAATGTTGAAATTGTCATAGGCCTATGGTATTATATACACACTAATAACATACTGCTGTATAGGCGCGGCCCATCATAGCTTGCAGTACGGGCAACTGCATGCTCAAACTAAATGTATTAATTGGCACTTTGTACTGGATCATTATCGCCCGTGCTTGATACCATTACGACCCGTTGCAGCCTACCGTCTGATTTCACGACTGATTTGCTTGCTTGTACTTGCTTTGGTCAATTGTCACCCTGGTTTTTATCACAACATTTCGTAAACATGTTTGCACGATACACAATGCGAACCACAGTTCAGGGTGCACATCCTTAAAATACATTATACTTATCTGAATATAATGTGCTATCTGTAACAAAAACTTGCAATGCATGGATTTTGCAATCAGGCATTTTGAAATCTAGTACCAAAGGGCCTTTGCTGTAAATATGACGAATTGTGGATTTTAGTATTACCACCAAACTATTATGTGCGCCCAGAACACATCGCCCACAGGGAGCTTAATTTGCATACGTATCCAAATAGTTTTGGATATGCAGACGGATCCCAGGTAGTGGTGAAAGCGTACTGTCCGACTCACTGGGTACGAGGTTGCAGTAAAGTGCTTGTACATACGGTGCACTCTGACATTTGATCTGGGCGGGTTGTCCAACTGGAGCCACGATAGTCTATATTGTACTGGAAGATAATACATTTGTTAAACGGCCACAGTGTCAAAACACCCATCAGGCCTATCTCTGCAGACCTCAGCACTGCTTTTTTCCCTTTATACATATTTTTTTCACCGTCGAAACCAGGCTCTAAAAATAGAACATAATTATCCCTAGTGAATGATATACATTATCATTCACTACATGCTTTAATGTTTTCTGTTCACTGGCGAATCTCAGTATAAATCAATATAGATAAATATGTAAATCTTTTTTCCAACCTACATACAGTCCTAATAGTTTGACAAGACGACAACTTGTCTTTATACCATGTGCCCATTAATGCAATCTACGCATTATGTGCCCATTGTACGGGCTTGCGGGATTGGTTTTCATATTTCACGTTCAAATCCGACTCTCTAAACCATTTTGGGAAATGGTTACTGACAACAAATTATCCGAAATTTTAGGGCCAGTTTTGTTTTCACCTCAAAGGGGCACATTTATGCTCGAGGGGCACTTGGTTAAAGGGGGGGGGGGGAGGGGGGGGGGCAAGCGCTAACTTCAGACTTGCACGGGCGCTGTAATGCGCAGCCCCCCTAAATTGTCTATTCCATATCCACGAACTACTCAACTACCCCAATCTCGCAGTATTTAATCTCTTTTTATTGTCCGTTTTAACAAAAAAAAAAACCAACCGCGAATAGTTACTTGAATTAAGATTAAGATAGATTCATTACATTTTGGCCTCGTTTTTCCCCCTAAAGGTAAGTAGTGCTCAGTTAATACGTACGTCGCTCTTTTCAATGTAGGCCAATTAAGGCAGGGATATGTATTCTTTTGAAGCACGCGTGGTATGCGCGCTTATTAGCCTCAACACGTAAGCAATTAAAATGTATGGTACAGTACCGTTGGCAGTCGTTGGAACTACACAGAGACATGATGAACGGTCACCACGTTTTTATACTTGTAGACCTTCTCAGAGTTCCCATCCTTCGTGTTTTGGGCTACCAGAAAAGTAGTCGGCTTCAAAAGGGTAAATATCGACAGATTATGGATCAAAATGTTATATTTCAACCGTGTGAAAAGAAACGAAAAACCATTTACAACCAAACTTAGTTTACAGATTTTCAGAAATTCCACTGGCGGCCATTTTCCCCCTTGAACCGAAGTTGCAGCAAACGTGTCCTTTTTGGTAGTTGCATCTGGAAGAAGCAAAGATGTGAAACTGAAAATGTGTAATCCTAAATAGCTTTACTTTTGAGTATTTTCACGGACATTTACCGCTTGCTAGGTCATTTAGGTAAAACGTACATATTCGTCTGGAGATACTGAAAGGTAGTGTTTGATTAGGCCAAAAAAAAATAGTCGGTCTCTGGTCAGACCAAAGTTCCGGTATTGATGTGGTGACGCGGTTTTTTTATTTGGCTTTTTTTTCTTTTTAAGCATGGATTGTACAGACAAGGTGGGTACTATTTTTTGCTTTTTTGTGACCTCATATACATTGGTGTCCTCCATAATTTGCCTTGGTGTCCTCCATCAGGTGCGGTTTCCCCATTCCTTGGTACACAAATTTGAGAAGTTGCGGCAATAGAGGGCGCGGTTGTAGCTACCGCGGACAATTTGAAGAAAAGAAAGGGTTGACGCGCATGATTAAAATCGACGCGCGTGCTGACCAGAGACCGACTTTTTATTTTTTTTTGCCTTATCGTCACGACTTATTTTTAAAAAGAACATTTTTAAGCTCTGGCAGGAGCTTCTACATGTCCCTTCGTGGTTGGTTGGTCAGTCGGTCAGTCCCCGGAAAATTGACCCATCCCCCTAAGTTTCCCATATAATACTAAATTTAAATTTTTCACCCCCCCCCAAAAAAAACCCCAAAATAAATGAAATACTTCACCAACATTCTTTGTAACAATTCGTGAAGTTTTTTTTAATGAAAATTGTGTCAATGGAGGCATGATGTGTGCAGTAATGCTATAGTCACGTGGTATACATCGTAGTATACAGCGTTCGCTCGTTCGCCCAGCAAACAGGACTCTGGGCCTACTCTGATGAATTCACGCTCTGATTGGATAGATTTTGCATGACCTGTGACCTGCAAGTCAACACATCCATGACCCTGCAAGGTTTAAAAACGGCCGTTAAGACTGATTCAATACCCTTTTATTCCAATTTATAGATTTTTTTTTTGTTGAAAAGCGAAAAATGTAGGAAAATCTGTAAAACGTATCTGTGTTGTAAATTTGCAATTCCCTTTACTTGGTCAGGCTCCGTTTCGAATTCACGAAGGGTCAATTATTGCATTATGCAACGCTCAAAATTTGTCCACATTGTCTGCAATGAAAAAGAAATCACATCCGGTATGGATTGTGTACATTTCTATGAGAACGTTTTCGGATAGCATTTGCGCGCATTGGCTAACTGCGGTCTTGAACAGCTGCACCCAATGCTTTATACATAGGTCATGATAATTTACCCAGGATGCCATGCCCACCTCCTTCACAAGATTCTGTGAAGCTCATCAGCGTATCCCAGCGTTCTGTCTGCACTCAGTTTTTCTGCGCGAAAAAACACGCAATATTTTATGGGAGACTTCGGGGGCTAAGTTTGGTCAATTTTCGGGGACAGATTGGCGCAGTGTGATTTTCGCGTGGGAGGCCTGGGGAGGATATATCCCCCGTCCACGTTTTGACCAGGGATGGGCCATTAGATCATCCTCCGATTTTTGTGAAGAGAAACAAAAAATGCTGATTTTGATAATTTCCAACTGTCCAAAAGTCCAAAATGTTAAGGCTTAAAAAAAGAGACCAAACAGTACAAAAAATTAAAATGCGCAGTTTCAATGTAGGTGAAGAGACGTAGGCCTAAGCGCGCAAGTTTGTTCATGTGGTATCCACCCCCACCATTTCCACGGCCAGGCATTTTTTTTTCTTTGTGGCAACAGTGTTCCGTGTAAGAGTGACATCGTTATCCTCGCATTTCTCAGTGGGCTGTTGTCATGTCGATTTCCACTGCCACTCGAATGTCATTTTCAGTGCCTTGAAGTTCATGAGGGTCTTTACTGATTGTTCTCTTTGTTCTCATGTTCATTTTTGTTAGCCAGATTTTGCATCCCTGATTTAGCTGGACCAGTCGCTTCAAATGTTGGCAACAGTCTCCAAAGATCTGCCGACTTGGAACGGGATGTCGGGATTGGCAGTCCGTCTCCACTCCTTGGTATGTGGTATTTCTGTGTACAGTTTTGTTTTGTCAGTGTGAAAGCCAAACTTTGTGCAGGCTGACTACAAATTCCTAGCGCCCCCAGGTCCCTCCCCGCAAAACCCAGAGATTTTACGCTTGCCAACGAAGTGCCTTTCTAACTTAGTATCTTTTTGAGTAATTAAACAGAAAAGGAATGTAGAGGCGATTATTTTTTTCTCGATTCTAATCCCTTTTATTTCCTTAAACGTATACGGCTGCATATAATGTGAATGAATTGTAGTCTGGTCCCTGATCTTTCCGACGCCTTCCCCGACGCCCAGCTAGACGTCTAAATTGTAAGTCAGGAAATCGCTGGGGCTAAAACAAAAATGGCGGCCCTTTTGCAAAGCTCTGCTTCGTTTCCGGGTTGTCTTTACATTTAAAGCTTTTAATGTTCCGATCAAATTAAAAAAAAAATCAATTGCTTTTTGATCATAATGGTTATGATATACAGTATGATATTTCTGTAAGAAAACATTGACTACTGTTAACCTGGAATCTTTCAAGTTAGGGACCCAAATAGCGCTGTTAGCAGGCGAAGCCGAAAAAGAGACCATGCCAGGTAAAATCCAGGTAACCGTCGTCAGATTCAAAATCGATCTGAAGGCATTCTAGATGCACAAAATCATCATTGAATAAATTTTTGTTTTTAAATGCAAACAATAAATATTTATTAGCAATTTATTTATAATTTAAAAAAAAACATGCATAAGGTAAAAGAAACCTATTTTACTTCTGGAAATAACTGGGCGCTATCCGAGGGTATCGATGACATGCATTCGGCAAGACATTTTCGGACAATATACACAAATTGTACAGATACTACCGGTTACCTGACCTAAGATTCATCAGAAATAGCTAGAATCTTTTGGTCTGGGAACAATAAATTGGTGAAAAAAGCCGCCTTCTAGCGTCAAAACAGGTACAACCCCCTTCTTTTTAAATTGACAGCACTTGCCCCCCTCCCCCCGGGATCCCACTAAAAGATTCCTGGCTACGCCACTGCTCTGCATCTCAGATTTGTTGTATTCCCAACCGTTGATGCTTTGTGGGATAAAGCAACATCTTACTTTTTTAAACAACCACAAAAGTGACATAGGAGTACTGAACTTTCACAAAATTGTAATTGAAAAAAAATACGTGTTTCTATGATGTTGTGAAAGTTTTGGTACATTTTGGAAAATACTTAATATAAAACAGGCAGAAACGCCACAAGTTGCTGCGATTCCTAGGAAAACTGTTTGATCAAAATGCCAACATAATTTTACTTGCACAGTTGGGGAAGTAAACTCCGAAGCCAAGGTTCACTGGTTTGCTATTTGTCGATAGTGTGATATTCTTGACTCTTCTATGTGTCCTTACACACAAGTGTACCCTTAACGTGAAAGCAACATATTTAACACAAAATGGATTCTTTTCGTGACAGATATGGACGAAACTACCCCTTTTCGGACCAGCAACACATGAAGACTTTTCATTAAAGTCGGAGACGGGAGGTATTAATGCGGTGAGTTTCAGTTCTTTGCATGAATCACAGTGGGGACAAATTCAGACCTTTGTTTATTCAAGAGATAAAATAGGAATTCAAAGTAACTGAATTTTTCCTCACTGTTAAACAAACTTGGCTGCACCGATGAGAGACCTCCAGGAGGATTTCTGCCACGGGATCCCGTCTAACAGTCATCGGGCACGTGAAGCTTGAAAAAGCTTGAAAGATTCAATTAAGTGAGTAGACTCATCAGTTTTGGAGAAGATGTATTTATTTTAACCCCCTAGTTTCACTTTGTGCAGTAAGTCTCATAGATAGTCTTGTCAGAGCCGCGTACATCGGTTTCGTATATCGCAATAAAAATGCCTTTAAAAATACTATATTCCCAACAAATTAAACATGGTTGCAAGCTGATGAGCAGGGCAACAAGATGCACCAACAATCAAGTTCGTAGACTCACTAGTGTTGGAAAAAATTGAAGATGTATCTATTTTAACCCCCTAGTTTCACTTTGTGCAGTAAGTCTCTTAGAAAGCCTTGTCAGAGCCGCGTACATCGGCATGATATATCGCAATAAAAAAGCACTTAAAAATACTATATTCCCAACAAATTATACACGGTTGGACAGCTGATGAGCAGGGCAACAAGATGCAAAAATATGTTTCACACATATGTTTGACATTTTGAGCTATTTGTATTTGTATTCGATGTTTCATCGGTATGTTTGCATTCGATCTTTTGCAATATGCATTTGATATTTCATTCGATGTTAAGAGTCAAAGTCTGGTTACTAGACCGCGAAAGTCTGACTATTGTGCCTAAAGTCAGTGTATGAGACGTCAGGGGATCGCGTAAAGTGATTAGAGCCAGACCTAAACGGTAAAAACCGGAATTGTGGGTAATTCTTTAAGCATACGCAATGCGTTCATCGTTGTTTGGGCAGTACCCCCAGCTGTGCCTGTACTACCCATAGTGTTATGTGCATCATATATGCATTGAGGAGTGCATGACACATGGTGTGAGCTCCAAGGCCGATGTGCACCTGTCCCGTTTAATGATCCAGTTACCTGATAATTTGTTAGCATAAGCTAATGTAAAATTGGGCAAAATTAGATGTTTATGAAAAAAAAATCAAATTGTAAGGGGTTAACCTTGCATTTTTTAAAAGCAAAATCGGGAAAAATCAGATTTTTCTAGAAAATTGCAGATTGTATGGGGTTAGATGTTTATTAAACATTTCAAATTGTAAGGGGTGAACATTGCATATTTTAGCGAAATTGGGCAAAATCAGATGTTTCCGAAAAATTAAGGCCAAACAAAAATGTCTCCAGTTTCTGGTATGCGCGCGCGTCGCCATAGGTATGCGTGTCGGCAAAATGAAAAAGTTTTTTTTTTCAATGAACGATGATGTCTCAAAACCGCCAAACTCACTCGTTTGCCTGGAATCCTGCTGCTGCAAAATTTTAACGTGTTTTTAGATGGGGTTATGATCGAGAATAAGCTTTATGTGGCCTCTCTGGTCTCCCATAATATTTGCACTAAGTTTAGTCGGGCACCATTTGCAGTCATCAGCCGACATTTGAAGCAAAAAAAAAACAGGTAAAAAAAAAAAAAGGCGTGTCGCCGCACCACTTTTTGAGCAAGCTCCATACCAGCAACCGGAGACTTTGTTTGGGTCTAACCTTGCTTTTTCAGTAAAATTTTGCAAAGTTAAGATGTTACGAAAAATTTCAAATTGAAAGGGGTTAACCTCGCATTTTTTTTAAAGCGAAAATCGGAAAAAATCAAATGTTTCTGGAAAATTGCAGATTGTAAGGGGTTAACCTTGCTTTTTGAATAAGATTGGGAAAAATTTGATGTTCATGAAAAAAATTCAAATTGTAAGGGGTTAACCTTGCATTTTTTTTAAGCAAAAAAGGACACAATAAGATGATTCTGGAAAATTGCAGATTGTTAGGGCGTAACCTTGTTTTTCTTGCAAAATTGGGCAAAAAGAAATGTCTATGAAAATTTTTAAATTGTATACCTTGTATATTTAGAAAAATTTGGCAAAATCAGATTTGTATGAACAATCTAAGATTGTAAGGGGTTAACCTTGCTTTTTTAGCAAAATTTGGAACATATTTTACTAAAACTGGGCAAAATCAGATGCTTCTAAAGAAATCCAGATGTAAAGTTTCCCCAAAAACAGCTGTTGAAAAAGAGCCCAATGTTGAACTTTACTGAGTCTGAGGTCTATCGAGGGGACGATCCTTATTTCAACTCCCGGAGATTCACTGACAGTCTCTATTTTTCTTTTTAAGAAAGTCGACATAGCTGAAGAGGGAGGTGAAAATCTATATGTGCCCAGATACAAAGAGTAGAAACCTACGCGTCTGCCTTTTGAAAATACACAATTGCGGTTTTCATTGTTGCGTAATGATCCGCCTAGCACACGACTGTTTTGCACATTAGGCTGTGTTATGCAGCTTCCTAACAAACCAAACACACTGGGCTCATTATATCGACTTTTACCCATGAAGGTAAAGCAAATGGACCCAGTAATCTTCCTGGCGCGTTTGCTCACCTATAAAGACAACTTTTCTCAGTTTAAGGAAAATTCTAAGGTAACGAAATGGCCGAGTGGTTACGATTCGTCGTCCACGGTTAGCGGAGTCCCGGGTTCGAATCCCGCTGGTGTCTTTTTGGTTTTTAACGTATGAGTTCAATTATTCACTATAAGAGATTTAATTTCCCGTCGTAAATTACCAACAGTACCTTAGCTTAATCGGTAAGCACTGCTGCTGGTACTGTCCGCGAGTTCCAGGTTGGCGCCTTCGTACAGGTTCAGGGCATGTGGTCCACTCGGAGGATCAGGGCTTAGGGGCCGCCCTGTTCCTCCCTTAGCTCTTTGCTTTTACATGGTGCCTGGCCCTCCGGGGTTATATGGATGGATAGGGAAGGAAGTGTGTATTGGTCGGGGACGCCGAGACCCCGGAAGAGAACTAAGGGATCGGCTGGGGCATTGTTATGGCTCAGACCGATCCCTGAAAGCTTGACTAGCACATAACTTTTTGATTTTTTTTACCCTCTATCTTTTATACTTTGGTTTAGTTTGATATCTACAGCTGCTCGGCAGGTCTACGGGTAGTATTTAAGTTGAAACAAAGGTGTATGTCATAAATCAATGAATATTTCGTAATTGACTGTAATCAAAACGGAGTTTCGTTTGATCAATTTGACTATCAATATATAATGACGCGATTGCCAATTGACGTAAGAAAAGCCATAAATTATACCGGGAAAGAATAAAGATGTACATTGTAATATGAATATATTTATACATCTTTCAAATAACGTGTCTTTAATTGTGAGCATTCCAAACAATACAGTAATTCGCAATAGTAATAGAATGGTATATGATAGCACGATCAATGCGTTTCTATTAAATTTAAAAAAATATATAATTTAGGCGCCTATGTGTGAAATATTCTACATAAATTTATATTTATATGAAAAATCTCAAACTGTAAGGGGTGAACCTTGTATTTTTAGCGAAATTTGGCAAAATCAGATCTTTCAGGAAAATTTCAGATTGTAAGGGGTTAACCTTGTTTTTTTTTTTAGTGATATTTGGCAAAATAAGATGTAAATCAAAAATTTCAAATTGTAAGGGGTTAACCTTGCTTTTTGTAGTAAAATTGGGCAAATTTAAATGTCGATGAAAAATCTCAAATTGTAAGGGGTGAACCTTGCATTTTTTAGCAAAATAGGGCAAAATCAGGTGTTTATGAAAAATGTTAGATTGTAAGGGTTAACCTTGCATTTTTAGCAAAATTGGGAAAAATCAGATTGGTATGAAAAATCAAAAATTGTAAGAGGTTAACCTTTGCCCAATTAGGGCAAATTCAGATGTTTCTGGAAAGTTGCAGATTGAAAGGGGTTAACCTTGCATTTTTAGCGAAACTGGGCAATATCAGACTTTTATAAAAAATCTCAAATTGTAAAGGGTGAACCTTGCATTTTTAGCAAAATTGGGCAAAATCAGATGTTTCTGAAAAATTTCAGATGTAAGGGGTTAACCTTGCTTTTTTAGTAAAATTGGGCAAATTTTAATGTTCATGAAAAATTTGAAATTGTTAGCGGTTAACCTTGAATTTTTTAGCAAAATACGGCAAATCCAGGTGTTCATGAAAAATTTAGATTGTAAAGGGTTCACACTGCATTTTTAGCAAAATTGGGAAAAATCAGATTTGTATGAAAAATAAAAAAATTGGAAGGGGTTAAAGGGAAAATACAACATTTGCAAATGTCAAAAAATAAAACTACCAAATCATTTTGAAATACCTTGCTGGACTGTTAGTGAATGACAGTGTAAAGCATCCTGTAAAATCATGGCACCTGGTATACCGTCATTTTCAAGAAAAGTGGTATTTTTGTATCAATTTCCAACGCTGATCGGCCGATCAGCGTTGGAAACAACTGGCTTTTTTTCAAATACTGGCCCCAATTGACCTTTGCACTTGTTTGCAATCTATTACAAACCTATGAACGGGTACGAGCCAGCTAGACTGGTTCCCTGACCTTACAATTCCCCAATGTATGTAAATTGCTCTGTTTCTTCTTATATGGAGTCAGGGAACCAGACTACAGGAAAACGATCGTTTTTCTTGGTTTTTATAGCATTTTCGAACCCAAAACCTCAAAAAAGTCAGTGTAACTATATTTGCTATATATTTCCAACCCCCAATTCCATCCATTTCTGAAAATTACAGCAAAAGCAAATGATGTATATTCCTTTAACCTTTGCCAAATGAGATGTTTCTGGAAAATTGCAGATTGAAAGGGGTTAACCTTGCATTTTAATCAAAATTGGGCAAAATGAGATTTTTATGAAAAATCTCAAATTGTAAGGGGTGAACCTTGCATAGTTTAGCAAAATTGGGCAAAATCAGATGTTTCTGAAAAAAATTCCGATGCAAGGAATTAACCTTCCTTTTTTTTTGTGAAATTTGGTAAAAATTAGATGTTTATGA